CCGCAAGAAATGTGTCGTTTGTGGGCAGAGAGGGCACACCGCGCGCGATTGCACTGCGCCCGCAGAGGTGCAAGACGCTTACCGCAAGAAATGTGCCGTTTGTGGGCAGAGAGGCCACACCGCGCGCGATTGTACCGACCGTGCTGAACACAAGCCTCCGAAGCGGTGCCCTGCGTGCGGTAATCCTGACCATTGGAAGTATGACTGTCCCGAAAAAGACAAAATCCCCAGCTCCAATGTGCACATTGTGGAGGCTCGGATGCTACAGGCCAGTGTCAGCGAGTGCTTCGCGAGCACGTCCGGCGAGCCAGTGGATGTTGCCGCAGTTGGCAATTCAAAGCAGACTGTTGACAAAGGTCCACAAACACCCTCGAGTTCCACTGACCGCCAAGCGGGGCGGCCATCCTCAGCTGGCAACTCAAAGAAACGAATTCATTGCTTTCTTTGCAGAGGCCCACACGACATCAAAGATTGTCCTCGGAAACACGAGCTCATCTGTCGAGCATGCCACGGTAATCATCGCACGCGTGACTGCCTCGAGAGAGGTCTCATCAAGCCGTCGAGGCCGTGCCACCATTGCGGGAGCATGGACCATTGGACTGTCGACTGCACTGCGCCCATAGAAGTGCGGAACATCTACCACAAGAATTGTATCATTTGTAGGCAGAGAGGGCATACCGCGCGCGATTGTACCCATCGTACTGAACACAAGCCTCCGAAGCCGTGCCCTGCGTGCCATAGCCCTGATCATTGGATATATGACTGTCCCAAAATCGAGAACAAACCCGGCTTCCAATTGAGGGAATGTGCATATTGTGGAGGCCCGCATGATACGACGGAGTGTGAGAAGCTGCCGGCGAAGCACGTCCGGCAAAGCAGCGATATTGCTGCCAACCACAAAAAGTGAAGAATGGAGCACGTCGTCTCTCTGCATTCGTTCCATGCTCTCTGCTTTGCTTCGCACGCAAATATACGACCACGCAGTATTCCCAGAATCCTGCAAGGCGGCGGGGAACGGCACGATTGTATCAAGCGTTGCTATGACTTCTAGCATCTTCTTGAACCTATCTCTGATAGCTCGTTCCACTAGGGATGTTATCATAATAACAATCTTGTTGTCTCTGGGCTTGGTTGGTGGAATCACGGTGTACGCAAGGCGTAAAACAAGCTACTAGACGTACGTGAATTTATTGGCGCGTGTGGCAGACTCCTTTGCAACATTTGCGTGCTGGTGTCCTGCAACGGTTCTATTACGTGAGAGGCCCATTTCACTTGGATGTCCATGCAGAGTAATCGACGTTGCAATACAAAGCACATTGCAGGCACCGCTCGTCACGCTTCACGTATACAGACCCTTTGAACGTTCTCCATTCCTTGAAATACCGATATTGCACACAACCTTCACCTACTGCTTTGCCCATTGCGGAGGCTCATCCTTACCCTCCTCCTCCAGCTTCTCGCCCTGCGACAGACTGTCGTGAACCGTATCCGCCTTATGCTCTGCAGGAGCATAAACCTATGTGAACGCATCAGTGGAAGCATGGACTGTTACAGTTAGGGAATTTACCGTGGAGACGATCAGAGGTGTCGGTCCGGTATTGACGAACTGCGCAGGGGATACATGAGTATGTGCCATTCGTATTCGCGGAGTCTGCGCTCACATTGTGCAGCGTCCCTGCAGGGATGATGACATGGTCGCCAGGGCTGATGTCTTCCTTCTGCAGCTATCGTTAGCTGCGCCTCAACGCATATACGCGCACCATCTTACGTGTTTTCCATCTGTGATCGCTTGAGCATTCCCAGAGACGAAGTAGAGGTGCTGGTCAACGTGATGCGTTTCCTACGGTTCGGTACAAGTTATGTGTGTGATGTCCGAGCGAGTTGTAGTAACTCGCCTCTCCAATCTCGCCTCCGACTGGAATGGTCATGAGTACCAGCTGACGTTGAAGATGACGACGCGAGTGAGGGAACATCATTCTTAATATGATGGTTGGTACTTACTTGGCTGTGCTGTCCGGTGAAGAGGACCCTGCGGAATTTATCGCTCTCCGACGCTATCTTGGCAATGTTGTGGAATATCACTGCCTTCTTCGGGGGCGAGACGTTGGGCTTGGGGAGAGTCATGACGGTACGAGAGCGGATGAGGACGCGGAGTTGTGGGTTATAGGCACGCTGGCGGGTGACGGTGGTCAAAGAGCGAATCATGGGCAGTTGACAGGGTTGCTGGTTTATATACCAGAGCATGCCCTTCACAATCTTCTCAACTACGTCACGACGCTGCACTGGACGTCTTGACAGCGGGCGAGGCATCATACGTCATTGGTTTCTTGAGCGCTGAAGCGAAGGCCTGAAGCAATGCTATCACATTGCTCGAGTAAAGTATGGCGCAAACAAGTACTATCTATTAGCACTACATACAACAGAGTCATGAGCACAAAGACTTGACTGTCAACTAGATCGGGAGACCTCACAAAACTCCAATTTCACTTCGGCAATCCATTCGCACCCAGCAAAGCCTCCTCCTCACTCAGCACTCGGGGCCCATCACCAACCCTCGTGTGGATGAGACCCTTCACCGCACCAACGCCGAACGGCTTGGCGACCGCGGCGTTGAAACCATCGATGATGGCGTCCTTCACTCCAACAGTGCCGAACAGTCCAAAGGGATCCTTGAATGGCTCCGCTTGTGGGAAGTAATGCACGATCAACTCAATGATCTCCTTCAGGTTCTCCTTCGGTGCGTAGATGACTGCGTTCGGCCCCGCATCGAACGTGTACGCGGCCTTGAGCTTGCCGCCGTTCGCGACGGAGACACGGTTGTATTCCACGATGATCGCGATGATCGCGCGAGACACGTCGTTCATGTAGAAGATCGGCGGGTCCGTGTCAAGCGCGACAGCGTGGAACTGGTTCGAGTCCTGCATCGTGATTCTCGCGAAAGCGTCAAAGTCGCGCGCACGGATCGCCTCCGAGATCGCCTTCATCCTCGCAGGCACGACATGCCTGATGCGGTGCTCCAGCAGCGTCGACGTCTCGACCGTGCGCTGCATGCCCGACGTCGACGATGTGCCCTTCTTGTCATCCGACACCACGCAGATCAGCGCGTGGATATCGGGCCAGTGCTCGCGGGGGGCCACTTCGACGGCAAGTGAGTCGGACCCGTCGGGCTTGGAGCCCATCTCCCACGCAACGAACCCGCCAAAGAGCGATCGGCAGGCAGACCCGGATCCTTGACGCGCAATGAGCGACAGCTCAGATGGGGATGCAGGGAGGGAATAGAGCGCGGCGAGGGAAGAAACGAGTGCAGCGAAGCCAGAGGCGGAAGAAGCCAGCCCTGCTGCCGTTGGGAAGTTGTTGCGAGAGCAAATGTGGACGCCATACGATGAGAGCTGATAGTGGTTCCCTTCAACGCTCATGCAGCAGAACGAGATTGCATGCAATGCATACCTTCGGTAGGCTAGGGTCCTGCCTTTCTACCTCTCTGCGCATACGCTTCATCTCACTGATACACGTCGCCAATCGGCCACCATCCTTGATCTCCTCCTCGACGCCGTTGAGCCACAGCCTGTCCTTCTCAAAGGATGGGTCCGCTCGTGATGTCGTCGTTGACCGCAGGTGATCTTGATCAAGAGTAACCGAGAGCGAAGAGTTGGTAGGCAGGATCAGCTTGGTGTCGCGCTTGCCCCAATACCTGGGAGACGTCAATACGGAGGAGTGAGAACATCTCAAACAGTCTCACTTGATGCAGGCGATATTCACGGGGGCAGACGCAGTGGCTTGGTAGATCGGCATGGTGGATGAAGAGATGTTGAAGGAGAAACAGTGCACATGGTATTTGTAGCAGCCGGAGCGTACGATTCTGTATTTCCAGAGATCGTGCAATAGCGAAAGCGGGCGTTTAAGACAGGAAATCTGCAGCCAATCATGGAGGCCTGCTCGTGGTCCAACCTATCCCTGTAACTTCTCGCTGCGTTGTTCGGAGGCATGACTCGGTAGAAGGTGTAACAGATTGATGCAGTCTCCAAAGCCTGGAGTGCAGCCGTCCGCTATCATGAAATGAGAGACTTCCGTCGGTCGCCAACAAGGCTCCTATTAGATCCATCGCTTTGATTGCAATCGCGCCCAATCACCGGCGTGGATTTGACTCGAAGTCACTCGAGACGCATCGAGGAGCATCGACGGCTATCGAGGGCCACCGCCTTTGTTTACGTAATACACATCGGTGGCAGTACGGTCTAGCCAGCCCAAAAAAGAAATATTAGTAAGCAAATGCTGACGCTCGACTTGGCAGTCGCTGCTCAAACTCCACACTCATTGTCTTGAACGACGACCACGACCATCTTCGTCGACGTGCCCGCACTCTCGTAACTAGTCATCTTGTCACTATCCGTACAAAGTGGCTACACTCTCAACAGTCGCCTCACTCGCTTCCAATGCGATGTACTATCCACAACAGTCTCCGGGCATGGCCCACAAGCTCCCCGCACACCAACATCCACCTCAGGTCCATGACCAGTCTCCGTGGTCGCGGACACCTCACCACCCAGCCCTAGGGCCTCCTGTGCATGCACAAGCCCCCGCTTCATCTCCCTATCCGTTGTTCACGAACGGTGCACTGAATGCCTTACAGCATCACCCGCATCCTCACATGCCAGGTCCACTTGTCCACCATCACCACCAGAACTCATTATCGCACCCGCACTTTCCCTCCCCACCAAATGGCAATGGTATTCCCGGGCATATCTTGCAGAACGGTTCACCCTCGGCGGCGCCCATGACAGTGCACTGGCAGCAACAGTTGCTCAAGTGCGAGGTGAGTTGTCCAGCGCTATGATCTACGTATATGGTGCTGATCATTCCATAGATGAGTAGGGCGTCACGCTCTCCACACCACCGTGCGCGAGCGAGTGCAATGGCCTCGCGGTCGGTCCAGAAGTCGGCGATTCCCATCACCAACCCGAACGCTGTCAAGCCTGTACCGGAGGCGAATGGTGAAACAACGTCAGCATCAGGGGCGTCAGGCTCTTCTCCCTCTTCGCGGTCTGCGACGTCCGCGACGACCTCTTCGCCGCGCAACACCGCCGCGGAGACTCATCCGTCCTCGACCGTCGCGCCAATCGCGGAAGCACAACGGCCCACAGCGCCCAAGCCGCCGGTTAATACATGGAGCTCATTGGACATGGGAGGCGTCAACATCAAGAGCATCCCGCGAACCTCGGGCCTGTTCTCGTTCTCGTTCCTCATCAATTTGTATCTCAACCACAATGCGCTGACGAGCGTTCCACCGGAGATCGCTAGACTGCGGCACCTGGAGCTTTTGGATCTGTCGGGGAACATACTATCGGAGCTACCGGGCGAGTTGGGTATGCTGACGTCGCTCAAGGAGCTCTACCTGTTCGATAACCAGCTGCGGACTCTGCCTCACGATCTCGGAAGTCTACACCAGCTGCAGACACTCGGCATCGAAGGTAATCCCCTTGAGAGAACGTTGAAGAACATCGTGCAGACCGACGGTACCCCGGCCCTCATCTCGTACCTGCGTGATAATGCTCCGAGACCGCCGCCTCCTCCGGATCGGATTTGGAATAACATTGTCAGCGCGGCAGAACGCGAGGCAACGAATGCCGATCCGAACGTAGAAACGATCAGGGTGTTGTGCTATAACATCCTCTGGGACAAATGCGCGACAGAAAGGATGTACGGCTATACACCATCCTGGGCACTCGCGTGGGATTACCGAAAGACCGTGATCTTGGACCAAGTCTTTGAGCCAGACGCCGATTTCGTGTGCTTGCAGGAGGTCGACAATGTCCAATATGAGGACTACTTTTTGCCACGCATGGCGGAGAGGGATTATGAGGGTGTTTACTTCCCGAGGGCGAGATACAAGACGATGAACGACTCGGAGCGGCGAATGGTTGACGGGTGTGCTACGTTCTTCAAGGGGTCCAAGTGAGTAGTATCTGCGTCTTTGATCTACATTAGTTTCTCATGTTGGATTAAGGTACACACTAGTTGAGAAGCGTGTCATCGAGTTCAATGCGATCGCTATGCAGCGTTCAGACTTCAAGAAGACGGATGACATGTTCAACCGTGTTCTCGGCAAGGATCACATCGCCGTCATTTGCCTCCTGGAGAACAAGGCTACCGGTACACGCTTCGTCATCGCGAACGCACACGTTTGCTGGGAACCGCAGTACCGCGATGTCAAGCTTGTTCAAGTCGCGTTGCTCGTCGATGAGCTCCAGAGGGTCGCGGACCACTTCGCGAAGTATCCTCCTCGCCTCCCCACCCCTGCATCAACCGGCGGCTCCCCTACCACACCAGGTGCAAGCGAACACAACGCATCATCGCGTCCACCGCCCGTCTACACTGACGGAACGAAGATCCCGTTGATCATCTGCGGTGACTTCAATTCGTTACCGGTCAGTGGCGTGTACGAGTATCTTTCGACGGGCAGTGTGCCGCGCGACCATGAGGACTTCATGTCGCACCTGTACGGCAGATACACGTCGGACGGCCTGCGGCATCGTCTTGGCCTGAAGAGCGCGTATGCGGCGGTGGGCGAACTCCCGCTGACCAACTACACGCCGAGCTTCAAGGGTGCGATCGACTACATCTGGTACTCGACAGCAAATCTATCGGTCAACGCCGTCCTCGGTGAGGTGGACAGGACATATCTGGAGAAGGTCGTGGGATTCCCAAACGCCCACTTCCCATCAGAGTACGTTGTAATTTACATCTTTCACGAGCATGTTATTGACGTGTCTGTCGTATTAACAGTCACTTGTGCATCGTATCGGAGTTCCGCGTACGCCCGCCACGAGACCCTCAGTCTTCGCGTCTTTCTGCCTAGGTATATACGGTATTATAGGGTACCATGGCACCGCCACGTACCCCATGCTGCCTGCGTTCTTTCCTTCATCTTCGCCGTATATATTTCTATACACTTGTAAACACTGTCAGGTTCCTTGTTCGCACATTGTCGTTTTTGTCACGTACGCCTTTGCACTTTGATAATATTCATACTTCCCTCCTCAATACCGTCGTGTGTCATGTTCACTTTTGCTGCTTGCTTTTCCGAGCTTGGTCCTCATTCTGTGCCGCATTGAACACTTTGCCAACACTGTAGCATGTGCGTGTACGTCTTGTGAAACTCAATTCTCCCTTCAGACCCGACGTGCTCGGTGTGAGCTCGGTGTGTATTCCGATCGTGCTCGCTGGTCAAGACGTCGGACTCGAGGAGAACGGCCTGAGTGATCGACTCGACGACGCGGGGTAATTTGAGATCGGAGATCGCCATCTGTCACATCTGAGATTACATGATGCACTCTTCGACCGTGACTTGCGCTCGTAACCTCTTCGTCTGCGACATCCATCCTCCACTGCTTCACTAGATCAGGAAAAGATCCTCCTCGTACACACCGTTTCAGCATACAAGCTCAACATAGAAATGGACCTCGAACAAGCTCCCACGATGACGCTCAAGTACAGCATCGCTGGCTGTTCAGAGCACAGCGGCCGCTACATCGCGGAGAACATACTGGAAGACAAGCCTATGGACCAGACGAGTAGATGGAGCGGGGCACACCAGTCGCCTAATGTGACTCAATGGGTGCTACTCCGCTTGGACGATCTGGCTGTACTCAGTTGAGTGAATCGCAGGTTGGTGTGAAGCTGGGACTGATCGGTGATAAGAAAGTATCACGTTCGGGAAGGTATGTACCGCACACTGGATTTTCAACTTCGGTCATTCACTGATGTTGTATCTTCAGTTTTACAAACGTGCGTAAGCGCCATCGCGGTTTGGGGTTGCTGAAGTTGAAGCGTTCGGACAGCACATCCATGCAACATGAAAGAGTTCAAAGTTTACGTGGGACTGTCTGAGGAGAACATGACCGAGGTATATACGTCTCCTGGTGAACTTGAATCTGCAATGTTGAGCTTTGCTTTAGGTTTTGCGTGCGGCATTGAAGAACGATTCAACAAGCGAGACATTCTCAATCCGGTATACGAACAACGCCGGTGTTTGTTTCCCCACGCGCTTTGTGAAGATCGTTCCATTGACGTATGTTTTATACAACATTCTCTGATGCCTAACTGACTGCAAATCGCAGAGTTCACGCTCAAAGTTTCCATACATCTATATGGCATGTCTCTGTGTCGGGAATCATCGATCAGCCTTTCGTGCAACAAATATGTGCTAGATATGATGAGGTAGGCTCATCGCATTGTTTTGCGTCAGTCGCAGCTCAAAAATGGTTCGGTTCCAAGTACCGTGAAGCGTCGATGCTTCGACATGTTCTCAAACACCTCCGTCAACGACGGTTCCTGACTCCATTCCATGACATTCTCGACCGATCCAGCGTGCAGCTCGAGCATCCACTAATCAGCACCCTATATGATAGCCTGGTTCTCAACGGCGATTGGTCAGCTACTGAGCGAATCGTCCATTCGTTGTCCTCCTCTGGTCTGCTGGACTCGTACCGTTACGCATGCCAGCCGCGAGCTCATTGGACACGATTGCATGGCCTGGATGCCGATGGTGATGTGCCAAGTCGCCGAAGTGGCCATGCGATGTGCATGGACGAGAAGAACGGGCTGATCTACCTCCTCGGTGGATGGGAAGGCCAGCGCAGTCTCGACGATTTCTGGATGTACAACGTGCACGAGGATACCTGGCGCTTGTTGAGCATCGCTACTTCGCGTGACAGAAACGGACCGGGTCCCAGATCTTGCCATAAGATGGTGTTTGATGCGAAGACCGGATGCATCTACGTGCTTGGGCGGTTGGGAGACGGAGATGCATTGGAGCCTGCGGAGGCGCCACCCGAAGGTACGGATACGCTGCCTAGTAGCCCGACGCAGCGGGAAGCTACAGCTGCTGCTGCGGAGGACTCGAGGCATGCGGCTGATACACCCATGCCTTGGTCGCCGCGATCATCCGAATTCTATCGATATCACACCCGCGGTCTTGACGCTGGGAGGTGGGACCTGTTGTCGCTTGATACAGTGGTAGGCATATTTGTTGTCATCGTTCAAAGTCGTGTGTTGAGCTCCGATAGACCGCTGGTGGACCGTGCTTGATATTTGACCACCAAATGGTGATGGATTCGGAAGCGCAGGTGATCTACGTTTTTGGTGGCCGTGTTGTCGATGGCGCATGGAAAGCGCCGAAATACTCCGGATTCTACGCTTATGACATTCGTACCGGTTGCTGGGAGATGTTACCGTGAGTCGCCGCATTCAGTTCCGTTATGGCCGCGCATATATCGATTACTACAGGGTCTCCGATGCGAGCGGTGTGCAACCGTTCATTCCTCTTAGATATGGTACGTGATAACCCCATCGCTGAGGTATCTTCGTCATGGTCGATGACCCCTCGATAGGTCATTCGATGCTACTCGAACCCAAGACGCACACCCTGTTCATCTTCGCAGGGCAGCGGGACGAGAGGTACCTTTCTGATATGTATGCCTACCACATCCCGTCCAGGACCGTTACCGAGCTCTTCCCGAACTTCACTGCTGCTGGAGGCCCGGAAGCATCCTTCACTCAACGGGCCGTCATTGATCCCGATCTGCGTGAGATATATGTGTGAGCAACGCCTGTCCTGTCATCCATACACCCTGTAGCTGAACAATGCTCTTGCATTCCAGATTCTGCGGACTCACACGTTCGCCTAGCACACGGACCGTCCTCGAAACCGAGGCTCCGAACTGGATATACCGCTACGACCACCCCGGCCGTCCTGGAAAGTGGAAAGAAATCCTATCCACGGATTCCACTCCCACTTCCGGCTACCGCTTACACGACACGAATGCAGAGATGCCACAGTCTCGCTATGCGCACCAAGTGGTATATGACACGGGATCGAAGGTCATCTACATGCATGGTGGCAATGCGGGCTTGGCGCCGGAGGGGGACGGTAATGAGAGTGCTATAGACATCGGAGATGAGCGTGGACTGCCGCTGGAAGGCCCAAGGGCAGAGAAGGAAATTCGTCTGGATGACTTGTGGAAGATGACACTGGAACGGTACGTCGCTACCATGCAACTATATGCGCGAGACTGACTGTTTGTGAAGACCTCCACTCGATGATATTGTGAGACGAGCGACATACACAATCCGGCAGCAACGGTACGTATTCTACTGTTGTTATTTCTCAGATCCATCCTAACGTGGTGTTTCTACAGATGTCGCGAGCTGTGCGAGGATGTCTCAACAGTCAGAGCGCTCGCATTTCTGCAATCTGAGGTGGCATCAGTCGTGAACCAGAATGATCCGGAAGAGGCGCAATTATTCCGATCACTTCTTGCACACTTGTTGACTGCTCCGCCACAGCTTGAACCCTCCAATGGCACAAAGGCATCTGGAGCGGAACCAGAATCGGATGTACCCTCTGAGCCACTACCGGAGCAAGAGGAAGACGAAGAGATGGAGGACGCAACTGGACACGAGGAAGATGTGGGCGGAAAGTCAAAATCCGCTGGACCCATCATCCGTTTGGACAAGGATCCGATGGAGAAGGCATCAGATGGAAGATCACCTCCCTCTGCAGTGAGATTCAAACAGCGAACAGAGGTATTCGAGAAGTTACTCATATTCGTCAACGAGGATGCGAAACAGCCGGATGCAAATCTGCTAGACATGGTCCATATTGACGTCAAGGAGTGACCACAATCAGTTGTGTTAGCTTTGTGCGAGATGATGTTTTGCAGCTGTATGTGATTCGCAACTTTAGCGTTTCCGGACAATGGATGTATCGTTACACGTGGAGATATATGATAATTGGATTGCAAGTATGCCAGCGATGATCTTGCCAACTCTACTCGTCCAAGTTGATGGCCCGACCGAATTTCGCGTATAACACAACCTTCAACTGCTTCATGGATTTCTCGCATTCTTCTGCGCGCTCTTTGAGCCTGGATAGCCCCTGGTTCAGGACATCCTGATCTCTTTCGAGTCGTTTGATTGCTCGGCCATGTGGCATATGAATGAAGGCTTCGCCAATCTTGTACCTGCATGCGATAATCAATGAAAACATTTAGAGCTATCGAGGATTAGGTATACTCACATGATGGGTTGATCTTCGTCTGCGAGCTCAAGCTCCATTGACAAGTCGTCGAGAGCCTCCTTCTCTTGCTGGAAAGGAATCCGTATTCAACATCGAGAGACATACCTCATTCAACGAAGAGCAATGACCTTCAGCCCTTCCATCTTCTCTTCGATGTTACGCAGTCTGGTGTTCAGTTTCGAGAATGTGTTGATACGCTGCTGATCCTCTGCGACGGAAAGTTGAACATGGTGTGCAACACAGTTGGTAAGCAAATGTTACCCCATGTCACCTCAGCGTTATCATTGTTCTCTTCTTCTTGTGCCAGCTACCATCATAGCGTTAGAATATCATCCAGAGCCGAGCGGCACGCCACTTGCCATACGCATGCTGCTCAAAGCGGGGCCACAGAGCGGGAATGTTGCAGGTGCTCAGCCGTTAGACGCCCATATACACCATACCGGGAGCGCTCATGAGACGCCGGAGCTCGGTCGATTCCGAAAGCGGAACGCTGCTATCGACCCAAGCATCCACGAAACCCATCCTCGCCGACGCCATCAAGCCCTTCGCCGTCCACAACTATTCTAATGGTGTGTATCCATTGCTCTGCCGCGGCGCTGCTGTTCTTTGCCGCTGTGCGAGGAAGGGGTGTTATTTAAGAGGTGGATGCTATTCATTACAACAAGATGTACCCAAAACTTGCGAAAGCGCCCGGCTCGATACGCATGCTCTACCAGTATCACCAGGCTCACCCGTCCGTCCTCTAGGCATCCGCAGAACTTGCCGCTACGTACGCTGCACTCATCCTTGCCGATGAGGGCATTGAAATCACTGTCAGTTCTTGCAGCTATCCTTTCACTTTCGGAATCCTGACTCTGTAACTAGTCGGACAAAATTGTCGCGCTGACGAATGCCGCATCGGTTGAGCTTGAGCCAATCTGGGCATCTCTGCTCGCGAAGGCGCTTGAGGGCAAGAATGTGAAGGAGCTCTTGTCGAACGTTGGTGCTGGTGGAGGTGCACCTGCAGTTGGCGCGGCACCTGCGGCTGGTGGAGGCGCGGCTGCAGCGGCGGAGGCACCGAAGGAGGAGGAGAAGAAAGAGGAGGAGAAGGAGGAGTCAGACGATGACATGGTACGCTCTTCCTTAATCGCAGATGGGAAGGTTGCATTAATCACGTTCGTGTTCATAGGGCTTCGGTCTCTTCGATTAGTCTCGTCTTCAATTTGTTCTCTCTTCATCGCATCATCTCGTCATGTAACAATGACATGCATAGCTCTATTTATCTGCCGCGTTTCCCCAGTCCAACTTCGTTTTTGACGGGTTTCCAAGACCTATCCTTGTTGTGCTCTCACCTTATCGCCGTGGTTGGCTGTCCCCGCAATGGCGGAAGGAGCAAGTCGTCACGCAAACCGAAGCATCGTTGCATAAATTACAGTCGCTTTTGAAGGGCTGTGCTCTCTTTCGCTATGCTGTAAAGTTCCGTAGCCGATAGTGAGAGCTGCTTCGATCTCATGCCTCTGAGCTCCTATGTTCCAGGAGGTCGCCTCAAGCCACGTTCTCAATCAAAACTGGGATGGTGTACGATCCCGTCTTGTCAAACATCGAACATTGTCGTAAGTGGGTATCATGTGCAGGACACGATGTTGCGATGGGATTGTTAGCTGATTTGCAGGATCTGATTGTCTTCGGTCAGACTCAGGAGGATGTTCTGTACGGCTCTTGGTTGTAGAAAGTTCGACTACTACCTTATTCCTCCGCCTGGATTAATAGGCTGGTGCAAATCGCTGGCAGTGGGCTATTGGGCTTCCCGAGGATACAGGCTTACTGCTAATGAATTTACATAGCAGCGCTACGTACTACACAGTACATGGATCGTACTCGCCATTCTCGACTACGTCGGCTCGTGATGAGTTACAATGGCCACAAATCAAGCCCGTGGTACAATTCAAACATTAACGAGACGCTATTTAATAAAGCTACTATACCATGCCGGGAGTGGATTCACAGATTGCAATGTGGAAATTGGAGTCCCGTAATATGCTCCCATGACGGGCGGCGTCCGTGCGGCTTCACGCATCGTCTGTTGCTCCGCTACCATGAAGAGGCCGTCTCAATGCGCCGATCCTTAGGAGGCAGAGAGACACACCTACCCACCCGCTGAGTCTTAACAAGCATCTCTGGATGCCTTCGAGATATTCCTCTTGCCCGCCCGGTCTGCTAAGTCCACGAAACGCTTGGCCGGACTAGTCTGCCGGACAGTCACTTTGGTGTGCAACAGGCGAAGCGATTGGGCCGTGTCGCCCAGCAGAACGATATCGTCGTCCGGATTAGGCGCATGAATCGAGCGCTTCAGTCCATATGCGGGGGTTCTCTGTTCATAACGCAGTTTAGTGCCGGTGGGTCACTAGCTAGAGCTGACGTATGCACATACGGGAGGCAGGTTATTCGGATCCGCTTTCGCAACCAAAGGAGGTCTAGATGTATGTTGTGATCTCGCCAAATTTGTACGCGCCGATGAATGCGAACTTTGCACCGGATGCGTCAAGATGGGTTTAACGGATGCCGGAAGTAGCAGGACGCGTCGTGAGGTGTTTGCAGCCTTAGTAGGACCAGGAGCATGTGTTGATTCTCTTGTGCTACGAGCGGTAGATGACAAGGTCGCACTGGCGAAGGAACCCTTCGTGCCAGAAGGGACGGCCTGTGAAGAGGCGTGGGTGGATGCTCCAAGGTCTGAGGGAGCAGAGGGAGCAGTTTGTACCCGAGCGTGGATGGATGCATTGGCGTCAGGAGGAGCAGTCGTGGTATGTGTATGGATCGCAGTGCTAGTGCGGGAAGATGTGTTGGATGAACGAGCGGGCACAAAGGTGCCAATCCCAGGAGGAAGGGCCGAAGAACGAGCGTGAACCGATGCGCCGATTTCAGGGCAGACAGACTCCGACCGCATGTGAATAGAGGCAACCGACCTAGTTGGTTGTGCAGGAGAAGAGATCGGCTTCGCCGCAAAATCAGTTGCACGGAGCGGGCTCGGAGATTCAGCCATCATCAAGCGGATGTGCTCTGTGTGGCCAGACCGCGAAGGCGCTGCAGTTTCCGCGTTGCGCGTTACCGGCGTAGAGTGCCATGGGACACCTTCCGGTACCGTATCGGCCCGTTCCAGCACGGGAAAGCGCTTCCAAAGGGTATCAGATACTGAGCGAGATGCGTGGATGGAAGCACTGATCGCTCTTGATGGAGGAATTGAGGAAGATGCCTCAGTAACAACATGCTTGGGGACGGTGCCTATTTCGCACGGTGTTTCAGGCGACGAGTTCCCCACAGCGTTTGCAGGAGCCTTCACGGTGTGCTCGGCAGTACCGATATTTCTAAGCGATGACGGAGGTTGAAGTGTGCAAGACTCAGAAGCAAACTTAGGTATGGAAGGCGTCACAATAGGCCTAGGAAGCGCAGACACACTGTACGTGGAAAGTGTTTTGACCGTATCGCCACTGACAGGAACACCAATAGAGCATTGAGAGTCCATCGACAGCACGTCCGGAACACGAGCAACAGAAGAGCCGTCACTAGCACACGCCACTATTGCGAACGTCTTGTCCTTGAGTTCATGATCGCGAGGGGTTGGTTCGTTTCCTCCTTTCTTGGCGGCATTCACAGCGGCCAGGCGGCTGGTTCTATCGGATGCAGGAGGTGTCGGAAGTGTTTCAAATGCTAGCTCAGGTTCAACGGAGGATGTCACAGATTGGCACCGGGAGTCATGCAGCTTTTCAGGTGACGAAAGAGAACTCTGTGCAGCCGTTGTACCCAGGAACTGCATAGAAGGCGAAGGAGACAGTATCACAGAAAGAGACCTCGGAACGTCGCCGTTCTTCTTGTCCTTGTCATTATCACCTGTCGTCGGTCGTTCATCCACAACGAAGGTGTCAGATAGAGACAACAGCATTAAGGACTTGTCCATTGACGGAAGCCGCCTAGCATCGATTCCAGATGTCCCAGCAGCGTCAGCAAAATTTCTGATCTGTTCCAGCGAAGAAACAGAGGTGTCGACAGTAGAATCATATATAGCCTCAGTACAAAGAACCAATACCACATCACAAGTCTTCTCTGGGCTTTCGAACCACTTTAAATCTGCATTGGTGCCTGTGATCCGAGCGTCGCAGTCGTCAAGATCAACATTGACTGACGGCTCAGCTGAGATAGATGGTCCAGGAGGCATCGTTCCATCTAGCTTGCACTGGAAGGTGTCAGACTCCTAGTGAGATAAATAATTCTAAGGACCGATCTACTTGCCTTGAGCTCGACGTCAAGGGGGAAACCTTCAGGGTCAACGACCAGTTCCGGCATTTTACTCCGGTCGGAGTCAGGCAGTGCATTGAAGATAATAAAGGTCAGAGAAGAGAGGCCGGTCAATGCGGGGACAGCGACCAGCACTGCACATACGAACAAAAGGAGAGTGGGAGGTAGTAGGGGTTCGGCAACTCCACTGGGACATTGGACGCCGAATTGGAAGGAGGGTATCGGACTCGAGTGAGGCGAAGGGTTGTAGACTGTGAGTGCAGTGGTGACTCTGGTAGCCAAATCCGAGGACGTAGCAGATACGGAGAACGATGCACCATCACTCGCAATTCCAGCGCGGCTGGAGATCGAAGGTAATCTATGCAAGCACTCTGTTAAGTTTTCGCCATCAAGGAGCACGAGCACTCACCCTAATTTCCATGAGAATCCTGTCGAACTTCCGGGAACGAAGGCATATAGGAATAGTCCAGTGAGTGCAAATGCGCTCTGGATGATCACGCCAATTAGCAGCATTATAAGATATTTAGACCAGTCTGGATATATATGTATAAATAGAGATATTCGTTACTGGAGGAGGCTCGTCAGATGGCGGGATGGAAAGGCAGACTGAACGCTCGACGATGTTCAACGGTGACAGCGTGCCTTTGACAGAACTCTGCGGGACGTATTCTGCCACGTGCACCCGTCCGAGGCACTGCAGCTTCACGTTTAGCCCGAGGCTTGAATATCTGAATCGTAGCAAGATATCAACTTGAGTTTTTCTCTACCGTGGTAACTAGAGCTGCTCAGGATGCCTTCATACCAAAAAAAATGAGTACGACATGATAAGTGGCACGCTCTCAATAAACGAAATTCGGCAAGTACTCGCAGGCACCACAGAAAGGTCAGGCTTGGCGATTTCATTTGGTTGTGAGCACCGCAGACTAGTTATCCAGTAGGAGGTGCACAACCTCACGTTAAGAATATAGGTGGTACCCATCGTATCGACGTGAAGTTCAGAAGTCGGACCCAACGGCTGAGCGTTGTGGACCGCCATATAAGCGCTCGTATAGTATAAACAAAGGTAAATCATTATAGCGGTCAGCGTCCGCGAGACGCGCCGCACCGTGTCTGCAACCTGCATCATGAAGGGACTTTCGATTTGTCTGCTCTTGGCTGGCGTGTCTCAAGCAGTGCGCGTGTACTTGAATCCACCTGTATCTCTACCCTCACAATTATCTGCGCAACAAGCGGGCGCCGCATTGTCTCGCCATCTTGGACTGGACTATTACGAGTCTCTGGACGATTGGGAACTGTTCGCAGGCTCATCGAAGCAAGAAGCGTTTGTAGGACAGGGACCGGGAAGTGCGTTGCTGCTGAGCATCGACGAGGAGGACGCTGTAGGTACGTCGTGCATGGCTCAGCTTGAGGTTCGGTCGACCGATTGTGTGATTCCTAGGTGTCATTCCCTCTTCCTTTAAGGAGTCCTTCTCCCTCTCCGATGAACCGTCGCCATCTTCACTCGCTACGCTCATCCCGACATACCTTGACCGTGCACACCATTCATACTCGCATATATTCTCTCATTCTCAGCTTCCAACCGAGGCTCCTCGCATTATCGACATCTTCTCTGTCCCATCCTCTGCATCCCAGACATTTCTGGAGGAGATGACTACCATAGTTGGCTTTTTGGAATCAGATGACATACCAAATGACAAGTTTGCAGCCGTCGAGCTAAGGGGTTTGGCCGAGCTCGCAGCGGAATTTGGACGCGACAGCGAGCAATATCGTCTTGCTTCCGAGACCATCCGGGGCCTCCTCTCTAGCGCCATCGAGAAGCGTGGCCTGAAGCTTGCCTTGGTGACTGTGCCCGTCTCTGCATTCCAAGCGAAGCGCCAAGAGCTTCAGCCTCCGCAGAGTCCCTTCCCTCCTCCCATGCCAGGACCTGCAGAGCCGATTGACGCCGTCGCGACATGCTACACCACAGCCACTGCTTGTGGAAATGCCACGAACGCCTGCAGCAGTCATGGGGAATGTGTTGAGGCGAGCAAGGCTGGGCGGACTTGTTTCGTATGTGCATGCGCTGCAACGACGGATGACCGAGGGCGTACCGAGCTTTGGGCAGGTAATGCGTGTGAGCGCAAAGATGTCAGCGGGTGCGTGAATATATCCCTATCCTCTGCTCTGGTTTTTATGTCTCCCTTCCATTCAGCCCTTTCACCTTGATTGCCGGCACAGTAGTGGCGCTCATCCTCCTCGTCGGAGGCTCAATCGCGTTGCTCTCTACGATTGGAGACCAGGAATTGCCAAATACTCTTACAGGTGGAATTGTGCCTACGACTCGAAAGGATTGAGGTATCCTACGAACACTAGCAAATGACATGTTCGGCTCTGATGCTACTAATTTGTACTGAGACGATCGTCCGGTCTCATTCTCGAGGTGATTGGGATGGTCACTTGTATCATGACACTTATGCATGAAATGTTTTATATATTACAAAAATCCCATCCTTTCAGCCTTTACTGAATATGCTGGGATGCCGCTCTTCCAATCCGTCTTGCTATATGTTTTGTGGATCCCAATTAGGGAGGGATGCATCCGAATACGGTACGTTTTGAATGTTTTGACATCTCCGTGACATTACACGAACGTTCAACATGTCGTCGGAGTAAGCCGAGCAAGTTCAACTTTGTTCGGAATCGGATGGGCTTAACATTGTGACTCTCTTCTGTCCCAGTCTATCGCATCGACGTTCTGTTCTGCACACCCTGTCCCTACTGTTCGAATTATGGAGGTTCCTACAACCACTAGTGCTGGTCACTCTGCCGTCTCAACTTCTGCCTGTCAACCACTGCTTGCGAGAATACAGGACGCTGGCCTGGCGCCAAAGATGTGGGAGAAGACTGATCCAGAATCTCGTCCGATTAAAGCATCTCGTTCCAAAAAGATGCGAGGCTCCGGTATCTCCAAGAAGAAACAAACGAAGCGGCAAGTGGAACAATCTAGCGTGAAGACGCAAGGAAATGTCATTTCCAGGATCTCAAAAGACGATGTGGGTCCTTCAGGTGCTAAGCCTCATCACTGGTCTGGATTGACATACGAACGGACCGAATCCAGGCGGAGAACCAGCCTGTTCTTGATGCAGGACCTGCAATTTCAGCTCGAGCGACGTCCGCGAGGAAACGACCCCAACTGTCGCCCGCCGCATTTCGCACTGTTCGAGCGGTCCTTGACTCTCGCACCTCGCGTGAACGGGTAAGCACAATATCTCAAAGGGACATGTAACCTTAACGCAACGGTTGTCGCCGTGCAGGCACAGCAGAAACAAATGGAGCTCAAGATTCGCGGTGCAGCTCAAGCCATGTCCAGCGGTCACGACATGCGATTCCTGTATTACAGCCTCGAGATGGGCATTATACCCGTTGAGCAGTTGAGGACTTCGTCACACTGCGTGCCGAGCTCTTCGTCGACGGACAGTGTCTCGCTGGTCAGCTCGTCGCCGCCGCGCCCGGTTGTCGCAGCCTTTCTCCAGGAAGCATGGCCCCAGCTCCAGTGCTTAGAGATGCCGGATAGTATGCGAAACATTTCGCGCGACTGAAGGCATGCGGAGCAGACGACACAAACTCACACCCTCGGACCTCTGTACAATTTACATTATGCACATGACGGCCTATTCTTCTCACATTGCAATGTATACTTACTCTATCTTCCCCCACGATTCTTTGGTATGTGCATGTTCACCTGATGTATCTTCTAGAGCACTATAAAATGTGCAGCCTTTTGAGTGATGTCGAATATCGGATGATTAAATAGAGAGAACTACTGTTGACATTAAAGTACAGTATGATAACGCTACGATAATAAATACAATAACAAACGGAGTGGGTTAGATAACATCCTCTTTAATGCGCTAGCCACGGGTCCTGCAGCAGCTCCTGCGCAGACGCACGATTAGCCGGGTCCAGCCGCAGGCACCGCTTCATGAGCGCCGATGCGCCCTCGATATCGGCAGGCGGGATCGGCAGACATGTCTCGCGAATGCGTTCCTGGAAGGTAATAGGGTCGAGCGTCTGGAGTTCCTTCAATCTCTGAAGACCTGCATATCAGACGAAGTCGCTTCAGTGTTCTGCAACGCTACGACAATTCAAGCCACTTACCATCCTTAGTGAAGTACTGCGATGCTTGAGAGCATTGTTTCAGGTAGTCTTCGTCGAAGCTCTCGCCGCAGAAACAAAGCATCTGGTAAAGCATCGAGTGTTCGATGGGCTCATCCGGTGGGCCCATTGGCATGAAGAGCGGCTGGCCAGTGAGCAGCTCGAACACCTGCAGATCGAGATGACTGTGAGATTGGGGACAATGCAGAAGGTCACAGTTCTCCTACCAAGCAACCGAACGTCCACACGTCGATCTTCTCATCCCACTTCTTGCCTAGGATGATCTCCGGTGGACGCATGCCGAGCGGGGTGATATCGTTCGTCTTGGTACAGTTCGAAAGTATTTGTGCTGGCACAAGCGACGTCAGTGAAACATACAATGCATACACACAGAACATACCACAGCCAAAGTCCGCAATCTTGAACGTATGCGACGTCAATGTGCTGGCGAGGGGCGGCGGGAGCGGCTGAGACTCATAGGCCGTCACCATATGACGCAGGCTCTTCTCAGGTGGATACGTCCGTGGTGGGGTGTCCTTGAGCCACTCGTCGAGAGTCGCAGTGGAGTATTGCAAGCCGGTCATGATGTTATCAGGCTTCAAATCTGTGAAACTGTAAGCAAATGACATATTGCACGTCGACAACTGACACTAACCGGTATGGACAATGCCTCGTGCATGCATATGTGCCATTCCACGAAGCACATCGCGCAATATGTGCTTGACAACGGGGAGAGATAAAACGCCATAGGGAACCATCATCCGCAGCTCCTCCACGCTTGAACCCAACAGATCCATTGCCAAGCAGAGGTGCTCGCCATCCTCGGGATCAATGCCAGGTGTGATGAAACCTGCGATCATCCGTTGACAGTACGACTCCGGTGCACCCGGAGGTACCCAAAGGCGACGATGCACGTGAAACTCGCGCAATTCGTGGGTGAGGTTCATCCGTGTGGCATAGCCTGTCAAGATCTTGACAGCCACATGTTGGTCCTTACTGTCGTCATGACCGCGCGATGAGAGATCGGACAAGTTAACAATCGTGCAATCAGTAGCGTATGCGATATGACGGCTCACCTTAGATCTCGTGCCATCCAGACACTAGAAGTGGCGCCGAGCCCGAGCTTGCTCTCCAGCTTGAAGCGGCCGCCTGGTCCGAGGCGGTCACCGGGACCACCCTGATAGTAACCAAACCCCTCAGAAGCAGGGAGCCCAAGAGGCTCCTCCATGAATGACAATGGAGACTCTTCATCAGTAGACGCAAGAGGAGAAGGTGTGTCTGTCGGAACTAAAACATTCAATGCAGGGAAATATTTGGATGCAGGTGTGGAGTCAAGAATGGGAGCCAGCGAATAGGTACGCGCATGCAGAACGATCACTGAGGGCGATAACGATCGCAGCCTGTTGGAAAACGTGCTCCTCAAAAGAGACTTGAACACACGCGTAAGGAGAGGCATGAGCACGGCTAGGTGTGTCGGCAGTTATAGGGATCGGAGACGTCCAGATGTAAAGAACTTGAGCCTCATGGCAAGGTATTGCGCCGCCTTTATACCTGCACGAATTCGGAGATGTACGATGCTCATGGCGTCATACGGCTGTTGCTTGCTTTTAGTCTGCGCACCTTATACGAATACATCCAGGCCACACAGGACTATCGTTCTTAGGTCATGAACTTCTCTTCGCGACGTGCTAAATGAGATCTGAACCCCCCCTAAGTGAATGCACATTCTGCATAGAACGTCAAATGAAGAGGCATCAAAAGAAGATCCCACTCACCGCGACAGAGCTCACAAGTGAGATACCGCTTACGCTCAATTCCGTTAAGCTGGTGCTCTAGAATGGGTGGCGAATTCGGATTTCGCTAGCAGCTTACTGACAGGATCATGATCCATGTCACTAGACCTAGTATCAATCCCTGTTTCACATAGTCTTTCGGAAATGAATGAGTAATGTACGCAGGACGAGACCCGCCGCTCATGAGCTTCTGGTAGAGCAATCAATGTCGCTGGAGGCTAACACTGCGGCGGGCCACAACTTGTCAGCACGTTTTGATGGCATCTGATTAGGCACAGTCACCGAGTTGGCCCTCCCCAGTTTGCGACAGCGTTCGTCTTGAATGAATTGCCAGATTTACACTGAATGTACATGAGGCTCTCTCGCCGCGTCGGTGAGCCCGTGAGGGTAATCGGAACATAGTCCAAGTGGCACGGGTAGGTCACCGGGCCCAAGTCCTGTAATCGAGGTCATGTGCCGTCCGAATTCGGAGACACATCATATCACCGGAGGCCTCCGCTCTTCCAGCCAGCTCTTCATGACAGCCAATCCAAAGAACAGCATGGCGCGAAGTGAACAAATCAGAGTAACGATGCCCATTCCCGACCACCATAGGCTGTGATTCTGTTCCGACAAGTTGCATCCCATAGACATTACCACGTCATGCCATAGATCTCCTACAAGGATTACGTGGTCAGGCCCTCACTGTGTCATTATACTGTGAAGGCTGCGCATGCTCCTGTTGACGAAGAAGATATGGTCAGCACGCACAAACCGCCCCTCGTACTAATTTTGTCTGTCAATCCCAATGTCGGCACAGGGAGATTGCTGTAGATTGCCGGGAAGTAGCTTACACATTGTGACGCAGCGCTGAGATTCATGAAGAGAGCTTCCGTGTGAACCAAACAATAGCGACTTACCTCTCAGTGTACCGGTTGTATCAGGCGAGATACGACGCTCGGCACGCCCATGGGCGCACCGTTCTGAAAGAGGTCCATCTGGTGACAGCTGCGACACACCATCACCGTTGCAATCCAGAATCAGGAACGGCGCTCATCGTTGACAGATACATCATTGTACATTGACGCCAAGGCGTGGACATGCCGAAACGTTCCCTAATGAGCTGCGCTTCAGGAACGGCTCGTCTAGAAAGTGGAGAAAGCTCACTTCGAAAAGATCTTCCCACAGATTACGGGAAGGAAGAAAATCAGCTCGTTCGAGCATATTACGCTCTCAGGTTGTGTGCGTTTTGCCGCCAGGATCCCACGCGGGTAGAGCATAATCTGTTCCTACTTATCCCCAATAGCTGCATTGACGCCTTCTTTCATCTCCAATGCATCACACGAGATAGAAAGGCGGCAGTGCCTGACACTCACTGTATAAAGGATGCTGCACCGTGGGAGGGATCATATGATCTTGTAAGCTTTCCGAACATCATATTTGAATGCTGACGAGTCCATGAGCAGCTGAAATATACTGAGCGTGTATGACAGCCATACCGAATACATTCATGACCGAGTGAAACATCTTTGCGTCATTAGGCACAACCTGCACGATTGTTGAGCAGTGCTGCAGCACGTGCTTATGGATGATATCGAAGTAGCCCCAAAAGTCACTGATACGGGAGATGTGAGAGAGCATCAACTCGATGAAATCGGGATTACATACATGACGCTCACAACAACATCGTAAGATGTCAGGCAGCTTGAAAGAGACGAACTTACTATATGAAAGTGCAGATGTTGACAGCGAGAGTCAACTATATCGTAGGCTGCACACCTCAGTGTGAAGCTAGTCAGCACTTCAGCGTACCTGCGGATCATCAGAATAGCCACTTGCTGCTTTCAAAACAACACCGAAAGACGGCACAGTAGCCTGAGCCTATATTAGAGTCCCAATATGCGTCCTAAATTACAACATGCATCATATCAGCGCGACGATGACGAGAGCAGTAGTCAGCTGAGTCGGGGACCCCCCGAACTGTGATGTTGCCTGAGCTCTAGTCATTACGTGTGCATGCAAACGGGACGTGAATTTCGAGCAGGGTATAGATGTCATCTATTAAACATTCCTGTGAACAGCAGAAGACACCATCGAACAAATTAGGAACTCTGGATACACACATAAATACGTTGTATCGCCTTCGGACTCTGCTGACCAACTTCAGCGAGTTGGAGCTTGCCAGTCAGCTAACCAGCCCTTCATCGCCTCCAGACCAGCACTTTGCACAGCAGCGATCGTCGAATCGGCTTCTGCGTTGACTGCGTACATGTCGGAACAGTGGAACCCATCTCCCACGGCAATAGGTTGCTGGGAGGTGCTAGCGAAGTTCGTGCCATCAGCAGACATTGATGCATCCCGCCACGGGTCGCCTATAGTCCGCCGGGATCGACGTAACGTAAACGTAAGTCATTCTACACATGGAAGTTACTCACGTTCGCCATTTGCGAAAAACAGCCGATCGGCTTGCACGAACCATCCGTTGTAATCCTGGTTTGTCACGTTGACTTGCGGTGTAGGAGGACTGCTGAAGGCCTCTGGGAAATAGTTGACACATTGACGCTGACGGCCCATTTTAGACAACGTGATCCTCAACAGCTCTACCATGACTGACCTCATACCAAATCGGTTGCACCAAGCGAGAGACAATACTCGGAGTATCCTTGGGTGCGCCACCTTGGAAAAAACCCATCTCGTTACAGCTGCGTTCACATTCGTACGTCATCAGGTCATCGTGCACCCGACAAGACAGACGATGACAGGCTTACACAATCCAGTACCAGGAACGTTCCGCGTTGTCGACGGCGACGTCAGTATATCTCGACGAAGAGGCATCATAGGTGCCGAAGCAGTCTCTACAAAATCGCCCAGCATCAGATATTGAATAGAGAAAGCGGAGGGTAAAACTGACTCGGCACTCAAGTCTCCACAGGCTAAACAATGAGGGTGTATCAAGTTGGCGAGAACATCCAGTTTGTAGAGCCACTTACAACTCGGATAGTATTTGTTTTGCCACCAGGATCCCCAGGCAGGTAAAGCGTGATTAACGCCCCACCCGCCTTCCGGAGCGCTTGCTCCATCCTGCACTTCCAATGCGTCGCAGAAACCAAAGAATGTGAGATCCGTCAGTTCGGGAGCAGGCTGAAGTTCCTGCCATTCCGCTACCGGGTACTGTACTGAAGAACTAAAGCGTCAACGACAGCCGATTATATGAAAACTTCATCACTCACGAGCAGCTGCTAGATCGTCGAGGTGCGCCAAATTCAAGTTGAACGTGTTCTTCACGAAGTCGATGGCGACCGCGTCATTAGACAACAAGACTTCGTCGATATATTTGATCACATTCTGTATGTCCGCAGAGCAGTTTTGCGGCATGTGCTGGCGAATTACATCATAATATCCCCAGTAGTTTCTACAGAGACGGCGTTGGTGTTCTAGGCGGGCGAAAAAGGAATTTTAGGCACGCACACAATGCTCTCGACGACGCCGGATGATGACCACGCAGCATAAAACACTCCAGGCTTACTGTCAGCCAGGTTTGTTCGTGAGCGACGATACGGCAGCAATGCGGCAAGACGTACTTGACCATTGTAAAGCTGGTCAATGCACCGGCATAGCTCCCTCCGACGAGAATCCACGGTGCTTGGTCCGGCGTGACTTGGTCTCCGCCAGGCATTGGCAACTTAACGTTTTGGGCAAAATATACGAGATCATCGATAGCCTGCTGGATTGTGTGGTACTCGAGACTCGCGACGGACAGGTCGTTGAACGGGTTCGATTCGCCGTAGTAGCGATGCTCAAGCACGATTGTTGCGCCATTCTGCTGCTCTGCGATTTGTCCGACAATAGTAGCGTTTGTCAGAAAAGTCTCAAATCCGTCGGCATTTTGCTCCCCAGGTGTCGTGAGAACTATGGGACCGCCTGCCGTGACCAGGTTCAACGACGTGCATGTTTGATATGCACCGTGGAAACGTACCGAATTCATAGAACTGCCAAGTATGCCAGTAACGCTGCTCGAATGTTCCGAGGCTCGGGTTATTATGGTCGATCAATTGATCGAAATAGTATGTGGTATCCAGCGGTGGAAGCTCGGCCCCGCTTTTATCGACGATTGGTCCTTCGTACTGATATGGCAACTTGCGTACGCCGGGGGTTCGACGAATCCTGGCATCGGCAACCGGGGAAAGATAAAGTCCCAAGATTATGAAGGGGGTGGCATCCCCATAGCGCACCATGACTGCCAGCGTCCGACGACGTCCGTAGATTCGTAAGGCCATTTGCTGCAGCCATGAGGTCTCTTATATGCAAGGCGGCTACACGAGCGGTTTCGGGCGCGCAAATGCATGATAGAAGCCCGAGTCAGTCAGCTTCCATTTTGCCGTTCCTATTCTGTTGGCAACGCTGGCCGTCAAGAGGGTTGGCGAGGGCGATGCATTTTGCATTGGATCTGTCGCTGTTAGACCGACTTGCGTCCATCAAAGATGTCATGAGTGCCAAAAAAAAATGCGACGACGGATAGGACTTAGTACGGTCGACATATTATTGATGGTATCCTGGTGATCGTTGGCGAAACATTCCATTGGGCGCTAACGCGAAAGTGGCGCATGGAAAATATTTTCGCCCGCGGCACGCGGCAACCTCAGCCATTGGCCGCAACATCTCGAACTCCTTTGCTTCCGTCGGGTTCGCAATTTATAGCGAAGTCTGTTCTGGTTCAATGCATGCCGTTTCAACTGTTGTGCTACATGCTGCTACGCCACTGCGAGCGAGTGTCAAGCTCAAAGTTTGTTCATGCCCGCTCGTGCAATGTGACTCCATCAAGAGGGCTCCGGAGTTAGTATGAGGTCCCGGATGAGCTGACCGATGGAGACAATATCGCTCTATCATCTTAAGCTTGCTCATAGGGGTGAAAACTGCGGTTGTTCCGTCCCAAGGATGTGCATTCTATCAGAGCTCTAGATCTATTTAAAATACATTTCAGGATGCCAGTACAGAATCGGAAACTCGTTTTTTGAACATTGGGGAAATGCAGTAATCTGTCAGCTGCATTCTTCATATTTGAGATGCGCATTCCATGCGGACACCTTTGCTCGGACTGATTTGTCTCCGCCTCCTATTCTTCTCCATACCGTCGAGCCAAGGCGCCAGTGTCATTGACAGGCTCCGAGCCATTCAAATGCTTGTTGATTGATTAGCAACTAAAGCGAAGAGTACGATGGCTCGCAGCTTGTGATAGAAAGGCAGCAAGATGCCTTCTATATGTCTGTGTCGCCGAGGTGCAGCCCACGTCAGGTATTCCCATGGGCATCCTTGTCTCTGAGCTGTTGTGAAGACTGGACGGATCCGAAGGCGCCAGTGGCTTCGCGCCTTTGGTGCTATGCATTGACTGCTCGCCTGACTCAAGAAGACAGGGATATGCGTTCTCAGCTTGGACTCGTTGCTCTTGTTGAGAATGCTCTTGGAATGCTCCTGCAGATGGCCCGCCGTGTATTTCGGAGGACGCGTTGCGAGGGGTGTTGATGCCCGACCCAGAGGATGATGCTGACGCCGATGGTGCGGGCGAACAATCAGCGCAGGATGAAACGCCAACAGGTGCAGATGCGAGGGAACAGAGAGCATTGACCCATCCCGACGTACGCGAAGTTGTTGACCAGACCGATGATCCATATCCAGCAACGTCTTGCCAGGTCAACGTAGTAGAGGTCACGCTCGACTGCAAGGGTGGTGGAGGAAGCCGCTGGGGAACGCTATGCAAGGATGTTGGTCGAACTACACTTGCAATCACGATACTGAAGACATACCACTTCTTTTGTGTCTGTGAGGCCCGAAGGCAGTTCATCCATGCCGATTCAATGGAAATGCCAACGTGAAGCTCCCCATCCTGAGCGTCATCTGTAAGCCCAGTACACTATAGACCTGATGATCGACGCTCACCGTCACTGGCCATGTTGTTTCCAGCTCTGCATTTGCATACTCGTAGGAAACTCTCCAAATGTCCCCGGCTTCTAGCTCAGACAACAATGATTTTGGAAGGACGTAAAAGGCGTCCTCCATATCAGGAGTTATAATGTCAAGGTGGAGATTGATGGGCGGCGTAGCAGCCTTGAGTGGCTTTTGCCCAGAAGAGTCGTCGAGTGGATGTGCCAGATGATCACGATAATCGAATATATCAATGGAAATGCCGCAAGTATCCGACTTATTGGCATCTTGACGCCAAGAGGTCGAGTATAGGATGGTGTTTGTTCCTGAAAGCGCGGTGTTTTCGAGGTATTGCATCTGTCAGAAGTACGTGAGTATCAAATTGATAGGTTGACGATAACAAGGATGCTGACCGATTGATACTTATACGCATGCGCACACTGAATGCCTTGCTCGCCATCAGTTATCTTGTGGATCTCACCGCTCGTCATCACGTCCCAGCAATTATCCAGGATGGCTGTAAAGTCTACATGCTGCAAGCATGGCTTAGGTTGATACATGTAGCCAGTCGAATTGCGACCGACTTTCTCTGTGGAGAAAGTAAGTTCAAGAAAGCTCGCTATGCTCATTCTGGATCCTAAAACGAAAATCAAGTTGGATAGAATGATTAGATGATACTAGTGTGGCGCTCACTGATGATGGTTTGGCGAATTACTCTGATCGGATGGTTAGATGCGCAAGAGAGGGTTGTCGAGCTATAAGCAGCCAGTGCAGATTGCCTCGGGCTAGTAGGACAAAAGGAAGGGCGGAAAACTTGCACATTTCACAGGTGGCTGCGACCACATATATATTCGGATGTTGACACCTTTGTGGCCGTGCACCTGACGCGTGAGTGGCTCGCCAGTCCTCAACAGGGCAGTCCACTGCCGTCCCCACACCTCATGATTACCGAGTGTCTTTCAATCTCCGCCCATAGGTCGCGGAAGTAAATTGCCTTTCTGATCTTTCGGCTACAACGACACGAGCCAGTTATTCGTGTGGCACTCAGCCCACGAGCTGCGTCATGGAGCCATGCATTGTACGTGCGCACGATTGCTTGCTATCCAAGAAACTTGTCCAATGGCGACGTTGCATGCGGCCACGCCATCCATTGCTAAGAGCACTCTGCCCGGATTGCCACTTCTTGTGGCACGGCCAGATCGCTTGAACGCGGAAATTAATGTGTGCCCATAATATCTCACACGGCATCGAGGTTTCCGGAATTCCTGACAGCCACTGATGTGGCCTTCCCTGCGAATATCCGTCGAGTGTGGCCCTCGAATTGCCTATCGCACTGGATGCGGCAGCCGCCTGCAGACGGTATGTTCTGGCAACACAACTATATCCTTCAGCGAGAGTAAGATATTGCCTGCAATGTCGCTTCTGATATTGGTATTGCCGTAAGAGAGCGCCCCACATGAAAAGGCATACCTCTCTCATCCTCTAGCTCTTTCACTGCAGAACGATTCGAGAACAAGATGGCGCGGTATATCGGAGAGAGATGTTATCAGCGCGTCCGATCACGAAGAAGTCGCGATGGTATCCTTCGAAATCAATTTTGACATGATGTGAAGTGACCTGTCCGAAAGCTGATATCGATTGATTACCAAGCATTGATTTGCGTACAGCAGCCGCATGTGGAACACACGCAATACGGCGTCGAGCTAAGCAACCACTGATTAAGAAGGCCTTCAACGATGTGTAAATAGTGGGAGACACATCAAGGAATGTTCTTGATCATTTGAAGACAATGGGCATGCAGTTGCAAATAAAGTTCCCTGCTAGAGACTTTAGGTTGGGAGTGTCCTGCGGGGACACATCCAGTAGAAGAGGTGAATTTTGGAATCGCCGACTCCATGAGGCTAGGGCAGTGGCAGTGGTACGGTCCCTGTCGTCCACGTTGCCGCGGCCGCGGACTCGGAGCAGGCCAGGTGGCGACGCGATCACGTGGTCGTGGTATACCGCAACCCGGCGGCACGGCGGCCCGGGTTATAGAACTCTGGACCGTCCGAGAGCAAGCATCCGATGTACCCTGTCTGACATACCACGTACCAGCAACGGAGGTCACACAACTTGAAGCATCTAAAAGGATGTGAACTCTGGACCCCGTCCTCTACTCGTGCTACTCAAGTAGTCCTGCTGCCACAGTGGTTCCACATCCCGCTCTCACCGTGTCAGACATTCTGGTCGAGGTTTTTGGCGGAGGCCCGATTGACACTCTCCCGCGCTGCTCGCGCATGCAAAAGGTTTCTTGATCCCGCATTAAGCGTGTTATGGAAGGTGCTTGACGATTTACTGCCGCTCCTGGCGCTGTTCTCGTCCTTCATGGCCATTGCAGTTCCTGATAGTGAACGCAGGAGTTCATACGCTTTTCACTCTGCTGTTCATGTGAGTAAGATCGCTTTGCTCTCGCGGAGGGTCTAAACATCTAATTACAGATTCTTAACGGAGACATCGATGCATTCGAATGGACGCGGTTTCGGTACTTTGCCGGACGCGTGCGCATCATCACGGACGCAGGCACAAGTAACATTGATGCAGCAGTGTTTCAATCGCTCACCCATTTTAGTCATGGCCGACCCCTCATTCCCTCGCTGAAGGAATTCAGTGGGAACGTGCTGCTGGATTACGGACAGCCGGATCACTACCGAATAAACGATGCTGAATTGGTCTCAATGATGTCTCCCTCCGTTCGCCGGCTGCGAATCAAGCTACGGGACACAACTGGTTGCGTCCACCCACCATTTCCCACAGATGACGTCCCCAAATGCTGCTGCATAAGGTTGGCTCCATGGCGCCACATCTGCGCAGCCTGCAGATCTTATGTCAAGGAACGGGGCCGTACCTCCCCACTTCCCGAATTCTCTCAGTTACGTCCATGGCTGGTCTGACTGAGTTATCCCATGTGGATGTATCTCGGTGTCGTTCCACTGCCACATTCGGCTTGCTATGTCACCTATCCAAACTAGGCAATCTAGTAGATCTTGCAGTCGAGGTTGGCGCATATGACGATATTGCCTCTCACAGAGGGTTTGCCGGCTTGCAGACGCTGAACATGAGAGGCAAGCTGTCAGGCATCATGCAGCTCATTACTTCAATCATATCACCTCGATTGCGTACTGTGAAGATCTGTCAAACGTAGGGCGATGTCGCGGATGGCATCGAGAACATTTGGTGCCAAACGATCGGCACTATATCCTCACGTTTCACAAGATCTGTGCGTGAGGTACATCTCACCACAGCATTCTTCCAGGCCTCGGACTTCATCGATAAACAGGAGTATGTTTTGCGCATCATTCGACCTCTTCTCGATCTACATGACTTAGAATGTCTCTTCTTTTCATGGCATATCGAGCGCATGTCGTTGCTCCTCGAGGATTGGGAGGTTCTCGAAATGGCGCGTGCATGGCCAAAGCTCAAGCAGCTTCAATACTACTTCCAGCTACACAGCCCACCTCCCATCGACTGCATAGTCCATCTCGCTCGCCTCTGTCCCGATTTGAGGAAGCTCGTGCTCCCTCGCGTCATGGGTGCCGGCCAGTCGCCGCTCGAAGCGTTTCCCATCATGTCTCATGGGCTCAGATACATCGATCTCGGCCGGCCTGCGTGCCCACAGCGAGTGGCGCAGATCGCGGACCGTTTGTTCCCGAATCTAGACACAACATATTCCGGGAAGGCGCAGCTGTAGGGATGGGCGCAGGTGCTGCCGCTGCTCGCCGAGCTGCAGAATGCAAGGCGAACAAGACATGGTCCATGACGTTGCCTGCTACGTATGCACCCTACCCAGCGGGGATGGATCATGATTACTCATCAATATATCCATTAGAGCTTCCCGATCCGCGACGAAGTCCATATCGGTGCTCGCGGATGCCATGTTTTCTGCGTGATGGAGTGGAATGGTGCCGAGGCAAAATGACGACGATAGGAAGACCATACTTCGCGCGGTACCATCCGAGGCTACACCTAATTATTTGCAGAGGAATGCCTTAGGACTTGCAAGCTGAGGCTGTCAAGCTACGGGGTCCTGCATGACGCTGTGAAAAGTGATATGCTGTCATCGTATCTCAGATGCCCGACTGTCATCAATGCCAACCTCGATGCGGCGTGCTGCTACTAGCGTAACTGGCATCGAAGTCTCGAGATCTCAGTCCCCCATTCGTGGTATAGGCGCGGGCCGCTTTCACAGTGGCATCTATTTGAACGAATCTCATGCCGATAATTGTCCAGCGGTTATTAATCAAAGATATTAGATTAACACAAATGTCTGCATGCACTGGTTCAATGGATGTCAGAACAGAGACTCCTTACTGGTTTAATTCATAGAGCTTTCAGGCCACTCCAACTAAGAGACACGCTATGGAATATGAAGAATACATTGAGGAGGTATTGCATACGAAGTACAACACAAACTGGTTAGAAGGGTATCCAGTGTCGGAGACATGACAATTCCATCTAATGATACAGAGGCATCACGCATTCAGCCGTGCCTTCCCAAAGCTTTTGCACTCTTGCTAACATTCTTAGCCTCTGACTGCTTGGCCTTTGCACGCTTAGCGCTGTTATGACTTTGTCAGAGCAGACAAGACAGACACTCATCAACGATATCGCTTACTCTTCCGAAATCTCTCTTTCCAGATTCCTAACGTGCTCCTTCGCACTTTGTACCGCAGCGCGAGCTTGCATCAAAGCTCTGTCAGCCTCACGCTCGGCAGCCTCGGCCTCAGTGACCTTCTGGCGAGCGAAGACGATAGAGGGATCATTCTTCGGATCGTCATGGGTACAATCGAGGGACGATGAGCGGTGACGACGGAAGAAGCTACCACCCGAACGAGAGCTGTTTGCATGAGTAGAGCTACTGGCTGATTGGCCATAGTCTGATGGGTCGGAGCGACGCGAAAAAATGCTGCGACTACGCGAAGGCTCCTGTGTTTGCGTAGGTGCAGGCGTAGGCTCTTCTCGCTCCTGCGTGGAAGAGTGGAAAAGTGGCATGTCTGCGAGTACGCACGATCAACTCCAAACAAAATAGATATGTTGACTAGTCTCACTTGATATATGGGTTCAACCAGAACGCAGGGATGATTGTGATTCCATCCGACGCGAACCGCCTCTTAAGCCTTTTGCGCCATCTACGTCAGTGGATCTGTGCCTCATTCCAAGCGCATGTAAAGGGGATGGAGAAGAACCAGTGCATTGAAGAAGTGATGGAGGAGGAGCATCATGATAGTATGGAGCTGCACTGCGCGCTCGCGCGCTAATGCCACAGATGGTCCGTGCGTGGGAATCAGGTGATGGGCGGAGCTGAATGCGGAGTCCGAACGCTTCTGCCTATCGCAACCTTGTATAAATGCAACCCCCTCACTTCCTACTTCCACCACGCCCCGCCCCCTTTCAGCTCGTTGTTGTTGACGATCCAGGGAGCCGCGCGTTGAGCCATGTCCAATAAACTAGTGGTGAGCTGCCCACCGCGCATATGTCCATAGCCTTTCAGTTGAGTGACGTCCGCCCCCGGTGAGCCCAACGTCTATCGTCAAGTCATCGACGATGTGATGAAGAATATACAACCCGAGTTCGAGGAATATGGTGTCAGCGAGGACATCCTTGCTGAGCTCCAGCATGTGAGTGAGCTTGACCGTTCCTTCCCTTACACGTGTTTCATCGTCCCGTAGAAATGGGAGAGCAAGGTTATCGCTTCCCATGTGGCCGAGTTCGAGCCTAGTCCCGCGCTGCCACCACAGGCGGCGGCGGCGGCACACCCAACTCATCCCTCGTACCCGCCACACCCTATGCACGCGCACATGCACGGATTGCCCACGCCGCATTACCCACCGCACAATCCATACGGCCAGACACATACTCATGCCCACCAAGGGCCCCAGGTCAAGTCTGAGCCAGTCGAGAACAGGTATATGTTGAATGGACAAGGCATGACTGCGTATGGCATGCCACCATTGCCCGGTCCTCAGATCCCAGGGGCACGGCAACCCACCAACATGACGTATGCCAGTCATCCTGCACCTCCTACGGCACGCTATCCCCCGCCGGGGCCTGCACCTCAACACTCTGCACCTCAGGCTCGCATTCCGCAGGTGGATGGACCATCCTCGTCGTCCTCGGACTCGCCCTCCCCACCTCCAAGTCAAGCTTACGCGCCGCGCTCCTCGCATCCTTCATTGCCTCAGCCGGTGCAGACTGCCCCGAGAACTGAGGATGATGAAGCCATAAACAGTGATTTAGATGATACGGATACGGACAATGATGACGACGGTGAGGAAGGCGGTGCTGCCGACACTGATATTGTCTTCTGCACGTACGATAAGGTAAGCGTGTAGGAGCAGGAGTTACGACATGATTGATTGCGGATCATCTATCTTCATGCAGGTCGCGCGCGTCAAGAACAAGTGGAAATGTATTCTCAAGGACGGCATGATTCACATCAATGGGAAAGATTACCTCTTCGCGAAGTGTACTGGGTATGTGACGTCAGCTGTCCGCTTCGACGGTGTCTAATCTCCCTGCAGCGAGTTTGAGTGGTAAAGGCCGGATTGCCGTTGCATGTCGGACTTCCTTTTCTCTCGTTCCGTTGGTTCTCTTCTGCTTCCCATCGGTGTAACTTTTACTCATCGTGTCGTATCCCTCACTTGCTCGCATGTCTACGTTTTGCCTCACTGCTCCCCATAAAGTCATTGCATATCACTCGTCATAACGCGTAGCCGTCTCAGTCATTCACGTTTATCTCTATGCATATATCATCCTGTAATCTAGTGTGCCGATAACAAATACATACTTTGTGCAGAGCTTGCATCGCCGGATACAGATAAATAATGCGGTAACGCAAAAAGAAAACATGATACAAGTGCGATCTCGGGACGTGTTGTCGTTGAGAGATTATGGATTCCGATATTCTTCCCGTCTTATCGGTTGTCATTCTTCTCTTTCTCGTTCTGATTTGTTTCCTACTTCTCTCGGCCTCAGCACTTGGCCGCAGTGAGTTCCTTCGCGTCACTTTTGTGCACGAGTTTCGCAAAGTTGCCGGGGACAAGCTGCTCCTCCGCCACTTCCTGGACTTCCTGACCTTCCACCGGATCAGTGTATAGCCAGACGACACCTTCTCCGTCTTGGAAATCGATGCCCTGTTCTTCATATTTCTCCGTCCACCAAATGAATATGTCCCGCGCGAATGGGTCCGTCGATGCATCCACGAGGAAACCGAGTGTGCGCACGGTCTCGAGGGCAGGGAAGAGCGCCCGGTGCGTGAGGAATGCGTGAAGATGTTGCTGGGCATGGTTAGGGCGGTTCGGGTAGAGGTGTCTCATCACCATTTCGCGGATGCCAATCCGGCGGAGTGTTGGGTGCGGGTGCGAAAGCATCGGCGTGCCGGAGGAAGGCGTGGGCGACGCGGGAAGCGATGGTCTAGCGGGCGATGACGTTGACTTGGGCCAGGAGCAGGCACTGTGCGGGGCAGCTGCACACAGCACCTCCTCTCGACAGTCGAAAACAAGCGTGTCAAGGATAGGACAAACATCGGGCTGGAGGAATGTGGTGAAGTTAATAAGACACGGCTTGTACGAAGCAGATGTTATCGGAAGCAGTTCAAGTATAGTGATCTTGTTTCCATGCACGGCCAGCATGCCGTTGAGTGCAGATAGAACGACGGAGGACGGATGGTCTCCCACGTTCGTTGTGTCAATGACGAGCCGGTGGAGGCGCGGCAGTTCGAGCTTAGCTGCAAACTCAAGGAGCGTAGGGCACGTTGGAAGCAGCAGATCTATTACGAAAGGAAGTGATATATGTGCGGCAGCTTTCTCGAGGAACTCTTGTGGTGTCTTCAGCTTTAGCCTCCGGATATCGAGCACTCGGAGGGAGTGAAACTTCCTCAGTAGGGACTCTGTCAGCACGGACGCGCCACCGACGGGCGCCTCCTCCCAGTACAGTCGGTGGATCGTACTTCCGAGGTAACGCGAGAAGATCTCGACGAGGTTCTGTGAGAGAGGTCGCTCCCAGATTCCGCTAAGGACGCGGAGATCAGGCAACATCGATAGTATGGCGGCGACTGCCATCCAAAACGCCTCCGTCCTCGATGTGCGCGCGCAGTCCCGGATCTCCACATGTCGAATGAACTGAGCGTGGCCCTTTGGTCTTTCACAGCCTACGATCTGCGCGCCTCGCCTTTGTGCCTCGAGGTCGCTTTCATGTAGGGTCCGCAGGAGTAAGGTTGCGCGCCGCTTGCTGTTGACGACAACATGCTCGTAGAGCAATTCAGTCGCGAGTGCGCGCCATGCTCTGCACACGAGGACGAGACACCGCTTTGTCGCGAACGATGATACAGGGGTGTTCACCCCCCACGCGAAGTTGGAGGGACGCTCGGGCTCAAAGGGGTCGCCTGGGCTGAAACCACGTATTCGGGGGACGTAGGTGGCATAACGAAATATCTCCAGCCATAATTCGGGCGGTAGATGAGTGTGATTTGTCCTCGGTGCGGGCTTCAGCAACCGCACGAGTCCGCAGGCGTCCGACATCGCAGTGGACGCGATTAGTACTCTGCAACTGGACTATTGTCAGACCACGAGGTTACCGGGTATCACGACGCGTGAGACGCAACATTGCTCCGCGCCACGCCCGAAGGCAGCCTAGCTGCCACTCACCCTTCTCAGTCCTGATTGACCACCGAGCGTCTGTAATGTCCGAGCAACGTCGTTTGTAATCTGAGTGCGGGAAGGCGTGCTTTCAACCGACCGAATTGTGTTGACGCTTTGGGATAGAGCGGTGTTGGAAGCGAAAGTGTAGACGAGACGCGCCATCGCCCAAGTCACGCTCTCGAAATGGCAAGTGTGGCGTCGCTTAGCCACTCGGAATACCGGCCCGGACCCAGCGACATCCATCTATTGCACGTCCCGACTCCCGCATGGCCATGCCGCTGTGTTTTTTGTTAGAAAATTTAAGAGTAAATAAACAATAAAACGAAACCCTCGTACGTGACCATCGGTGGGCCCAAGGTTCATCAGCATCACACTCGCTAGTACTTGACTAAGTTCGCCCATTGAAACTGCCGTCAGCGCTGGCCCTTCCTTGGCGGTGTGGACCCACAGTGCCTCGGTTGTGGCCAACAGCGACAGCGGCAACAAACCTGGACAATCTAGGCTTCGCGTCGCGTCGGACCCTGTTGTCCTTCAAGCACGATATCTCAGAATAACATGTCGCGCTAGCGTACAGAATACAGGGTCTTTGCCTATCGCGTAAGTCATCTCCGATGATCCCGAGCAGGACCGGGGGCGATCCATATCGCTTGGATGATAACCTCCCCAGAAGAATCCCCTGAACTCTGAAGTGTATCAAGCGTACTAGCGCGATGGTGGCCGTACATCACACGCGGAGCGCATCACATTTGGCCAAGCAGAAAACATAGTTTACCCCGCATTGCAGCGGCTGAGTCACTCTGCTCCAATTCAAACCTGCGCCATTCATACATCGAGCCTCCTTTAGTTTCAATGGTCACGTAATCCTCCGATCAAGACGGTGCTGGTCCGATCCTGTCAACGTCAAGACTCAGCCAGGTGCATCGATGTCGACCAGACCCCATAAGGGACACAGCCAGGCTGCCTCCAAGCCAGGCGCAAATCTCGGAAGTAGAAAGCGTATCTGAACGCTGGAAGGTGCCACTGCATGCCAGGTCAATGCGGTATCGGACCGCACTGTCACCGTCCTGGACGCTAGCAATTGCGAAAACCTTGCATGGCTGTCATGACTGCACTCGCAACAGGACGCGACACGATTTACCTTCCATTCTACCGGCTTGGCCAATGGTCATTTTCTCCACCGTTGAATACGAGAAGCGGGACACGACCTGCGCAGACTCCCATGTGGACCAGCGGCTTCCAATGCTTGTCGGCGCGGGAGAAGCGAGGGCAAGGGCAAGGGCACGAGCAAAGGAGGACATATTCAGCATCTCACACGAGTGGACGGCCAGCTGACTGCTTGCGTGACTGCCGGCACAGCAACTTTTGACTAATGTCCTGGCCGAGCGTCATTTCTATACCGACGGCCACGAAGACCGCATTGTATGCGCCTCTGTCGCCCATCGTCGATATCGCCAAGAAGCACTTCGCGGAGCGCGCTGCTTTCCGTGCGTAACACGTTGTGGCACTGGGAAGCGATCTGCGCGCACCTGCCTGAAATAGACTACAGGGGTCAAAAACCCACCATGGTCAGAACGCCGGTCGAGATAGAAGGCATGCGGCGATGATGCCATGAAGATCCGGTCGTAGTGTGTCCGGAATTTGCTGCGACAGACACAGCAAGGTCACAGCGGGTGCAATAAGGAGGCATGCGTACAGCGGTAGTCCGGAACGCGATGAGGAAAGGCAACATGGCATTTTAAAATTTAATGGGGGTATACCTAGCTGGCTAGCTAAACAAGCAGGAGGAAGAGCAATAGTCCGGTCTGCATAACTATCATGATCATCTGGTATCAGCTATACTTTACAGTGAGAAATGCGCAGCGGGGTGATCCTTGAAGATATACAACTTGCGGTATATGGTACAGTCCGCCGCGAATACCAAGGTCAATCGCGACAGGGAAGTAGTGTGACGGAAATACCTAGAGAGATGCGAAATGAATCCATCCAGTCCATCCGATCCGACAGTGAAAAGTCCAATTTATCTCGCTCCAGGGCCCAATAGCCGCAATGCCTTGTCATCAGTCGGGCAACGCCTGTACGGATGGCTTCTCAAGCTCCTAAGCGGTGCAAGGTCGACCCTTGCCGGACCTGCATTCGAGGTCTGAGGGAGGCTTGGTGCGGGCTGGTACGGCATGCCATTGTCGGTCACGGGAAACTCCGTGGTGGGCATCATGGGCGATGACAGGTTCGAGAAGCTCGATGACGGCGAAGGAGAGACCGGGGAGACGAGCGAGCGCCACGAGGAGGTCGAGTTCGAGTCGGACAGCGAGGGCGACATCGAGTGCTCCGAGCCGTAGCGCTGACTCTGGTTTTGCGCGAACGCTTGCGATGCTGACTGCGACGGACCCGTCGATACGGAGACGTACTCATAGCTGGGTTCCGCACTCACGCTCGCCGAGTATCCCATTGCGGGACCCATGCCTTGATTGACGAGATGTGCTGGAACCAAGCCGATGCCCATGCCGGCCGGGATCGGTGCGGGCGTGTAACCCTCGATCACCTCCGGCGACGTGGTTGGTCTAGCCACGAAATCATCTGGATCGGGTATCATGCAAACAGTTTCAGGAGGAGGTACCGCTTGCGAAAGCGGAGGAAGGACCTGGTAGTTGTGCTGAGGCTGGGGCTGTTGTGGTTGCTGGCTGCATATAAATACATAGGTCGCTTCGCTTGCAAGTTGCACTTGACTCACCGGAGGCGGAGGTAGTCCGTAATGCGACTGGAAATGCGGCGTCGAGGAGGACGATGTAGACCAGTTTGTTGGAGATGACGTTGGCGCCACAGGTGGTCCGGACTGGGGTTCGTACGCTGGTTGCATCGCCTGATGCGCGCGGTAATTGGAAGGGAATGGCGCGAAAGTGCGCTTGCTCGAGCTGGACACCTTAGACGGCTCGCCCTTCTTGCCAGCTTTGCTCGTGCGAGCGCTACGAAAGATGCCTTCCGGTACAACCAAGTCTCGCAGCATCGGAATATCGTCGATGGTTTGTAGCGTGCCCTCTGTTAGCTTGGTGAAGTACGCATCTGAGCGATGACGTGGTGTGTGTCAGAGACACCCCACGCAACTATGATACGTGCACATACTGAGGTGCCACTTCCGCGGCTCTCTAGGCTTCCCATCGGGACCAGCCATGTCCTGCTGGTCCTCCGGCTCGTTGCGGTACACGGAATATGTTTGCTTTATGTACTGATCGTGCTCGCCTGGCCGCACAACGATGTTTTCGGACGATCTACCGAATCCATATTCGTATCAATGGCTCATATTACATGACAGAAGATGACATACTTGGCTTTTTGTGCAGGTCCACCTTTTCCCTTCGGTTTCTGGATGTTCTCAAAGTACATGAGAAAGTCCTACGGGGAACATCAGGGCGGAACCGTATGCGACACATGGGCCGTTGACGTACCTCGCGGACACGCGACGCGGTCCATGATTTGCCTTCCGTGAAGCGTTCCATACTGACGGAGAAAGCATCCCCGGTCGGACCCTTCTTCTCCCACACATACACGTCGCCAGGTCGCAGCGCGGCTCGCTCGTGCGCATCAAGACGCTTCTCGATCTTGGTCAGAAGACCGAGTTGGACTGCGTAGAATACCTTGTGGGCATCGTCAGCAGACCGGATATGCACATTCGTGAGCGTGGGCTTCTGCATAGCGGTGCGATAAGGCGGCGAGGTGTACGAGATACGGCTTAGGAGGGTCAGTCGGGGATGGGAGGGGTGGGGGACGAGGGGGGGAAGGGAAGGGAGGGCGGTGGGAGGCGGACGAAATTCGAGTTATATATTGAGATGGGCCGCGGCTCGGCTTGTTGGCATAAGTCCTAGTCGCAAATGAACTGATTAATAAAAGGGGGGAGTCTGAGCCTATGAGTGGCGCGTGGAAGCCAAACGTTAACCCGAATCCGGGCACTCCCCGGACCTCTGGAAGCGCCCGTGAATCTAATCGAGATACATGATCGCCCCTGAGTCCCCAGCCACCGTCCGTGCCCGGCCTCTGACACCTCCAGCCACCGCCCTCGTCGTCAGTTCATCCACCTCGTGCTACCGCCTTCCCCGTACCAGAACGCGCCCATCCCGCTTCCATCGCTACCACTGATCAGGCTACCAATGCGGGGGTTTCACCACGACCGCTCCCGCTCTCGCGTTTTTGACTTAGTCCGACGCCCATATGCGCTTGTCGAACGAATCAGTCCACGCTGATCATCAGCTGTGAACCCTTCAGCGCTCAGTCCGCTGCGTCTGAGCCCAATTCGTCGCTCAGAACGCCATTCCCACCTGCCTGTGATGGTGCGTTTTCCCCGCCGTATACCGCAAAAGATACTATGACGACATGCTTGCTCGTTTCCAGCACATTGGCTCTGTTATTCATCTCCCCGTGGAGCCGAGTGCGCAAGTAGGCGTGAATCGTAGCACCGCCGGTTCCTATTCTGTGATATATCCATACGACATGCACCCCAGTTCCCTTGATGGGCGGTCGATGTCAATCCCTGTGCTCGTCTCGAAGTCGGGGAATGCTCGGGCGGCGCGTATAAGTCTGTCATCAAAATAGCAATGGGCGCACAACGCTGTTCATCGAGTCCTACCCGCTACGCTCAAGGACGCCCACGGAGCTGAAATGCCTCCGCCAGTCCAGATCCTTGGTGCGTTTCGCTGCCACGAGTCGCGGACTTCACGCGGATCGCGCATCACCCACGGCAACAAAGCAGGCGAATCGTTTTCCAAGCGCAGGATCGACCCCCAATTGATGTGTCCGCGTGCCCTGCAACCCGAATGTCAGCCAGCATGATAACCACCCGACAAGGCGAGAAGCAAATGATATCTGCGGTGACAGCGGCTTTAGTGTGCCGGCTTGTGCCATTCATTGCAGGACCCGTAGGTGGAATTTGACAAGCGTTCATCTAGCTAGGTCTCGTTCATTTGATATGTCTCAGGTTCGAGCACAGGCCGATGCGTTGCAGAGGCAAAGACATATGCTTCCGCGCTCGCCACAGGCGTCCCGATTCGTTATCGATGGTGGCCGACGACTGCCCAAATGGGAAGCTACTGGTTCAGGTCGATCACGAGGCTTTGTCAGCAAGGTAACCGACGGTGCCCCAATCTCGCGCGTTCAACTTCCTGGCGGCGATGGCCCGTGCGCAAAGATTTGAATCTGAACAACGGCACTCAAAGAAGCCTCGCCACGCCAATCCTTGGTCAGCGGCTCCGCACATTCTTCATATGTACCACGCCCAGATGTGATCGGTCGGCTGTTCCGAATTATCTGACCCCGTATGTGTTAGGTCGCATGCGCGCAGCCAGCCGTCGCGCCGTCTGCGCTGCTGCGGAGATCATTCTAATCTCATCAAGCCGGAAAGGACCTGGATCCTCCCCAGGCTCTCACAGCGTATACAGAACAGAAGGGCGCGATTCCAGCTCAGCTAGTCATGGGTGCACTCCATCTGTATAGAGTCAGTCATATGCTCGCGGCGTCCGGCTTCCAGATGCGACTGCACGCTGCCCTGGTCCATCCCTGGTCGGGCAAGCTAACTGCCCCCCCTCGATTCGCAACTTTCGCGTGGCGGCGCGAAGGAAGTGAATCGTGGAGTGGGAAGCACGACTGTATTCACGTCAGGAAGCACCTTGAAACATGTGCACGCACGAGGGATGGCGATGAATCGTGCAAATTCCGACCATAAGTCGGGCTGTCCAGGAATAGAAACGGAGAGCCGAATGCTTCGAATGACTCCCGTTGGTCGTTCTGTGGACTGAGTCCAGACCCTGCAATAGCCGCCTGAACATGTATTCAGACATACTGAATCTCTCCGACAGAGCGGTGTGGTTGCAATGTCGCGAACGGAGGATCTCACCATCGGGAAGAATGGGGCATAGCGTTGTCAGGTCCATGCCATCGATATGGCTATACAAATGACTTAGGTGAACTGACCGACTAATACTTACGCGCTAGCTACGTAAGTCTGGCATTTGCGACATCGAATCGCTTAAGGAATGACTCCGCCCGTCTGGGAGCTAGGACTCCCGATATGCGTTGTCAGTCGGGAGGTCGCGCCGCGACGGTGCGGGCGCTCTGAGCGACCCAGGATATGATACAACGACAATACCCCACAGACGCCCAAGCGAGGCGCGGCGCAGGCACACTATTTGTACCTGACATCATAATGATGGTAAATATATTACGTAAAATAGACAAAGTGAGGAGCACCGAGGAGCATGTTACAGTGAAGAAATTATATAGGCGCGGTCGGCGGAGTGGGTAATTAGTACAGCAGCGATTGCGCAGCGCCATCATTTGAATCTGCGCAGCGGGTAGTGACGCGGACGACTTAGAGGATCCTCATCCTGCAATCGAGTGATCGCAACGCGTATTTATCGATCGGGTGCCGGGGAGGGTAGGGAGATGCCCTCATGTATATAAGAGGCGCCAGGTCATCGCCCCGCCTCGACAACTGCGATTGGGCCTGGAGCTGGGTCAGGCAAAGCGGCAGCAGATTCTGTGTCCGAGCTCACATATGAACCTTGAGAATGTCCATTCTTGCCGTCCGGGGTGTAAGGCAAGACGGTCTCACCGGGAGCCTCGGTGACGCTGGTGGAAGGTGACCCAGATGGCGCAGCAAGCTGGGCGGGCGTGTTCTGTGGATGATCCGGCTGCTGTTCTCCTTGTCCATTAGGCTCGCTCCGAGCGTGATTCTTTGATACGCGGGCCGTCTGGAAAAGTCCTTCCGGAACGTTGTCGCGCAAGGGACCCAATATCGGATGGAATTGGATTTGGGGAAGGGTATCACGCGTGGTGTCAGTATGGTACGCAACTGGGTCACAATAGCATTTAACGTAAGTCATACGTTCCCGTTACGCGGCAGCAAGGGGCGAGCTGACCTAGATGCCACTTCCGCCGGCCGACCGGGAGGTTAACAAACGCAGAGTAGGTTTGCTTGATTAAACGAGAGTCGAGTCTGCCACGGGAACGGACATGCCAGACCACGCTGAGCTCAGAATAATATACGCACCACAACCAAGATCACTCACATTTCCTGTCTCATAGCTGGGTCGGCATCGAAATCCGGGAGTTGCTCAACGTAAAATAAAAATTCCTCCAGGGGTAAGTCAGGGTCCTGCTGCTGGACTTGGCAAGTAGCAAACTCACGTCTCGAACTCGCGACGGCGACCAGCGTCTCCCATCAGTCCAACGCGTGATGCCTTCCTATGTATCATGACGGGAAGATACGACTGTCAACTTGGGCGGCGCTCGGGGTCGATCAGCAGCACACATACCCCAGATGAATCTGCAAAGGCATCCCGCTCTTCCCAGACAAAGACCGATCCACTGTGGATTTGCTGTCGCTCTCGGACGGATAGCCGCCGTGAGATTTTGGGAAGCCTCTGGCAATAAACGGCGTAGAGAATGACCTGTGCATCACGAATGGAATGCACGGCAATAGTAGTCGCCGTTGGCGACTGCACTGTATCCATGAGGTCGCCTAAGGTCATGCGGGGATGGGAAGACAGGTGTGTTGGTCAAGACTTTAAAAGAAGCGTGTGGAGGAATGAAAAGTGAACCCGAACTCTTTAGATGATTGGTACCGACGCGAGTATGGCTCAACACATATGCGACGACACAGTGTTGATGTGATGCAACCGGAGTCGGCAAGCATCACCGCGCCGTCGACCCTAATCTCTGGTACCCTAGTGAACAGTATTCGATTAAGATAGGCGGTAAGCGTGAGGCCGAAAATATAAAAGAAGCAGAAGCTACCGAAGCGCCTTCAAGCGTACCTGGTCCTTGGATAGATATTACATGAACTGGTGCTTCCTAGTGGCCAATGGCAAAGGGTAGAATAGCTCTCTGTATCACGGAGGAAGCCTCCTGTTGCTGAATTGAATTGACTTGCGCTAGTCGCCTATCGCAGTTCCGGGGTGCATAGCTTGTCTGGTCGCGCACGCCGCCGCTTCTTGAGATCTCGAAGACCTACCGGCGTCACGAGAAGTTGCTGAGGCGAAACATCCGAGTCAAGATGAGATCGTCGCACACGACCTCACAGCTCCCGACAACGCGGCTGAGTGCCCGGCACTTCGAGCGATGTCTTCGTCTTTGGCAAGGGACGAGATCGTCGATGGTGGCGGAGGTGAACCTGGGGCGAGCTTCCTGGAGTTCGCGACAAAGTGGCACGTTGGTCAGGGCTCCGCGCCGAGCGGCGAGACGTGGGCTTATGGTAATTTCAAACTTCATAAAGTAGTTTGACTGCCGTTTTTGCTCGAAGATATGATATAGCTCCCGTGCGCTTTCTCATGGTATCTGCATATCGCCAGGACATTCAGCATGTGGGGTCGTGCACTCGCGCCTTTTCGCTACTTATCTCGAAGCCTAGCCAGCTGACGAAGGCGTGTTGGTGCCCTTCGGCCCATGATCTCACTGGGTGAATGGGGCAACGTCAAGAGGTGTTGGAAGGCATGAAGCCACGCAGCCTCTACGGCATGCATCTTCGCTGTGAGTTTATTCCGAAGCGCCAATCATGCTCATGGTTTTCTGCAGGTGACTAGGGATTGTCGCGAAGACATAGAGACGCCATTGGCGCGATAGAACCGTTGTCGTATTCATTAAGTAACAGAACACACTTTGTCCACGCCGTATCCCACAAGACCCGCTGCCGGCAGATTTTGTTCCGCCGGAGCTTTCAGTCAGCGAAATGGCAGAAGAACGGAAGTCAAGTAGCACAAGGTATCGGAGCACGGTCAACTCGGGGATTGATCTCAAAGTTTTACGCGCCGCGATTACTGACACCAGCAGGAAGCTTGAATGCATCCGGCCCTCTTGCCGTCGAGTTGCGTCCACAAACTCGCGATTGGAGACCCGGCCGCTGACTGCACACGTAAAGTTGAAGGCAGAGTCAATGAAGCAGGTGCCGCATTCGACATGCATCAACACGTGCTAGATTGCAACCGGCATGCACTTCACGTGGAACATTCAAACGTCTCACTGGCAGGTCGCACAAAACAAACTTTACTCGTCTCCGTCCGCTCGCGGCCATTGAACGCCTTCACTTCCGTGTCGATGACGATCCACACAACCATGTGGCGAGCAACTGATGTTGCTATACCGGGGATCACGGTGCTTCGAGAATTACGTTGGCGCTGGAAAGAATCCCGCTCTGTCTCTCAGGCAATTTCTTCGCGTGCTTCTCCGAGTTATCCGTTGGTTCACGCTATCTGCATTTGCATTTGCTCAGAAGAAAGAAAGCGGGCCGGGTTTGTGCATTTCCCCTCGTAGGGACCTAGGACAAGCTTCATCATCAGGTTCATGCAACTTTATGTCAATGTTATTAATCATGACGTCGGCTCTTCCATCATTGATAGGTGTCTTCGTGGAGCTCCACGACACTGGCGAATGTTTTCCTAAGCAGTCTTACCAAGTAAGTATAATTGTCTCGCTGTCTCTGCCTACTTTGACGAATCATGACTATTAGTGTGCTGCTCTATCCAGGTCTAAAGTCGCCCATTCTTGAGAGAACAACAATATTGTAGGGAGTCCTGATAACTTTCTCAGCGTGGTGACCAAGATCTGTCCGAATGCTTCTCCGAACATGAGTTCTGCAACCAATTTGTCCAGGATTCAAGAGCACGGGCGTGTCAGGGCCCGCTTACGACGTGAAATTGAATGTTCAAACTCTCTTGGTCTTTGGTCCGTTTCTCGCACAATTTCAGCTGCCATTGCACTAATGCATCTTCTAGCGTACCAGCGGTGGCGCGGTTAATTCCACACCGACAAATTTTACGTCTAGGCAACTACATGCTGTTGAGGTTCCAGGACAGGCGGATCAAGCAAGAAACGTCCGTGCCCGAAGATGAACCGGGATGCTGGACGCCACTCTGAGCATTCCAGGGACCCCTCGTGAACGCCGGAGCATGCTAGGTCATACAGAACTCAGAAGAAGAGCCTTTTGCTTGGCGTTCTCTGGGCTGCCCGAAGAATTGACAAATCAAACTGTTCCAGGTGTCGAAGCAAACGCACCCTCGGATGGCTTGTAGGCAAGAGGCTGTATGGCATGAGAAAAGATATTGACAGCCTCGACCAGTGGTCATGATATCGCAGGTCAATGTGTTCGTATACATCACCGGATACTACGTTGAACCTTGAGCTTGATATTCAGCTTTTCTAGCTAGCTTAATAGGGCTTTACAGGCAACAAACACATTTATTCAGTTCCGCCGGTCAAAATTCGGCCATGCACAAGTTTGATTACGGTCTATACCAGCAGTGGCATACCGAGGACACGGATTCACGTGTGTTCCATCCCAACCTCTCTGACTAACGCCGAGGGTACCACGCGAGCCCCTCCCCCCCGACCCCGTGTCGATGCTAGCGCTGTTCCATACTGCGAACTTTGCCCCTTCCCCGATTGGGAGAGCCTACTGGCTGTTTCTAAAGCTTCTCGGCGCCGAAAATTATGGGCTTGAGACAATATACCTACATGCGCTGCCTATCCTCTCCACGGAGCATGCCACTAAATGACGGTTAACAATTTCACTTCACTTAGTCACTTATCCCTTACAAAAGTTACTTGTGGTTCACTTAAACCTTATTTTGGCAGCACAAGTGAAATTGTCGACGTCGGGCGCTTATTCTCACTTGTCTTCACTTATGCTCACTTGACACTTCCTGCATGTTGCCCGCTCAGCAAGTGAGTACAAGTGATCAAAAGTGAACGAACATCCGCAAGTCTCAGTGACCCCAACAAGGCCCCCGCCGGGCAAAATAGGCATCAGCAGTTGCGGTAAAGTCTCCGGATTTGTCCCTCTCCAGCCCTTCTGTTAACTGGCTGATTCATTATGCATCGGCCACATTGAATTCAGGCAGCTACTACGCAAATATTACAAGGCTGTGTTTTGCACCTGCCTAGCCCGCCATCGCCATCAAATCACCCAGTTTTCTACTCACCGCCTGGTGTGCGCCGACGCTGATGTACAGGTACGTAGCCTTCGACGATTCGTCTCGCGGTGGCCTGACTTTACTGTGAGTATTCTTGACCCATCACAGTAACAACTCACATCGCGAGCTAGACTGGCAACCGGAGCGAGATTTCTTGTGCGTCAACAGTTAGCATCGTGCTGTACATGCCGACGCTGTGCGTATAAATCCTGTGTATTCTCCTTGTGCTTAACGTGCCGTATCACTTGCTCACTGCATCACACTGTACAGTGCCATCTATACAATTCCCTTGCTGTTTGCACAAGTGAGTGCATGCGCTGTCAAGTGACGATACGTGAGTGTAAGTGAGCATAAGTGACCATAAGTGAGAGAACGTGAGGGAAGCTAAGTGAGCGAAAGCGAATAGACTTACCACATGCACTATATAGTAGTGTTGTCGGTGCATGTGGACCTCAATGAGGGATGGCGCGAGACCTGATGTTGACCAAATGCTTTGATGGAGGGTGATGCCAATCGCGAGAAGATGCTGAGGAATACTGACGTGCATTTCGGCGGCGCGGGTGTTAAGGCCGTATCGATAGGCAAGGAGGCCATCTTGAAGCCTGGGTATGAACCGCGCAGCTTACTGTGCAGCTAGATGGTCTCGATTGCCATACGAGTCAACGTGATATGTCCGTACAATGGTTGCTTGATGTAACGGAAAGCCATAACTTAGTGACAGAGCGGAGGACAGCTAAAAATGCACGTAAATGCCACTTCGAGGCTGTGTGGGTCGTACTCGTGATGAATCTGCCGCCATGGTGGACGACGAGGAACCGAGAGCGAAGCAAGAGAGGGTAACGTGCAGCAAGGAAGAGCGGTGCGAGGAGTAGGGAGGTACAATAAGCTATAAGTGAACGAGTAGAGCGTGGGAAAATCACCTACGTGAGCCTACGTTTTTTTGGGGGTACAATTTCTATACCGCCGAAGGCGATCGAAGATGTGTCTAAATACAAGTGTAGCGATGGACTACCAAAGGTAGGAGCGTAGGTGCAGTGATACATCATATCACGACCAGGGTAGAACCTATCCGGGGTCGTATGGAGTCAGGGAGGCCTTGGTCCAGGCATCACTATCTTGAAGGAAAGCGGCCAGGTCGAACTAGGCATCTTTGGAACGGAAGAGCGCAGGACTGCGGAGGGTACGGTGGGGGTGTTTGAGGTGGCGTCGAGCTTGGGTAGGATGTGCAGTCGATGAGCAGGTGGTCGCGCGTCTGCATGTTAGCAGTGCGGCACTGGCAGGCAATAGATTCCTCGTGTACGAATCGGTTATAGTAGCTACCGACGTGTCCATGTCCAGTGAGGAGATGTACGAGACGGCACTCTACTTGTCGGGTGTCATCATTCTCACGGAAATAACGATGCAAGGTAAGACTCGGCTCAGCCGTGACGGCTGCACGGAATGGGGATGGGTGTGCGTCTTTGCGCCAATCGCGCCTCCAATGATGGAGGGCTCTTATGCGAGCGTGGCTCTTGGCCCACACCAGAGAAGGTGGATGGATGGCCGGAGCAGACGAAGTGAGCCTAAGTGAGCCCTGCTTTATATTGCCTCCCACTATATGTGTACCGTTTGAGAACGTTGGCGACACGCAACGTAAAGGCGCTTACTGACTAAATCAGCTTGAGCAGTATACTATATGCAATGTGTTGCATACAACGGTGATTTTACCGGTTAGACGACAAGGAAGGGAACAATACTTTCAGAGTACACGCCCGCTCAACTTTCTGAAACGCGGGTCAGCATACAGTGATATAGACGCCCGACGGATAGACGCCTCACAGCCGAGCCCTGCAAAGCCGTTCCACCAGCTGAGGGCATCGAGCTGTGACACGAGTGGTCGTCCTTCAATTTACGGCCAGCTGAATCTTGTACCTTGCTATATCTGCTTATCAGTCCTAAATCTGACGCCTTTGCCGGTCAAACGCCTAGAGTCATCTCTGGGACGGTGGGAGGCGGCGGTCCGGATTCATAGTTTGAACTGAACCTCTGGATGCTGCAGAGCATCCGTTTCATTTGTATCAGTCCTCCCTGCACCCATTCCCCGAAGTCGAGCTTCATTCGTGCAACGTTTTCAACGTTCTCAAGACAGTCTACCTCGATGGCTGTCCAGCAACCACAATGGTCCCTTCCGGCTAGGAAATGCGAGGAGCCTATCTTGAAAGTGTACAATTCTCTCACACGCACCAAAGTCTGTCTTTGTTAGAGCCCATCTCTCATGTTCGGGAAGGTATCTGATCGACGGATAGACGGAGTTCGTTGCAACGAATGGGCGGCATGTCAAGTGGTATAATTGCGGGCCTACTGTGTACGATGCATCTCACATGGGACATGCGAGGTGAGCAGATTTGTCGATGCTTGTCTAGGTTTCTCCTAAATTATTCTTAGAAATTATGTGACTCAGGACATATTGCGGCGGATCATGACCGATTACTTTGGCTACGAGGTTCATTTCGTGATGAACATCACGGATATCGATGACAAGGTAAATAGCCGTCCCTATTCTTTTACAGTGACTTCTATAACGATGCTGTAGATCATCCTGCGAGCCCGCCAGAGTCACATAGTGGATCAGTTCCGCTCGAGCACAACGGAACTTTCGTCCAAATTGGCAGAGCAAATATGGGCCGCTTGGTCGGATTATGTGGATTCCAAAGTCAATAAGGGCCTACCCGAGGATGAAAAGCTTGCTAAGGGTGCAGAAAGGGCAGCCTGGCCAGCGCTGGCGGCCCGTTCACAGGACAAGGTGTGGAAACAGGATTGCTTGAAGAGGGACGAGAAGTTCGAGATGCATTTCACAGCTGCAGTAAGAATTTCTCTATGGCTCGACTCTGTTGCCAGTTTTCATTCAGCAACAATGTAGAGCCGTGCGTATACCGCGCTAGAAGCGACAGAGACATCCTTGAAGGCGGGCGAGCGGTCACAAGAACTCGCATGGCAATTGATTGATGAATCGAAGGATATTCTTGCGATTTCTCTGGACAAAGAGGTGAGTCACTGTCCGCGTGTGAGAAGTCTTCGTAACACTCGAAAAGTACGGTAGTACAGTCACGGACCATTCCATCTTCCGTTCGCTATCCTCCTATTGGGAGGCGCAGTTTTTCAAGGACATGCGCCATCTCCGCGTTCGTGATCCGGACACGTTGACCCGCGTAACGGAGTTTGTGCCAGAGATCGTCTCGTTCGTTGAGGGCATAGTGAAAAATGGGTACGGCTATGCCGTGGATGGGAGCGTTTACTTCGACACACGAACGTTCGACAAGTCGGAGGATCATTCCTATGCCAAGCTGGAGCCTTGGAGCAAAGGAAACTTGGAGTTGCTGGAAGAGGGTGAAGGTTGTATCGTCTCATTGTCATCTGCTCTCCCATCTGCTGACTCACATTCACATTCATCAGGCGCATTGTCTACTACGACAGATCGTCGATCTAATGCAGATTTCGCTCTTTGGAAAGCATCAAAACCTGGAGAGCCCTCCTGGCCATCGCCATGGGGCGCGGGACGCCCAGGATGGCATATTGAATGCTCTGTCATGGCTTCTGCCATCTTTGGAGACAATATAGATATCCATTCTGGTGGGATTGACCTGGCGTTCCCACACCATGATAACGAGATGGCCCAATCGGAGGTAAGTGTTCGCATTCTGACATCGTTCATGACGGCTGACGGCTGCCATTCAGGCATATCACAATTGTCCGTCGTGGGTGAACTATTTCCTTCACACCGGACACCTACACATCGAAGGCTTCAAGATGAGTAAGTCACTGAAGAACTTCATCACAATTGATGTATGTACGCCCGACTGTTCTAAATACATGTATAATGCTCATCACTGTCACTCGTCTTTATAGGAGATATTGCAGAAATATACTGCACGACAGTTGCGGCTCGCATTCCTGACTCAACTATGGAACGCGAAGGTTGACTTCTCAGAAGCGTTGATGACGGGTGAAGTTCGGTCTCTCGAGACGGCATTCAGTGTAAGCGCTGCATTTGTCAAATGTCCTCGCCACGCGTGTCATCGAGATCGATTTCAAAAAAAACACATATTTATTCTTTTGTAGAACTTCTTCGCCACGGCGAAGGCTCTTGTTGGCCAAGACGAAGCGGATGGATCCAGCTTAGATGGGAAGAACCGGTTCCGGGACGCGGAGCGCGACTTGACAAACACGTGAGACTCAGTACCGCTCATGCTAGACATCTGCTAATCCCGTGAATGTGAATGCATGTGTTAGTCTTCGTCAAAGTCAAGATGCTTTCCGTGCAGCATTGTGTGATTCGTTCAACACACCCGACGCCCTGAACGTCCTGCGAGAGCTGATATCTCGTACTAATGCGTATATCAACTCTCGTGGCAAAGATCTGGATATCGACGTTGTCGTCCGAGTAGGCCGGTGGGTCGGCGGGATGCTGCGCATGTTTGGTCTTGGCGAAGGAGAGACGAACGAGATAGGATGGGGCCAAGACCGGGACGCCGCCGAAGGCAGTATTAATGTACGTTCTGTGCTTCTCGGATCTCCGAGCAGATTGCTGATGACTGGATTTAGCGAGAAGAGGTTCTCATGCCCTACCTTCGGACGTTATCATCTTTCCGTGACGGTGTGCGAAGGCTAGCGATATCCAAGGGTGACGCAGCAATGAAAGACATCCTCGCACTTTCCGACAAGCTTCGAGATGCCGATCTGGTGCCATTAGGAGTCGCCTTGGATGATCAGGAAAGTTAGTATCGAGCACTTATGAATCTTCCAGATTTCTGACCGCTCTACGTATATATCAGACGGGAAGGCCCTTGTCAAACTTGTCTCACCGGCGGAACTCGTGAAGGCACGCGATGAGAAGCGCGCTCAGGCTGAGGCAAAAGCAGCCCGACAAGCGGCAGCGGCAGAAGCGGAACGGCAAAAGCGGCTTCAGAAGCTGGAGAAAGGGCGAGTTCCTCCGCAGGAGATATTCAAACCTCCTAATGTGCCTGAAGGCACCTATGGGAGCTGGGATGAGGACGGGATTCCGCTGATGGATGGACAGGGTGAAAAATTAAGCAAGAATCAAACAAAGAAGGTTCAGAAGGAGTGGCAGCAGCAAAAGAAGCTACATGACGACTTTTTGGCGTGGAAGAAGACGGAGCATTCATAACGCTTGGAGCGCCTCACGTTAGGCGAGATAGAGATCTTGTGCGACGCCCTCGACGGCGATAACAAGATTTGTTTGAGTGCAGTAGATCTATGAGAATTGCTTGCGATTACAAATTGCGCTGTGAATATCAGTCATGATAGCACCAAAGTACAGCACTGTGCACGTCAGGGTCGCTACCAGTCGCACGCGTTGGCCACAAGTCGTGCAATCCTCGTCAGTCCATGCTCGTCCTCCTCGCTAAATCCTCCCGGAGCGAGACAATCTAAATCTAATACTCCAACCACAGTTTGCTCCCCGCTCACGTCCACAATGAGAGGGCAAACAACCTCGCTCTTTGTTTCTCCATCACATGCGATGTGACCCGGATATGTTCCCACATCCCGCACGAGGACTGCGCTTTTCTTTAGAAATGCATCAGCGCACACTCCGCGCGCTTTTCCCGGTGTCGTATTTATGAACTGACATGCTGGCTTGCCGCAGAAAGGTCCCAGCAGCAGCCGATTTGAGTTAACCAACCTGCTCTCGTCTGATCGCGACCGCGTGATCTGTGGAGACGGGAATAGTTGCGAGATGATGTAAAATCCTGGAGGCATCGTGAAACTCGTTTGCATGCATAGAATAGCTCATTTTGTGCTCACCACACCAATTCACGGCCCTCGGTCCGCTCCCGAAATGAGCATCATATGCGAGCAAAGAGTTGTAAATCAATGATGAAGCATTAGCGAGGTTGGTAATCTGTCCTTGCAGTCAGCGATAATGCCGCAGCGTATGGTTGTCACTGAACGTACCCAATCCCTCTGCCCGTCGAGCAACAATTGTACTTGGTCATGCACATGATTCCAAAAAGCCGGTTGGTCAAGTCCGGGCGGTACGAGAGCGGAATCTGCGTGAGGCATTTACACTACTCGAGGACCTGAGCTTCGAGACTCGCAATCGTGACTCCGACAAGGTGGGAAACAAGATGACCAGGGGGCAGGAGCCGTCGACAGTGTAGAGATTGACCGAGGAGATCTATCAGATTAGATCACGGATGTATCCCTGATCAGCATTCCCGAATTAAGCGGTGGCTGTAGCCACTGCCAGCGGATTCCATCGCGTCGTGTGGGCGGTCTTCCACCTACTCTCGCATTCTCAATCTATTCCTTATCCTTGCCTCTATATACCTCGGGCCAGATGGCACCTTATCTCGAGACCGTCAAGGTCTGACCTGCTCTCTGCGTTGTCCTTGATTCGTATTGAGTTGGAAATCCAGTCATTCGCGGATGTCAAGGTTACCGACGCTGGCGTCGACACTCTTGAATTTCTTCAGGCTGCAGAGGGTGTAGTAGGTCTCTTTGGTATGTATTCAACACATACACGTAACATTGAACGCCAGAAGGCTTAGCCCGCATGCGCTGTAGATCTGCTTGGGTCCGCTGCCTTTACCGCTGTCCAAGCCGACCTCAAGGGTAACATCGTGGTTTGTCTCGGTTATTGTGATAAGGTGCAACCCCCTGATGTATCCAATGCTCAGAAAGTCCGCACTCGCTATGATGCGACTCCAGCTCAATCTGAGACTCTTGAGCTGCTTGTAGTTAATGAGAAGGGCGAGAAGAAGAGGACCGCTACTGAAGGACTCATGTGGCTTCTCCGCGGTCTTGTCTTCACTTGCAAGGCTATTCAGAATGCTCAGGCAAACCAGTCCGAAGAGTTATCTGTTGCTTTTAGCAAGGCGTATGACGTAACGCTCAAGAAGTATCATAACTTCGTTGTGAAGGGTATTTTCGCGGTGTGTCTGAGTTGCACGACTCTCATGAGTTTCCTGCCGTTCTGATGATTTATCACAGGTTGCCATGAAAGCCTGCCCTTACCGCGCGGATTTCTATGCCAAGCTGGCATCTGATCCTGCGGGCGGGCCCCCCGTTCCCACAGACCGGCTCAACGAAGAACTCAATACATGGCTGGAGTCACTTGAGAGCATCGTGACTCGCATGGAAGCATTCTACGAGAAGGGCGGCCATAACAAAGGGTTTTAATTCAGTTGTCTATATCAGTGCGTGTCATGACGGATGGTCTGTCAATTGTAATGCGGCTACGATAACGCGCAGCAGTGGGCGTGTTGGTATCTGCGCATTCGACATGCCGTAACGGAGAGACCAATATATTCGAGCCTCTGATAGTGATACTTCGGCATGAACCTAAGCCGTGTAGTTTGAGAGACTGCCCACAGAGACGGAAGTTTATACCCATTTGCACTGCATCATCAATTGTTCTTTCGTCACCCATATAAAGTGCCCTTGGCCTGTCAAGCTTCAAGCTTCAAGTCCCATAGCCTTCTTGATCGAACTTTACACGCGTTCCGTGAAGCATGTTTATCTGGACTTCGGGCCTGTGACTACTAAGCGAGTAAGTCGCATTTGGATATATTGACACACCAGATATGCCAGCGGTCTGCTTTCACCCCGAGTGTTGGCCGACTAAGTGTCATTTATATTCCAATATAGTTTGCGTGTACATCAATCACAACGGTGGAGTCTATAGAGTATAGGCCGGCTCGGATGACGACGAGAGTTCCTGATGTATCCTCAAAAGGAGTCTGTGATGAGATATTCCATGCCTGAAGGGCTGTACGAGCTTGGTCCATGCACTCGCTAATAACAGTTGGACAAGCGAAGTTGCCGGCACGCGGCATGCATGAAAGTTCAAGCGCTAAGCGCTAACGCTTCACGCGTACTATGGCAAGAGATCGTCTCTTGCCCAGACACTCAATGGGCACGCGAAAGACGCACCACCGTGCGACCATTGGGCCCCGAAACTGTGCACATCAGAAGAAAAGCCCAGATACGGCAATTAAATGGTTAGAATGCGCTCAGTGCCCTGATGATAGGTTGCTAGAGACAGGTAGCTCGTGCATGCAAAGTTAGAAATCCCAGCTCGTGATAACGGCTCGATACTGAGCCGATTTCCCAGATTTACCTTGAGGCATCCAATCCACGGTGCTCTCCACAAGGTTGGCCGGCAGACGCAGAGGTATTGACATTGACATGTATTTGAGGTACATGGCAAACAACTTGGCACAGAGGCGCCCACAAACGATATCTACTGAGGAGACACCGTGCTGTTCGCAATCCAAGTTGTTCACACGAATCTGGGGCTTCCCGAAGTAATTGTTGACTCCCCACGAGATCCGTTTTCCCTGGTTGAAAACAGGCTGGACGGCAAATAACGAGCAAATGGAATCTACGAAATCTTCACGCTGACCCATTGCGATCCCATGATATGCAGGCGATCCCAAGGCTTCCGCGATTTATCTATGTGACGAACCATCTGCAGCTGGTTACCGGTGGGGGCATTCCGTGAGGGGTCTAGAACTAGCCGGCGAACTCCCCTCTACTAAAGTTGGAATCAGCCGTGAGCACAAATCATCAAAATGCGGTCTGGCTATGCTCATATATGACCATGTTCATAAATTATTCATTTATTTTTCCAGAACCTCCTCCCAATTCACTGCGTAGACGGAACAAATCACCGCCGCACAAGTCTCAAAGCGGAAACTATTGCGAACCCACCGTGTTATCCCTCCTGCGCTCCACCGTTGGATTTAGTGTAGCCCGTTCTAGCCTATAGGAACAAGTATCTGATGGAAGACCGCACGTACGGCGGATGGCGCAGGATATGAAATAAACGAACGGTATCCAAATCCAATCTGACGCTTGCCGTAACTACGAACTCAAGAGATGTGGTAACGCTAGCGCAGGGGACCTGATGACCATATGGATGGCATTCTAGTTCTTGGCCGGCGAACAGCATGCCATGCAGGACTAGGTCGGAAGGTGTGGAGATCTTCAATGAGATGTCCGCATCGCAGCTTCCAAGGAACCGTGCTGGTGGCTCGTACCCCGCGCAAAGTGCGATAGCATTGGATACGGAAGACTGGCTAGATGGGGAGCCGAACAATATGAATTATTTTCGTTCCCCATACGACTATGTCGCGCATGTCGTGAGAATGGAAGTCGTTGCTTAGGTCGTTGGGTTCGAAGTGACGACACAGGGTTTGAGAGAGGAGAGCTCGCCCTACGGCGAACCTTAACTGACAGCCCTCCTCAGGCCGTGGCGGTGGTAAATAGTAAGTGGAACGCAGTGGCCGCCGGATCGCTACCGATACACACCTTTGATAGACCTCGAAGCACAAGATGGCGCGCCGTGAAGACTTCTGGACGCTACCGAGAAAATGCAAAACTGGGCCATGGCTATGATCCTCACTCATAAAGTGTCGTGCCACCCTGATATCGAGAATACAACCGTAAGAAGGTTCGGTACTTCCCGAAAACGTGTGCTCTGGCGATCGCGAGATGCGAGAGCGCAACCGGAGCATGAATTCAGAAACGAGACATATAAAGGTCTATTGCGCAGCAATACCAAGCCCGAAGCGACCATTTCTGAATTGCAGCGGGATTTCCGCCGGAAGACGGTGGCGCACCATGTGTGCGATTGTCCTAGATTTGGAAGGTTTGTGTGGCGGAAATCTAGCTCTTCGCATAGCTAATTTTCAATGGGATAGGAGACCATGGCACGCAATCTCGACTCTTGAGGGACACGTTCGCAACGAAATTCCCTCGTCCACCGCCAAGCAAGGGACCATTCATTGCCCACGATACAGTCGGTATGTTGGCCGACGAATCGATCCAATGTACATAAATGGATGACTCGCCTCTTTCTCCATTCAGTCATCCGTCTCGGTGAAGACCAATCTCGCCGAACGATATTTTAGCTACGTTGCACGATGACCTCGCTTCACGGTCGGAGACATTCTGTCCACCTGGATGAAATAAGACAACGATATGGTTTGCCTGGAATGGTCCGAACGACTTCAAAGAGCGGGTCATTGAAGACGCAATAGTTACATAACCAAGCTGAAGTACTGAAAGCGCCGGGAATAGTGATACACGCAGTATCCTGACCCCGAGATAAGCTTTGCGTACCTATAACTGCGTTGCAAGACTTCCCCCAGCATCATCAACTGGGGTATACGCATGGTGTGCTCAAGGCCACGAGCATCATGCTTGAATCGTGACGTAACTAAGGATATCCTGAGACATTTCGGAGCTGTCAACCGGATATACGGCCATGAAAGCATTATTAAAGGAGGCGATTGGTAGAATCGATCGGCAGGCTCCTCATTTAGCTTTATGACTACCTGGACCCGTCAGTCCCGAAAGGTTCTAATATAGTCTGCGAGAAGTTCAGTCTGAATTGACCTTGGCAACACTCCCAAGCTCGAATGGACGCATTGAGTATAAAAGTCCGAAGATGTTGGACCGTGGTGGAATGTAACAGAAGATGCTTTAAGATTACTCGAATGAGCATCTCTGTGAAGGTTGTTAGAGTGTCCGTGACGTATCATGGCCGGCGTCCTCGGTGTACTAGAGACGTCCCTTGTTCTCGGCATCAAACTAGGTACTGCCAGACACAGCTCTGGCCCCCTCTCGACGATGTTGAAAACTCACCTTTGATCAACCGCGCGACTTAGACAACCACAATGACCATCTTTCTCACGAGGTATAGCTCGTGAACGTTTTCGAGGAATTTCACAATCATCTCTCCAATCGTGAAGGATTTGCCCAGCGTCGCAAAAGGCCGAGTTGAATTGAATCTGACGATGGTTCGCGCCGGCGGGAGAATTCGGCCTTCCTGCTCAGAGACGAGTCATTCATGCAGCAAGGAAGTTTTGCTCAGGATGCTCGAAGGCAATGTGACACCTCGGCCGTTCCAACGAAGAGAAGCAGATTTCAAATCCGCGATTTAACTTTGACTCGAACACCGTGCTCCGTGTACGTAGCCGACACTTGTTGCCGGGTTCAGGTCTTTCTCAAAATTCAACTCAGTCGACAGCCCGCTTAATTGAGAGCGCAAACTCACACGGTGCGTGGTTCACATATTCGTCATCTTCGCTGAGAGTACCGGGACGAGTTGGCGCGGAGCGCCACGGAGTGTAAGAACTGTCTAAGGAAAAAGTGCATTCGTCGGGGAAGATTGGGTTTGCAGATTGCAATTTGAACAACAAGCTCTGTATTAATGATGCAAAATAATTACGTCTAAGATCTGACTGAATTCATACGAAGTTCTCATCCATTCTTACGTCGCAGGACTCCGCTCCACCATGGTTAGTCTGACAAGCCTCATTGATAGCTGAGAACTCGATCAGAATACGTTCCTGGGTGGTTAGAGGGGGCCAAGGCGCGTCAAACATGGCCGCACTATATAGTTGCAACCGCCGTCCGGTCGGCTCCCTGTGGTGTCTCCTCAACTGCCTCCCAGAGCTGTCGCAGCCCAGCCATGCAATCGCCAACTTGCACCCGTCTTCGCATCCGTTCAGTGCACGACGCGGAGGTGGTCCTCCACGCGGTTTTCCTCGGTCGCTTGCCTATGATCGTTCGCCGGCTCGACGACGAGGACCGAATGGCGTTGACGTCCGGGTGCATCTACGTGTGGGAGGAACGAAGTAGCAACCCACTGGAAGCGACCGGTCAAGAAATACAGCGGTTCACAGAAGGGCGCAGCTGGGGTCCCTCCCGTGCCCGTGACGTGCGTACGCTCCTCCATTTGTCGCTGCCCCTGCCCGCGCCTGATGACATAGCGTCCGGATGCTTATTTGCTGACATCCTTCTTGAAATGGAATAGGACTTTCTGATATACTACGAGAAGGAGAGTCAGGGTAGACCGTCCCTTTTGCTAAGGAACAATCTGATAGGGTGGGTAATCTATGACGCTTACGGAATTATCTGTCGCTCGGCTTCTAGTCGCGGCGCTCAAATTGTTCACTTTATTTCACGTCATACAGATGCTCCCCATTGGTAAAACAAACATATTCTGTTTTTGTCCATATTCCCGGGCAAAATCCTCGTAAATGGCATCTAAGTGGGTTTTTTAAGTTTTACGAGAGCGGAACATTCTTCTTACCACATCTCAGACGCATACTACACGCAGGATACGCTCGAACAGCTGCGCACCATCGACGATATCCCTCAGTTAAGCACCATTGAGGTCCCACCGAATCGCTATATCTGTGCCCGCATGGGCGGTGCACGTAGAGCAAATCGAGGGCTCACGCAGACACAACTGACGACTGCGAAAGATCATTCGCGCATAGCTTCTTCTCGAGCGGCCAACTGTTCACCAGATTCAGAGAGATCTTCTTCTCAAACTCCTAGCCCAGACAGTCCTTCATTCACAGTTCCGTCACCTCGCATTCGTTATCCCGTACAATATGTCGGAAGAACGGGCGACATAGTGCATTTTGAGGGTCGCCGTCTTGCCCCATTAGAGTTTCTAGAGAACATCTCCCCCAAAGCTCGTGATCCGGTCGACGATCAGGCACTCAAGTCTTTCAGCGGGAGGATGTGATGCGATGGACTCAGCACAAGGCCAGCTTGGAGCTAATGGACAAAACACTTACTTAAAGTTTGTAGCATACATATGGACTCTAAGGATACATACGCCATTTATTCGCTTCAAACGGGGACATTACCGGAGACCGGGTCATTCTGTAAATGAAGTAGTAACTGAATTTCTGGCGAAAGCCAACCGCATCACCACCGATTCCCCGATGTGCGTCCGTGTCAATGTTCTCGACTCTTCCTCGGCTTACGCATCCCCCTTTGCAGTCTGTGGAATTAGAGCGTTCGTTATATTATTCGTGCTCAAATTGAATACGAATGGAATCGGAACTATCTTTTAGATCCGACAACCACACATCACCTGAGACGAAAATCTGGCCTCGAAGTAATACAACAGACTTAGGGGATACCTCAAGCTAAGTCATTACTTTGACAACTTCTATAGCGACAGTCGTGCTAATGAAGTGTTCCCGATGCCGGTCAAGTATGCGGCTGCTGAACTGGTCTCATGGTTTAGCCATGTGGACGCGGCGACTCGATGAGTGTCAAGAGGATCGTAAATCGCCGATTAGCAACAGTGAAGATAAGCAGGCAATCTTCGACTTCCAATAGGAATCAAAGTGGTCTTTCAAGATTACAAGGACAGCACCCGTGCCGCGGCGAGGGTGTGATTTGCTGAAGACAAACGGGAATGTGAGAGGACCAGATCCGAGTGACCGGCTCGAGCCATGAGAGAAAAGATCCCCTAGCAGCCTGCTCCGCCCCGCAGAAGTCCTGCAAACAACGCGGCGCTGCGCCTTAGCACAGGTTCGTTCTCACGATGCCAACGGGAGTGCCATCGATTGCACTAGCTATTGCAAGCGGCGGCGCTGACATACCTTCACAATGATGCCGCCAACGCTTGTCTATCGTGTTAACTCAGGCAGTTAGGCAGCGCATCGTCCATCTAACAAGGGTTTTCTGGGCGAATGCGAGTGACGGCGCCCGAGAAGTGCTTCTGGCCTCGAAACGGATGAAATCCTTATCAAACACGCGTCCTAGAGCGCCCAATTTCGAGAGCTGGCCATACACTGATGTGTTAACAGTCCAATGTACAATAAAAAGGGTGCGCATGCAATTAATGATCGCAAAAATACATACCGCATATATAAATGATCCAGCGCCAGAACGACGTCGGTCAAAACAGTGAAATTAATTTGGAGCGAATCTACGTGCAATGTTATTCGAGGGTCCCACCACAGCATATGACCGATAAAGCAGATAGCAGACCTCAGGACCTCATGACAAGTCAGGTGCCCTTTGGGGACGTTCAAGCTCCCACTTTGGAGAAACTGTCGCAAGCGCCGGAATGTTAGCACTTCATTTGTGCGATTCGTGCAGGCACGTATTGGGTGAAAATAAGCCCGTTGAGCCCAGCATAGCTCGGGATTACACGGCAAACCATGGCCGTAAGAGTGCAAATGACCTTGACCCGGTAGCGGTGAAATTTATACGCGTCACGATAGAGGTGGCGCAATGACTTAATCCACGTGAAAGGGACACAGCTGAATCACATCGTATTGCATTCAGATCGCCTTCTGTCAATGCTCTCCTAGAGCGTGTTCCAATTGTGAGCCCAGGAATGCTGCTACTGCGTATGTCTTACGCCGCCGCTGCTTATGTGCATGGCGTCCTAATACATGTATGAGTCAAAGGAGGAAAATCGCTCAGATGTCACTTTCATGATTAGCCTGGGAAGATGCTCACTTATATTCGGCGTCACAATCCCGGCTCATTGAGAATGGCAGAGGTATGCAACAGAGGAATGCAACAGAGGAAGACAACACGGATTGTAGGCGCCGGGGCAGTGCCGCTGGGTCATCTTGAACTGGTTTTGCGAAAGGGGATGATTATTGAGAATACTAAAAATGTGGCGCACACCAAGTCACTGGACACATTTGCAAATAACAAAGCGTCTGCAAATCATCTTGAAACAACGTGTTTCTCTGAATTACCAATTTTTCCTCACGGTGATGGGGTCCAGTGCAGTCTGTAGATATCGGAATCAATCGTCGACCTGCGCGCTCCCGGAGCACATAGACTGGACCTGACAAACATGAGGCACGTTGAGATGCCGGACCGTCGGCTTGGAGCCCAGTAGGAGAAACTGTGGGCTGAATGTTAAGTTTGGTGAGGCAAGAGAAGATCAGGAGAGCACTGGGGAGATTTACATCGTTGATGGAAGCGCTAAAGGTTGCCATGACAAGACATTGAACATTATCTCTCGAAACGCAAGTCTACGCCTTTATACGGTCATGCATAAGATCGAGACTTGCCCATCTCGCTCGTAGTATCTTTGAAGCAAACCGCCGATATCCGATTCCCGAGGATGGAAAGGATAAAAGTACAGTGGGGGGTTTGCTTGATTCCAAGAAAGTTAAAGTTCAGTCGGAGATCCTCCACAAATCCCAGAATTGCCGACTGCAGGATCATTGATGTCGTGAGTGACACCTTGAGAATATGAGAAAACGTCCATTGTTCTGATATCAGATTACTGTAAGTTCGAACGGCATGCAATGCACGTCGGGAGATCAAGAGAAAGGATTTGTGTACGCCGCGGAAATCAGACCAATAATAACGAATCATGAACTGATAATTCACGTACTATGTCCAGCCGTTCGCCTCGTGAAACGGCTACCTTCGGCAATGGTTCGGTGACGGCGACAGTGAGTTTGAGCTTCCGCAGAGGTTATGAGGGGTAAACATAGGAGTTGCCTGCAGTTTCCGATCGAGTACAACGTGAACAAAAGACGTCATGAATGGCAAGGCATGCACCTGAATGAGTTTTCATTACTCACCGGTCAGTTCGCATCTTGTCCTCGGAGCGTACACATCAACGGAGGATTGGTGTAGAAGGTGGGCGAAACTCGCACTCGGGGACAATGGGCCAGGTATGCAGCAAAATTTGCTGAACCAAAAGAATTTATGCACTTGGTGAGCCTTGTTGCCTGAAAACCATCCTGCGCTAAGTTTTCGAGCCCAAGTGAAACCTCGAGATGATATCAAGATATTTGCGGAGGACTGTTGATAGACTCTTTGGCCGATGTCTTCAGGAGGAAATCCAGTACAAAGCAAGTGCCAGCAGAAAGCCACGTCCCTCGTAGTTGACCTTGATAACGGTAAGATGATAGATTCGCCTTGACGACAGGCAGAGTCATTCCTGATAGCGATTGATAGATACCCGCCGATTGCTATGGAAAGCGACCGGCCCACAGCTTGCCCCTCGACGACTCTATAATCCCTTTCGCTGCTAGGCTCTGAGATAAACGTATAACGATATAATGAATGACTCACTAGGACAATTTTCGCCGCAGCGAGCCCTCGGCGACATGGTGACTCCAGCGCTGTCGAGTCAAAATCAGTGGGATGAAACATACGGCGACTGGATTGCCGCAGATTGAAGCTCGGTGTGCGCGGGTCTGCATAGACGACTGTCATATATTTCACCTCTCGGTAGATGCTGTTGACGGCGGGTGTAGATCGAACTGCCACGATTGTCAGCCTGTATGCTCTTGCGAGCCGGCTTACGAATGGAACTATCCGCAGAACATTGCCACGCAAAAGCGGTTTTGGCACGCGGCAATTCGCATATGTCTGAACTTAATCCAGGAAATTGGCTTGCTGTCGGCACAATTATGTCATCGAAGTCAGTGCAACTGAACAGATATCAAATGCGGAATCAAGGAGATGAAACCGCCGTATTGTCTTGCAGAAACATCCACGACCTGTCCCAGCGATGTTGAGCCTCAATACATCTCCGAATGATTCCGTTCTGGGCATAAACCTGTCGATGGCCAGTCTTCCCTACAATTCACCACACTGGGACCGAGGTCATCGGCTCGGTTCCAACTTTGAATGTCCGTTGATCCACCAGTGCGTGACACTGAACTCAGCCTACTGCGTGCGGCATCGTGGGCTCTGCGATGTGGGTCTGGTGCTGAGCACGAGAACGTATTCCTGTGACAAGGTTCAGGAACCTTCGGTCAGAAACATACCTCCACAAGCATATGCTTTGATTCTTAGAACATCCTGCTCGGCGAATATCTCCGCCTCCATGCAGCATCATGCTCCAGTCGACTGTGTTCGTTTATGTTCGAGCACCAGTAGAAACACTGCAGAAATAAAGCATCCAACAGAGTATAAAGGAGGACTTCTGCTTCCCAGGAAGAACGTGCCGCAGAGGCCCTAGGCCCGGAAGCACTTTGAACGTCAGATTTTCTCGCAGATCGCGCGAGAACCGTCATTCGGAACCTTGTTCCCCTACCCAGTCCCCTTGTTCTTCCATTGGTAAGCAAGATATGATATTGTTTGTCGACGCCTATGAGCTATGGCCCCGTGGCAGTATGCCCTGCCCTGGCACATATTCCTGGGGCCTGGGCCCCGTTGATGATCTCGCACAAGCTCGCAATGATGTGCTATGACTAGCATGGCATGAGCTGGATGGCTGCTTTCCGCCCTTCGCACATCCTGGGCGCTCGACGGATCTTCGGCTGGTTCCGATACAAATCGGAAAACAGGCAACATGGCCCAGGCTTGCCGCAGCATGCGCTACGATGCTTGCGGTTTGGATTTCCTCGCAGGTAACGGCAGCTGCATCATAGGTGACGGTTCTAGTTGCGCGGTCCGCAACGGAACGGGGGCCGGATGTACGCGCTCATCAGCTGCATACGTCGTGTTCCGCACATGCGTTGTCGTGCTCGCAGAAGCATCGAGCGTGCGGTTAGAGGTACGACCTTCGCGCTGCCGCAGGGTACGTGATCCAAGAGGTAAAGATGGTACGGCCGCCATTTCCACGGCACCCTCGATAATGTCAGCGCCGCGTGTACGGATGACGGCAGGAGAGCTGGGCCTAGGCAGGAACGCACTACGACGACTCTGTGGATCGTCGCCCTGAGAGATCTTGCCTGCAGACGACGGGATGCCGACATCCTCCATTTCATGGCTCCATTCTAAGTCGTCGCTCTGTGTGGATGCAGTCGCGCTTGTCGAATCGGTAGAAGGCCGTCCAAAAATGGTGTTCCGAACCGAAATACTCGCGCGTATGGGCGTGGAAGTGAAGAAGGAAGCGAGATAGCCATCTCGCATGTGGATGTAACGAGAGGAAGGTGTAGATGTGTGAAGTGATACAGACGAGGACGGTGATAGGGGAGAAGGCCGGGATGAAGATCCGTCCTCCGTAAATAGACCGGGAAAAGGCTGATGAGAAGTTGCGCCGTGCGAGAGACGAGGGAGAGTTTGTGACTTCGATACGATGTGTGAATCATTTTGTATACTCGACGGTGGTGGAAAGAATGAGAGCTGAGATGCGGGTACGCGAAGGATAGTGACCTTGCTGCGAGCATTTGATGTTGAAGAGTCTCTGGGCTCGGCGGATTCCCCGTCATTGTCTATAACTGATGACTGAGCATCTATGTCTAGGGTCGCGACACGAAAACGACTTGAGCGACGTGCTTTCTCTAAAGGTATATAGAGCACCTTGCGGAGGTGAATGGTATCGGATGGCCACAGCTGATTGGCACGGCGGAGATCTGGCAAAGAGATACCGTAGTTGAGGGCTACACCGGCCAAGGAGTCGTTCGGCATGACCTGTGTCCGGATAATTCGAGCAACAATGACATCGAATGATATTCAATGAGTACTTTTCTAGAAACGATAACATCGTGAATACCTCGTGGATAAGTACCACCTTCTCCTCCCTCCTCGCGCTACTTCTCGTCTCTTCACCAGCCGTACAATCGTCCCGCCATTCAGATGTGGCCGACGTATTCTCTTCGTCATCCAGCAACTTCTTCAGGTGCGGACGCGTATCATGAGGTGAGAACGAATTGCTATTGCGCTTCAGACCGAGCATGCTCCCGGTCGCCGGTGATAACGGGTGAACGCTAGCATGACCATAGGTACCATCGTCTGTTGTTCGCGACCTTATATGCATGCCGGACTGTGGGTCGTAGTCACCCCTTGTCCTCCGTGTAGGAGCATCCGAGCCTCGCCGTCTCATCTCCGGACGCGTCTCCTTCTGCTTAATTGCGGATGTGAATGACGTCTCTGAGTGCACAGCCCATGGGTTGGACATGACCGATGTAGAGTTACTTGTGAAATCATCTTCTAGTATCATATGTTCAAGAGGACTTGAAGTAATTACTCGTTGCGATTCCGACGAGAAGGTCACCGCCTCAGCTCATATATACGGTGCTAGTGTCGGCAGTTCAGTCAGCTTGTAGCACATTCGTGAAAGACGCGTTTGCGCACGTACAGGATCCTCAACACGACTATGTGTTGATTTCGGATGTGAATAGCAGGACCAATAATAAGATGAATTACTTCCAAGCTCGATGAATCCGCGAGACGACCAGCTTTAGAGGTTGGATACGTAGGCTCGCTGATGAGCTACTTCAGTTAGAACTCCGCCGGCTCCGCTTTAGCACCGAGAACTCAGCGCGTCGGCTCGGCACTCTCCGCTTCGGTTCGATTTTTCGCGCTGTAACAAGATAATCGGAAATACAGCACGCCAGATTTGGTCAGAATCAGACGGTACTGTATATACCCATGTGTAGTAATTTAGCGATCAAAATCTTCTTGAATAGCCTTTCCAAGACAATATTCTCAAGAAGCATTTACTCTGGAAACAAAACCCAATGGTGGCACCGTGGCTGGATTCAATCGAACCCCCGCTCTAAACTCCGAAAGGCTCGCATGGCAGGATAACTCCTACATAGAATGCCCACCTCAAAGGACTTCATCTTTCGCTAAGTTCTTCGTCTCTGTCGCCCAGAATTTGGAGCATTTCCATAGTACTTATTCTAAGTGCATACAGCAGCTATGAAGTGTAGATAGAGGAATCAAGGTCATTCTCCACAATATTCACTCGAGTAGAATCAGATAAGCAGCAGTATGTGAACTCATTTTGCTGTAGACTGATAAATAGGGTGTGTAGTCAGATTTGGCAGCTGGGTCACCCCTTGTAAACGTTGAGATTTCTGCTGATCATGCTTAACAGTCACTCGTGTGGGTAGCTGTGCAATACGGCTGCGTCAGGCAAACTTCAAATTTGTTTCCCTCACATACTGCTTTACCGTATGGATATCACAGAGAGCACTAGTATCTGAACTGTGGGTACAGATATATAAATCTATTCCACAGTATATTCAAGAGCGAACAACCGCCGCACAGCGGCGACGACGATGCGCGGCAACGACTCGGAGGCCTGACGCGAGCGCTTGGTGGTTCTCCATGCGCGCTTATTGTCTCCCTTCCATATAAGGAAGTCAATATAGGCAGCTCTTGTAATTTGTGGCCTTCCACAGATTCGGCCACAATCCTGCAAACAATTCTATTCCCCCGAATTCTGGATATTAAACAGAGTAAATCAGTGGGGAAACGCGCCAACGATAATGTCTTCTAATGGATGCCGGTCTTCCTCTATTGACATGTCGAACCTTGCCATTCACTGTCAGGCACGGCCTTAGCATTGTGCGTTCAGGACCGGCTAGAACAACATCTCGACGCACTAGAGCTTGCGACGTCCTAATTATACTTTTCTACGGATCTCGGACAAGGTGAGAACCGGACCCATTCACACATTGGGACGCCCAGGGCCTCACACATGTCTATGTTTCACCAGAATCTGACTTCTCCCTCTCCCCACAGGGTCACTATTGGATTTCCGATACGGTTTGAAACATATTACTTTCCGAGAACGCTGTGATAAGCCACCTTCTAAAAGGGTGAGTACGTACTATTTCGTCAAAGAACCCTCATTCCGGAGCAGTGATCTACATCGCCGCATTTGCATGGGGACTGTATGTATGGGCCGCCCGCAGTGGGACATGTACACGGCATAATTTGACTGTGTAATGTTCTGATCTCCTTGACAGATTCCCTGACAATCGCACTCATGATCCTCGCGAAGCCGCCCATAATGTGCCTGGCATCAGTGCTGAAGCTCGAAGCCCAAGCTTCAGCCTGAGCACGTACGCATGTTTCGCAGATCGCCTCCTCGTTCGCCGGCACGACAGTAATGCGGCGTCGTAAGTGAAGAAGGACACATAGGAAGCATCTGTGCATAAGGTGACGCTAGTATCGTAAAGAGCTTCGACCGAACCATTTTATGTGGGATACAGTTGTTTCTTCGGGGTGTCAGCGGGACCTGTAAGACGGGGTGAAAAGACAGGCGCAAAGTAGACACTGCTACCATAACGGCAAGAAGAAGTGAATAAAAACGCGCAATTAATTACGCGGGATGAACAGTGAGAGGATCTGCGACGCTGGGTCCTGGCACGAGTACTTCTTTTCACTGCTCCTTCTTCCCCCCCTCTCCGTCCTCTCTACTCCTCTTCGTTCCCGCCACGAGTGGTGCATTCGTGCCCGAGCCGACCTGCTGCTGGACTGCACTCACACCTGTGACGCCGACGACCAATCCTTTCAGCCAGCCGTTCTCTCTCCTTAGTGCCTCGCACTCTTTTTCCAGCTCGCTCACGCGCACTTCGAGCTCTTTCGCCTTACGCTCCAGCGCTGCCTCGCGCTCCTTCTTCTTCAGCCGGAAGCGTGCGGACGCAGCGGTGTTCCGCCGGCGCTTGTCCTCGGCAGCGGCCAGCGGCGTCCCAGGATCCCTGTCATCGATCGGGCTGCCTGGCAAAGATACATCTTCAGAGAAAGATGAGCGAGCTGTGCGCACACGCTTGAGAGCAGATGGAGATGGTGCTTGCTCCTGGACCTGCTGCGATTGTGCTGGGGGGGTCGACGATGGAGGTTGCAGATGAGGAGGGAGGAATGACGCGGCATGCAGTGACAAAAGCTGCGCGATCGAGTTGGCATTGGCAGTTTGCTGAGCGGCGTGCTGCGCAGGAGGGACGAGGAACGGATCCATCCCGATACCCGCAAGAAGACTGCTGATATCCAGGGGCAGCTGCATTCCTGCATTGGGAATGCCCTGAGCGGGATTGGATGGAGCGCTGTGCGCGACGCCGGTGGGAGGAAGGACGGTTCCTGTCACAACATTCTCGTGCGCACTCGTCTCTGCGATCGCACCCTCCTGGTCGTTGTAGCGCTCCAGGTCATCCTCGCTTGCGTCTGCAGAGTAACGACCCTTGCCATCCAAGCCGGAAGACTTTTGCGCGCTGTTATCGAGCGGCAGGCCGAGCGGCTCGTCGGACTGGAAGTGGAGGTTCGTCCAGAGGTCGAGCTGTGCGCTAAGTTCGGGAAAGGCTGGCAAGGAGAGGAGATCAGCGTCAGAGAGGAATGATGGCGTGGCCGGGGGTGAGGGTTGGACAATATTGAGACCCTGGAGGTGAGATGGGGCCATGGTGGTGTCGTGCTCAGTGCGTCAGATGGTGTGCTAGTTCGCGGGGGGTGGCAGCGCGGTCCACCTTGGATATGTTGACTGCACAGATGGGGATTGTCTGGTGTCGCCGGGCAGGAGTAGTTATGCAAAGCGGGGAGACATGCAAGGGGCGAGTGATGGGATTTGAGGAAAGCTGCCTGGGTTGGGAGCGCCGTTCGCAAGCGGCCAGGTGGGGCCAAAAGGAGAAGTTTGATGGATTTCCGCGTGACTAATCTTGCGTCGGTCCGGCACTGTGGGCTCAATTCGGAATACTCGTTTCTTTCTCTCACTCCCTCGCTTGAAGCTTTGGACATCAATTGCGCAATGCATCCTGCGCCCATCATCCCCCGCACTGCTGCATCACGGATGCTCCCAACCATCTTGCTCTGCGTCTCCAGACCGTTGTGGCCTCCAGGCGTTGAAATTTTCGTCGGGCGGCTGTTCGGCCTGGAGTCAATGCGCCCGACTTTATATGTAAGCGTCGTGAAACACCAAGCGACGTGCTCGGATTGGGCAAATCGATTAGTTATCTAGAGCTCCCACTTCCCGCTGGACCTGCCAAGAGCGGAAGTCGGTTCCTTATGATCCCGCTTAAGCCGGCTTCCCACCTCCAACTGATAAACGAATGCGTTCACCAGCGACCAAGAATTCCATATTCACCAACCTCGAAACGACATGGTGTATGCTCTGACTGCCAGCGCACTCGCATACATACGCTCTATCGGCACCTCCTTCAGAGGGATAGCGGGAGCGGCAATCGCGAGGTGTCAATTGGACGACGGAACCTCATGGTCGCCCGCTTCTGGCACGTGAACGTTATAATAGCGGCATGCCTTCCCGACCTGTCCCAAGGCGGGTTCTCAAGCCTCTAGCAGACTGGCAATTAGGCCCATAAATGAATAGGTCAGCCACATGAGCATTCTAAGGAGTCATCCGGACGTGCGCACAGCATGTTCATCCGTCCGAGAAGATCTTCAGCTTGTAATATCAGAGCCAATAGTGGTGAACGCACAAATACCATGCAGTAGAGGTAGCATTCGTCTTCACGTTGGGCCGACGCGCGCTCCCCAGTCAAAGACGCTCGAGTTCCAGAAGCCCCTGCGGATAGACATCAACGTTCTCAAAGATACACGGGAGCGCTCCGGAGTCGAAGTGTTCGGGAGAGTCTTGCTGTTCGGAATGGCGGGAAGCGAATCGCGAGGATGACAATAGACGTGACCTGTATCATAAGCGACTCTCAGGTAGAGTACCTTGCACGCCGCGGGCGACATCGGGGACGACGACGCTGACGTCAATGATATTCCCAAGCAGCATCCACGAGGATAGCAGGGCGTCGCCCTTGGCTATTGTGGGACTGTTCAGGTACAGCGGTATTGTTCGGCGTAGTGGTGGAGCTTGACGACAGTCGACATTCTTCTTGCCCACACCAGCAGCTATGATATCCGATATCAGGACGGAGGAGCGAGTGCGAGCTCTAGAGCTCTGTTGGTGCATACTAGGACCTTAGGAATTCGTAATGCGTCCTGTTTTATAGATGCGACGTACCCACTGACGTAGTGTCTAAACTGCTTGCAGAGAGGCTAAGTTCAGCTATTCGAGCGGCTTCCGTACTGTGTTGCGGGTCGAGAGTGTTCTACTCGCCACCATAAACATGAAATCGGGGTCGAGAATAAGGTCCGTGCTCACCGTATGCCACGGTCGTATATTTGAGACAGGTCCATCTCTGATATTGTCGCGTTCGCCGATGGACCATCACCGCGGATGTCAAGCTCAAAAATGATTTACGATAACCACCCGTCAGATAACCACAGCGACCGACACAGAGGGCGCATCAAGTGTCGAACACACCAGCGAGGTGCAGTCTAGATTGCCATGCAAGCAGGAAATTGCCGTGTCGTCACCCCGGATGTGGGGATGCCCGTACTGTACGGACTGATCTGATAATCAAATAGCGTAAATGCGGGGTAGACATGATCTCCTGCTTTCGTTCAACAAGTGCACATACGTGTAACTAGGCCGCCGCCAAGCACTGCACGGAGGCTTTGTGCGCTTAATGCTCGATCGCTCAACCTGGCATGCTTGTCGTCATTTTCCTAAAGCTTGATGAGCATCGCTTTGGAACCTGCGCATTAGCGCGTCAGGAACGAGTGGGCATTTGAACACATGTCAACAAATATACGAGTATCATCCTTGACATTCGTGTACAACGTCACCGCCGATGGAGAGCGCTGACAAGATATTCAATGCAGTGATACAGCGTACGCAATTCGACAATTCGGAATTGAGGCCACATTCCGAATTGTGCAGGCAGGCACTATCTGTAGCTGCCGTCAAGGCACGCGTTTCACCGCGACACAAGCGAGATACACTCACCGACGACAGCGCAGCTAGCACAACAGACAACGTTCTGGAAGCCAACGGCAGCCACTTTGATCTACCGCATTTCGGAATGCTTCGGCATGTGTTGCATCAGAGAATGACGGTGAACAATGGATAGCGCAGCTTGCGATGATACGACAATGAAGTAATGCCTAAGGCATGATGCTAGCCTGCAGGTGTCGCCGAGCGTAGCATATGGTTATGGAGACATGGCCAGTGAATCGTCGCGGTGGTTGGCTGCTGTTGTCGAAGGACTCGTGAGAAAACAGAGTAGGCGCCCACATGAAGCGCCGGTGCTGACTAACCTGCCTAATTTAGTGGTGGCCATGCCCGAGCGCTGACCAGACCTTGCTCTGCCGTCAACCACAACTCCGTCTTCAACCTGCTGAACACAATGGCTTCAACGAAAGAGATTACCGTGCCGTTCTTCAAGAAGAAGGGTAGGGGCCGTCCGACAACAGCGCGAAAGCGGTCCCCGTCACCACCGCCGAGCGCGACGACAGTTTCTGTGCCTTCGTCATCTAAATCTGAGGTTGTCCTACCTTCAAAGAAACAAGCAGCGAATCTCCTGAGTGCAGGCACCAAGCGTACTGTCTCACAAAGGCAGGATGACGAGTTTGGCGAGGACGAGCCTGAGAAGGAGGGCCCCGATGTCAAGTGGACAGCAGCCGACTCGCATATGAACGCGGCTCTGGAGATTTTGCAGGGTGACGAGGCACAGGAGTTACTCGCTAAGCGGCAACGCAGGGAGAAGGGCGATGAGGATGAGGAGGACGTGCCCGACGACGGGCTGTACCGCGGTCAGAAGGCTTATGCGAGTCACATCAAGAAGAACAAGGAGGTGCCGAAGGCGATGCGAGTAGGCCCACAGCGGGCTTCGAACAGCACCATCCGTACCGTTACGATCGTGGACTACCAACCTGACGTGTGCAAAGACTACAAAGGTGAGTCACGGCATTCCATTCGTTTCACCGGCGAATTCTGACCACATTGGCATTTTGACAGAGACCGGATATTGCGGTTATGGCGATACGTGTAAATTCTTGCATGACCGGGGGACCTGTGAGTATACACATCGGTTGTTTTGGGTGACGTTACTGATGACGGGGCGCGACAGACCTTGCCGGATGGCAGCTCGATAAATTGGCAGCCAATCCTCAGAAGCAGGTGGAAGACGTTTCAGATTCGGATTCGGATGAAGACATTCCATTTGCATGCCTAATTTGCCGAAAACCATATACCGATCCCGTCGTCACTCGGTGCGGGCACTATTTCTGTTCCGCATGCGCGATCAAGCGCTTCTCCAAGACTCCGAAATGCGCCGCCTGTGGGGCCCCAACTGCCGGCATCTTCAATCGTGCTGACAAAGTCATCGACAAGATAAACAAGACCCGGGAGCAGGCTGTCGCCGACGAGGCAGATGGCGGGAATGACAGCAAGGTCGTTGAAATTGAGGGTCTCCAACAGGATGGTGACAGCGAGAGCGGGGAAGACGACGACGACGACGAAGATGATTGAGAGGACTTCGCAGGGGAATATGCATGCCTGTCCATCATGTTGGCAGCGTGATGCGTACGTCTGGACCATGTAGATCGGGACGCAGAGTTCATCGGTTGACCATCGTGCTGTTTCGTAGATTGTTGCCATTGCTCCTTCCCAGTATGCCCGAGGGGAGCGGACGTCTAGCTGTCCGGACGCACCGCGAAGCTGTTCCGTCTTCCAGATCATCGAACTTCTAGGAAAGTTCGAGCCAGCAGGTCATTTCTGCGCTTTTGAGCTGCTATTCGGAAGAGCAATTGAGCGCACATGCCCGCCCGACGTCATTCTTTGTACAGCCGACTTGTCCTGCACAGGCACCAACTATGACGGCTCTGGATCCCTACTAGAAAACGTCTGGCTGCCGAAGCCCGCGGGGACCCGAGGACGACTGCTAAGAGCGAGGAACTGTCAGGCTTCGGACGTAGTGAATATGGTCCCAAACAGAGGGAGTCGGTGTTGTGTTCGCTATGTTAGTGACTTCTGGTCTTGTGATTACAATGCGCTAGTTGCGGGTGACAATCGTGCGAGTCCATTTTGTTATTGTAGTAAGGCCGTACCCCGCGTCCGCAGAGACACGACTTCCAAGCAATGTCCGATCGTAGTACTGGCACACCAGCCTAGCGGTGCACCTAGCCGCTGCAATCGGCCCTCAAAGTTGGCATTCCTGACACACAGTGCCTGCTCGGTCCTGGTGAGTCCTCATTGAACGTTGCATCAGGCCTGTCGGCCACTTTTACCTAAACAACGCTTGCGTCCGCTTCTATCTGCGGCTGCATCAAGTTCCGTCAAATCGCTACGAGCCAGGCCCCACAGCGGAGAGATCGTTCTAGTACGAGGTCCGTCGTCAGCCCTTGTGCTTATCCGAAAGTGGTTCCATGAAGCGTTTGTTCCGAGGGCCCCCTTCATCAGGCAGACTACCTCTCTTGTCTGGAAGGGGTCACAGCTTCAAGGTGTTGAGTCCGGGAATGGGTATATATTGCGATTTTCTCGGACAAATTCCCTGTCATCTGAGCTTCGTTTGGGAGGAATGACATGCTTAGATATCGAGGCCTAGAGCTCGTTCCTCTCTATCCGGCTCGAGATCATCCATCATTCGACCGCAGTAATTTACGCAATTGATCGCGGTTGGCAGTGAAATTGGGCCGAGGCAGTCCATCTGAAGATCAATGAATTTCGGAGATAATTTATCTCGTTAATTGCTGCATTACAGAGTGCATTGTAGTATGAGCAGCTCACCGAACTCAGCAAGGAGGGCATCACAGCATTGTCTGTGCATGCTACTCGGAACAAGGAACGACCGGCTATGGAGATGTCCATCGTGGCACCGGCATTCATGAAGCGTGTTTCTCTGTTAGAAGCAGATGTACATTCTGCGATTGAGGCGCAGGAAAGACGGTTGTCAACGCGCAGCCGGATGCCTGTCGATCGTCTCATCTGCCAAATCGGTGATTATCGGGCATTTTGACTTTGGCTATCATAGTGACTAGTCTCCGCATCGACATTCAGAACTTGCGATGCTCCAATCTAGCTGATACTTGTCAAACAAGATGCTGCCGTGTACTACATGCTTCTGGTGCTCTTATTTCCTTCGGCTGCATCAGCCTTCTGCACACAGCCGCATCAATGCCCATGGCGTTCGCTCCCACCGCACAGCTCTCTGCCGAAGCGAATACGCAAAGGTGGTGACTGTCCCTCAGTGGAATTCGCGAAGACTAGCTCGAGCATCGACGGACTTCAGACACACGGGCAGACGAGAGAGTCGTCACAAAGGCGCTGGAACGCCTCAACTGTAGAGTAGACGAGTCACGATTGCTCTGTATCAGGCAAGATGTAGATTACAGACGGTGGACAGCCGCTTTGAATACATTATAATACGCAACGAGCAACGTAAAGTACCCAGCTAAGGTAGATGGCACCTCACAAGACCCATTCCCCTCCCATTTCAGCGCCTACAGGGACGGCATTTTATCGCAGCCGTTATCGAGGTGCCGCTTTAGGGAGTCCGCGCGGCTGAATTCCTTTCTGCAGTACTTGCACGCATGGGACGTCTGCATGTGCTGCGACTCGAAGTGACGCTTGCGGTCATGAGGCCGAGAGAACGTTCTGTCACACATGTCGCAAGGGTACCGTTCCACGCCAGGTGACGGTGAAGACGGAGGCGGGATGACGATGCTGTTGTTGGCAGAGCCACGCGGGAGGCTCTGATATGACTGCATAGTCTGCGCAGGAGTCGGAATGTAGCGAGCTCCTTGAGATGATGACGGCTGAGGTGGGGAGTATGACTGAGCAGGTGTTACCTGCGAGTATGCCTGCCCGGCGAATGAGTGAGATGGTGGAGGGTTGCTTCCATAGTTTCCCTGAGATGCGGGGTAAGCACTGGAGAACGGGATTCCGCGTAGTGTCTGCCCCGAAGCTACAAGGGCGCAACTCGTAAGGTAAGGAGAATGACGAGTAGACTCAAGCCATACCTCCATAAGTGGTACCATGAGCGACTTGCTGTGCAACAACATCTCCCCCGATGCCCTGAGATCTATGCATAGTATGATACGCTCCGCTCTGCGCAGACTGAGGGTGCTGATTGTAAGCCAGCGTCTGAGCCTGATAGACTTGTCCGGTGTGCGAAGGTTGCGTGGAATAGTGAAGAGAGGGATCTTGGTACGCATACCGGGGGTCAATGTTCGGTGTGATGTTCTGGCCGTCGTGGCCATCAACAGCGCGTCCAGAGGTGTAGTATGGGTTCATTCTGATGGGGAGGGTGATGTGAGGGGCTGGCGGATCTTTGGACTGACGCACGCTCTGGCAAAGCATTATATAGATCGTCGTGACCGGCAGTCAGGATCAACTTGGCCATTTCAGTCCCATGGCGAAAATTTGGACAGCTGAACGTACTCTTGCGCTCCATACTGGGTGGGACGCTCTTCGTGCAGGGAAGGCAAGGTATGCAACAATTCACCGTATTCGCTTCGAGCCGAAACGCAGACCGCCTTCCGGCAGTTGATTCGCGTCAAGGAACAGTCGAGCTAGTGAACCCCGATGACCAATGGTACGATTTTTATGATGCTTCCATGGTAGTTCAATTCCTGTCGTAGGAATTCACTCAGTAGCCTTGATTGGAAAGAGGCACGGATCTGTTCGCGTTTCAGGCGCAGGCGTCGCAATTTGACGGACGCGGTTATCAGTTGCCGTTATTGTGTTTATAACGAAGTCCTCAACAAGACATTCGTCGCGCAACATTTTTCTCCGTCCCGACGATATCGAATGAGAAACTGAGGGTCTTCCGTGTTCAGAAGACAGCTATCATTGAATTATGATATCAGCTGAATCAAGGCTTATGCGCAATACAGCGTCTGCATCTCACATAGCATGTGTATTCTACCGGAACAGTGGATCATACCGATGAGATCTTTCAGGCAAGAAACCCTCGCATCGAGGATCAAATCACATACCGCGCCCTAAAAACCGGTCATTCGGTTATTCCGCTGCATTCGATGTGTCAATCAGTGCTTACATGTACACCTCAAATTTGTTGATAATTATTTTGTATCTTTCATAAGACTTGAGATATGCCCGGTTCTTGATCTTGTGACTCATGATGCCATTTGCTTCACTGCGTAAGCTTGGGCATCTAGTTGAAACGATAGCAGTGAGCGCTACACGGCAACAAAAGTAGAGCCTAAATGATCCGGTCTGCATGGGAAGTGAGCCCGACATACGTGCAAACATGTCCAGTAGCAAGAAAGGCAGCGCTTTTGTGTCGCAGTCCTGAAGTAACATGACCTTTGGGTTTGAACCCTGGGTGATGCACCCACGTAACAGGTAAATAACGGAGCGCTGCCGAACGCAAAATGGATCGGACGTGTAACGAAATCGAGTTTCCAAGCACCCTAGCTCATAGGTCAGTGTCTAGAGCAATCGGCAAATGATCGTGCCCGTGGTGTAAGATATGACAACCAGTGTAGAGATGCGATGACCGTTCCGAGGGTCCGCGCGTCAACCTCCGATCTATCCCTCCGAAAGTTTATCAGCTCGTGGGGTGCCAGAAGACGAACTCCGTAGCATATGATGCATACGATCGGACTTGGAGCGGTAGTCTTACAGTGAAGGATCTGCGCCAGTTCTGAGGGAGTGCGTAATACCAATGCGCTAGATGACGTATGAGGCTGTTCGCGAATGATCTTGCAATGGCACTGGGTCTTTTGATATTGTATTGAACTTATGAGGGCTTAACGAGCAAGATAGCATTTGAATGGAATAGCATAAGTCGCATCTTCGAGAGAGAACCGTCCGAAACTGGTTTGAGTTTGCACTAAGCACTTTTAGGCGGATCATCGACAAAGAATTCCACGTTGATGTCACGGGACGCTACCCGCGCGAAGGACTGACATGGAATAATTAGCAGACACATATGTTGAAGGCGCAGGGAACTGATGGCTGGAACATCAGAGTCGGTTGGGGGACAGAGGAACTGTTTGCCTGGACTTTTCACGCTTTGCGTACAATCAGGTCGGAGATGACTGAGGTAGCGATGTTCATTTATAATGTCAAATCAAATCGCACGGCTGAGAGAAGACAGAGACGTCCCGGAGAGTGGACGAGTTTGATCCACCAGAAGATCGGAGAGAAAAAGTGGTTCAGAGTCAGGGTCAGACTTGACTGCTGCAACTATAATGCCCATATTCGTCGCAGGAACAAATAAGGCCCAACACGACCTGGCCGCATGCGGTGACCAACACGTTCCAGGTAAGCACCGCTCGAGCTCTGGTCTATGGCACCCTTTGATTTGGACGCTTGCATCGAGCAACTACTCAGGAAACAACTGCTACACGAGGCATTACTACGAGAGATATGCGAGAAAGCCAAGGAGGTGCTCATGCGCGAGTCCAACGTGGTCCATGTTAGTGCTCCAGTGACAGTGGTCGGCGACATCCATGGGTGAGTTGAGCCGGTGCAGCAGCCAGCTTGCTCTGATTGAACATTCAAGCCAGTTCTACGATCTCGTAGAAATATTTCGCATAGGGGGATACGCGCCGAACACGAATTACCTCTTCTTGGGTCAGTTTATCCTCCACTTGGCCCTGTAACGCTGCTGGACGGTTGGTTTCACTAGGTGACTATGTCGATCGCGGGCTCTTCAGCGTCGAGACAATATCACTCTTGACATGTCTGAAACTCCGTTATCCTGATCGCGTGCAACTTATACGAGGAAATCATGAATCACGCGCTGTTACGCAAGTAAGTCTCCCGCTTCTGTCACCTTATGTATGATACGATGAGGAGTTGCTTCAGTCATATGGCTTCTATACTGAATGCTTCAGGAAGTATGGCTCATCGCATGTATGGACATACTTCACGGACATGTTTGACTTCTTGACCTTGTCTGTCGTAATTGACGATAAGATATTCTGTGTACACGGTGGTATGTGGTGGACCCATTTTACCCGAGCAATCCTATCTAACGAGTTTCACAGGGTTGTCGCCGTCGATACATTCCATAGACCAGATCAAAGTCGTAGATAGATTCCGAGGTCGGTCACCTTCCTTCAGCGCTTTGAACAGTCAGGGTAACGGTCGGTATAGAGATTCCCCACGAAGGGCCGATGGCGGATCTCGTGTGGTCTGACCCAGACGCTGAAAAAGAAGATTTCGCAATATCCCCGAGGTTTGTCGAACTAGCCTCCGGCGCGTTAACTGTCCCTGACATGCGTTGTCATCGCAGAGGAGCTGGGTATACCTTCGGCTCGGGAGTCGTTTACAAATTCCTCGAAACAAATAAGATGACGCACATTCTTCGCGCACATCAGCTATGCATGGAGGGCTATGCATCGTTATTTGACAAGCACCTATCCACCGTGTGGTCCGCTCCGAACTATTGCTATCGGTGTGGGAACTCGGCAAGCATACTGGAAGTTGGGCCCGGCGAATCGATGTTCTTCAACGTCTTCCAGGCAGCTCCAGAAAACGAGAGAGATGGGCCGAGTCAACAAGCCGCGCAGAATGCGGGCGGCAAGGTATGTCAGCTGCTCGCTCGTTAAGGAGCGCTGTCGCTGACCGTCGTTCACAGTTACCCGAGTACTTCCTGTAAATTATCTATAATGATAGATACCCTGCCATCTTCGAGGAAAGCTGTATCAACGTCGTTTTCGCATAATCGTAACAGTCCTGCTTGTACTTCAGAGAGAACATGTAATCTATCGTTGGGCCATCCAGATCCATCCGAGCCGATGACTCTCGGATCGATGCATTGCACAAACTGAAAAATCGGCGAGAGACGGGCAGTCTGAGTTGCGATAGGATTATGTATACCGATTCCACGATTGTGCCTCAGTAAACCAAGATGCTTTTGCTTTGGCATCCCAATGAGTATTGATCCTCTAAAGTCGTATGACTGTAATTGGCCAGATGAGTAGCAAGATTTTCACGCCACCGCCGCCCCCTTGCCATCTCCTACCAATTCTACCTGCAGTGTTGCTAGATTGTAACAGACCTAGATCCTATGTAGCAAGCATATATTATTCAGCGAGCTCCATCCTTGCATGATTACAATATCAATCTGCCACATGATCCGACGATATAGGACATTGTTGCACCCGTCAATATCAATGATTCAATCTAAGCGACGAGCTCGGACTTACGCGTCAAGAAGGCATGTTTACTACAATATGACTGGTCCGTCCAAAATTTGCGGCAAAGCTTTGACATGAACCAACCGCAAGCAGAGGCTGTGCACCTACCTCAATCTCGATTCAATACGTCGATCGGACGTGTCTGCTCCGGCTCGGGAGAGGTTATGCGTCGAGGTATGGTGCGAACGAACCTTTTATGCATCTGGCGGTGCCGTCTTTGACTACAGCTGCATATTAGCACCTTGATAGATTCGCAACATTATCTGACATGTAAGTCATCGCAACGAAATCAGCTAAAACACACTCCAATCTGTCATCCGCGCATGAAACAATAGCCTCTGAGACACTTCAAGCTAAGACGCTGCTATCCACCTGGTAACCCACTGAAAGTGGCAGGTACACAGAAGGGTATGCTAGACAACTGGTTGATGTCATGATAGCGTCCGCAAATCGGACGAGAGGACGAGAGGAGTCCACTTTCCATGCCACCGGTATCGGCATTCCAGGCATCATATAGTCATTACATGCTCGACTGCGGTCTGCAACACGCGATAGATCGCCTTCCAAGATGTCCGGCGCGATATTCGCCGGATGATGAATGCCACGGATATGCCAAGGATGACCACGACGCGTGTCTTCCACCGTGCCCAAAACAATCGCGCGAGCACGCGGAATAAATCCCGTTTGCGTCGCCGGCCGTGAAGCAGGGTGGGGACCGGAGTGCCGTAACGCACGGGATATCCGAAGAAAGGATTGCTAGGAGACGTGGGCGACTGGAATTGACCAGCAGCGGCCTGACTTGTGGAGTTGGTATGGGGTATATTTGGTGCTTCATTGCTGAATGCGGATATGCGTCCTGCCTTTTCTCCGTCGTCGCTTCTCCTGACGTGGCCCTGCAGGGGGTCATCCAGCGCCGTTAACGGTGGAAGTTGACCACCGAAATCTGCGCGGCGTTAATCTCAGCGCTGTTCACATGGTGAAGAGCTCCGACAATGTACCTGATGGCAGATGATAGGGAGAAAAATATTCGAGCAGCTCAGATTCAGTCGGAAAAAACACGCGTGACATTGCGGAGGATGGTAGGGCTCGTCTGGCCAATCCGGACCGGCGGTGAATGAGCTTCTGATAAACGTGAGAACGGAGAGCGTACCTCAATAGATTCCAGAAGCCAGAATGGGTCCATGAGTAGTTCAGAACTATAACTATCTCACACAGTCTCAGCCGTTAGATCGCACAGGCCATTTGGAATACCGACCTGACGCCAGCATCCCCGGGAAATAAGGTATAACTTCCTGTACAAACCATTTCAGGAGGTCCACCTGTTTCTGATACTTGTCACATGAGAGCGTCCGGGAAATGTTTACACGGACATTTCGCTTACTAGATTCTGTACGGAGATGTTCCCGATGTCGAGCAGAAGAACGTATTGAAATATCGGCAATGTGTCCGTGTCCATGCGCTGATCATCTGTATTCAATTGCGCCATGTGGATGCGCAGTAATTCCATTCCTTGTAGGAGAGCATGTTTAGAAGTGTGCGAGATGTCAGCCATGGCCGCTAATTTCGTAAATAGCACTGGACGCCCGAATGGATCATGACAAGTGGACGGAAAACATCGCAGGAATGGAGGAATAGAGTCTATCACGGGTGAAAAAGAGAGAGCACGCCACACAAGTATCTTCCGTGCATCTTCGAGCGCGAAGGAGATCACGAATCTATGGCGCTTGCGAAAGGTTCAGCACAACTTCGCAAAATGAATGATATGCAAACCTTCAATATACGAAATAGTGATGCTGAGCGGTGAGTACGTCAGTTCAGTAATGAGTGCAGTTGTGGTTGAAGACTGTAATACTCGCCCACGTCACGTAACCATTCATCCAACTTCTGGGCCTCCTCAGCTTCCAGCGATAGTTCCTCGGCCAAGTCGGGCAAGACATCTCTGAGAAGTGTTTTCTGAAGACTAAACACCAGATGTACGTTATCCCTGTACAGCTCATCGAGCATTTCGTTGTGAGGTCGGAGTGCATCGTACAGCGCCATGGAGAAGGCAAAAGAGGCGAGTGCCGTTTTGAGCGCCACCGCAGGCGGGGTGCATGTGAAAGACGCGCTAAACGCGCTATTGGAGTCACGTGAGACGCGTCAGAAAAGTGTCTGCCCACGGCATTCTGCTCAGTGTTCAGCGATTCGTACAAGTCGTGCACTTTGCCAGTGGCCATTATCACCGTCTGATTCACAAGGGCACCATGGATGAACTGGTGCAGTGGTTTTATGCGCAAGGTGGTGGTCTGGACGAGTCATCCATGGGCCTGACCAACTTCGCCGGCCAAGGACGGGGAGCCGTAGCTCTTCGAGATCTTCCAGTACGTTCGACACACTCTAGAGCGAAACTCTATTGACAGACTCTAGGAAGGACACACACTGTTTACCATTCCCCGCGAGCTAACGCTGTCCGTGCGCACGTCTTCGCTGCCCGCTCGGCTGGGAATGGAGTCTTGGAAGCAGTTTGGGTTACATATTGGATGGACTGGGCTAATATTGTGCATGATGTGGGAAGAATCCCTTGGGCCTTCGTCTAGGTGGTCGACATATTTACGTGAGTGATGATCACGAGTTACGTTGAGCATGTTCACGATGTCTTTTTGTACAGCTACCCTTCCATCCAACTTTGACACGCCAATGTTCTGGTGTGAGGAAGACTTACGAGAATTACGAGGTACCGCAGTGGTAGGTTCGTCTCGCATTTCTTCATGCTGTATGTATAGTGATTTACCTAAACAGACAAAATTGGCAAGGACGATGCTGAAAGAGACTACCATGAAAAGCTAGTACCGGCAATAAAGGTTTGCGGTCATGATGGCAATGCGTCTAAGCGCACAATTGACATCACCTGTGCAGAGTCGACCCGACCTGTTTCCAGAAGAGCTCATCCCACAAAATTATTCAATGGAGCGCTATCACATCATGGGAAGCCGTATATTGTCCAGGACTTTTCATGTGGACCCATGGAAGCCCGAAAATGGCGAGAAAGGCCAGCAAGAGGAAAGAAGCGAAGAGTCAGATCCGGATCCACATTCGATGGATGTGGATGTGGAACCTCCTGCGGAGACTCACGAACCCTTGATTGGACAAAGAGAGGAGGAGAACGGTGATATTGACGACGACGACGACGAAGAAGAAGAAGATGACGAGGACGAGGACGGAGAGAATCCGGCAGATGTGGCTATGGTGCCCATCGCGGATATGCTAAACGCCCGCTATGGATCAGAAAACGTAATTACCAACGCTTGTGACCTCGCGAGCTATGCTGAGCGTCTGGCAGGCCAAGCTTTTCTATGAGGAGCGTGTATTGCGCATGGTCACCATAAAACCGATCAAATCCGGAGAACAGATAGTATGTATTCCATTTTCCGATAGCCGTGACATTCTGACACATCACCTCCCTATCAAGTGGAACACGTACGGTGACCCCCCAAATTGTGACCTTCTTCGCCGCTACGGCCACGTCGACCTCGTTGACCTATCGCAGCCGCTTTCCGGCAAGGGAAACCCAGCAGATGTAGTGGAAGTTCGTGCAGACCTCGTCGTTGCTTCTGTGTCCAAAACGCCTGCCAGCGATCTGCAGGACAGAGTGGACTGGTGGCTGGAGCTCACCGATGACGAGTGAGTGAATAAACGCGCGTTCTATCATCCTGAATTGCATGGCTAACTGGTCCCCCAGCACGTTCGTTATTATGACCGACTGCGAGCTACCAGAGGAGTTAGCATCTTTTGTGAGGCTACTTTTTCTTGCGAACGATGAGTGGGAGAAGGCGAGGAAGAAAGGCAAGCTGCCGAAGGCAAAAGTCGATCCGTCAACCCTCTCCATTGTAGCCGATGTCCTCGAACGACGTCTTCGTGAATACCCGACTACCATAGAGGTTGGTTATTCTGCGATGTGATTGCTCGCCGTCACTCAAATCGCATTTAGGAGGACGAGCAATTGCTTGTGCCCGAACGCGCAGGCCACTTGTCAACTAACAAGAAGCACGCAGCAATAGTCAGACTTGGAGAGAAGCGCATCTTGGACGGGACTCTACGAAAGGTGAAGGATATGATGTCTGTCCATGGAGCTCAGAAGGGCAAAGACAAGAAAAGAGGTTCTGACAGACACGGAGACGATGCAGAACGGCGAGTGAAGAAATCCAGACGATAGTACGGTACGTTCTGCGCTCCCTCCGATTTGTGGTGGTGATTTTTAGGCTCGTAGTATGCTGACTTAGACTACGTGTCAAGTTCATCGCATTTGCTTCCAATATACTATATACATGAAATTCGTCGATATCGGACGTCGTCACTGCCCTTATCCCTCCTTGATTCCTGGTCCTGCGAGTCCAAGCGCCCAGTCTCTGATCAAAATACCTCCAACTGCAGTCATGGGCGGGATCCTAAATGGTACTACCAATTGGTCATCTGCTGCGCCAGGATTCTCTTGCTTGTTCGCCGCTCCTGAGGCAGACTGATGCGGTAAATGGTCTCGCTCGTCCTGAGCCTCAGCCATCTTGCGGTATTCCCTACTGCTCAAATATGCGCCCTCTTCGTGTTTGAGGATGGAAAGGACTTCCTCGCGTGTGTACCAATGAACGTCTTGTGGAACGCACTCGCTTGAGTACTGACGAAGCTCGAGTATCGTGGAAGGCTTACCTTCAAGTTCGTTATCGAGGTCTGTATGTAATGCCTTCGTCGAATCGGCGACTGCGTAGAATCCGACCATCAGACTAGCTGGGTATGGCTATACCAAGTGGACGGTCTAGTTAGCGCCAAAAAGGTAAGCCCACTAGCTCTAACGCTTACCCAAGGCTGACTGGAATGATATTGCACGTCCCATACATCCACTCCGGCCTCTTCCCACATCTCTCGTTTCACCGCATCTTCAAGGGATTCTCCTGGCTCAATAAATCCTGCAAGGGTTGAGTAGAATCTTGCAGGCCAGTTTTTCTGTAACAGAATGAGGATCGTTGTTATTATCTATAGGTATACCAGATGATGACGACGCACGTTTTTTCCGAGCAGGATCTTCTCGTTGGCCTGGTCCACGATCGCCGTGATAATTACCGAATCCGTCCTCGGATGGGAGAAGTTATGCAAACCTTTCCTGGTGAGCCAGATCTCGACGTCAGCACAGATACGCTCCTCATGGGACCGGGCGATACTGACGCTGTGAGGCAAGGCTTCTTTCCAGCAGTGTCTGCCCAAGGAAGCAGACTTGAGCACGATAGTTTCCAGCCCGCCCATTGCGAATATGATGCAGAGCCGCATGAAGGACAAAACTGGCACGGAGGTTAGATTTGGGCGATCGGTGACCGGACGCCCTTGCATGGCACCGACCTTGTTGCGCGCATTCCAATCCACCATTGTTCTAGCCATAGCAAAGATGCTGGCTTCGAACTCGTCGAAACCAGCCATCGCACCCCGTGCCTCCACGAAAGCGAACTCGGCGCCTTCCTTGCCTGCTTGGGAGCCATGCAGCGTTGAATCAAGCTTGTCCTGTTCAACGTTTGAGGCATCCAGCGAGAAGTAGGGTGTGCCTTCAAGGTTGGCGAGGACCGTGTCTGCGTCCTGCTTGGCACTGAATGCCGACGACGGTAGTGCGTGTGTGCCACCAGCATGGGTCTTCTCAAGCAATCCGAGGAATACGAGTGGGGGCCCGTGGAACCGGGCTCCTTCTACAGGGAGTAGATCACCGGGCCCGTGCTCTCCGGTGTTTTGTCCCTGCCCGAAGAACGGCTCGGCACCTAGCAGCGGCTTCACATCTGCAGTGCTCAATTGGGCGAGCGATGGCTTCTGCGTGTTCCGCGAAGTGACCATAAGCGGCTCACCCCTTCGAAAGACCAGCCATCGCGTGGCCGGGGAGCCTACGATGGAGTTGAGGAACGGCTGGTAGGTCCGCAGCCACGAGAGACGATTCAGAGGCGATCCGCCGAAGAAGTTCACGACACTAGAAGCAGCGTGTCAACATATTGCGCGGCCATCTCGATTGTGCTGTTTGCGCGTATACTCACCTCCGAACCATTGTAGGTGCATGGGGACGCAGTGGTGAAAGACCGATGTTAGTATATATGCAGCGGCCCGCTCAGACGGGCAATCACCAACTGATCAGCGGTCCGCATGTACAGATATTGATCCTATTTGTGCCATGCAGCTTGGCCATGTCACCGGACATGCCGTGGAGGCTGTCGGGACGGACTGACGAATCAAGTTCGTCTTAAAGGCGTCGTTCGGGTCTCATGGGTCTGAGAAACCAAACCTATTCGCCGCCCGGGAGAACTAAACGCGCTGTGTGCGCTGCGAATCGCGGAGCTTCACGGACTGATGCATATTCAATTCAAAACTATACTGAGCAATGAGTGAAGCTCATGATCAATTACCCGTAACGTGAATAAGGACAACGGGAAGAAGAGGCGTCCGTGCGTACTCCCGACACGGGGTTCACAGGAGACCCTTCGCCTGCGCGGCAGTTGCACCCGGGCCCGCCCGTCGATGCGCCCACTCATTGATGAGCACACCCGCAATGGCAGTAATGGGCGGAAGCCTGAAGGGCAGCTCCGACGGTTCCTCCGGAGCCTGAGCCTTCCTCTTCTTCTCCTCGTCCGTCACCGCATCTCCAGCGAGGGCGTTGGCGGTGCTGACCGCGGCCTCTTTGCTGCTGTCACGCTCTTCCTGCGCTTGCGCAAGCGTGCGGTGATCGCCTCTGGTTATGTTCGTGCCTTGGGAGTGATTCAGGACAGCGAGGATCTCCTCTCGCGTATACCATTTCGCATCTGTGCATGTAGAGTCGTTACCGAAGGTAGCTAGTAAGTATCCAGCATGCATGGGAGACCTACCGTCAAGTTCATTGTCTAGGTCCGTCCGTAATGGCTGTGATGAATCAGCGGTTGCGTAGAATCCCACCATAAGATTAGCAGGATACGGCTGCAGTGATTTGCGCATTTCAAATGAGCGAGCATAGAGACGAGATAGCAGCACCTGAACATACCCACGGCTGTGTAGAGTGATACTGCACATTCCACACCCTCACACCGGCTTCCTCCCAGATCTCACGCTTGACGGCGTCTTCAAAGGACTCACCAGGCTCTATGAAACCGGCCAGGGCTGAATAGAACCTGCCTGGCCACTTTTTCTACACCGCGCGCACAGAACGTCAGTTGGACAGCGTGACGATGACGAGCGGTCTGACCAACATTTCGGCCTAGCAACACCTTCTCATCGGTTTGATCTACTACTGCCATTATGACGACGGCGTCCGTTCTGGGGTGTGCAAAGTTGTGCAGGCCCTTGCTGTCAGTCGCATGGATCAGCACGGTACATGACTAGAGTTGCAGCGAGGAGACACGGACCCTGTGGGACATAGTTCCTTGCCAACATTATCCGCCCAAGGAAGTAGCGATGTACAGGTCAACTTCCAACCTGCCCAGATTGAGTATACCGGGGAACCACACGAAGGACAGAACTATTACTATCTTCAGTAATATGAAGGAGTCATACAAGGTATACGCGCCTTGTTCCTCGCGTTCCAATCCACTATGCTCCGTGCTTCTGCGAATATGCTCGCTTCGAATGCATCAAATGAACCCATTGCCGCGCGGGGTTCGGAAAAGCTCAGCTCGGCGCCCGCCCGCCCCGCCTCAGAATCCTGGAATGTCTTCTCAAGCGCTTCCTGTGGGACATCGGTGACGTCCAAGGAGAAGAACGGTGTGCCTTTGAGATTTGCGATGACGGCAGCGGGGTCGGCCTTCGCACTAAACTGGGAAGAGGGCAACGCATCGGCCTTGCCGCTCTGCGGCTCTTGCAACCCGAGAAACACGATCGGTGGCCCATGGAACCGTGCTGCCTTGAGGATGAGGACGTCGTCAAGGGCGAGCTCGTCTTCGGTCTGGCCTTGCTGGAAGAATGGCTCCTTGCCGAGCAGAGGCCGCACATCGGCTGCAGAGAGGCGGGCGAGCGACCGCTTACGAGTGCTCGGGTCGGCTACCAGCAAGGGCTGCCCGCCTTGATACAGGATCCAACGCGTGGCCGGAGAGAGCGCGATGGCATTCAGGAATGCGTGTGATGTCCGCAGCCAGGAGAGACGATTCAAGGACGATCCGCTAAGGAAGTTGACATAGCTGCATGCAATGATGGTAGAGGAGGAGGTTAGCGTCAGTCCGGTTGAGTCTGGATGGATCCCACGCTGCATTCAAGCAACTCACGTTTCAGCCATGGACTACCTTTGATGGTGCACGCAATGTTGGGCAGATGGAGACGTCCGGGATGCGGACAACGAGGCGAGAGGTATGTTCGTCGAGCGCACGGGCTTTCTCACCGGTCATCCTTTAGCTTACTCAGGGCCTCCGTAGCCCGTCCCAATCATCAAACACGCTCATACCGGCCCTCCCTCAGGGCGTCTCCCCACGGTCAGCAGAGCGGTGCGAGCGCAGAGCTGTCATCCTGTGTCCTTTCTGACTGGACGCCAGGGGACGACGACCTCGCCGATGCTGCATGTATGCGCTTCGCTCGTCGTCTAGCTGCCATTCCCCGCTCCTGGTCGCGACCCCCGCGGGCCCTTACGCAAAGATTTTCTCTCCGCCGCACAGGCTGCGCTCAGGCCTCTGCTCCATCGTTACGAAAGGCTGTCCTCGTCGTCCAGTGCGACGCATGGGCCCCTTCGCGCGCGGAAGGCGTGGAGGGCACGCTGTGCCGGCGCGTACGTTGGGTCCACCCGCTTCTGGCCCCTGAATTCTCTCCGAAATGCATTGGAGACTTCGCTTCTATCAATGTGCTGTCTCTGCTTGGGAATGCGGTGCACAGATGAGCTGCGCGGATCCCGCTGCTACGAGCAATCTCCCGCTGAGGATCGGTATAAGTATGACGCCCAGCGTGTGCTCTATGCCTCACTCTTCTTTCCTTCGTTCCCCGTTCATTACCTGCGACACCCCCATCGAATCGAGGCACAAACATGCGTCCTTCAATATCTCGTCCGATGCGCCGTCTTGTTTCCATCTCCGGGTGAGTTCACGAGTCTTGTTACGGCCACCCTTGATCTCGGCCTTCTTTGTACCTGCTTGTTGTGGAAATCACGATAATGGCCCTCGTGTATTCTCTGGCCACTCCATTGGCCTGGTGCCGGCACGGCCTTGTCAGAATATCTGCTGAATATCCGCTTTGCACACGCTGCAGGGGCCTTCGCCCCCTTGACGTTTCCTTTTTCGGCAGCACAATGCCACTTCCCATCTTGTTTCGGCCATTCGAATGTGCTGACCATGGCCATGATTCCCTGCAATATTGCAGATACTGCAAAGCCGGCGGTCATGCGATCTCCGAGACACAGAGCGGAACTCCAAGCTCTGTCTTATATAAAACCCAACCTTCTCCCTGGGCCGACCCAATTAACGACCCCATTACGACGCTCGTAAGTCGGGTTTCTTCTATTTTCAGCCGAGGACGCTAGAGCTAACGTCCCGCGTCGCAGATGGCACCAGACTCCCCGCGCTCTTCTCCTGCTACGACCATGGACTATGCCACACGACCAAATGACCACTTGACACCGGGGCAGGCCATCTCAGAAGCATGGAAACGGGAGTCTCCAGAGAGCCAAGCACAGTGGCGGCTCGCCGACGCGCGTGCGCGGCAGCAGTACCTCGCGCCGCCGCGGTGGATTCAGAGTCCGGGCAAGAAGGCAAATGGCGCGAAGATGTAAGAGGAGGAAACGAAATATTTATTCGTGTGTATGAACATCCGATGCGAGCGAGCGCGCTCGACGTCGACTCTTTAGATTATGGGATCATAATGCTACGCTATGAGCTGGCTTCGTTATCGTATAATGCGGATGGATGGAGGACGGAGCTCTGCGAAGAGGGTCGCGTCGGAGAGCTCGGGTGTGGGAACCCTCGAGGCCGAGATCTACGCGTAGTGTCTAGTGTCATATATTGTCTATATTCCCCTGCTCTGTCTACGCACGTATCCATAATGCGAGATGTCTCGGAACTTGTGCGTGCGAGCCGTTCGAACATAAGCGCCTAAGTACCGACGCTCGACCAGAAGCGGCGACTCGATCGGCGCATCTAATCTAATCTTAGCGAATCGAGCGGAGTCATCGAGCAATCTCTGAACGGCGTGCGCTGATTGGCTCCCGCATGCATCAAGCAGCAGACGTTTTGCCAGTGCTCAGGCTTGCACCATCCTTGCACCAGACCTTACCACGCTCGCTTGCTCTCTCCCCGCTTGGCTCATTGCTCGTCTGGCTAGGGACCGACGCTCGGCGCTGATTGTGTTGTTTCACTTGGAGGATCGCACATACAAGTCGGGACAGCCACAGAGACATTGACATTGACACACGCACGCGCGCGCCATGTCCAAGATGATCATTGACTTGACGGCGGGGACGGCAGGTGGGATTGCGCAGGTGCGTGCGGCTAACCGTCATACTATCTATGGACCTCTGAATACCTTGTCACACCCAAGGTTCTGGTCGGCCAGCCGTTTGACATCGTGAAAGTGGTACGGTGCCTATCGTCTATCTCGTACCCGTCGCACGAGACACACTAGACACGCTGACGCGCCGTCCATTCGTAGCGCATGCAGACCGCGTCGAAGGGCACGTACAGCGGGATGCTCCACTGCGCGGGTGGCATTCTCAAGAACGAGGGTCCGCTCGCGTTCTACAAGGTGAGCCCTCCCATCCTGTCTCCTTCCAACATAACTCAACTTCCTTCTTTCCAACGCGTTATCGCATGCAGGGCACGCTGACACCGCTGCTCGGCATCGGTCTCTGCGTGTCGATCCAGTTCGGCGCGCTCGAATGGTCGAAGCGCGTCTTCGCACAGCAAAACGTCGCACACGGGCTCGGCGGACCCGGTGGCCAAACGCTCGACGGCACACAACTCGTCTTGGCCGGCATGTTCGCGGGCGTCGCGAACAGCGTCGTCTCGGGGCCCGTCGAGCACATCCGTATCCGTGCGTTTCCGCCCCTCATCCTCTCTCTCGTCGCCTTGTCTGACCACTCTGTAGGTCTGCAAACGCAGTCTGCAACAAATCCGATGTATGCGGGCCCGTGGGAGGCGATCCGGAAGATCTACACGGCGCACGGCGTGGCGGGGTTGTACAAGGGCCAGGTAGTGACGCTCTGGCGCGAGGCGCTCGGGTACGGCATGTACTTTCTCGCGTACGAGAAGCTCATGCAGCGCGAGATGGCGCGCAAGGGCATCGCCCGCAATGACGTCAATCCCGCGAACGCGGTCCTCTTCGGTGCTGCGGCGGGCTATGCGGTGTGTGCTCTCTCTTTCATTGACTTCTTTGGTCGTGTGGCATAGGGTGGGGCTGACGCGGACGGGTGGGTGTGGGTTAGCTGTGGGCGGTGATCTACCCGATCGATATGGTCAAGTCGCGGATGCAGACGGACGGGTTCTCGCCGGCGGAGGGCCAGAAGTACCGCTCGACGCTTGATTGCGTGCGCACGGTGTGGCGCACGGAGGGTATCGGTGCGTTCACGCGCGGACTTGGGCCCACGCTCATCAGGTGTGTGACGATTGGGTATCTTGGAAAGGAGCAGCGAGTGCTGATGTGTGAGGGGTGTTCTGTGCAGGTCACCGTTTGCGAACGGCGCGACGTTCCTTGGGTTCGAGATGGCGATGCGACTGTTGACGCATCATAATGAATACCCGTGACGATGAATGGGGGGACTGCTTGCTTAATTTATACGTATGTGCGTGAGGGCTGGGTGGTGATTGTATATACCACAGAGCGATCGCTGCTGATCTCAAAAGCCACGGTGGATGTAGGGCAATACTTACCACACATTGGGTTACTCCTTTGTTTTTGATTTTGGAAATGATAGATGGCCGGTCGATTGCGTTGAGTGTTCGAGCGCTCGCGCAAGGTGAAATCGGGGACCGGCACTTGCTTGTCCCCGCTCCCAGTATTCCAGTGGGCGTGCTGTAGCCCGAAGATGTCGGCCATCGGTGATTGCGCGGTGGACGTCGTCTCCACCTATCCTGCGATGCACTCGTTATCGACCTGAAGCAAAATAATCCATCCGATACCTCTATGTTAGGTCTACATGTTTAATGATACACTGCCCAATTCATCTCGCCTCACAGTACGCTCTTCAGAATACCATCGCCCTCCACGAGGATGCAGGGGCCGCCGTAGATGGTCCTGTCCGCGAGGCCATTTTCGTTGATGTAGGCGATGACGGCGTCGTCTTCTGCGCCGGGCTGGAGCCAGACAGCGGGGACGTTGAGCTTCTTGGCTTGCTCGAGGAGGCCGAGGGTGACCTAAGTTGGATCAGGTGGATATTCAAAGATGGTGGACGAGTGGCGTGGGTGTATACTGACCTTGGCAGGGGTGACGATGCTGATGGAAGTGTGTGCGGGGTCTGGGAGCTCTTCGAGGGAACGGATGGTCTGAACGCCCTGGATCTCGTTCTCTTTCTGTGGACCGCGGGATCAGTGTACGATCGCAATGCCATGTGAGATGAGCTGCGTACAGGATGGACGGGCGTGACGGTCTTCTCTCGTTCCAAATACCATTGGAGGACCTAAACGGGGTGAGCGTGAGAAGGCAGCCGGGCAAAGGCGCGTAGGACGGACCTTGGTGCCGTACTTGGAGGGATCCTTGGACGCGCCGACGACGGCGAACTGGGGCGAGGAGAGGAAAGCCTGCTTTACGGCTACTGCGCCTGACATGGCTGTGGTGATGAGGAAGTGGTGCCAATCAGATCGACATTGTTTGGTCTTTATGGCCGGGGAAGAGGAGGATGGCTCAGCAGGTCACGCCGATGGCGCAGGTCGAACTGACAGTAGCACATTTCGCAAGCTAGGATAGCGCGAGCATGTGATTCGTGCGCAATCTCGCGCGAGCTCAACGCGGATTCATCTTGCTTTTCTTTCAACGTCTGCAGTTCAGTCTCTCTCAATTTCCTAGATCTTAGTGTTCGGATAGATAGACCTGCCTGCGTGTTCAGCTGCTGAAGAAATTCAGCGTTGCTAGCCCGGCATGGCTCCTTCCTGGCTCCCCACCCTCCATCTCCCTTCCTGGCTGCACCTCCCAGACCGCATTGCCGTCCAACACATCCTCTACGGCATCATCATCGGCTTCTCTCTTTCTCTCACCTCAACCTCGCTTGCTCTGTGGTACCAAGAGCGCAAGCGCGACCGCTTCGTGCGCCGCTTCGAAGCGCGTCCAATAGAGCTGCGCAGCGATGAAATCATCAAGGGCGTTACGGGGCTGATCGGTGCGTGCTGCGACTCGTCCGGGAGGATACGTTGACTGGATGTATGCGCAGGAAACACGCCGCTGGTGAGGATCGACTCTCTCAGCGACGCGCTCAGGGTGGAGATCCTCGGAAAGGCAGAGGTCAGTGTGTATGCTTTTCCATTGTTGAGCCCGTAATCCTCATCGAACAGCAAGTAGTACCTTAACCCTGGAGGCAGTGCGAAGGACCGCGTCGCGCTGAAAAGTGAGTGTCCTCTGAGTAGTGACTGTATGCGTGTGTATGGGTTGCCTGCAGAGAGGCTTGTCGAGATGCTCCGGAAGATCAGTCAGAGCGTGTTTTTTTTTGCTCCCGACTTTGGCGCGGTTGCACCATGGGTCGGTTCATCGTGATCTCGTTGCGTTCACTGGGTGCAGTTCCTGACGTTACGCCTCAACCCTATGTTATACCCATATACACGCGTACAGTACGGTCAAGGGAAGAATCCCTTAGTGAAGGCTATTTCGTGCAGTGATCGAAGACGCGGAGCACCAGGGCTTCCTTCATCCGCACACAGGCTCCCGAATATTCGAAGGCACCGTAGGATCCACGGGAATCTCGATCGCTACGGTCGCGAAAGCGAGGTGCGCTGACATTGCGCGTTGCCTACTCATCTTTCGTGTCTAATCACTGGACAGAGGATATGATGCAAGTAAGACTTTCTTAAATGCATGTACAGCTGGGAGGTGGTGACATGTGCCGCGCAGCGATCATCATGCCGGACGATGTCGCAGAGGAGAAGGTCAAGACGCTGCTCGCGCTCGGCGCAGAGGTCGAGCGCGTGCGGCCGGCGAGCATCGTCGACAGGAAGCAGGTATGTGCTCGTCACGCTCTCCATGTACACGAGGACTAACGCCGCTCCGTGCCGCAGTTTGTCGTAGGTCCCTCTCGCATCCGCCCGTTATGCCATCGTACCAACTGTTCTACTTTCATCCATGCAAACAGAACCTCGCTCGAGAGCGCGCAAAGCACTTCGGCCTTCCCTCTCAGGCCTCCGCCGTCCCGCACGGCCACCTCCTCTCCACGTCGAGCTCCTCGCTGCTTGTGTCCACTACGGTGACAGACACACTTGGCGAGGAGCGTGCCAAGGAGGGCGTGGTGCTACTCGCGCCGCGCGGATACTTCGCAGACCAGTTTGAGGTGCGTGTGCCTGTATGAGCGAGCGGCCGTAAGTGACTCACAGGGCGTAGAACCGGGCGAACTACCAGGCGCACTTCCACGGCACGGGCCCAGAGATATGGAGGCAGACGAACGGACGTGTGGACGCGTTCGTCTCTGGTGCAGGTGCGTGGTGTTCCGCGGTGCTTGGGCGGAAGGACGGAATGTGAAGGGATGGATGCATATAGGGACGGGTGGCACCCTTGCGGGCACGGGCCAGTACCTGAAGAAGATGGACAAGCATGTGCGCGTCGTGCTCGCGGACCCGGAGGGCAGCGGGCTGTACAACAAGGTGCGACTGCATTGTCGCCACTGTCCTCGTACCTTGTCCCTGATAGCGGTGCGGCGCAGGTAAAGCACGGCGTGATGTTCCACCAGAAGGAGGCGGAGGGAACGAAGCGGCGGCACCAGGTGGACACGGTCGTCGAGGGGATGTAGGTACCCGTGTTCGAGCTGCGCAAAAGTGCCGGAACTGATACATGGACGCGGCCACACAGAGGGATCAACCGCCTCACGAAGAACTTTGAGCTCGCGCTCCCGATCATCGACGATGCGTTCCGGTGCCTAAACCTCTCCTTCTTTCTCTCTCCTGCTGCGAACTCACCTGGTGTATGCGCAGGATCACCGATGCGGAGGCGGTAGCCATGTCGCGCTACCTAGTGCAGCACGATGGGTTCTTCCTCGGGAGCAGCAGTGCATGCAACCTCGTCGCGGCCGTCAAGTTTGCCAAGAAGATGGGCTGGCGCGAGGGGCAGACGGTGGTCACGATTCTGTGAGTGCTTTTTTGTTCTGCGGCTAGTCATGTGTGAGCAGGATGAGCTCATGAAATCTGGATAGCGGCGATTCGGGCAGCAGGCATTACTCAAAGGTACGTGTTATGCGTGATGTGCTTAGGATCTTTTTTTTGACATGTTCCTGCTCCGCAGTTCTGGTATGTTGCGTGCATGGTGTTAGTAACATCTGGAGCTAACGCTTTCGTGACTTACTCAGGAACGATGATTATCTCCGTGAGGCGAACATCCCTGTTGACACTCAGATAATCGAAGACTTGCTAGCGCAACCTCCGGCGAACCAGAACCACATCGCTGCTGCGCAGTAGCAAAGCACAAGTGACACAGTCCAGATCAAGTCAAAATGCGCTGCTATCGGTACTGCCATGATGCGTATGTACTGTACAAATGCGATATGTGTATGTATGCAACGGGGTATAGCTGTAGGACTGAGCAAGGATAAGTTATTTGCAAATAATCACAGCATGGAGATAGCGGAAAAGGGGCGGCGTGGGTGCGGAATCAGATGTCAACTTGTGCCGGAGCCTGTGGATTGTACGGATGTTGACGGTGGAAGGACGGTGCCGTTGCTGAGCGGAGCGGACGTGAACGGCGAGGGTCGCGGCGCTGGGCCGTACATCTGCGAGTCCTTGCTCGGAGAGGCGCTCAACGTCGGTGTGGCCGACGGTCGACTGCAAACAAGCCCCGTGTCAGAACCTGCCAACGTCCATGCTGGCACCACGCCGCACAAATCGGAAGACTCACCTGAGGTGATTCGGCTCCGCCACGCCGACCTTGAGGAAGCCCGCCTGGACAAGAAAGTCCCATACGCGGCTCGTCTTGTTCACGTCGATCTTGACGAGATCGCGCGCCTCGCGCCGGCGGAGCTTCCCGCCGCGCCGCGCGTACTCGCGCACGAGCGTCTCCTTGATGACGAGATACGGCTTCGGCAGGATGCGCAGCTGCGAGCAGAGCGTCTGCTCTTCGGGCGTGAGCAGGTGCAGCGATGGGCTGTTCGCGAGGTTGAGCGGGGCGGCTAGAGGCAAGTCAGTCAGCATGGGACGGAGGAAGCAGACGGAGGAGCTAACGTACGCATCTTCCGCCCGGGAGGCCCTGTGCCAGAGGCGGCGGGCATGGGTTTGGGCGTTGTCTCGAGCTCGTGGCTTTTGCCGCGCTCGCGTTCGCGTGAATCGGGCCCCAGAGATTGGCGTCCGCCTCCGGCACGAAGTGCGAGCCGTTCCGAGGAGAAATAGTCCCGCGAAAGACCCGCCTTGGCTTGGTTCTGCAGGGATGGGAGGTGAGCAGTGGTTGGCAGGGAGACCAAGGATGGACGCACCCGCTTGATGACATCCGACTCGTACTTGTCAATGTCGGCCACGGTAGTTAGACCCATCCTGCGGTAGTGCTGCAGCTCTTGGATCCGTTTCCGGAGCAGCGCCTCATCTGGTGGGAGCGTCAGATTAAGATTATACCAAAGAAAGCAACGCGAAAACCTACACAGGATGTCGGCGCAGAAGACCTCGAAATCCTCCGCTGTCTGTAGCCGGGCAAATGGCCGTAGTCGGTGGATAATGTCCTTCTCTTCTTTCGGCCTCTTCTTGTCCGCGGCTTGCATCTGCTTGTAGTTCAGCAGACCTCGGTTGAACTTGAATGCTTTGGCCTCGTGGCGCTTGTCGACACGCTGGTTATACATCTCGATTAATGATAGCTTGAAGGAGAGCGACTCGGGCGTCTCGACCGGTGGCGGCTGCGTGACTTCTTCGACTTCCGCATCACCGTCCATATCGCCGTTCGCCGTCTTGCCGCCCCCTTCTGACTTGCCTTGGACGTCGCGAGAGGGCGTGCCACCGTTAGTATGTCGTCCATTTGGGACACCGTTAGGTACATTGAGTGGCCCATTGGGTGGGCGCTTTCCAGGAGTGGCATCTTTAGCTTTCTGCTCTTCTTCCCAACGGGCTCTTGCGCGCACGTCAGGGTCATTCTCATCTTCAACAATTTCACCACCGCCCCATTCGTAACAGACACCAAATTCGAGGTCCTTGACAAGATCTTCCGCCTCGTTGTCCAATTCGTGCTCGAACTCCAGGCGCCCTGGTAGAAAGCCAGCAACTTCATGTACTCCGGGAGCGGAGGTAGGAGCGAGCTTGGGTGCCGGCGGCGGGTTGCTATTCATGGTCGCGATACGTCGACGCTTGCGCTCGTGAAATTCCGCGGGATCGACGTCGAAGTGCAAGTCCATTCGCTATGGGTTGTGATAAGCGCGATCCAAACTTGAGACCCAGAAGTGGCGCGCAAACGTACAGGGAGTGGCCAATTGGGCGACTTGATGTAGACGGACTCGTAATGCGTCTCGACCTCCTCCTTTGTTCGCGTGCCAACATGTTCAGCGATGGCTTGCCAGTTGCCGAGGCCCTGCAAAGAGATCCCTTCCAGAAGCAAGAGTTCTCTTATCGATGTGCCCAATGGGTCATATGCACCCTTCACATTATTTGATGTCACTCACTCATCTGCTCCCCAATCTTCTGAGAAGATGGGATATGAGTGAAGCTCCTATGCATTGTGTAAGACATTATGAGTGCTGTTGCGCACGATGGAATGGGATTGCTACTTACAATCACTCGGTAGGCATGCCATCTTTTATGCTTGCCGAACTCCTTCCCGCTACAGAAACAGTTCGGACAGATGTCTATCCCTTCTCCGACCTCGCAGACCGGATTCGCGCATTTGATGCGCACCGAGTGCGTCAGGTCGCAATGGCAGGAATCACATTCGAATTGAGTACCAGGCTCGTTCACAGCTGCGTTATTTACGTAAGAAAGGCGCGTGAGAAAACTGAGAGCAGGCGGACATTGACGACGACGCGAGGCGACGTACTCGTAATCTCCTCAGGCTGGTACTGTCTCTTGCGATGCGTCACGGTCATAATATCGACAGTCGGCGAGGAGGGGCTCCCCGCTGATGTATGCGATAAAGTGGTGAATGTGGTCGACGATACTGACTTCGCTGGGGAAGACCCGCCTCCTAGATAGGTAGGCAATGATAGGCTCTTGGTACTGTTGCTGTGTCGCGCGAAAACGTGAACGACAAGCAAGCAGGGATGCTTGATGACCGCCGCCGTCGCTGGCCACGACGACGAGCAGGATGACTGTGCGGGCGCGATCAAACATGGACAAACAGTCAGGATACGGCAATTGCCACTTTGGGACGGTTATGTAACGTTTCGGTACTGCGACGCGCTCTAGTAGTCGCCGCCACCGACGCTCTCCTGCTTCAGCTCACTAGGCCAAACCGCATTCAAGGATATCCAGATACACACACCGCTAGTATTCTGCTTTGCTGCTGACGATGGCAGCAACGAACGGAATCCACTCACCATCGCCTCCCGCGGCCGGCCGCTCCATTGACATTGAACTTGGGAGCCACGAAGTCATTACCATTGAACTCGACAGCCTAGACCCCAACCCAGATGATCTGTTGGACGTGCTCAGGGAAGGACAATGCAAGTCTTGGATATGGACACGACTGGCCGCAGAATACTGGCGGCGAGGCTACCTTGACGCAGCGGAGAAGATTGCCCAGACTGCGATAACTTGTATGTGTCTTGCTTTTCTTTCAAGCTTGTCATTTGACCGTGTACAAGCATTGAACGCAAATGGAGCTGGCTCGACATTACCGCCAATTTACGTTCTATTGGCGAACATCCGAATAGCGCGCGCGAGCACGGCTCCGAAACTCATCCTGCAGGATGCCCGTGAGCCTAAGCAGTAGCTTGCAGCTGTACGATGGAATTAACAAGTTCAACAGGAGAGGATACTATGACCTCGGAGAAGCCGAGGGACGAATATTACAAAGATGCAGCGCAATACTTCAATTCGGGGGAGAAGGCGGCGGCAGAATCAGGGGATATCGGCACTATGTTGTCGATACTGACAAGAGGTACGTCGATTCTGCCGTGATAAATCCCAATTCTTATAACTGTACGCAGGCGTATTGCAGATGGGCACGCGGGCGATGGATGATTCAATGCGGTCATTTGAGGGGGTTCTAGAAGATAAACCGACAAATCTGGTCGCGTTATTAGGCAAAGCGAAGATTCTATATGCACGACGACAGTTTCCCCAATCACTGAAGTTGTTCCAGACAGTCTTGAAGCTGAGCCCTCACTGTCTGCCTGACCCACGTATAGGTATCGGGCTCTGCTGCTGGGCAATGGGCCATAAGGATGTGGCGAAGGCGGCTTGGCAGCGGAGTGTCGAAGTGGTCAGTAGTTTTCTTTCAATTGATGTGCATGTCAGCTCAAAGTCTGGATTCCAGAACCCAACAGAGTGGTCGGCGCAACTCCTGTTAGGTCTGGAAGCCATCAACGCTAGTGCAAATGAGAATCAGACGCAGGAGGAGCGCAAAAACGAGATCGTTCTCGGCACCCGCTACGTTGAACGGGCATTCAAAGCGAACAACCGTAACTCAGCCGCAGCAAATGCACTTTGTCAACTGCTTCTACAGAAGGGACAGTACAAGAAGGTATAATCTGTTTGCATGCGTTACTTGTCCCACCTAACAGTTCTCGACTTAGGCTCTGAAATTGGCAGAGCGGACAATCCAATTCACGGATGTCAAGACAATCTTGACAGACGGTTATATTCGTGCAGGCCGTGTATCTCACGCCATGGGTGCAAGCACCGAAGCAATCAAGTATTTTATGAAGGCAAAGGAAGGACAGCCAACCAATCTTTTGGCTACGATAGGCCTTGCTCAGATGCAACTGAAGAATGGTGGGTGCAAAATACATCCATCAGGGACTTTTCTCACGCGACTTTCTAGATGAACCTGTTGGAGCTATACACACACTGGATGGCTTGCTGCAGCAGACACACGGCGGGCAACGTCCTATCGAAGCCATCGTCATGCTGGCATCTCTTCGGGCGAATCCTGCAGTCTCACGCCCGGGCATGTCCGCCACAGAGCAGGTTCAGGAAAGAGCGAAGGCGCGCGAGCTCTTCGACCAGGCTTGCAAGGTTCTCGCGCTTCCCGAGAATACTTACGCGCAAAACGGTGGCCACCCATCGGTTATCGGCCGCTCTGCGCGGAGGATCGCGGAGGACATCGATATGCACGCCGAGATTGCGCGCCTATGGCAAGGCGATAGCAATGAACGCATGGAACGGGCATTGAAGGAAGCGTTGCGGATAAGCGACGCCAGTGGCCGGACTGACCCGCGGCTCGTCAACGACCTTGGTGTCCTGCAGTATCTGGAGGGGCATCTGGATGCTGCGAGGGCAATGTACGAAACTGCAATCACTCAGGCATCTATGCTGGATGCGGCCGTCGCGGAAGGCATGTCGACGACGATGTTGTACAACCTCGCGAGGACATACGAGGAGCAGGGCGACGAATTCATGGCGAAGGAAGCTTATGACAAGCTTCTGGATAGGCATCCGGAGTATGTCGATGGTAGGTCTATGCATACTGCTAAAATGAATCAGTACCGCTGATCGTCGATGCTATAACAGCCAAGATTCGTCTTGCACAGATGTTGTCTAATCTCAACCGTAATAACGAAGCACATGAGCTTCTCAAGCAAGCCCTTACCTCGCAGAATAGTAACCTGAACCTCCGCGCATTCTACACATACTTCCTCATTCAATCGAATCTCCCGAGGCCGGCGAAGGACATTGTCTTCTCCACGTTAAAGGACCACGACAAGCATGATCTCTATTCTCTCTGTGCTGCCGGGTGGATCCAGTATCACCAGGCACGAGAGAGCCGTGATGTCTCGCAGCCGGGTATCGATGAGCGGAAACGGGGTTTTCAGCGATCTGCCGAGTTTTACGAGAAGGCGTTGCACCTTGACCCTACGTGCGCTGTGGCCGCACAGGGACTTGCGATTGTGACTGCCGAAGACGTGCTGGGCATGTTTGATGGTACCACGGGGCTGATCGCGCCAGATGATGCGCGGAGACGCGGGAAGAATGCGCGCGATGCTCTGGATGTTTTCGCAAAAGTCAGGGAATCATTGAACGACGGCAGTGTCTACGTCAATATGGGCCATTGTTACTATGCGCGTGATGAGTTTGACCGGGCAATTGAGAGCGTGAGTATGAATGTCCAGTTCTCGGTGTCCACTGCAGCTCATCGCACACCTTCCAGTACGAGACTGCGTCAAGGCGCTATTACGGTGGCCACAACGTTCCTACCTTGCTATATCTATGCAGGTCATGGTATTCAAAGGCTAGCAAGGACCAGTCCTTCAGCGCGATGAACACAGCATTGCAGTATGCACAGAAGGTAATAGCCATCCTGAGCCCCTTTCTATATTTCGTTAATCTTTTCATTTATAAGGCATACCATCTACACCCGTTTGACAAAGCCATCCTATACAACATTGCAACGATACAACAGAAAGCCGCTGAAATGCTCCTCACTATCCCGCCCGCGAAACGTTCCCTAAAGGAATTGCAGCATGCCATCGAACAAGCTAGTCATGCTCAGAAGTGAGTTTCCTTCAATATAAATCTAGCGCGAGTTGTTCTCACGGAGTTCACAGGCTCTTTGCCTCCTTGGCAGTCGACAAGTCGCCGCAAGTACCTTACAGTCGAGACATGGCTGATCAACGGCGAAAATATGGAGACAGCATGTTGCGTAAGTGCGACGACCATCTGGCCGCGCAGAAACAATGGGAGGCGGAAGCGCAGGCGAAGCTGGAGGCCGCGCGGCAGAGGAGGCAACAGGAGAAGGAGCAGCAGGAGGCACTGGAGGTGTGTCTATTCCGAAGATAACCTCAAATCATGCCTGACGACCTTTTCAGCGTGCACGTATGGAAGAACTGCGTCAGCAAGCAGAGCAACTCGCGGAGGAACGACGGAAGGCCAGGGAGCAGGCGCTGGAGTGGACGCGGGAAGTCAAGATGGAAAGCGACGAGGAGCGGGAACGGAAGGCAACGAAGAAGGCGAGTCGCAAGGTGAAGCTCGAAGGAGGAAGTGGGGATGAGGCGGGAGAGCCTAAGAAGAGGAGGCGAGGCAAGCCGCGGAAGACTGGTGGGGCTGGTGATGGGGAGGAAGCGCTGTTCAGTGGGGAAGAGGAGGGTGACAAGCCGGCGCGCAAAGTGAGCATCTGATCATTGTACTGCGTCTCGCTTGCGATTCTCACCCTTTTCCATAGCGGACAAAGAAGCGAGTCGTCCGAGATGATGACGATGAGGAAGAGGAGACCACCGGCGCTCCACGGAGAAAACAGATAATGTAAGCACTCCCATTCTGTTTGACTTTCTGAGCTCACAGCGATCATGTCTCGACAGCAAGAGTAAAGAGTATATTTCCGACTCGGATGAAGAGATGTCGTGATCTACACCAGTTCTCACTTGCTTCTTGCTGCTATGTTCCACTATCCATCGTATTGCTCCTGTATTTGCTAGTTTTGTATTCCATACGCATATACCGTGCATGCCCCATCACGTTTCAGCTCTGGCATATGGATGCAGAGTTACCATTCATCTCGCTCCTGCCATCATTAATTAGGAGCCTAGGGCTCAATACAAATGATGCTACATTAGGAAATACAGGACAACAGCAGGTCGAAGTTATCTTCACCTCCGAGCCGAAAATACGTGGAGCACAGGATCACATTTATCCAAGCATGTTGCAAAGTCGAACGGCAAAGATTCTCGTTCTTGAGATGAATAGGAAGCATCATGCAAGGATCGTCCATCCGGAGAGCGTGCTGATAAAGAGCGAAAACAAGACGCCCAGAGTGAGGGCGCGAGCGTTTGCGAACTCTACGGCTGACGAAGATGAACTGGTGGAAGATGAACTGGTGGATGACGAGCTGCCACCGCCTGGAAAATCGAATCAGTCAGTCAGTCAGCCTCCCAACCACGCTTAAGCATAACCACCCCAGACACTCACTCGAAGTAGGCGTAGTCAAGCCAGACGTCGTAATACTTGCGCTCTTCTCCGGCCCGCCTATTGTAGTGGTATATGAAGTGACCGAGACAATAATTTCCGATAGCGAGAGGGATGGGCAGGTATCAGATGAGGAAAAGGAAAAAGACAGCGAGGACACTGGTGAGGTCAACATGTACGGGGGAGAGTGCCAGCGCAGGTGACGCACCCGAGCTGGAGGGTGAGTTAGAACTGGATCCAGACCCACCGGCTGAGGTGGACAATTCGGCGAAGCCAACGGACGCAGGGCTGGAGCGGAAGACGGTGTATACGTTTTTCTGTAGATGATACCATACTGAGTAGACGTTTACCAAGGGTCTAGACGAACGGACTCACCAGGAAAGTATCGCCAACCACCCAAGTAGGATCGCTAGATCCAGAGACATCTGAGCCCTCCGACAAGATGAAGACACCGCCCAAGCAGGAGTCACCCGAAACCACACCAAGGTTCATGTCAGCCGAGTTAATAGGCCACTCCTTTCCGCCGAAGGAAAGTGTAACGTTCACCGTTGTCGAGCATGCTATGAAGCAGTGAAGAAGTCAACGATGGAAATAGAATGGTTCCCATATTGTCACTCACGGAATGAATAATAGCCCTCATAATCACCCTCCAATGCGGTCGAGCCAGTAATCTCAGCGTAGATGTTCTCCACAGCTGATTGCGGGCCGCCGATCAACGTCGTGCCCGTATCGATCGCAGCATTCAACGAAGTGCCGAGATCGACGGACGATCCCTGGACTGTCATGTTCGAGATCGTCAGCAGCCAGTATGTTTCTTGGCTGCTGTCCGCGAGGTCATGATACTCGATATCACCCGAATACAGAGAGCTGTTCGTCCCGCCCAGCGTGAACGTGCCTCCGGGCTCTTCACTCGCCGCGCTCGTATCGTCCAGGAACCGGGCGAGGTAGAACGCAAACTCCGGGCTCGACAGCTGGCCGTTGCTAATGAGCGCCTGCCAGAAGGGCACTGCGCCGGTCGACGCGAGCGACTGGAAGGCGAGGCCAAGGATACCAGTCACATTCCCGCCCAGAAGAGCTGAGGAGACCTCGTTCACGAGCAGGAACGTCTGCGAGTCCACCGAGAGGCCACCCATTGAGATGGTATCTGAGGCTAGCGTTCCCTCAACGGCACCACTGCCATATTGAATCTCGACCTGTTTGGCCTGGCCAGTCGTTGAGTTGGTGGTGTTTGCCTTATATGTTGATGAAGAGGAGGAGCTGTATTCAGGCGTGCCGCTGGGACAACCTGAACATGACGTTGATGCTAGCCACAGGTCCGATGACCCGGTGTCCATGATTAGGGGAAAGCTTTGCGAGGGAGTGCCCACTCCTAAGATACCAAGGTACGAAGAATCTTGGTTCTGTTACATGAAGTGAATTAGCGATACTATCTCTTGCCATACTGAAAGACCCGAAGGGGGGGGGCATCAACGTTAAGAATACCAGTGCCAGATTGCGTGACGTTCGCTGGCGATAGCGGATAGCGGGACGGGAGCAGCATTAACAGATGTCGCTGACCGCAGCACCCTCCATGCGCAGTCCAATAGCCTCCGGCGAAGGCGCCAACCTTCACGTCGCATACTAAAATAGCCACGCTGAAGACGCATAGTCTCCGGCTACTGCGCACTTCCTCCCCTTCCCCCACGAGTGTGAGAGCTTCGATCGTGGACACATCGTGGACACCGCAATGGGATGGAGAGTGGCAGCTACTTCTCTGAGCTGGGAACGGCCAAGGACTGCGACCCTCAGAGTAGAAAAATTGCTACGCCCAACGTAGTGGCGCCCGAGCCAGCGCCTCTGACATCAATGAAGTCGAGACTCATGATCATGCAGATCGGTGGCGGGCTTGCGAGCGCCCAGTCACACAGGGCCGGGTAGCGCTGGCCTCCCTCCACCCCTATGAACGAACAACTGTGCACACTCATGTAGATGCAAAGCTACATACCTGATCAATGAGTGAGACACCGACTGACTCGCCACGCTTCCTCCTTTTGGAGGCCAAGGTCTCGAAACCATATTTTGCTCGTAAATGTTCCGCAGCAGCGATCCAGTGTTCGGGAGATGCTGCTGCTTGCTGTGTTGACCTGCGAGCGAGAGGTACATGGAGAGGGTCGGCTGCGACGAGAGCGACGAGAGTAAAAGGGAGAAGGAGTGCAGGACGAACCATGGCGGTGGTGGTCAGAGGAAGAGAAACGACTGGAGTGGAGGTTACAATGCTGACCGTGACGGTGGAGAACAATCCGCAGGCTGACAGGCGCCCACGCCACAATACAGTTAAATTTCAATTGCGGCACTTCAAGATGCCACATATTCATTGACCGACGACTTTTTCTCTGTAGAGCTTGCTGCCAGTGTCTGTTAATCTCGCTGCGCGTAGAGCTCTTCGTCAGCGGCGGCGATGCCAGCACAGAAACGCGCACCGTGCCAGATCTGCCAAAGCAGCGAATCCAAATACACCTGCGCGCAGTGCAAAATACTATAGTAGCTCTGACCCTAGGTTCCTACGCGCTCACGCTGATCTGATGATTGGGAATTCAGCTGCTCCATATCGTGCTACAAGGAACACAAGGGTAAGTTACCGTCTTGGCGTCTCTCATCTCGGAAGGTTTACTTGAGCGGTTCTTCCGCGTAGCGACTTCTTGTCAGTCTCAGAGTGCCCAGCCAACCAGCCTTCCCCAGGTACTAGACCCAGGGCCCAGCAAGCCTGAAGGTGAGCATGAGCAAACTTGATCAGCATCCTTAACCTCAACTACTCTTGTCTGGAGCTGCCCACGATGATGCTGCGGTTGAAGCTCAGCACACGGAACTCCGTCCTCTCACGTCTCTGAAATGGCCATACGTACCAGAGGAATCTGCGTATCCAGACCCACTCAGGCGCGATGACCCTAAGTCACTGCAGCTACCTCAGTATGAAGCGATAGGTATGTAGTCCTTCTCAGCCTGAGAATCGCTCGTGTGTTGCCTCCATGCCAATACGTTGGTTTCCATGCCCCAGCAACATCTCCAGCCGTCAGACGCTCACTTGCATCGCACCCACAACTTCCCGCCCTCCTCCGCTCTCTCGATCAGCTTCGCGGGCCCGAACGCGAAGAAGCCCTCGAGCATGCACTCGGGGTCGCGCCTCCCGACCCTCGCGAGGTGCGGACAGAGGATAATACGCACGCCCTGAGAGAGCTCGCGGAGGCAGTGGAGGCAGCAGTGAGAGGAGGAAAACAGGATGTGCTAGGTCTAGATTGGGGTGATTAGGCGTTGAGAGCGCGTGTAGATAATGACCGATCGGTATGACAATAACCCATCATGACTGTGTGTGTTGCTCATGAAATGAAGCTCCTTTCCGTGACAGCATGTTCACCATGGCGACGAATACCAACTATTCGATCACGATGACGCTTATGAAGATCCAATTAAGGCGAATCTCTTATACCAACTGTAAAACATCAAGAAAACACGTGTAGAAACATGTAACGACACTACAGCTACCTAGAATGACAGTGCATGACAAATGCTACAACCATTCAAAACCTCCTCTCATGCGTCACAGGACGTGGTAGCACCATCAAGAACGTGGCCATCTTCGCCGTGATCCTGCCACACGCATTAGTCCCCGCCACACATCAACTTCACCGGGCATACCTCTCCAGCATGGCCTCCTGCTCCGGCACGCGCGTCCGATACGTCTCGCGCGCGAGGCCGATCAACTGTGCATGCACGGCCCAATACCGCTGGATATGCACAACGGCCTCTTGAAGCACCTTCGGTGGCAGGGCCTGCGTGGGCCGAAGCACCTCGACGCGCTGCGCGTACTGTATGTACTCTTCGTACATGGTGTTGATCTGCCGTTCGAGTTGGGCGAGCCGTTTGAGCATTCTGACGAGCGCACCCTGAGGCAGAGTAGAGTGGCAAGTGGCGAAGAGTGCAAGAATGATGAGCTAGATGATACGTGTCCGAACGGACAGATTGTAGCACGTCCATCAGGTTTGCATGCTATATAGCACGCATGGGGCATTACAGGAAGTGGCCCGCCGAGCCATCAGTCAGTCCCAGTGGCTGATTCAGTGGCACCGTATGGCCACATTGTTGAGTGGCCCACCACGTCGCATTGGCATATAGCAGGCTCCTTGGCATGTATCGTGACTTGAGCTGCACATATTTGTTAAATGCAATCCGCGCCATGCACATGGACTCTACTGATCATCGATGCATTCAGAGAGATCTATAAGGATTTCCGTTCAAGACGGACACCAAATTCATCCATATTCGCGGAGTCTTGCTCGACTGCTGTTGGTTCACTGAAGCGTAGGGCGCTCTCGCTCGACTTTGAAAAGAACGTGTATCCTGTTTTTGAAGTCTTCAGCAAGTACTAGTGGGGTAGTATGCGATGCATGTCATTTCTGAAGTAAGTATTGGCAGGATGGGAACTATGCAATGCTTTGGTCCCTGATGTGCTGACGCATATTCAAGCTACAGCAGAGTCTGTTAGTGAAATGCTTGCCCAGTAGTCACTAATGTGCATACGCACATTGCGAATAGCATATTCACATATACTGCAAATAATTACAATCAGCCGGGAGTTAGTGTTGTTATAACGCACTGGCAGCATTACTTACATGAACCTGTTAAGAAGAATATCGCTGATATCGCCTCATCGTGTTCTACGGTGCTATATACGAGCTCCGAGAGCGATTGAAGTCACCTTATCCCTTATCCATAAAAGAGCATGTCGAACCCACATCACCGGTGAAAATCAGTTGGATGATGCCTAGCACCTAGTGGCACAGGATCGTTAGACTAAGCCAGAAGTGATCACGAATCCATCTGCAGCAGTATAAGGAGATGTTTGGCAGCATATCGAACTAGCAGCGAGAGCATGTTTTCCGTACTGTCTCATTCATCCCCGTCATCAAATTGTGTTTCTTGACGTGTCGGACAACCCGCCTTGATATGCCCGTCCTTCAAGACGATCTGTGGAGGATGATGGACGAACCGGCCATTATATATATCAGTGATAAGGCAGCTTGACATCTCCACTATAATCGGTAGCTGATATAGCAACGTGTGGATCATCGCGATGTCAACAGACTATGGGGCTTACTGTATGTGACGCTTTTTCTAGTTCCAAATCCAGCAAGAGGCAGGTCTTATTCGTGACTCGTGAGTCTAGCGTCTGACGTCGCCGACAGTCGCCCGCTGTTTTGTCGTCGCACTAGCACTCACAGCTCATAAACAGTGTCTACCAGAGACACGCGAAAAAATTGTCAGTTGATGATGATAGTATCATGCAATAGCTAAGCCCCTACCTGCAATGCCGCCTGCGTAATAAAAGGAATCCCGTCAAAACATCTGATTATAATATAGGGCATTGAACAGCATCGAACGTCGCTGAAGCAGTCACAAACTAGCAGAGTTGCATGACAAGTTGCACGAGAGCGACAAAGACTGAATAAGAAGGTTAACACATACTGCTCAAGAGGTCAAAATCATCCTGTTTTTCATCCTTTCCACCATTTGAATGCATAACAGAGCATAAGTGAACGTTTGAAAAGCCGATTGCCTTCATGCCACCGGTTTTGGACTACCTGGACCGGCCTGCCTGTTTGCTTCTCCAACATCTCGAAGATCCTCACGTCATGTGTGTCGCTGACGCTGATTATTTTAACGGTTCCCACGTCCTGTAATTTCATCAGGACAAATCGATGAGGTGACGGTGCCAGTGATGTGCTCAAACGGGGAATGAAGGATGCTGTCCAGGGATGTGGTGTTGAGGTCCTGCATCGAGGTTTGCACCGCTGTCTTTATCTGAGTTGCGACGTCGTCGCAAGAGTTGTGTAGAAGTCATTGACTGCAGTCTTGGCCACGAGCGATGTGCATCTGCACGCCGCAAAGGTGAGCTACAATATACGGTGGTTTCATCGGTTTTGACCGAAACCAACTTAGCGCACCGACCTCTGGCACTCTCGTGTGACTCAGTGAGTGAGCTCCTGTGGATCATCGAGAAGGGTCTGCGTCTTCCAGCTCGACAATTCCGAATAATCGAGCATTTCCCTAGGTATAGCCTGCGACCAACCTGCGACAAGTCACAAGCCCATGCGGTTAGGCTCACCTCATCATCTAAATCGTGTGAGTTGTTCATTCCAACAACTGTTGATACATTCTGTTTGAGCTGTAAACGGTTAAGACCACCATTTCTGACTATCGCGATGTTTGACTCCACTGGCAAAGTGCAACGCGCAACAGCCCTGGGATGGTTAGCTTACCTGATCGGGTTTTTGTGGGCCCATAGGCGTTTATCGGTTGCGATCTGATTGGTCCAAAGCACTGATGTCTTGTTGTGTCACGTTCGTTCACGTTCGTTCATCATGGAGAGTGAGATCGCTTGAACTTGCCGCGCTGATGACACAGAAATATTGTTTATCATCACTGGCTATCATTTGCTGATACTCCGGGTTGCTTAGTTCGTCACCGATCGCGCGCATCCGGTGGGTTACGCATAATCATGTTCGCTAATTGCGGAATGAGAACGATATCATCGTTCCGCATCGACTCATTGGTCTCTGTCGCCTCGTCGCATCATCTATTTCAATCGAAGACGTCACTGAGGTATGGTCCGTAGTAGCCTTAGGATATAGATGTTGTGGTTAATCATGACCAGTCCGTCATTCTTTGGTATGAAGTTCAATGTGATTCACCATCATAGAATTTAGCCGATAATGCCCGCAATTACTGTCGGACAACAACTCACACTACAACTAAGCTGTCTCGCCCAGACGGAGAGCTCGATGCACGCCGCCTGTCAACTGGATCTCGACATATTCCTTAGGCGACCCTCGCTTGGCAACTCCTGTTTATTAGTCCAATAGTCCTCGTCACGAGTGCACACATCAACAGTCAACGACTGCTGCGCAACACCTTACACAGTAGGCTCTTCAAAAGTTGCATGACTGCGGATACTAAATCTAGTAGCGGTGCATCGTGATTCGTATCCAACGTCAACGAGTATAAACAATGAAGCAAGATGATGTGATGTTGTGGCGTCAAGCTGCGACAGGAAGAATGATTGTGCAGAACACTGCAGATGTGTGCTATTTGCAGCTCTGATTGGGGAACCCGCAATGTCTCAACATCTATAGGCCTGTCGGCTCAATTCTACGGGTTGGCTGCGGAATTATCTATGAGCAACACCATCTGCTATCCACCCGTTCCTGCACAGCCTGGGACGCCCATTTCGAGCTTGTGTAGCACGTGAAGCACCTCGTCCTCCGGTGAGTTCATCCTATTAGGCGTCTTCGGGTTCCATGGAGTACTTGCGCATAGAGCAACTTTGTTGTTTCCCCTGTGCCTGATTGCACAATTGCGGCGTGCAACTTTACGGCTAGGGATCTCAAGCTTCAGGGGGAATATGACAGTCGTTAGGCGGTCTCTAGGCATAGCGATGGGAGGCTAGTCGTCAGCCGGCCTCTGGGCTATAGCAATGGGCTTCTGTCGGTTGGCACGAGCGGGCATTGAGCGCATGGTTGGTGTATCAGCAATCCACAATCTGCTACAGTTGTCCCTAAGATTCATTACTCAATACAAATAAACCCGGATTCGAGCCTCTGATTAGTGAGACGAGTATGTATGCCCACATGCTATATGGTGCAGCCGCATTGTAGTGTGTACAGTATTGACGCAGATCGGCGGAAAATCTGCGAGTGCCCGCATCGAAGCTGCACAACAGGATGTAGAAGGAATTCTCAGGCTGCTCCTTGTCCTGCACTCCTACCAGAGGAGAAGCTGGATATCGTGCCGTAGAGTGAGGTCTATCGAGCATGTAATCTTCTTGCCCCTGTACCATTGATTGACTTCAAAAAAGGTATCACAATCCATCCTACAGTCTTCACCACCTCTCAGGGTGCGTTCGTGACGTCTTCGTCATATTGCATATGAGCTCCTGAAACAGACGCAAGAGAATGATGCCCACCATCAAGCTCGTAGTCCTCCTCCTCTTCCGGCATTGCGGCGCGCTCATCATGCACGATCACCGACGATGTCTCGCGGAAGGGATTGCTGATCAAATATACGCTTGATTGATTGGTAGGCTCTCGACGATACAGATCGGTGATATCAGCTGTTTATGTTAGTCAAGCAGCTATTCATAGGTATGTGAAATACGTCATTACTTTCTGCAGTGCCGGATGCCGATGTCGATGTTCCAACGGCCACCTCGTTTGTCTCAGAGGAGACACCGGCTGTCATATTTGTTACTCCATCGATATAAGTCACCAGAATACTGGATGACAGCTTACCAGCAGCGTCATCGCCAGAATATGATTTATGGATTTTCGTCCGTGTTATCCGAACGTACTGGCTTCTGGCAGTACGTGAAGACTGCTGAGACAACTCGATCAACGTTAGTCGACGAGCGGGGAGAATTTAGACCTACCTGCATATCACAGTTCAGCTTCTTCGCGGTATTCTTATACGAGGAGATTGCATGACGACGTTGCCAGAGTCCGTGCTTTACGTATAGATTATCTCGAAATTGCTTAATTCTGCAGTGTCATGTGGTTTTTCAAAGTGTTAATCATTAAAAATAATGGAACGTACTCATCATACTTATCGTTCAAGCTTTCATGGATGTCCGGCGGCATGATTCTGACGGATGCCTCCAGTAGCTTGAGGCTGGATTCCTGATATTGATCGCCGTATTTGAGCTGGTTGATGGGCAGTCGATTCTTTATGACGCGCATGGCCGGCTTGCTGGCTGACACAATCGTCGCGAAGTCAGCGGCGGCATCGAGAGCGTTGAGAAAATCCTCGGTCAAATCAGACATGACGCGAGCTTAGAATCTGGGGCGAGGAGGGGCAATGGGTCTTGCAGTATCACCGTGCACTGATTTGTAGGTATTCAAGATCAGCACGCGCCTCCATTACAACCCGACTACGCATTTTAGGAACAATAGGCGATTCAAGGCCGTGCACGTTGAGATACGAATGTGAACGCCAACGCCACGAAACGTTTACGTACTCTTGGAAACAACTTGACAGGGAAGTCTTCTTAGCGATATCGGCACGTCCCGCTTTCCAGAACGAGCCGGTACTATCCATCAGCTCTTGTGTTTCTATGGTTTCTCCCTTTGTCCTCGCTATGAGTACCCACATTATGGGCTAACAGACATAATATTCGTTGAAGGACCTTGTACGCATCGAGCCAACGTCTGAATGAAGCTCATCATTTTGCTTCATTTAAAGCAACCGGGCATCGGACGACGCTCAAGGTGTTCCACGTCAGTGAATGCCCAGGCCTGATGGCAACAGAGCAACGTAGGTCGTCTCGAACGAGCTTTTCTTTTTTGACGAGCAACAGCCGTGCGGAGAAATTGCACCGATATATCAAAACCGATTGCCTTTGAGTCTCAGAGTATTGCAGCTACCGGTGCTGGACAGTAAGAGGCAGAGGCAGGCATGAGTTGAGCCGGGATGGGCTGGTTTTATGTAAATGGCGGCGCGGTGACTGCGACTGTTTGCTTCCGCGGCTGAAGCGCTCCGTTGACGCACGTGATCGATCGCTTTCTACTTGCGGATTAGTTGTTCGCGGATTAATTGTTTGATAATTGTCGCACAGCAACAGCCTACTTTGCGGCTCGGGAGCTCTTACGCGATTTATATTCCCTTGCTTCACTACTCTGGATGAAGGGACTTTTGCCCGTTGGCTCTCTGACTCTCAAGCCGGAGCGAATCGTCTCATCCGCGAAATGTCATCAGAAACCCCCATAGTTGACGTGGCGGATGAAGCGTCAGATGCCCAATTTCCTGGGAAACTGCGCAAAGGCGAGCTGTACTGGCGCGATCGTCAACCATGGCTTCAGGAGCATGGTTATATGCTTCGGCCAAGATATAGACCAGATTGGAAACCGTCTTGGATTGGTACGAAGAGATCATGGATAATCTCTGAAGACGGTGTTTCGCCGTCGGTGAGTTCCCTCTTGCGCACGCAAATGCAGATCATTGATACACATACAGCACCATGCAATTCTCGATGCTACCCGTATCGCGGACGGGAGGATTGTTACACTCAAGAGGATATCGAGGTCAATACATCCTCACGAGGCGGAGATCGGTCAGCTTTTCTCCTCTCCACCACTCGCATCAGACACACGCAATCACTGCGTCCCCCTATTCGAAGTCCTTCAGGACCCAATAAAAGAGGATATGTCAATTCTGGTCATGCCTCTGCTGAGAAAGTACAACGATCCCCGTTTCGGGACAATAGGAGAGGCAGTAGAATTCTTTAGACAGCTGTTCGAGGTGAGGTAATTCCATTATTCTCCGTTCGATCACAGCCCTGATGTCATTACAGGGTCTGCAGTTTATGCATAAACAGCATGTTGCTCATCGGTAGGCCCATGGGACATTCGTTGTTCAATCGCTGATGCGGCTCTTAAGCGACATCATGCGGCTGAACGTCATGCTGGACCCTCAAGCAATGTATCTACAGCTATATCACCCGAATTTCTGTGATAAGAAGCTCGACATGAGCGGAAATGCCAAGCATTATACCCGCACTGAACGACCAACAAGGTATTACCTTACTGACTTCGGTCTTTCGAGGAAATACGATCCGAGCGCTGGTCCTCCCAACGAATACCCAATCATTGGCGGTGATCGAACTGTCCCTGAATTCCAACGCGAACGGATGAACGAAGCATGCAATCCATTCCCTACTGATATATACTGCACTGGCAATCTCATACGAGAGGATTTTTTGAGGGTAAGTCCGAAGAAGATTGCGAACCTTTCGTGTCCTGATTGCGAAATTCCATTAGAAATACTATGGTCTTGAGTTCATGGAAAAGCTTATCGAAGACATGGTACAGGACGATCCTGCAAAGCGTCCTACGATCGACGATGTCGTCTCTCGCTTCGATGAAATTCGCAATTCTTTGAAACGATCGACATTACGCTCGCGTCTAGTAGCCAAAAACGAGGATGTGATTATTCGCGTGTTGATGGGCTTACAGCATGCCTTCCGTACAACTTCGTTCGTTGTCAGAAGATTACCTGCAATCCCCACCCCTTCCGAATCGACGTCTATTCATGCGACATCTGCTAAGTCCGTCATTTTCAACGAGTCTACGCCTTCAGAAGCGCGTGCATCTGATCTCGCTGCTGCAGCCTCCGTCGCACCTAATCCACCTCTCTTTACTGCGCCCACTGCTCCGGAGCGGCCACCTTACGACGTCACTCTCGATGCCAAGGTCCCAGTTACGGAAGCAAAGCACACTCTTTCCGATTTTTCAGCGTCGAGCCTTGCTGAGCACACTGTATCAGGATGCCAGCGGTCGCCCTACGATATCACTCTGGTGGATGCTAAGCTGGAAGCGAAGTCAGAGCGTGTTATTCCCGATACTCGCGTGTTAGCTTCTGCCGGACCCGTCACTACGGAGTCAGATCATGAGCCCATTCCTCTCGATCTTACCGCTGCTGAGAAGTCGTCTCCCCACTTTGTGCCTTCCGATGCGCCTCCTCCCCAGCCGGTCATTGCCGACTTAGTCACTTCTGCTTGATATTCATGTCATGAGCGAAGAGATTTAACTCCGTTCGCGTTGATTCCACGCATTCTTGGCCGATGCCCGCCGATGTCATTCTTCCTGGACTCGCAACCGCTGGCACCACTCTTTCTGAGCATGCCTCTACTGAAGTCATTCCTTTTTGGACCGCCTCCGCTGACAACCGGGGACGTCAAGACGTATTTACTCGACTGTCGACCTCTATATCTCAATTGGTCTTGGGTTCCTCGATACCGTATATTTCGGACAGCCTACTATCCTATTTCATTGTCAGTCAAGCACTTTATCTGAATAAGTGAATCGCCCTATCCTTGTCACTGCAGTCTGTATGGTATCTCTGCTTTGCCACTGCCGTTGCATTGTGCTATCGCAGTTGCGTTATTACATAGTTTCTTCAATTGTGCATACGCTGACGCCTAGTTTCCGAAGAGCAATGAATAACATACGATTGGGATGTGAACTGCTGATATCGGCAGCAGCGTAAATTCATTTATTACCAAAAAATGAAAGCCTTGATACCGTTCTAGCCGGGGATGTGATGGTCCCAAAATTTTGCTATCACAGCCGTCAAACTGCTTCTACCCATCAGAATTAAGAGTAAGAAGACATATGCCGGCATTGCCCATGCACACTGGGATTCGAGCTCAATGTGCATGGCTGGAAGCTAACGGAAAATTGGACCAGTTCTGAAACAAAAACAATAACGTATGGTGGATTTTAGCACAGTGTTTGCAAACAGGGCGTAACTAAATTATGATCGTATAAATGACACCAACTTGACAGATTGATGAATGGCGCCTTTTCGACGAGAGCCCGCTAGTTTCGGTTCCAGACACCTTTCAGCGGAAATAATGTACTTCGCGATAGATCCACGTCGACAACACCGATCGCTGGCTTTCATGCTCGACGGGGTCTGATTATCATAGGCATCTGCGTGCCTTTCTCCGTCTCACTTCGAATGATCGGACGTCGCACAACCGTAGACTTCACTACGACCTCATCCGCGGGTATTGCAAGCTTGAACTCGAACGCGCGGACGAGGGTCAAGATCAATGCTTTGATCCTAGTGAACGTTGTAAAGACGAGGTAATCCTGAGTTGAGGACATCGGGCTTACTCAATGATGGCAAAACGATAACCTATACATCCACGCGGCCCACCAAGGAATGTCATCAAGTCACTCCAGGAATAGAGTGCGCGGCATCCGGAACGGCCTTCCAACGATCGGGTCTGCGTGCGAGAGTACATAGAAGACCCAAGTATGGGAAGCAAGTGACTTGGCACGTACTTAAATTCCAGGGCGTCATCGCCCCATATCGTCTTTGCCCTGTTCAATGCCAGAAGAGGTATATCTATCGTTGTCCCCTTCGGAACGCTGCCACACATGCCAAGTCAGCATGGGGACTGTATTGCACGTCCTGATATCTTACTCGATTCTATCGCGCGGTTTCCCATGCACATCGACGAACGGTTTCTGAAGAGGGATGGTGTCATCCTTGACCGCAACCCTGAGGCTAGAAGGAACGGGGGCGTGTAGCCGCAGAGTCTCGCGAACGACAAGGTCGAGAAAGGGCAGCGCTTGAAGCTCGTCCATGGATGGGCCGTCGGTGGGAACTTCGCTTAACTCGGCATATAACTTCTCCTGAGTTTCAAGATTCTGTGTCAGCGCATATAGGCACCACATCGCCCCGTTTGCAGTTGTTTCATATCCAGCTGTCAGAAAACTGGCAAGCAAAGGTGAGATTATGGACGATAGTGGCGCACAATCACTGCGTACGTCGGTATCTCTGATACAGGTTTATTAGCACCGGCAAGGATTAGATCAGAGGGCATCACGCACGAGTGAGTACTTCGTCATCAGTGAGCCTCTGGTCTACAGGAATACCCGTTGCCATATTTGCTTTCAATAACAAGGCCAACAGATCACGGCCTGCGAAATTCAGGCGCATTGCACCGGCTTTCTCGCCTTCTACCGTAGCCTCCAGTATGCGCTTCTTCTCCACAAGCAGCTGCGCACCGATACGATAGATCGTCGCTTTGGCTGCAGCGAGGCGCCTTGTTCTCTCCGTGGGCTACAAATATAGATCAGGTGGGTACATGACCGACGAACGGCCGGTACTTACGAGGTATCGAAGAGGCGGAAGGAGAAATTGGAGCACAGTTAAGAATAATGGTTTCCCGCTCGGCGGGCCGAAGATTGCTTGAAAAGCGTCAGCGAGCTCATTGAATTTCCCATCACGTCGCAGCAGATCAAATTCGTGATCAAATCCTCAATAGGTAATTCAGTTCATGGCGTAAAGGTCAACCAAGAACAGGAGGCTTTCACCTGCAGAGCCCATGACATCCAGTGTCATTTTGGACAACCCATTCAGCACGTCGAGGCGGGCGCCTTGTGCGTCGTCGGAGATTTCGTCGAGCCACATATTACGCAGCTATGAACAACTGTTGTCAAAGGATCATACTACGACGCAGGTTTCTCCGTACCTGAATGGCTCTGTCCACGAATATCTCGGTGAAGTTCCTCAGCTGGACTGGCCCGAATGCTGGATTCTGTGCAATCTATCTTGGAGGCAGCTAGTATCAATGCGCGTGATCGCATACCAGAATTCGTCTCTAAATTGACATGTGGCGCAATCGTAATGAGTCAACCGTGTGAAGTGACATGTTCAAGCACTGCCTGACCTGTTTGCGATGTTGCTCTCCTTAAAGTGTTTGAGCTCTGCACTTCAGCAAGGTTCCCGGGAAACACTGACCTTCGACTACTACTACACCTGAAAAACAACGCAAATATGATTTGCGATCGCGGATACGAATCCCATGTCGACTTCCCACTGCCAATGGCCTCAGCTATCATGTATCGAGCGAGCGCCGGCTTGTGATAATCCTGAGAATGAGTGAGGATATGATTGATAGCCCTAGGGTCAACAGTGTAGAGATAGTCTTGCTAATGTGGTCAAGCTGAAGTGAGCGTACATCTCGGAGATACGAGGAGATGAAACCAACGTTGAGCCAGCCCTTGTACTTGATTGTCTCTCCGTACTGCTCTACCCACATCTCTTGCATACGAACGCTTCCGGTATCGAATATCTGACGCAGATTGCCATAGATCCGACTAGGGCTTGCTGGTCCCCGCAGCGAACGCAGAGAAGAAAATTGAGGCTGAAAGACAACGACATAAAGCTTGTAGAGAGCATACGCCGCTAAGATAGCGGAGACTATTTCCGCAGCTGAAGAAGGACGGGCGATAGGTAAGGTGTCCTCACCGAAGGCTGCAAGCGACCCTCACCTGTCTCGATCTGCATCTCGGTATCGTTGGGCAGTGAAAGTACACGGCTCATGAGAGAAGAGAGTAAATCACAGCTGGTGGCGCCATTTCTGATAAGCTGACCATACCGCTAGGCAGAAAGGGATCGCAACTGCCAGGTGCTCGTTGCGGATCTGAGACCGGGTTTCGCGGAAATGACAAGCGCCCAAAAGCATTGGTTCGGTTTAGTAATTATCAGCCGCCACTTCAAGTTGCCCTAAAATCTCTATCCAAAGGTCGCGAAACATTTCTTGCATCAGAAATCACTGCACGCGAGACTGCCCCTGTAATATGATCCTTGGGTTTGAACGCACACGCAAACATCGACATCTACTTCTTTCCGGAGACCCGTCGGTGCCATACTGCCTGAGGCTGCGCTTACGAGCGTAGCAACGTAACATTACAAGGGTTAGGTGCTTCGTTAATCTCACATCGTGCCAGTAGCCACGGTTGCATATTGCGAGCTTTCGAGCTAGTGATAAACATAAACCTTTGCTCTGCTGAAAACTACCGGAGTCTCTGCAATGCCGACAACTTGGAGCATCTAGTCCACCTCCAGTTTCAAATTCTCTGCAAGCGGCGCGATGCTTCGTACAACGTGTGGGAGAAAAATCAGTAGATGAATATACGGACCACTCGGTGATGATTCCAGGATCCCGCACATAGGCGATGACTCACAGGAAACTTGCACGAATTTATAGTTTTTTCTTCTTCTTCAATCCGTCATGACTTCGGAAGCAGGCAATTATGGGCCTGACTCGGCAGTAGTACAACAGACTGCTGGCCAGCATCCACCGGCTCGATAGTGGCGAACGACGGTCTCCGTACACAACGGATATGGTGTCGCGTAATCGGGACCGTTATCTATCCACACTAGGAATCGTTCAGCGTGGATGCATATTTACGTGGCATGAACATGGTAACATATCATACTGACGACACTTAACAGGGACAGTGAGGTGAAAAGAATAATAGCATTGACGATGAGAGCCAGAGGCTCACAATTGTGGTACGTACAGGACAATCAAGCACGCTTTCAAAGCGATGGACGAGTAATTGCAGAGGAACATCAGAATCTCGGAGGCCTGTTCTGAGAATATGCGCGCATGCACTCCCTCAAGACAATGTAGACCGAACGCGCAGACTGGAGATTGGCGTCTCGGGGTCCAGATTGACGCTTTGCAACAGCAGGATGCATAAGCACGGCACAGTTGACAATTGTTTTGAAGTCACGTACGATTGTCGCTCGCGCGAGCTCCAAATCTACTGTCAGGTCCTCACATGCAGCATCCACGACATTCCAGACATCGTGGAAGACGGAGAGTCTGCTGGTGAGATCGTCGATGTTGTCTCTGATATCAGAGGTAGTCGTGACTCTCGCTTTTGCCTGTGCGTCGGTCATTCGAGAGTCTGTCGAACAGGTGAGATCCGTTGGTCAAGACGGTAATGCATCAGGTCCGACACGCACTCGGCAACTCATCCATCTCGATCACGATCTGAACAACTGTGGCTCTAAGAATCAGGCAGCAGGTAACATGAAGTTGCATGATTCCTCACTGCATGAGACACGTATTCTCTTGATGCGCATGGCTGTAGATCTAATCACGTTGATCATCTCATTCAGCAACTTCTGCAATGCCTACGAGCATAATCAAGTTCTGCTCCACCATAAGCGTGGTGAGCTCACTAGCTAACGTACCTGCCACACATTCATCAGAAGACTGCAAAGGGAAGAATTAGTCGGTAAATAATTTGTTATTGCGACGAGCTCACTGCTCCAAACCAGTCCAGATGTGCGCCCAGATATTCGACGGCTCAGCATGTTGACGTAAGGCGCCCGCGATCTTCAGCTTGAAAGCCTCGATGGTTTCGCCAACCTGAATGAACTCGTTCGCCGTGCTTCGTGCAGCCGCCTTATGAATCTGTACAGCCTGCATTCAAGTTCGCTGTGAGCATCGAAGGGCCTGGGCGAGCAGTGGCCTTCCACATAGACATACATCGCGAAACTTGCCAATCATAAATATCTTCCCCTGTACAGACATCCCGTCTGATTGGGACAATGGTCTGATCACTTCGTCAAAGTCTGATGGCCTATGAGGTCCATAGTCCAGCAGTTTGTGCGGAGCTTACTGGTTAGAAAGCTGGCGCATCTTCCCGCGTTCTGAACTGAAGAACGGTGGAGCCTTCGGTGTTGCTACCGACCATGGAGGACCGCCTCAGATCATTCATACAGATTGTCAACGTCAAAGAGCAACTAACCTGACTCAGAGTACTCCATTCCTCATAGAGTGGATGATGCTGTCCAATCTGATCCAGAGATTCCAGCTGGTTGGCGACGGAGTTGAACAACCTCTGTACTTCCGCATGGTCATTGGCTAACGAAGCGAAATGCTCCTTCAATCGAGTGATGGAATCCTTCTCGACCGTCGGAGTGTAAGGAGGAGGAGGACGGGCTGTGGAGGGGGTGACTGCAATGGCATCTGACATAGACATGTCGGAGAACAAGACAACGAGGTGCGAGGCGACCCGTGCCTGCCTTTATCGCTTCCCAGTGCCATGCGGAGAGGTCGAAGCTATACACGCTGACTTGGACACGCGCCGCCAGAGCACTGACGCGTTGCCGATAAGTGGGGCATGCAGCAAACGTTTCCTCGAATTCAGAACCTGTCGCTCAATTTGTATAATTACAGTTTCGTATCATCGACCTCAGGCTGTGATCGACGTCGAGAGGCAGCCAAGTCTTACCAGCCAGTCAAGCTCGTGCCATCGGCAGCGATACCGGCGTCTGCCAGGGGATAGTTGTCACAGCCAGACTCAGCATCACGTTCTCTCTCTCGACTCTGATGAGGCTCAATGAGCTGGTAAGTACGATCCTACCTGTGATTGGGCCCAGCCTGAGTCCATCGATCCTACAGAAGTGCCAGTGTGGAGTTGACCAGATGTTCAGTGCAATCGTCGCGGCTCTTTTCGAAGCGCTTTCGAGTGTCCCGTAGGACCTCGCCGAAAATGCAACTGGACCATCATTGCGTTGCGCATTTCTGACGCACAAGAAGGCATTGAATTGAACAACGTAGTACGTAGGAAAATGATATGGCACATGAGTCAACTCAGTCAATCACGAAGTTCAATCTGTACTGTAAGCGGACATGCACTCATACAAAACCATGCACGACGATCTTGCAGCTTTGAGGTGAACGTCGAAACCTTCGGGGTCGTTCTGCAGCATGCGAGCTTATAAGCCTCGTGCAAGAGTGAGATAACTCACACTCACGGCCACCGAACAGGCTGCTGCCAAAGCGTCAAGTAGATATGCGTATTTCATATCCAGGACCTTCCACGTTTTCACGGTCTTTGACAGTGGGCCCTCTATATTGTGGTGCGTATTGACGTGCGCGCATTCACAAGCATCGCAGTCTGCAATGATGTCAAAACAGGTGACAACCTGCAAGAGAATGTGATCCAAACTTACACCCGATTCCACGCATTCCAAAAACACGCGACGTTACCCATTCTATCATGCTGAGCAAAATATCTAGCAATCTATCCAAGGCCTAAAACGCAATAAGTTGCTATGTTGTTAAATCACCAAAAAACGGAGAAACTCACATCGACGGCAGAGCTGTGATAGACAAATGGCTCAACGATGAAGACACTAGTCACAAAGATGCAGCTCACTGTGCTAATCTTGTCCCAAAGTCTGGTGTACGCAGTCTGAATTCCTTGACAGCTTCACCTAGCTGTTCAATCCTCACGGCTATACCATGTGCTTTGAGCCTGTGGCCTTCGAGTGCCTATATTCATGCATTGCATCAGTATTTTCAGTGTAGGTCAATCTGCCAAGACGACCGCATACTTGGTTGAAATTGACCATGTCCTTCATGTTGATTTCAGGCGTAGAAGTACATTGCCATATTGTCATGTTCTTTTGAAGAGCTGATCAATTGTCAGCTATCCGCCGGGGACGCCAGGCATAAGTGAAAACGACCTTGAAGACATCCCGCGCTTACACCAGCGTTTTGTACCGAGTCGCGGAAAATTTGATCATGTCTCTGGTGCGTTCAGAACGAACAATATAAATGAATATTTTCCTCTGTATACGAAGGTTCACTGACGCGCTGCAAAATGGACCATTCTTGGCAGAGTGGATGATCGCGACCATCATGCTCCGCGGTCTCGAGCTCCCGGGCGACGTAGTGAAACAGCCGTCGGATCCACTCATGCCTTTCAGAAAGTGTGGACATTTCAACCAGGGGTGTCAGGTCAGGAGCATTATTCTGCGCTGGACGTTGCTGAGATGTGTTGCTTTGAGCCGCGCCCATGATGAGAGCAAGGCAAAGCAACGAGGAGCGCCTTAGTATCGCGCTCCAGTTTATTAAAGTTGAGACGCCATGCGATTAGAAGCACCGTAGCGCAGCATGCCCGACGCCGCAGCATGTGCCAAAGAAAGCGAAGAATGGCAATCGATTTAACACTCGCACCGGTATGGCAGCAGTACGTACATATTCACCTTGACGGGACTCACTCCACGTCAAACTGAGCAACAGCGAGGCGCGAACGCATGGCAAGCGCCGACATCTATGATAATGCAACGAAGACTCACAACAAGCCGATACAGGACAAGCGGGACAAGACATGCTATGATAGCGAGGGATGGGTGGATTCGTAGGCCCACGGATTAGAATACCGGCGGCCTGTTCTGTGCATATGCACGCATACATTCGATCAAGACGCCGTAGACCGATCGCGCAGACCCAAGATTGGCTTCGTACGGAGCTGGCTGGGTCTGAAGAAGGAAAGAATGCATTAGCACGAGGTGGCGGCAGAGCAGACCAAGATTACGTACAATGGTACTTTCCGCTTGTCCGAGATCTACTATTAGATCCTCGCATGCAGCATCCACGACATCCCACATATGGTAGCACCTCGACGCAGCTGCTGGATTGTCTTTCATTACAGTTTTGTGACGCACAAGAAGACATCGAATTGAACAACGTAGTACGTAGGAAAAGGATATACATGAGTCAACTCCCTCGCTCACGAAGCTCATTCTGTACTGTAAGTGGACATGCACTTATACAAAACCGTGCACGACGATCCTGCATCTTTGAGGTAAACATCGGAACGTTCGGAGTCGTTCTGCAGCATGAAAACTTATAAGCCTCGTACAAGAGCGAGATGACTTGCACTCACGACCACCGAACGGGCTACCGCCAAAGAGCTAAGTAAACGTGCATATGTCACGTCCAGGGCTTTCCACATTTTCACTGTCTTTGACAGTAGGCCCTCTATCCTACCGAGCTTCTCTCGATCAACGTTGGGGTGCGTGCTGATATGCACATACCCACTAGAACCGCAGTCTGCAATAATATAAAAATCAGGCGACGACCTACAAGAGAATGTGATGCGATCTTACACCCGGTTCCGTGCGTTCCAAAAACATGCGAAGTCACCCATTTTATCACGCTGAGCAATGTATTAAGCAATGCCTCAAAAGCAACAAGTTGCTATGCTGTTGATTCACGAACAAACGGAGAAATTCACGTCGATGGCGGAGCTGTCATTGACAGATCGCTCTCAACGATGAACACACTAGTCACAAAGATGCAACTCACCATGCCAATCTGGTCCAGAAGCCTGGTATATGCATTTTGAACTGCTTGATGTCTTCACCTAGCTCCTCGAAGCTCACGGCTATAACATGTGCTTCGAGCCTGTGTCTTTCGAGTGCCTACATTCATGCATTGTATCAGTGTTTGCGGTGCAGGCGAATCTGCCAAGACGACCGCATACCTGTATGAACTCAACCATGTCGATCACGTTGACTTCAGGCATAAAGGAACATTGCCATATTGCGATGTTGTCTTCAAGAGCTGATCAATTGTCAGTTATCCGCCGTGCACGCCAGGCATACGTGAAAACGACCTTTAAGGCATTCCGCGCTTACAACAGCGTTTTCTACCGAGTCCCGCAAGAATTGATCATGTCTCTGGTGCATTCAGGACAAATAATATAAATGAATATTTCCCACTTTATATGAAGGTTCACAGACGCGCTGAAAAATGCCCCATTCTTCGTAGAGGGGATGATCGCGACCGCCATGCTCCGCGGTCTCGAGCTCCCGAGCGACGGCGCGAAACAGCCTTCGGATCCACTCATGCCTTTCGGCAAGTGTGGAGGATTGGTCTGGGGAGGGCAGGCCTGGAGTATTCTCCGCTTGACGTTATCGAGATGCGTTGCTTTGAGCTGCGCCCATGATGAGAGCAAGGCAGAGCAACGAGGAGCGCCTTCGTATCGCGCTCCAGTTTATATAAATTGACACGCCATGCGATTAGAAGCACCGTAGCGCAGCATGTCGGACGCCGCAGCATATGCCAAACAAAGTGAAGAATGGCAATCGAATTGACACTCGCACCGGTATGGGAAGCAGTACATACATATTCACATTGACGGGACTCGCTCCACGTCAAATTGAGCAACAGCGAGGCGTGAACACATGGCAAGAGCCGCCATCTATGATAATGCAACGAAGACTCACAACAAGCCGATACAGGACAAGCGGGACAAGACATGCTATGATAGCGAGGGATGGGTGGATTCGTAGGCCCACGGATTAGAATACCGGCGGCCTGTTCTGTGCATATGCACGCATACATTCGATCAAGACGCCGTAGACCGATCGCGCAGACTGAAGATTGGCTTCGTGCGGAGCTGGCTGAGTCTGAAGAAGGAAAGAATGCGTGAGCACGAGGTGGCGGCAGAACAAACCAAGATTACGTACAATGGTACCTTGCGCTTGTCCGAGATCTACTATTAGATCCTCGCATGCAGCATCTACGACATTCCACATATCACAGAAAACGGAGAGTTTGTTATGAATGTTGTCGAGATTACGTCGAATCTCACGAGGAGACGGTTGTTCGGTTTGCTCCTGGATTCGAGAATCTGTCGAACCGATGAGACCGACGTAGGCTAGAATCCCATACGCAAGGTACTCACAAGGTACCGCCTCAAGTTCGATGATGATACGCGAGCCACCGGGACCATTGTGAGAAAACCGTCTTCTTCTGATTCGCTGGACCGCCGACCGAACAGTGGCCATCATCTTGTCTAGCAACTTCAAAATTACCTGCAAGCACAACTATCATTCATGCGAAAAAAAACGGTTGTGCTATTGGTCGACATGCCTGCCACACGCTTTGAAAGAAGCTGGCCATGCATGCATTGGTCAGTAGAAGGCTTCATGACTCAGCAGCTCTATATCATGCTTGCCTCTTCAATCCATTCCAGCACGCCCAGAAAACCGATAGCTCAGCGTAGCCACATAACGCGGCTGCCTCATCCTTGAAGGACCGGATGTCTTCAGCGAGCTGATGAAACTCGTGCGCTGTTTGTTGCGCGGCTTCTTGGTGGACTTGTATAGCCTACATTCAACGTGTTCACCAGCGTTCAGATGATGATCCACAAGTTCGTGCGCAAACATACTTCACGGAACCCGTCAATCATTGACCTCTTGTCCTCGATGGACATTCCATTTGACTGTGATGTTGGCAAGACCACTTCATCGAAGTCTGACGGCCTGTCGGCTTCGTGACGAAGCAGTCTGGCAAAGAATTACTCGTCAAAAAGCCGGCACATCTGCCAGCGTTCCGTATGGAAGCGAGATACAAATTGCGATGCGCCTAGCGACGACAGAGGGACGATTCGGATGATCTATATATTTCCATGGACACCAAAAAGCAACCAACCTGTCTGAGTCTGTCCCATCTCTCGTATAGGGGATGATGCGGGCCAATGTTTTCTACCGATTCAAGCTGATTCGCAATCGCCCTAAACAACGTTTGGATCTCGGCGTGGTCGAGCGATAAGGAAGCGAAATGCGCCTTTAGCTGAGTTACGGTTCTCTTTTCAATCACTGGTATGGGCGGTGGAGGAGGCGGAACAGCAGATGTACTGGCACTTGCCATAGACCTGTCGGAGAACAAGACGAGCGGACGAAAGTGCCTCGCATGCTGCGTACCGCCTGTTGTTCGATGCACGGCATGATCAAGAGAAGCTTCGACTTGACAGCCACAGCACGTGAAGGCGACGCGGTCGATTTCGCGCCACTGACGCGCCGCCAAGGCATAACAACTTTTTCTTTATGCTCTGAACCTCTGGTTCGAGCTGCACAACCAACCTCTGTGGTGTTACTTTCCCTTGATTGTACGTAGGTGGCAGATCTATTGTCATTTGGTGTTGCATATTTCAAGAACTTGTCAGTGGCAAGGACTGACAAACGAGCTAGTCATGCTGTACAAGCTTTTCCTCTTTTCCTCGAACTTCACTCTTCGCCTATCGCTGCTTACGAATCGAGGAACATGGCCGGTCCCCAATCTACTGATGACAACTAACAGTCGCCGCGGACCCTCACATGTGCACACCCCAGACTGCACAATGGACCCGGGCCAACGACGGAGTTTGAGGGTGCATCTTCCCGGCCCTCGATCCGATTTATCTGGCGTTCTCGGGCGCGTGGAGTCGTTCAAAACGCCCCCTGGCCTTCGAAATTCTTACAGTTCCCATGGTGCGTGTTTATTTCAACGAGGCGGCGCCGGCAAATGATGACTTCTTCCATGCATGAGCTGTGACATGGTGTATTTCATAGGTCGAATAAGCTATAACAAGGTGCCCAGGAAGGAGTGCAAGGCAGCCACCTGAAACACTGGCCGTGTCGAAGGCTCGCCTGCAGGCTGTCCCACGTGGGGTTTGATGGCGTCCATACGATCAGGCGGGGAATTCCGATCACCCGCGTTCTCAAGGTCTCTTTGTGATGGCAGTTCAACGCGTAACCTTGGTTTCTGTTCGACATTCTGAGCAAGGTCTACGCGCTCTAGCTGCAGCGAAAACATGCGGACCAAGCGTGGATCTATTGTTGATGCTCTCGTCATTTTTCTTTCCCAACTGAGTCACTGACGGACATGACACTGTGAAGATGTCGGTTCTATTGATCATTCGTCTGGATCAGGCTGTGTGAGTTCCGGCTGTGTCATCGGCGACACGTGGGCGCCATCTATAAAGAGAGCCTGTCAGCCGAAAACTCTTGTTAACGACCCTTCTTCCCTGTCGTCTTGTTCCATTTCTCGAGTTCGGCCTGCTGCCCCGTTCGCTCTTTTCACGACGACCATCATGCTGTCTTTCCTTTCGCTGGGCTTGCTCGCTGTGCCTGCCGTGCGTGCAGCAGGTCTTCCGTTCTTTGCTCGAGATGCCTCGACCAACTCGACGAATTCGACTGTCGACATGGTGGCTGCCTCCTGGTACGCAGGGTGGCACTCAGAGAACTTCACCTTGGACGACGTTAGTTGGGAAAAGTACACACACTTGATATACTCTTTTGCGTACGTGTTTCGCGGTGGCTTCCGTTGCGCCGTCTGACCCTCAGCTCTTTATTCAGTATCCCAACCTCGAGTGTTAGCAATGTCTCTCTATCTGGCTCGAACCCCGATCTGCTGCCTCAATTCGTCTCCATGGCCCATGAGAACGTGAGTTCTTGTATCAAGAATCATTCCAGACTCATCTGATTGGACATATACAGGACGTGAAGGCAATGGTGTCCATTGGTGGCTGGGATGGCTCCGTGCACTATTCACCCAGCGTAGGGTCCGAAGCGAACATCACGACCTTTGTCGAGACTCTCAGTAACTTCATTGACACGTACAACCTCGATGGTCTTGACTTCGAGTAAGTCCCATCACAGCTTCATGGCCACAGCTGTGGCGGCTGACGGGGGTGTAGTTGGGAGTATCCCGGCAGCCAGGGTGTCGGCTGCAACGTCGTCTCCGATAACGATACCAGCAACTTCCTGTCGTTCCTCCAGGCTCTGCGCTCTGAGGTTGGACCCGACTTCACCTTGACAGCCTCGACGCCGATCACGCCCTGGACGGGTGCCAATGTCTCTGACTTCGCAGACGTGCTCGACTGGATCAATGTCATGAATTACGACGTCTGGGGCAGCTGGGATAGCACCGTCGGCCCGAACTCGCCACTCAACGACTCGTGCGCCGCGACCGCAGACCAACAAGGCAGTGCTGTCAGCGCCGTCGCCAAGTGGACGGAGGCTGGCATGCCCGCGCACCAGATAGTACTCGGCGTGGCGTCCTACGGGCACTCGTTCTACGTCGAGAGTGCTGACGCGTTCACGGCGGATTCCTACGCGATTGCTTCTTACCCAGCGTTTGTCAGCTCAGAGCAACCCCTCGGGGATGCTTGGGACAATACTACTAACACGGATGTCTGCGGTGACGTGTCTGGGCCCACTGGTGTTTTCGACTTCTGGGGCCTGATTGACGCTGGTTTCCTGTTCGAGAACGGTACAGTCGCCGCGGGCATTGACTACCGTTACGACGAGTGCAGCCAGACTGTGAGTGCCTTGCGTCATGTGAGTATGCATAACCACCGAACTGACTCTGCTGTCCAGCCGTATGTCTACAACCAGTGCACCCAGGTGATGGTCTCGTACGACAATGCCGAGTCCTTCGCTGCGAAGGGCAGTTACATCGCGTCTACCAATCTGCGCGGCTTCGCCATGTGGGAAGCAGGCGGCGACTACAACGACATTCTGCTCAACTCGATCCGCAAAGCGGTCGGCTTCGAGGACGACGATGACGGTGACTGCTAGTCATGTCGCCTCTGATTGTCCAAGTAGTTGGGGCGGGCAGTTAATTCTGTCCTTTGTTGTGCATGGTCACAGCAGCCCATACATTCTCTGCCAAATTTCCTGTCATTCTGTGTGTCGTCGTTGCTCGGTCCGTGTTTCTCGTCGCTTCCGTTCATGCTACATAGTAATCGCATTGACTGTGCCGTGTCATCTGTAGTTAATAGCCTTACTATATCCCCTGTATCGTTGATACATACCAGCATGTCCCTAGCTGACATGCCAGAATCCTCTGTTGACAGAGATTTCTGTTTGGTGTCGTGAGTTGGATGAGCCTTCGACGTTGGGTGTTGAGATACTTGCCTGGCTCAAGAATAGCCAGCCTCGTGCCAAGGTCATAACTTTCCGCCTTGTGACACTGGGACAATACTCCAAAGCTCACCGTGACAGTCACGGACTCCAAGGACGTTGTGATACGTGAGTCATAAGGTGATAACTAGGTGCAACTCGCCTAGTGACGGTTGTCCTCGCCTGCCACTTTCCCGCGTGAGTACAATCCTTCTAGTATTACGAGAACTAATCTTGTCCCGCGTACGTTCTTCCGCCCGACCTGATCGACTGCCAGATCGGGCGACCTCCTCTATATCTCGGCAGGTTCCGGTGCACAGCCAATCCGGGGCATCACTCCGCGGTTCGGTTCACGGTTGGTGTTGCCCTCCGCAAGAATGTGTTCTGGCTTTACCGAAACACTACAGGCATGCGTAGGACGCATTCCGACCGCATCAATGATGCCTATAGGTACACGCAGGCTTAAGAGACGGCTGCATGTACCCTTGTGAAACGTCGGAACTCCACGTTGAAGTTGGTTTTGATTGATTTATTGCGCATGAAGCGGTGCCGGAGGGCTAAATTGGTAGTGCTTGGCCCTGATGGACTTTCCAGAGCATAATCGGCTTCTTTTTCCTGTTGCGCTCTAGGTCGTGATGCGCGTTGGATCGAGGAGGTTCCGTGTTATGGCCTTCAGACGCCGTCTGGGAGGTTGGCACTCAGGACGGTGAGTCTTGCTCGCGTATTGACTAGACTATCGGCCTGGATTATCTCTTTCTTATTGTTAGCGGCTTTAATGTGCCTATCAATCAATACGGAGATTCATACGCGGCAGTCCAAAGTGAGGCCGCATGTTCTTTAAACGAGCTCTTTTAGGAAAAGGCGTGATATTGATGTTGCGTCCATCATGCACGTCTTCACTTCCCCATCCTTATTAATAACGGACTGACTTTCTTCCTGATGAACTGTGCCTTTTGTCTATACAGCCAAGCGTCGTAACTCAATCACCGACAGGAACATGCCAGCTTTTCCGGTAGATCTTGCCCGCTAATGTGCGGCCCGTGCGGTAGGGCACATGTTTCGCTACCTGACATGGAAGAATCAGGCTTCGATGCGGCACCTCAGGATCCTGGCAATATGTGCGAAGCTCCGGAACACAAAAAGCTGCCCACGGCCATTTAGAGAAGCGCAAACGGTAGCTATCTCCGGAAACACCTGTGATGACGGAACATACTGATTGGAGTAGGGGACAACCCGACCGCTCGCTTACCCACAACGCGGCGGACAGAATACGTCAGCAGGCGCTGTCCTATCTGGGTTCACCGCCGTTAAGTTAAGATCGCCGGAATTGCTGAAGGATGTACGCGAAGGTAGCAGGAGAAGGCCTAATTATAGTGCGTCTACACAATTGTTCTGTTTTATCGTTCTTCAGTTGTCGCGACCGCGCGTTAGGTTCTGCCGCCGCGAAACTCACGAAGCACTTTTTCTATCCCGGACACAGCAAGTCTCCGGCCATCTGAGTTGTGGCATTGGTCAAAAAGGCGCATATCCACCTCGGCACAAGGAGTCTGATACCATCAATCATAGCAATAAGAACCGGGTCTACTGTAGATGCGTTTTGCTGTAATCTTCGGGAGTTTCTTCATTGGACATATCACGGAACGACAAGTCGCTGGCTAACACGTGGCTCTGTAAGTGTTCCAAGCACTTCTATTGTTCACGGTATCTCTCATACTGCCAATCACTGGCAGGGCTTGATATAATTGGTGTGTACCACCGGCCAATTGCAGAGCCTCAGCGCTGCGACGTGTCTAGACATGTACTGCATTGAACACACAACGCTGAAGAACACATCACGTCTGAATCGCATACCGCAGGATCATCTAAGTACTGCGCCACACGTATCCAGGCGGGCGCCTATCAGAAATCAATCCTGCTGCGTACATCGGGATTGACCGCGCAGTCCAATCGAGCTAGCTTTCAAATCAGCTAATGGCCGGTATTGTTGCATGCTCGCACCGACCGGCTGGTCGCAATGCAGGGAGTGGGCGCGTGTGTGTCGCGTATCGCAGATTTCGACGTGGCCACACGCTATTCTTAGCGTTCCTACAGTACCCGTGCACGGAAATGTCTTGGCTCCGGACTTCCCTGCGTCGACGCGGCTTCGCACGGTCAGCAAGAACACTACGAGCCTAACGTACACCATCAGCGCCATCACGCGCAACTGTCCGAGGCCACCCGGAGCTGATCGAAACCCGCCCCCATCTGCACGAGAGCACACCCGACCGCTTCGCGGAAGCGACCCAGCCGCCAACGCGCGGGTGCTATTCAGCAGCGGGCTCGCGCCCAGGAGGTTGGTTACGGTTTCCCGAGATCCTTCCAAGTACTGGGCTCTGAGTGCGGAGCGGATCACTCAGCGCGTTCGAATCGCTCGAAATTCGAATCGCACACGATCAAATCGATCGACGGAGGATCTCTGGCGGGACAAGTTTGTCAGCGGGGCGACAATTTGAATGAGCAGTGGGAAGGAAAGGACGGCTGTGAGTGGCCAGCTGGACGAAGCGCAGGCCCGATGCGCAGCAGCAGCCACCGGGCTGGGCAAGCTGTGAGATCGTTGTGGGCCTCTGACGATCGAGTGTGCGAATAGCCTCCGTCCGCAGCTCTCGGGCGCTTCGCCTGGGCCACGCTGCGGGTGCGGACGTGGGTTGGGGTTGGGCTCTTTTCGCGCGTCTGAGGGTGAGTTTGAGGGGACGGGCGGAAAGAACATGTGCATGAAGTTGTTGAGTCTGCTGTGATCACGAGGATGGCACGCGGACAATTAATGTTGTTGCTGTATCACATCCGACGTCGTCGGGATGCCGCTCGCGATGTATTGCTATCTCGCGCGCGCGCGTATCACGGAATATCAATGCTGACTGTATTCTTTTAATAACAGCTAGCTTTCTTCCGATAGTACATGCATTGGTCAGGCCGTTCGGGCAGAACATCAAAATCACAGCACGCACGCCTTGAGACGCAACACAATCGCGGCGTCAAAGTTGTAGCGATCAAACTCAAAGTACGCTTCGCAGGAACTTACTAAGACATGGGGACCTATCGTTTACGCCTGAATGTGCAGTTGACCACCCGAGAAGGAGGCACGATTCCGGGGATTCTTCGTTCCAAACATCCGATGTCCAGTGGTTCCAGTGTATGGACCCTGGCCGGGAATGACATAAGTTTCGCAGCGGCCGAGCGCCTAGAGTGCTAACGAGCGCATGTTCGAGCATATTTGCTGCGCGTTCGTAACGGGGCAGTATACAGAAAAAAAAGGGGATTGAAATGATGCTTGTTCTTGCTCTTCTTGCGCGTCAGATGGAAGTTACGGATCCCTTCGCGACATGTAAAGATGGTGTCCTATCACAGATGGGAGCTGAGACTTTGGCCACGAAGTGGTTCTAGCATTGCTAACAACCCCGACACCGAAACCGTACATAGCCCCGGCAAGCAGACTTTTTATTTGACTCAAGTTTGAGCATCGAAACCCGGAGCTAACCTGTTATCATCTAGCCACAAAGAAGAAACAATCAACGGGTATCCATCAGCGTGGATTGAGCACCCCAGAAGATCCTTCTTGAGTGGCCGGATTACCGCGCGAACGCCAGGCTGAGGCAACATAGCGCAGAGTGGGAAGAAAAAAGCTGCACCGTCTGTGGCGTAGCCACCATGAGCCTCCAAAACAATCATGACTGGGTGCGACGAGCTTCGCCGGGGAAACCGCGAACGTCAGCCTGAAGTGCGCAGTGTCCATCGGGAAGGTGGATCAACATCGTCGGGTAGCGCAGCCAGATTGCATCTCCAGATAGAGTGTGCCTTTGTGGGGCCATTGTTCGTCGCGATCTGTCCATTCCAGCCGTACATCGGAGCGCAGGGAGCGATGGTCCCAGATCAAAGTTCCTGTGGGAGGATTGGCAGCATATCGTGCGTGTCGCACCAGAGTGCACCTCGAGCCTCGCCCAATCGCTTGGCACGTCCAGAGCAATATCGCGTCGGAAAAAAAACGAGGGGGAAAGCAGCGTCTCCACGCACACGCGGTGCACGACCTGCGGGCCCAGGCTGAGACGTCCGGTCTGCCGCCGCACGGCACAACACAGGGACGCAGGAAGGCTAGCCGCAGGCAGGCGAGCACGGACGCAGTGTCGCCCAGTATGGCTGCTAGATCGAGGCTCCAGATAGCGCAGGATCGGAAAAATTGGCGTGTCGTCATCGTCATCGGGTGTCAAAGTGCCAAAGGAGCGGATTGTCCGTCGGAGCGCTGCGAGTGATAACGCTACCACGGGATGCATGCGTAGAAAGGCCTAAACGCGTGTCGGTGTGACAGGTGAAGCACCAGACGACACACGAAGAGGCCAGCTCCACGAAACCTCTATTGCAGGTTCTCTAGCGGTCGCCAGCTTTGTCCAGCGTCCCGACGAGGTCTCGGACGAAGGCAGTAGGGACTGGCTTCATGGTGGGATGCGCCATCGCTCGCTAGGTGCGAGAAGCAAACGTTGAAACTGATGCGCCAGTGCCCGGTCTCGGGCGGCCAGGGTCCCGCGATCGCCATCAAATAAGCGCGCCGGCCGCACCTGGCGCCGAGCCGTCCGCGTCCGAGTATACCCTCGCGGGGCCCGCCTTCCGAATATCAGGATGGAGGTCCAATACCCCGCGGAATCGACATGCACTCCGAATATCAGGATGGAAACAGCCCGGATTGCACCTCCCAGCGAATGTAATGTGAAGGTCGCGTATGTAATCACCGAACGGCTCGGCATGCGAGGTACACACACAGTGCGGGAGAATACACGAAGAAGCACCGAGCGCAGAACAGTCTAGGATCTTCGTCGGAAGATGGGGGAGATTGAATTTGGATTCTGGGAATGAAAGAGTTCGTGGGCGGCACGCCGAGTGCTCTGGCGGGATGTTGCTTTATTGCAGCGGCAGCGATGAGATTGTTTGTCAAAGACGGGCAATGGAGATGATGGCCGCGCGCGATGGATGGTAGATATGCGATAAGCTTTTGAATATAACTTCAATATATACAGTGCCTTTGTGTGCGGTTTACGTACGAAGAGGGCGGCAGCCGTGCGAGATGTGTGCGCATATTCAGCCGGCGCAGATACAGGAGTGGTCAGTATACGCAACGACGCGGCGGAGAGTACCTTTCTCCTGTCGGTGGCGAGCAATAGAGTTTGGCGGACGACCATGAACGAATGATGGGACATTTTAGCGGGCGGGCGGGTCAGGAGCACGAGGACGGTTGACGTTGATCGCGCGAGGGTGATGACTACTGGATCAGCTCGGCCGGCATGAACGACAGGAGACGCTTCTGGTCTGCGTTCCAGGGGATCAATGCGCACACGGTGCCCCTGTTGCGTCGTCGGTGGTCGCTCCGGGGCGACGACGAAGGGCGCAACGACGCACAAGTCTTGGGCCTTGGCTGGCTGGCAAACGATGAGCCAGGGAGGGTAGCAAGGTCCGGTGCCGCGAGGCTTATGTCAGCAAGATCTGCGATCGCGGTCGGTGCCCTGATCAGGAAGCCCGACGCTGTGCCTCTCCTCGCTAGGGGCGTCGTGGCCGTAGCGGTGCTCATCGCGAGTGCGGGTGATGTGCAGGAGCGTGCAGTCGATGATCGCGAGCCCATCGAGGGAGACGGCAGGAGAATCTGCATAATTGAGGCACTCTGATCACACTCGGATGTTCCTCCTCCCGACGTCGCCCTCCCGTCGCTCGAGGAGAACGAGTGTCGCAGTGCCAAAGGGGACGGAGATGTTGGGCCGGGTGGGAGAGGTCGGTCGCCCTCATATGACCTGATGGCGAGGGAGCGGTGCAGGCGCTTAGTGTCGCGACGTGCCGGATCCGAGATTTGCTTAAAGTACTCACATCATCCAGCCACACATGGCCACCCTGTCCACGCCCTGTCCGCCTCTTCTCTCCCTCCTCCCTCCCCGCGGCACTCACGCCCGTCGTCGCCGTCTCCAGACGACCACGCCCCCTCCCCTCTCCCTCACGGGGCCTCTTCGGCTGCTCCCACCCTTCCTTTCTTCCCAGCCCCCCCCGCCCGCGCTCCTTCACCTATCCTACTATTTATATAATGGCAGAAAAGTCTCCCACCCCCGCCCCCTCCGCTCAGACTTCCCTACAGAGAGGTCCGCACTGCCCCTTTCTCCTCTCTCTTGATGCTGATCCTGCCGTCAGGCAAGGCTTGTCTCCGATGTCGCAAGCGCAAGATGGTCTGCCTTGTCTTTTCCACTCTAGCAGTGCGCTGACCCACTTGCAGAGATGCGACGGCGCAAAGCCCGCATGCGCCCAGTGTACGCGAGCGAAGAAGGGCGATGGCTGCGAGTACGACGACGGCAAGGGAAAGACACGCACCCAGCTCATGCGCGAGCACATCGCCCGCCTCGAGCTGCGAATCAAGGAACTCGAGGCCAACGACCACGCGTCCCCCTCTGTCACGCTCTTCGATCCCCACGCGCCATCTGCCTACTACTCTGGCTCCTCGTCCTCGTCCAGTCACGGTTCCCCAGGCAACTTCAGCCTTCCTGCGTCAGCATCGCCAACACCCTTCCCTCCAGGTAAGCATTACGTTCCGCCTGTCCGATCTTATCACACCCATCAACTTTTGATGCCGCGCTAGATATGGAGGCCAGCTGGGAAACACAATGGGAGACAATGACGGTAAGCTTCTCACCGAGTCAATCCGTCATCACACTCCTGATCGCCGATCAAACTACGTTCACTCTAGGATTTCGCCTCTGGAACGACGGTCGGCTCGCCCTACGCAGCGCCCGAGGAACCCCCACTCGAGGTCGCACACATGCTGTAAGTCGACGCACGAGCCTCGCCGCGGCCCAGCCATCCACTGACGCCGCCCCAATTTATTTTTTTTCTTGCTCATCCTTGGCACAGCCTTGAGATCTTCCTCCCGCATCGGCATCAATGCGGCCTGCCCCTCCACATCGGCCACCTCCGGGAATCACTCGCGCCCTCGTCCCCGACACGGCACCATCCCGCGCTCATGCAGGCCATCTACCTCTGGGCATGCTTTCTCTCCCGCCCAGGTGCGCTCAGCGAACACGAGCCGCATTACCTTGCAAGTTCACTCGCTGCGCTGCCCGATGCACTCGCATTTCCGGCCAGTGCACTAGACGCCGTGCGTGCTTCGTGCCTCCTCTCGCACTATTTCCTCGCGAACGGCCGGGTCTTTGAGGGCAGCTACCACGCATCCATCGCTGCGGCGCTCGCGGTACAGTACGGCCTTCACCAGCTCGGCGCGTCGGAGCGCACGCCACAGTTGAACGCAGATGAGTGGGAGACCGCGTTTAGGCTCCCGCCAGCGAAGGATGCGGTCGAGCGCGGTGAGCGGATATGGACATTCTGGCAGGTGTATAATTTGGATAGGTGTTGGTCCGTCGTGCTCCAACGGCCAGCCACGATTCCGGACAGCGAGCATCCGTGGGCGTGCATTACCACACCATGGCCACAAAGTATGGAGGAGTACGAATGTGTAGGTCGAGCGAATCTTGGGAGGCATGCCGGTGCTGACGGCGAGCAGGGGGACATTGACGTGGGTACGGGGACCCCTACGGTCCGGGGATTCTTCCTGCGCGAAGGTCAGACGACCAACTTGGTTAGTGGCTTCTCAACCATGGCTCTCCGCGCGAAGGCCTCTGCCCTCTTCGAAGCTGCAAACAGGCTTGCGACAAGTTGGAGCACACGTACGTACCCCCGCTCGGTTTCGCCGTGACGTTCGCTCATGCCGCTGCAGAGGTGCCCTCATCGACGACGTTCATGGAGAACTTCCACGCGCTCGAGCATGCGATCACGCGCTTTGCGTCGACGCTTCTCCCGCTGCACCAGCTCGGCGCAGGCGTGCCCGAGGACAAGTACACGCTGATCGCGATCCACAGCCTCGCGCACGCGGCGGTGATCCGGCTTCACTTCCCCTTCATGGACGGCGACGCGCTCTCGCGCGAGAAGTGCCTCCGGGCCGCGAGGTCCGTCGTCCTCGTCGCGAAACACGTCGCGGAGATGGATTTCGAGTTCCTGGAGCCCATTATTGGGGTACGTTGTTGGTCCGGTCAGGGTGGCTGTGTTGGCTAATGAGTTGCCTGTTTGACAGCCGTGCTGGTCCTCGGCCGCAAAGGTGTTCGAGTCGGAGCTGTTGCGGCTGCAGGCGTCATGGCCGCCGATGAACATAATGGACATCCGCGGGGAGCTCAGTGCGCTCCTCTTCGTCATGACCAAGCTCGGGACACGCTTCCCCCTCCTAGGTGCCTCATCCGTCTGTTTTCTCTTTACGGTGCGAGCATTGCTTATCGTAGATGATAGGCTACCAAGCTGCGAAGACGCAGAACTTCCTCGAATCAAAATAAACGGACGCATATGATGCACTTGCTAGCTACATTTACGGACGACCCGTGCGAGCCCAGGACACTCCGCCTCCTGGCTCATGCACCCACGTTCTTGATGAACCTCACGCTCGCTCCGTCGGACTCGGCCCCTACTTCATGTTGTCATTCTCACGCTTCGAGCTCGCACGATTGTTCCGGACACGGACCCTGGCAGTGAAAGTATCGACGCTAGTATATCTGACACATATTTCGCTATGGACTTGTTTGTCTCTGCTTTTTTTCGTTGCTGATCCCGTTTGTTCCGCATGCACGGACCCCGGACTTGGCGGAGCTCCCCCTTCCGGTTCTCGCTGACGATGCGCAATGACTACCCATCTACAACCTAATTACCCCCTTTTCCCCCCTCTGCTTCGCCGTCTGCTCTCCTGTTGGGCTATGAGTCGGACGGACCATGGACCACTGCGTTTCGCTTTTGTTGTGTTTTTGCTTTCTCTTACGGACACTCGCGCCTCGGACACTCTTCTGCCGCTGCTACTACCCTCGGACTCTCGCTCGCGCACGGACTCGCACTGTACCCTTAGTACTTACCCATTTGTTGCACTGTTACCATATACTCTTCACGGCAGATTCGGCGCTCGTACTTTACCACGGACTACTGTAGAACTAGACACTCGGGTACCTTTTTAGGGCTAATGTCGTTGCAACTGACGTTTGAACAATTCAAATATACAGGAGACATAACCACCGCTCCGATCGGAAATTTTTTTGGCTGAGATTGGGGCGCCCGAGGTGATGTATGGTATGGGAGGGTGAGGGGGATTGTCACTACTGCTGGAGGTGCGTGCGTGTTGCACGGTGCCTCCGGCGACTGAAGCTCGCTCCTATCCTTCACGTTGCGCACTCGGCACGACGGCTGGGGTCCACAAGCGAGACAAATTCGAAATTGGGCGGGAGGGGTTTCTGCATCTCGTCTGATCCGGGGTCATCGACGCCAAATTAACGCGAAGGGTACTCGTGCATTGATGTCATTTGGGCGCGCACATGCACGCGTAACGACTGTTTAGGGATGTGCGACCGACGTCTTTGGCTCCACTTTCGCGCGATCGAGCCGGTCCTGCCAATCAGCGTGAGGAGAAAAAGATGTACTTGGGGCAGATGACACTTTTAGGCCAAGGCGCGAGTGATTCGCGCTGCAGCTGACGTTGTGAAGGGTGGATGTAGGCGCTACGATGTAGCGTCGATGGTGGCGTTGAGGCCTGCCATGGCTTCGAACCACTTGACGACGGCCGCGACCTTGCGGACGGCAGCGTCGCTGAAGCCCAGCCGAAGGTCAGGGCGCAGGCGGCTGTCCTCTGCCATGTTTGGCATGGTGCGATAGCAGATCTCGAGTCTGGACTTTAGATGGGGCGACGCTGTGAAGGAGACGGGGGCGGCGTTGCGCGCGGTGACGTTATCAGCATCGCTGCCCCAGCTGGCCAGAACGTCTGTGAGATCGAGAGTGAGATCGGTATAGAGAATCCGGGGATCGTGGAGAGATAGATGGGATGGGTTTACGGACTCACTCTCGAGGAGGAGGACGTCTCCGCGCTTGACGCCGGGGGAGGTGAGCTCGGGGATGGAGCCGCCCCAGCTCTCGGCGACTTCGCGCCATGCGGTGAGCTTGCATATCGTGCCGTCGTCGTCGCCTAAAATCAGTTTGAGAAGCGAGACGTCCTTGCCTGCGTCGACGCCACGCTTGATCCTGATGGTATCCGGCCCGTCGAGCTCAAGTACTGCCGCTAGCACCGTGACCTTGCGGCTGTCCTTTCCTGCGTTGGGTTGGCGCTTCTGGGCGTGCGCCTCGGCTATGAGGGATGAGAGTGGGGTGAGAGCGTGCAGGCTGAAGTGGAAGGCGGGGAAACGAGAGATGGAGGACGCGTCGGAGTAAATGTACGACGTTTTGTCCTGTGTGTCTTGTGTTTGAAATTGGGAGCGTGGCCTTGACGCACTGGCGGTCGGGCGGAGAAATGAGGTTCCGGTCCTCGAGGCGAATTGGCTTCCCGTCGTGTCGACGGCAGTGGGCGACCAGGTGATGAAGGTCGTTTTCTCTGTACAGGCTGCGTCTGTCAGATCAAACGCCCGGGAGATAAAACACAATCGTACCCTGCAGCTCACTGGGATCGAGATCTCCGCCGCCGTGGACGTCTTCCTCGGAATGGTCATCAAAGATGATGTTCTGATATAGCAGGGAAATTCTACGGCTCGCTGCCTCAAACGTAGCGGGAGGGAGTCCGTAGTACGGTATCGGTGAAGTTGAAGTTGAGCAGGTTCGCCATCGATATGGAGGAGTCGACGTTGCGATGTCGTGAACAGACGGGGCTCCAGTAAAGACTCGGTATGATTTGACCATGATGAACGCTTTCTGGACCGCTGGCTCCACCAATTCTGGTCCTAGAACGGCGTGTCACCCGTCGTCGATCGTACAGAAGAGATTCTATGCTGTTCATTCTCACGTAACAGTTCTAGAAATGAGTAGTGGAACGGGACTAGTAGCTCCATCTAAAGTTCATGGAAACGGTAGCATACATTTGGCGGAACATAAGTTTGATGTCAATTTAGAGTCGTGGGCCTGGGCTTGTGAGGTTGAACCTTACCTTCCCGAGTATGCACCTTGAGGAATTGAGCGGTCTCGAATAACAGAACGGTAGTTGTTTGTGTAAGCCTAGAGCGCTGAGCAGAGACCTTTTAACACAGCAAAGAAAGTACCGATTCTGGTTGCGGAAAAGGTGTTAGAATCCAATTTTAATAATCCGGCCTTTCCCATTAAGGGAATGTTTTTGGGGAAAGGCTTAGAAAAGCGCCTTTCCTGGACAAGAACTTGCGCGAAACAGCCACAATTGGCTCAGAAAATGATAGGATGTTGCAGCAGGGTAAAGCAAAAGAAAAACAATCATTTTCCACACCTTTCTCGCTGTAGGAATCGGTACTTTCTTTGCAGTGTAAGGAAATTCAATTGTGTGCGCTTGCCTTGTTCAGATTTGATCTTTACAGCAGGAAAATCTAGAAACCTGGCCATCGGTGGCACGATATTGTATAATGGCCTTCATGACTATTCTCCAATCTCGAACAGCGAGCATAATTCTCCCATTGGAAATCAGTGAAAATACAGTGAGGAGATAAAGTCCTGCCCTAAAAACACTTCATGATCTTGTTCTATATAAAATGAGATGCCGAACATCTGTGTATAGCAATCTATTCAGAGTAACGATTTTTGTTGCACAAAAGGTGTTGGAATTGGAGTGAGCAATTCAGCTTTCTTATCAAGTGAATAACTTCAGGAAGAGGCTTGGAAAAGGCCCATTTCACACCTTTTCTGGAGAATGGTTTGTGCCAAACTGCCTTTATTGACTCAGAAAGTGCCAACACATAATGCAGCATGTTGCAGCAGAAGAAAGTCAAACAAAAACCACAATAAGCTTTCTCATTGGTGCTTTCTTTGCAATGCTGATGACAGAATAATTTCTTTGCTTAGGATTTCTCCTGAGCAAGTTTTCTTATTATTCCTTGGTCAATGTTTTTGTCATAGATTGACATGCTGTGACACCCATATATAGTTGGAACCAATACTAAGCATGAGCTGACATTTTGGCAAAATGACTAAAAGTGAGGTTTGCAGATGAAAGGTTCCAAATCTGTGACACAGACATTGGCAGTACATCTATGCAATGAGAGCTCATTTAATGGTGGATAGGACTTCAAACATGCTGTACAACTATGTGAAAGATGTTTCAATATCCATTGTAGCAGATGCAAGCAAAAACAAGCAAGACCGAAGAGAAATAAGGCCAGCATATAACTCAAGCCTTCTGCTTTACTTCAATAATGACATGATCCTTGTGAGGATATTGGAGTATGTAATGTTGTCCGAAGATGTTTAGGGAAAAGTCAGACTGGCAGCCAGTGGCGCCACGTGCATGCCGCATTACTGTAGATGGAAGTGGACGCACGGACGACATCAGTTAAGTGCTAATCTTGTTTAGATTAGCCACTACTGCTTGTGATCTCCACGGTGTTAGTCGAAGATCAAGTGTGAAAGTTTGTGCGTACCCTGGCAGTACAGTCATCAACCGGTCAATGAGACGAAGTTGACTAGCTCGCCCAAATTGTCTCCATCTGCCCTCTGCTTTGGCATTTATGTCGATATGCCATCCATGGTACTGTACACCAAAAATGAGGGGAATATGATGAGTGGTGGGTTCGTCAGCTTTCAATCTCATTGAATTTTATGTGGGTGTGAAACTGAAACCTCACAGTCTATGATTTTCCATGCTTCTGCATCTGCATTATGCTACCAGTTATGAGTCTCATATTAAAGCTTACCTTATTAGCTACATGTCCCCCCAATTTTGAAAGCAGTAGAAAAGGAAATGGGTGATGAACAGACAGAATGAGCACGACACTGCATATGAGAGCCTTGATCATGAGATGCGGTAGCCCTCTGTTATGTCACACTATTTCCATATTTGGCAGAGGGCTGAGTTTGACTTCACAGTCAAGAAGTCTGCATTGAGAGGCAAAACTTAATAAAACTAAGCAAGAGCATCAGAGGCCAGCATGTAGAAAGCCAGGATTCAAAGGCCTTGGTTCAGAGAAAGTAATACTGAGGCTAATTGCAATAAAAATGGGTGAAAGATAGTGGAGAATGTGAGTGAGACGCATCAATTATTTATTTCCAAATATGGTAGGAACAAGCGTGATGTGACCATGTCTCAAGGAGTGAATTTAGATTGATAAGGACTGCGACACTGATCCACTCCCCATGCCCCCTGTTCACACTCGATAAGAGTTACAACTACATAATCATAATGTATCTGTACTGTCTGAACTGTAAGTGAAGTCCGATCTCATTCTTATATGAAAATCCTCCTGCTAGAGTCTTAACACGATTTGAGCGTCTCATTGACCGGTTGATGACTGTACTTACTGGTTTCTCGTGCAAAACGCCTGATTACTAAGCAGGCGGACGAGCCAGGTCGCGCCACATGCGCCGCATCAGGCCGCATCTTCCCCTCTTCGGCCCCTCGCTTGCTACTCGCTTCATAGCTTGTGAACACCGCCTGGCCGCTCACAAACCGAACTTGTGAACACATTTTCGACCGCGCAGTGCTCTTGATCTTTATTTGCGCACCTCGGCCGAACCCTCCCAACCCTCGTCGTAGCTAGTACTCATAGTTTTTGTTAGTCACGCCCCTATATCTCTGCCGCCGTTGATCTTACAAAGCAGCTTGCACGACTTGAGACTACAGTGTTCCTTTTTTTCTAGTGCCCTCTAAGTCTCCCATCGGGAGTCGGGACGCGAGTGAACCTGCAACAATTAACGGCGCTTTGGAGATCCGAGTGGAATTGGCATTGTAGCTGCGCGGTCGCCTCGTGTTTGCTGAAATCGTTGCCTGTTGTACATGGCACAGAAGAGCAGGCACATCTAGCGCTTTCCTCAAAATGTAAGTAAATTGACACGTTGGATGGGCAGCGTAGCGCTCACCTTACTTCTATCGTGATGCTATGCGGCGGATCTTCGCAATCCAAGTCGGACGCCGTCATCGACTCTTCAAGTCTCCTATCGACAAACGCGCCTTCATCTTTTTCTAGAGCTGTCGCGTTACGGCTTGTAGCAAAACATATACAGCCGGCCCTTGCTTCGGAACTGGAGTAAGCGCAAAACATCACCCGGGTCCTGAGGAACACTAGGAACACTAGGACGGCGACAGAGGTTATGGCACCTGACTTCTTGAACGCCATTTCAGGAGCGCCTTCGGCGCGCCTTTCTCGGCAAGAATGGACCGATGAAGCACCGAATATGTTCGGGTCTCCAGAGCAGCTTCCCAGCTCTACCCCACTATCTCAGACTTTCCCGGTACACCACTCGTTCTCCCTCGAATCAGTCGGCAGCGTGTCAAGGCCCAGATCTTCCTTCGTCGCGCCAAGCAGATTATCAGACGCCTTCTCCCGGATGCACGGCATCGCTACAAGTTCGAGTCGGCAGACGCAGTACGAACGTCCGACAGCTCGTGAATGGAGCGTGTTTGGTGAACTCTACGATCGCGAAGGCCGATTGAGAGAGTCCACGTCCTTTTCGTCCCTCCGTGCGAAGCGCAGTATGGACCGCGACAGTATGAACCAGTGGCGCGCTCAGTCTGGACGCACCTTCCGTTCACCGTCGCAGCAGCGTCAGTCTGTTGCCGAAGAAATCGTACATTCTCCGGTGGACGACACACGTCTCCTTCAGTCGCCTGCAGGTACTGCTGTGCCAGAAGAGGACACCACATCTGGAGCTACACGCTCTCTAACAGAGTCCTCCACCTCCGAATCCATCGCATCTGATTCTAGTCATCCGGAACCACAAAGACGTTGGCCGTCATTCCCAAAATTGCCAACGTTATCACCTCTTGCTCGCAACATCCTCAAATGCTCCATCGCATATTTCATAGCATCCCTATTCACCTTTTCACCGTATCTTTCGATGTTCATTGCCGATCTCACCAACTATGGCTCGGGCGAGTCAACGCCCTCACCTTCCGGCCATATGGTAGCCACAGTGTGCGTAAGTCATTGTTGTGACAGAAACTACGCTCATCGATCCTTCGATGCGATATGTTGACGTTACAGTGCCGTATATTACAATCCCGCAAAAACGCTCGGCGCCATGGTGGAAGCTGACTTGTACTGCACGATGGGCCTCCTCTTCGCAGCATTCGTCTCCCTGGGCAGTATGACTATGTTTTGGTTCTTTGAAGTACGCCGAGGCTGGGAATGGCTAGCGGATTCTCTGGTTTTGCTATGGATCGGACTAGGCATGTCGGGTGTAGCATGGATGAAGCTATGGATGGCGAAGCCAGCGTTCAATACTGGTACGTCTCAAACGCTATGGGTAATCTGATCTCTCTACTGACGGTCCCTACATCAGCTTGCAGCATGACGGCTATCATCCTCTTCATCGTGTAAGTGGCATTCTCAGAGCTGTCTTCGCGAGACTGATGCGTACAAGTGTTGTCAAAGAAGGCGGAGTGCAGACCCTGCTCCAGGTGTCCTTCATCGTACTATGCGGCGCGATAATTTCCAACACTATATGCGCGTTCCTCTGGCCGCAGCGTGCAACAAAGAACTTGCAAGACTCCATGACGCGAACGCTGCAGTCATTTTCCACGCTTTTGCAGATGCTCACGGAGACGTTTCTCCTCGAGGAGCCGCTGCACCACCTTAGCGGCGAGAAGTTGCAGAAGGCGGCAGAGAGCCACCAGGCGAGCTTCACGAGCCTCAAGAAACACTTTGTGGATGCTCAGTCCGAATGGATGTTCGGGGGACCGAAGAAAGCGCGCGGGAACGAGGCGCATGACATCCGAGAAAGCGCTGGACAAGCGTATGAAGATGCAATCGGCAGCCTCAACAGACTTGGGCAACATCTCAATGGTCTTCGAAGCGGCACCACCTTACAGTCCGAGCTGATCAAGGCCGAGAGCGATGGGCGGGTGGTACTGAAGAATCGGTCCGTGAAGCCGCGCAAGTCTTCTCGCATCCTTGAAGGCCTCGCTGTGGATGGTCAATACAAAGAGGAAGCTCTTTCTGCTGTGCCCGAGGGCGATGAGGAGGCTGCTATCCTGCAAGCTGCAGCTACAATGTTCGGCGACTTGATGGACGATCTCGGGCCTCCTCTCAAAGCGCTATCTGTATGTGCAATGAGCTTTAGACCATCTGCCTGCTGATGTGTTATGTCGCGTTAGGCAACCTGTACGACGACGCTCAAGCGCTTGCGCGAAGCTGTCGCCCAGCCGAGCGCTGCTGCTCCAGGTGGCCCCGTTCAGCCACTCGAGTTCCAACAGCTCATGGACAACATCCAACGTGCCTTGTATACGTTCGAGAGCACATCAAATCATGCTGTTATGCGCCTTTACAGGAGCCACAACATGTCAGGCTTACAGTCCAGGGACTCTTATAGTGCGGTGTCGGATGACAACCAGCTTCTCACGGGGGGTGACGGGGAGAGCGTCTTCCTGGTGTACTTGTGAGTCATTGAGACATTGCTTGCAGCCACTATGAACGGCAGGGTAGCTGACGTGGCTTGTTGCCAGTTTCATATTCACGTTGCAGGAATTCGCGAAGGAGCTTATCTCCCTTGTGGATGCCTTACAGCGATTATATGTCGCTGAGAAGGCGAGAAAGGCACGGCAAAGTTGGTGGGGACGTTTGAGTGGCATGTTCACGAGAACATCATGGCGGCGTACCCGAGAGAGACAGCCCACTAACCTCCGCAACCGCATTTGTGGGTCTTCCCGAGCCTGCCGCATGAGAACCGCGTGTTAATGAATGTTGACTAGCTGCATACTTTCTACCAGAGAGCCGCAACAATAACGTGTCCTTCCCGAAGATCAGACCTCATGCACCGAACACCATCCAGACCCCAGCGCCGGCAGACCTCACGACCGTCGGCAGAATCAAGCGTGCGTTCTGGGAGCTCGGAGCGCGACTCATGGAGCCAGATGTCAAGCACGCCTTTAAGTCTGGCATGGCGACGGCAATCCTTGCTGCACCGGCTTTCATCGATTCGACACGGCCGTGGTTCGTACACTACCGTGGAGAGTGGGCCTTGATCTCGGTGAGTGCGCCTATGCCCTGACTATGATGAGCAACGGTTTGAAGATTACACCATTTAGTTCTTCGTAGTCATCTCTCCCACAATCGGAGCTGTAAGTTCAAGTGAGACATGAGGCTTTCAATTGCAGCTGATGTCATGTCTTGACAACAGACAAACTTCCTTGCTATGCATCGGGTCTTAGGGACGCTGTGAGTGAGAGAATCGGTCGTCCTTGCTTGATTTCTGAGATATGATGCGGTTTAGGTTGGGTGCTACGACTGCCGCGTGCATCTGGACCATATTTCCCGAGAATCCGTACGCCCTGTCGATCTTCGGATTCTTGTTTTCCATTCCCTGCTTCTATTACATCGTCTCCAAGCCCCAATACGCCACCTCAGGAAGATTTGTCCTACTAACCTACAATTTGACGTGTCTTTACTGGTATGTTCGAATCGTGATCGATCATGAAGCAATGTCAGCTGATGTATCATGCGCCGTTGTAGCTACAACCTTAGGCAGAAGGACATTTTAGTGACCGAGGTCGCATTTCATCGTGCGCTTGCTGTCATCGTCGGTGTAATCTGGGCTGCAATCGTTTCGCGATATTGGTGGCCGACTGAGGCGCGACGTGCGCTTGGCAAGGCTCTTGGGGAGTGGGTGCCCTCTCTAAGTCTGTTTGTTCGTTTCGTTCCAATTCACCACATCGTACAGATTTTGCCTTAACATGGGCTGGCTATATACGCGTTTGGTAGCATTCAATTCCTTTGCAGAGCCTGAGCAGTATCTCAGTCACGATGAAGATGAGACTGATGAGAGGATGAGGCTGCTACGACCGACGGACAACCAGAATTTGATGGATTCCATCCATCACTTCATGGCCATGTCAGTGATCGCTTCCAGTCTCTCAGAAAATGCTTGACGAATCATGTTTTGCAGGGAACTGCATCTGCAAATCAAGCTGATCGAGCTTCAAGGTTTGTTGTCACAAGCTCAGCACGAGCCTCGCTTGAAGGGGCCTTTCCCTGTGGGACTGTATCGGTCCATCCTCACCAGCTTGCAAACTATACTTGATAAACTGCACAGCATGCGGTGTGTGACATCTCGCGAGGAATGGTAAGCTGTTATGTTATCCTCCCATTCTTGATGCTTACGATCCCTCATCAGGCATACGGTATCGTCGACTGCTACCGACTTTTGAGTGCAGCAAACTGATTGATGAATATAGACCGTTCGTCGAGACTTCATCTTGCCTGTGAACAAGGAGAGACGAGAGATGGTTGGCAACATCATTCTCTACTTCTCAACCTTGGCTGCAGCCTTCAGACTGAAGTCGCCGCTGCCGCCGTATCTTCCTCCCGCAGAAGAAGCGCGTCAGCGTCTCGTAAGTGTCCTTTCTCAATCGTGGGTATATGATGCGATAATCTTCTTCAGGTTGATGCTATAAGAAAGCTGGACGTTGTCAAGAACCGAGACGTCAGGGGGTCAAGACAACTGCTATTCTTCGCGTACGCTCTCACAATGAAAGGCGTCATTCATGAACTCGATTACCTCGGCCATACATTGCAGGACGCCTTCGGTGTCATTGGAGAGTCCAGAGAGGAGTTTGAGGCGTTATTCAGGGAGGCCGCGACAGATACGCCAGACGCCTCCCGCGCTGTCTGAGGAGCTTGCTTGTATTTCGTATCCTGTGTATTGCTGTGGCGTGTAGGATCCGACTTGGAATGTCTGTATCATATCATTCACCCTGCGCTTCGATACCTCTTTCCAGTGATATACCAATGTCGCGTCTTGAACGAATGACGAGGCGATATGTTCTTGTCCCTAATTACGCAACATACGATGGAACCTATTACAAGCTATTACAGCTATGGCATCCATCCCTTCATGACCATTACGATCTAGTCCTTCTCTTCTTCATCTGCCCGCCGACGCCCCGGCCGATACTAGCGCTCTGCAACCGATCTAATAGCGATGTTTTTATTGGTCCCAAATCATCTGGCGATGTCACGCGAGTGGCCGCGCCTTTGATGCTGTAACCCTCCACCGGACGCATGTCTACATCCGACGACGTCTCTTGCGAGCTGCCGAGCAAAACTGGCGCGGATTCGACGCGACGCTTGCCTGCCAAGATAGATGCAGCTCGCTCGACAGACGCCTTGTCATTCATCGTCACAGTCTCCAGACGGCTCAGCAAAGATGGGACCTCTTTCGCTCCCTCCACCCCACCACCCTTCTTCGCCCGTTTCGTAGCCCGTGGTTGATCGTCGGAAGGAATCGAGTGTCCACTCTCCTGTGTTCCCACCGTCGCTGGTACAGTTGTCGCCCGTTGACGGTATTCAACGGAGGCCCGCTTGCCTTGTTCTGGGCGAGCTCCGATTGCCGCTGACCCATTACCGTTAGCCGGGGGCGTCGTGACAGGCCGGGGTGGCAAGCCTGCAGGACGGCCTTCACGTTTCCTCTTAACGTTCATGATTCGACGCTCCGACTTGACTGTTGCACTGCTGCTACTCATACCTTCTGATGTGTTAGTGACTGCTGCTGCTGGGGCCTTCGACACCACCGGCATTGGCTTGCTGACAGGCTGGAGAAGTGACTGCTCAAACAGAGAAGAGAGGATCGTTGGACACAGACGGCGGAAACTAAAGACGGTCCATTGCGAACCCTTATGAGGCTTTGGATATCTTCAACATTATCCAATCTGCCTTCTCGTGCTTGTATTTCAGCAGAACCTTGTATGCTTTGCAATATTGGAAGAAGATGGGATGGTACTGTCCATTTGTATTCCTTCTTATGCTGTCAGGGGTATGCCTCAATGGTTATGTGGTGATGGTCAACATTACACTCACTCGTAAACAAGTTCTCAGGAACGTGCGGCAGGCTTTCCAAGGCCTTTGCGCAGCATTTGCTTCCGAGAAAATCTGCCAAAGTAAATGTGATTAGATTGCCAGCGCCAAACACACCGACCAAACCTGCAGCAACACCACACATATATCCGGAGTCTGCTTGCGGAGCAGCGCATCCTCCGCATGAGTTGAGCTCGATCCCTCTGGCGGTCCCTTCTCATACGCCGAAAGGGCATCTGCAATTCTGGACAGCACGAAGAACTGAGCATCCTCATCGAGCCTAAGCAGCATCATTCTCGACGACAGTGTCGTGAAGTAAAAGCGTAGGAGGTCCGATGGATGTGCGACACGGTTCTCTAGCGCGATATATGCAGCGAGATCCAGCCAATAGCGCACGTTTGTAAGTGGAGAACGATCGCTGCCAGACGAGAGATCACTCTTCAGCAATGCTTTTGTGCGGTCCAGCACGACCTCCAATAGCTGTTTGCTTCGCGGAGAAGAAGGTTTGAAGGAGGGTAATGCTAAGAGGATCTCTTTCACAATCACGTCAACGTCTGCAGGTGTTAGCTTCTCCACAGCCTATTAAAAATGTGAGCACTCGCAGTGCATTAAAAAGCAACCTAATGACCTTCAATAGCCCCATAACAAGAGTTTCCTCAGCTACGCTGCCTGGTGTGCTTGTATGGCGGTCAATGATAGCGCGCTTGGCTTCGCCTGTCATGAATGATAGAACAAGGGAGCGCAGTCGACTGCGGATTATTTGCTCCTCTTCGTCCAAAGGCTCATCCATGGGGATGATTTGGTCGCACAGTACGCCTAACGTTGTGGCTGGATCCATGTCAAGGTGTTGATTGAGGGCTCTCTTCACGTATGTCACTTCGTCGGGTTCATCTATGATACGCCAACGTGTCAGCCCGACCGTAATGTTCTGCCACCGATCATGGCGTGGCTCAGGACCACAAGTATACCATAGAAGACAACTGAGGCGCGTAGGATAAAAGGTAACCCGATGTTATGCGAGACTCACCACTTTGCAGCAATTGTACCAACACATCAGCATTCCTTTTGACCCACTTCAACTGCTCTCTTGACACGTCCACGATCGCAGCATAACCACTGATACGGACCTGCTCGACGCATTACTGACAGTTACACAGTCGACGCATCCCAAACTTGGTACCTTCGTCACCGGGTCCTCGCATAGATCGTACACGGCATTGATAGCATCGTCCTCCAGGTCAGGAAAGTCTGTGATAAATGTCTTGAGGTTATGCGCTGCAATCGCCTTCAATTTAGGGTATGGAGAATGCGCAAGGTCGATCAGCCGCTTCAGAGCATTCCTACGCTATTGAAATGTGCCAGTGAGACCGTGATCCCTGTGGGTATGGAGTACTCACCGCAGGCGACTTCAACGGCTTGCGTTCCGCTTGCCGCAGAAGGTCTCGAATCTCTCTTTCTTGATCTTCCTGGCTCCTCGCCTCCATGCTGCCAGTGTTAGGTGAAGTGCGATGCAGTTGGTCCGAGAAAGGAAACACCTATTGCCGCCACAATTCAGACCAAATGGATACAAACATCACAGATGCCACAATTTACGTACAAAGTCCTTCAGCTCACAGCATGCATAGAATTATTTTCTCGTGTCGAAAGTGAGAGAAAGACCATGGAGAAATATCAACTCCTGCGTAACACAGAATGCTCCTGTTTGGCCGAAATGTGAAAAGTAGCTAAAAGTGGTAATTCTGTACTCTCTCGATATGGCGTGGATCTCCACTCAAAAACCGTGTAGCATTTTTGTAGTATGCCTACGGGAGACAACTCCCGTCCCTCGCTTCGTTCGGAGTCAGAAATGCTAACATCGAGCCAAGAGCTGCTGTTCAGCTACTTATCCTTTCTCCGGCTTCCGTTCCTCTCGGTATCACAGTCCGGCACAATCGCCGTCGGCGTGTAATTTCGATAGATACCCGGCCTCCCTCGTGTTCTCAATGCTCCGCTTCAGTTGAATAGCAAACACTGGTTCATCACTGCTGGGAGGCACATTACCTCAGCAAGTCATTCCGCGAATGTTATTACACAGCCTCACCGCGCATTTTTGTCCAAAAATCAGCTTCGCTGCGCTATGACTGACCCTCATATGTTCATCAAACAAATAAGGGGGTGATAATCACGGACTGCTTGCCCTAATCAGATCAATACACAGCCATAGGATGACTGGTCGGGTCTATGTTGTACGTCTTGGTGAAAACACAGAGTTTTCTGTTTCATGCTGACAGACTCGCCGTATCTTTTCCGTCAAACAGCATCTGTCACAATATCTGTTCCCCCTGGCCTTATCGTGATCAGTCCGTCTGCGTGAGATTCAAAGAATCAAAGCTTGCAATAGTTGCAAGAGTGAGAGAAATCTGGTATTCTCAGCCTCCCATCTGCGATTATCTACAAGTTTGACGGTGCTAAAATTCACTTAACAGTACGATGAAGCACAACGTAGCCGCTGATAGTAATAATACTGCAACCTTGACTCACAGCTGTCGTGGAATCGATGATCAATTTTACGTTCCAGGTCTAGCGCCACATGTGCACAGCCATGCTGTGGTATTGATCATTGAAGAGCCGCATTGCGTTCATGGATCGTTCTGTCAATGAGAAACACTCCTCACGTATGACTTCCTGTCACTTCCCGTCTCATTTGTTGAACATCTGCTCGTAATCGATGCCAGGGAGCGGAGAGCTCGTAACGAGTCCAGACAACAGAAAGATCTAGCGCTGCAGTTTACAATTCTGTACGTTGAGCCGTCGATGATTCATTCATTCTGATGCATAGATGCCGAACTGTTCTCACACAAGGGGTCAATACAATCGTGATGTTGTGATGTGACTGCGGAGTTTCCGCCAGCGGCTCTAAAGTTTGTATATGAGACGGTAGGTTGAAGGCAAAGCATGTCGCTATATAATCAGGCATGGCAGGGGTCAACCTACATCTTAACGGCTCCCTTGGCTGCGTCTTCGTAGGGATCCTATTCGCTCTCTTGTACGCGTTGTACTCGATGCTTGCCAAGTTGCACAGGAGGGATCTCATTCACCTTTCAGGCTATATGGTATTACTTGTGCTCAAACATTGTACTATGCATGGCATTACAGGGACAATAAAATTACCTTGAAGGTCCTGGTGAGTGACATAGGTTCATCTTGTCATATGGGATGCAATTTGTTGACTCAATGATGCAGGTAGCGGTTCTATGGTGAGTCGAACGATGGTTTTTGTACCCCACTCTCACCCTCGTCAAAGGATGCTGGATACGGCCAGAACGTGTTTTGATTCACAGGTGAGCATCTCAATAACGATTGAGATTGAAATTGTTAACAATTTCATGAAGTTCCTCTGGTATTATTTCATCAAAAATCGAGCCAATCCGTATGGACTTGAGACCATTGCGAAGTAAACATTCATACGCCGTCAATAATGCTCAGTTCACACATTTGACGTCGTGATCGCAGTACGTTTCCAGTACGTTTCTAGTACGTTTCTTAGTAACGCGGAGGATGTCCGTCACCTAACGATCTTGCACAGGTGGAATACATTCTTGCAGTGAGTATTGGTATCGTGTTCATCGCACACCTCTCAAACTAATGTCTATCAGGACCTTGCTATTGTCCTTGTGCAATGGTGTGCACTGTTTGAGTGACAGATTCAAAATTGATTATGAACGCACTTCCCAGCTTTTTCATGTACAACATCTGGAAATGTATGTATTTATTAGTCAGTGTGATCCTGCCCCGTGGGTCTCAATCTGCACTCCTTTTTATCAGTATTAGCGGGCAAATGGTACAGGATTCCCTTATCTGCGAGCGCAGTATGTTTCCCAACCGTGAGATCTGACAGTCATGCTAATGCAAACCACCACAGCTCTTGCTTTCATTAATGTCACTTGGTATGGCCCCTCCGACTCTTGATGGCACACCAGTTCATCAGCTTTGTTGTCTCGGTAGCGGGTGGCCTCGGTATGTCTCATGATCAGCGTAACACTGGTTGTCCAGATCGACTTATGACTGTCTCGATGCTTATTTAGGTGTAGTTTACAAAGAGTAAGTGTGTATGACCGCTCTGCCGTACCTGGGGAGTATTGAACTTGTTTTGGTTTGTAGGCAACATGACTCGAAGTTCCAGGGAACCATTGGATCGTCCACGGTATATACCTCTCTTCCCTGATCTCCTGCCTAAACAGCAGCATCTGATCGGGTCCCCACAGGCTGAGGCGACCGTCAACAGTGTGTGCGCCTTCGTCACGGATGTCTACATCACCGTAACTCTCTGTTTGGTGCTGCGGGGACAGAGTTCCGAGATCAAACGGCGCGTGCTTTAATGTCGGGATTTCACGAACATGAATACTCAAACTGGGAACCCCTTAGTACACAGCAAATGCTCTCCAAGCTGACTATCTATGCAATCAATCGAGGAGTCCTTACTTCGTGAGTGATCTACTCCAATAACGTTCGCAGCCAAGGACTTAATTTTATGCTAGTGTGGTACAGATGCTGGTATTCATTCAAGTGAGTTTTCTCGGACGGCGTTTGGACGATGAGTAGCCTGGGATTACTAACTATGTCTCAGTACAAAAACAAGGGGAAATCGCTGCTAGCGGAGTTGTTCCACGCGCCGTCAAGCACACGTAAGTGGTCTGCGAGAAATCGTAGTTATCGCTAAATTTTTTCTTTGCAGTATACGTGAACACGTTCCTTGCCATGTAAGTGAAGCTCAATTCGTGAGGCAGTACGTTTCTCTGACACAGCGGATTAGCTTGGACGTTCGCCAGCATCTCAATAAGGGTGACGTTGCCTTCACTGAATCCGTCTTCGACGGCGTGCAAGCTACGCATAACCCGCCGAGCTCTGACCTTGAAGGGTGATATCACTTCTTTATAATTTGTGGTGATCATCTGCGGCCTCATGTATGTTGAGCCCGGACAAGAGCGCGATGCTGTCTTCGTGCTTCATGCTCTTCACGGCCTGTTATGTGCTTCGTGTCCATGTTGATGGTTATGCAGGATCTCGCCAAACCATCATTTCATCTATTTTGAACTGTTGATGATATTTTGATACGACTCCAGACTCGTATATGTATTCTACCGGGGAAAGTCATGTCTGACCATACACGCGCCGCAACCACGTAGACAACCTGCAACAGCTCCTGACATCTTCTAATAGCCGCCATCCTGCAACAATGGTCTGATGCTCAGGCGAGGCTTTCACTCCCAGGAGACTTGTCAGCAGGTTCATAGGCTGACCAGGCCGCACGTAGATAACTCACACGTCTACAACCGGTCGTCTCTAAGCTCAAAGAATATAAGGCGTAACACTCCTCGACTTTCTGTCATAGTCGCTGACGAGGTATACCAAGGTAAGGCTGAAGTTTGGCCCCGTCTACCCATGCGGTAACCTCCCCAGTTGCGCCAATCTCATACGCCATTTGCTTTTCATCTATTTATCTATCATGGTATTGCTAATTCTCGCTGGCTCATGTACGGTCTTCCATGGACTTGTTCAGTCTGCATGGGCTAGTTTGTTGAGCGTCCGCCAGAGAAACCAAGGACCATGCAACTATTTCCTCACCGTGCCTAGTACGAGTAAATCTCGGTGATTGGCCAGGTTCATTATCAACCTACTTCGGTGACAGACTCTCCCACGGTCGGAGGAGCACGGTAGTTCTGCACATAGGGAAGGTGCAAGAGAAGAACCGCGACGTTGAGCATGACCGGACACAATAGTATCGGTATCGGCACCGCCATAACGTTTTGTCTGATTTTGCGCACGCAACGACCTCGCATCGGGCGTTACGTATTGCAGTTGCTCGTTGGTGATCTCGCAGCAAATCCATCATGGCAACGCATTATCTCAAAGTTGCGTGTCCACGCACTTGTTCCAGGAGTCGTAACTTCATTTGAAGTACTTGTGACAGAGATGTCTCTCTGGAGATCTGCGCCGATACTAATGATCAACTAATGTGATCCAATGGTTTGTTTTCAGGCGTGTCTACAGAGGATAGAGGAGTACGGGTGATACAGTATGTGAACGTGACGTAGAGCCGCACCAATCGCGCATTTTATCCGTTTGACAGTTAGCATACGCGAGTTGTCAGCTGTATAATCTTAATCAGAGGTTGGGCGCGGCCGGCCCCTGATTTGATCGCGTCGCCGGGCAGTGTGTGTGAACGATGCGTAAGCGAAACCCATTATCATTTTCCTGGAACACTGCCGACACGTACGATCAGCTTGTAAAGTTCGCCAGCACCTCAGTAGCGAGGTTATCTCCACTGAGTTGGACGTCTACCATTCTCGCCACCCGCGCAGTCGGAATCGCTGTCCGAGGATGCATATATACGGAGATATCGCTGTGATGGGTCGAAATGGTACGTTCTCGGACTGTGGCGTTGCCCATCAGGGACGTGTGTCGTACATAATTCCGATCCTTCCATCGATGCACAATGTTGCGGAAAGGCGCAATATTAGGTTGGAACAGCGATACTATCGAATACTTGGCTTGCAGGAGACAGTCTGCCCAACATGCTGGATGACTTCGATTCGGATTCCAGCAGCTTTTGACAGAAGTGTCCAATGCGGGATTTGTCAGAGTCGGCACCTGACTCTGTCATGTTCGCGTGATCGTTAAGTCTGCCAGCTTCAGTATCTTGTAGGGCAAGAGTGAGACAGAAGTTCATATTGAAAGAGTGTCCCATAGTCCTGGCGTAGATATGAGATCCTATTCTAATTCCAATGACAGTTGAGTAAATGCCATTAGCGGAAGGTATATAACGTACGATGAAGGTGTTCAAGAGAGACTACAGAACTACAAAAGTAACAAATCACGAACACCCTCGTCAGAAGGTAGCATGGAGCGGACGACGGCTATGAAAGAGCGACACGGACAGTGGATACTGAAGACAAAGGAAAATTTCCGAGTATGTACAGTAAAATGCGTAGAAGACCCAGCAAAAGCCGGGCGGTGGTCGTGGTCGTGGTTGGTGCGTAGCCAGAGAAATGAGACAGGTAGATAATGCATGCGAAGGGCAACTATGGAGCTCCCAGATATCGTTCGTCAGCTCAATCGCGCTCACAGAAGACCGCACTCCCGTAGGTGGATCTGTAGGAGAATGTCCTGGATGGCGCTAAGGACGACTGTGGGCGGTCACGTAGTCAGCACGGAATCCATCAGCGATACATGTGGCGGTCACACACATTTGATCTGTTGTGTGTCTGTCGCACACGTGTAGTGTGCGTAGATCTGTTTCGTCGCAGCGCTCTGATTGAGCGAGACAAAGCGATGTAGCAGATAATCACAGGCGGCATCATAGTTGTCGCCGCCTGTGTAGTCTGGGAAGTAGTCAGCCAGTGGTGACCGAGGGAGCTTCTCCGCGAACAAATCGATCTTGTTCAGGAACAGAATCTGGATGCCCAAAAGCAATGTGAGCAGCTGCATAAACCGAGAGACAAGTTAAAAAGCGTACGATGGATGTCTTGACAAACCATCGCGAATTGCAAATCGAGTCAAAGAGTGTCAGAGCTTCTTGCATACGATTCTGAGGTTTCATCAGCACCTCGAGTCCGATCACGGAAAATACGCCAGCGGGACTTACGACACTTTCATCCTCGTACAGCATTTGATCGTACTCGCTCAGACTGACCAAGAACACCAGCGCCGTCACGTTCTCGAAGCAGTGGATCCACTTCTTCCGTTCCGACCGCTGACCGCCGACGTCAAAGAGCTTGTATGTCAGCTCGCCGACCTTGAATGTTGTCTCCGTAATACCAGTTGTCTTTACTCGTGACCGCAGGATGTCCTGATCTGTCGGCAGGTACCCTGGCGCTGCCATGCGGTCGATCGCGTTGAAGTAGTATACCGCCGAGTCGTTCAGCTGGAACTCGCGCGAGCGGCTCACAGCCTCCCTGACACCAGGATCTCTCCAAAGGCCGCGAACCGCATCTGCGATGTCAGGGGCCAACACATCACCCTCGATCTGCGCCGGCAGAGAGAGGATGCAAGATCTCCGAGCGTCATTCTGTGGTGACAGCTGGATATCTAGAGCCGGCAGAGCTTCCAGGATAGCGCTACAGAACAGTCAGCTGGCTTTGGCGAGGGTCGGCCCGTATGAATGTCTTACCGCATGGACTGGATGGTGTTGGAGAAGATGATCTCTTTATATGAGTCCCGCTCTGAATCGTTGTATCCTCCATGATGGATGAGCTTCATCTGCTTGAGCACGGTCGACTGCAGTGAAGGGGTCTAAGCGCTATCTCCGGATGGCAATTCAATGAGCGTAACACACCTTGCCCGACTCTCCGGCTCCCAGCAACAGCATTTTTATTTCATTCCTCGCCATGGCACGATCCCGCTTGAGTTGGCTGTCAATCTCGTCATTGCCTGGAGAGCAAGTTGATCGCACGCAAGTTCAAAAGATCAGAGAGGGGGTACTGACGGGCCTTGGCCTCCTCGTCGATGCCAGATGACTGTACGCAACCCATGTTGAGGATGGGAGGGAGCGAATAGATATGAAGGGGGACGAGAACGACGGAGAGAAGGACAGAAGAAAAGAGCGAAAGAGAGAGCTGTCTGGTGGTAGAAGGGGGATTGCGACCGACCAACGGAAAGGGTGTGATGGTGTGAAAAGCCACTCCGCTTGATGGGACCCGAAACGGAGACAGCCGGTAAACACAGCCAAACAGCCCGTCGCGACGCCCACACGTGCTCCCATCTGCTCCCATCTAGTCTGGATGCGTCGAGCGTTGCGCGCAGTCGCCGCCGCCACTGTTCATCTTCATCAACCCTGGCCCACTCGTCCATCAGCGATTTTACACGTCAAAAATCTCTGCGACAGCTTATCGCAACTCGGCCGGATGCTATGCAGGCTCTACCACGCCTATGCATGGCAAGGCCATTATGTACAAAGGGTAGACCAGAATGAGCATCACGCTGATCAATGGGTGGGAACACGGCGCATCGAGAAGCGACAGTAGGTTACGGCAGAAGTTTGTGCGAATAGCAGGCGCGTTCTAGCCGAGCAGATTTACAGACTGGATGCTACAAACAAAGCAGGCACTAAACATGGCAGTTGTATACCAAAACATTATGGACAGTATGAAACTCTAGGGAATATGAGGCGCGTGGCAGGATCAGCGTCTCGCCATCACATTATGGCGCCGCCACCTCCCTCCGAGCAAAGCAATATGCAGAAACAGATACAGATGCAGCACACAAAACTGGAACACAGAACGCCGGAGCGCGAATCCGCCAAAATGCCTCGCCGCGAGATCAGTGCAGCCGCGGAGCGGTGCCCTGGCAAGCGACACAGGCAGCGAGCCGGTCTGCCGCCCAGGAGTGGCATTTAAAGTGTCCGTGGGGAATTTGTTGTCAGAGATGTTCAGTGTTTTCGTACGGTCATTATTGAGAACGACTTCTAGTCGTTGCTAATCCCTCAAGCGCATCCAAGATGACTGGCCTTCCTCGTCAGACGTCTCTGACGATGATTGCTCATCGCAGATCTGCTCGTTTTTGTTGCCTTCGCCGTCGTCATCCGACTCGGACGAGGAGTCGTCGTTTACCTTGACAGCAGCCGACGTTTCGGCGTTCGCGGCATCGTGCGCCTCGAGCTTTGCGCGCTCCTCCGCACGGATTTTCTCCTCCAGGAGTCGCTTCTGCACTTCCTCATCTTCTTTCTTCTTGCGTTCGGCCTCCTCCTTCTCCTTCTGCAGCATTTCCTTGCGCCGCTTCTCGCGCTAGGTGCACAAGGGTGTTATGTAAGCAAGCGTCGCGGCAAGAACATGATCGAATGTCCCGATCAGGAAGGTGGATCAGATTATCGATTGGACACACCTCGAGCTTTTCCTTGAGCTCCCTCGCCTCGCGCTCCCTCTTCAATCGTTCCCTCATCTCCCTCTCGCTCACCACCCATGCCGCCGCCTCGCTTGAAGCAGCCTCTGGTCGTGACTTGTTCTTTAGCAGATCTGTGATGGCGGCGCGACATTCAAAGCAAGATTGTCAGCATGCTTCCTTGAAACGCCTGCGCACACCGTCCTTCGTGGGAAACACGCGTATGCCCGTCCGGGGAAAGGCATAGCGTGCCACGCCAGAGGCGCAGCGGCAGTGGAGGAGAGAGCGACGATCAGCGAATACGGAACGGGGACTCACAGCCTTGCAGCGCCGCGATGCTGAATTCCTCTTCGGGAATCGCATCCGCAAACTTCTTCGCAAGCATCGCCAATGTGGCGCTGTCCAGCGGCTTCGCCGAGTGTTGGGCAATTTCATCGTCAACAGGGGGCGGAAGGTACGCTTGGTCCTTCATACCGTTGTCAACGTGTACCACTTTCGACTTGCCCTTAGATGGTGTTCGCTCCGGCGTCGAACAAGCGGACGATAGTGAGCCAAGCGTTGTCGATGTGGGCGTTGACGGCAACGATAATAGGCTCGAGAATCCTGATGAGGACTCGACAGAAGGCGACGACGGTGTGGGAAGCTCGATGCCTTCGAGCTCACCCTCGAGGACGACGTTATCTTCGTCCGTCGAGGGGAAGAAGTTGCGGAAGAGAAGCTCAGCCTGCCACTTCGATGCGTTCTTGAACTCAATCCATACATCCATGCGCCCGGGACGCGACAGTGCAGGGTCGAGACGATCCAAATGATTTGTCGTTCTGTGAAAAGTCATCAGCAGGACGATAACGTGGAGACGGAATGAAGTCGATGCTCACGCAAACAAGATGCGTCCTTCGGATGCAGCAACACCATCAAGGGCGTTCAGCAATCCACTTAGACTCAAGGTGTTGACATCCGACAGTTGTTCCTTATGTCGCTTGTGACGACCGTGCGACTCTGCTGTCTCTGCAGTGCTGACTTCCTTGTCGCCTCCTTCTGGACTGCCGTTCGATGCGTCGTCTCTTGAAGTGCTTCTCGTGAACGCTGCATCGAGGTCTTCGAGCAACACTATGCATCTTGCAGGCACGTGACCCATCAGTGTAGTCAACGTGCTGTCGTTAATCCATGATGACGATAGCGACACGACATAGATGTCCAGCATCAGCTCTCCAGCGATCGCATGGATCAGTGAACTCTTTCCAGAGCCTGGCACACCGTACAACAAGTATCCTCGTCGGAAGGGGATGCCACGATCCGCATACCACTGCCAGGTGGACAATCAGCAAAGATACGCCAGCAGGTAGTTTAGCCTCTCACCTTCTCCGACTTGAGGAAGTCCTTGGTGTCTGATAGGAGCATCTCCTTCACGCCTGGGTTCAGCACAATAGACGACATGGGTCGCTTATGGCGGGAGTCCGTCCAACGCCAAGAGCCGTGCGAATCAGCAAAGTATATTTGGATTCTGTGCACGGCTTCAGCCTCATACTCCTTCTTGGCCTGCAGCACTAGCTGCTTCAAGATGGAGTTGTTGCGCGCGACGACGCTTACGGACAACATATCGTATCCGGTTTCAACCTTTCTCCAACGCTTGACACGTAGCCAGTGGCCTCTGTAGTAGATGGTGTGCGTGGTATCTGGGGTAGGCTGGAAGACGACCCGCGTCTTCACTTTGCCTGGTGCGTCATCATCTTTGTCGTCATCATCGTCGCCGAACGAGTTGTCGGCGATTGCCGACCCCAGGCCGTGGTTGGTCGTGCGGGTCGTCGTCTCGAACTCACGAGAGCGCTGCCACTCAGGACGACGGGACAGCCATAGCATCAGCCAGTCATACGGACAATCTTCCTCAGAGAAGTGCGCTGTAAGGAAAAAGGCTGGGCACGAGTGAGCCACGACAATGGCGACGGGACGCGCGTGACTCACAGTTGATGAAGTGCGACCTGTGTCATGTATGAGGTGAGGACGGATATTTATAATGATATGGCGAGTGACTGCACATACCAGCCTGAGCTGGCCATCCGCCTTGCGGTCTCGACGGTGCCACCGAGGACGACGAGCTTGACGCCGTCAACCATCGACGAGCCTCCGACGCCGCCGACGAGGGGCTGCACAAGTGACTTGAGGATATCCATGAAGGCGTACGTGTATTCGCGGTGGAGACTTATGCAACGCCGCGACTGCCTACGTGGGGAATAAAAGTGGTAGCAGGAAGAAAGGAGGGGAGCGCTGGAAAACGAAGCTGCAGGGACGGGCCCGCGTTATATGGGGTGGAAGTGGCGTAAAGGAGGAAAAGATGCGACTACGGGATGGCGGTGAGGGCACCGCGGATCGGTTAATGCAGTGACTCGATGGGCGGACGCGTCAGCTGTGCTGCCTGCGAGGACTGTGCGGATGACTGCTCACAGGAAGGAACGTGTATGGGAACGTGGCCCGCCTAATATGCGGGCGCTCTTCCCAGCTGTGCCACATTCGGGGGCGTGGCGCCGTGTAGCCCGTCCTAGCGCCGCCCGTCCCTCGCGCTTCGCTTGCGGCTGCTCGCATCTCGGGCCCTGCCTGCTCTCTGCGTCCCTCTTTGACTCACACGCCGCCGCACACGACTCATCATCCGCACAGCCCTCCGCGTAATTTGCGCGCTCCTCCTATTGTCTCAGCGCCGCGGAGTGGCACGCGCAGCGAGCAGATGCCCCGTATGGTAGGATGAACAGTCTATTAGGGTGTTCCTGCAGCGCATGTGACGTTCGATGAACAGCATTCAGAAGCTGTACATCACGCCGGTGTCATCGTCAGCGCCTCGGGACCACTTGTGGATGTAATTGGCTCAAAAGAACACTATGTTGATATCAGAAAGGCCGCTGAGGCAATGAAGGCTCGGGAGACCTCCCCCAGGCCTAGTATGGGACCACATTTGTCGCTCATATACTGCTATTCATTTTCGCGGCGTGTTACCAACAGCCTCAATGAGCAGCCATCACTGCGCCAAAGTGGTCTCCTTCGCACGGAGCCGCCTCAGGGCCGCATCGGACATCTAAGCTCTGACCCGATGCGCCGGCGATGTCCAACCGGGCCGCCGATCCAAGCATATGGTGATGACGTGCCCCATCATCAGCGCGCCGACTGAGGATGCCATAAATGGCAGCACCGGCGCCATATCGGGAAGCTCGGTGTCGATCGCGGTGGCTGACAGTATCTAATGAAACTTCTGTCAGCCACCGTGCGCACATATAAGACGGACCCTCCTCTGGCCCGTCCGCCCAAAACTTCTTCTCTCCTCAATTGCCACCTTCTTTCGCCACGCGCTCCCATGTTCTGCCTTCGGGCCCTCGCCCCCTTCCACCTGCGGGCCGCTCGTCAATTCCTCCGTTCTCTGGACACCGTCAGAAGTTGACTTTTCTCTTCAATGCGCCCTACGTCCATTTGTCATAGATGTCACCTCCTCCGTCAGCTGGACGCAGAAGCATAGCCCGGGTGACCACATCCGCTGCAGACATCCCTGCGCGCCGCGGCCACTCCGTGATGGCGAGGACCGAAGAGCCACATTCAAGATGCCATCTTCGACAGCCATCGCTGAGTGGTTCAATAAGATGAGGAAAAAGGCTCGTCCTGTTCTTATGAAATGGCCGCGGAAGAAACTCTACCGCAATTGTCCGTGCTGATGTGAACCATCCTCGATGGCGCAGGATATGTTCACGAACAGAACGGCAACCGCGTAATCGCTAATATCCTCCTCACAACATTCAAGCTCATCAAGCTTTCTTGTTCCATTGATCTAATGGCGATTCGAAGGTTCCTCGCTGGATGCGGCAGAAATCTCGGCCAAGGAGAACGATTCGTTCAAGCCGTCACTCCATCAATACAGCACGAAGCGTTTATCAGCCTCGGACAACGCAACCTCCTCGGAACAAAAGCGGCGCGTGATGACGAAGCAGTGGCGGAAATTAACTGCCCTGGCCGCGTTCTTTCCGAAGTGTCGGACGCCGATCATAAGGCGGGGAAAAAAGGAAGGTGCATTAAACCTTCCTGAGACACGCCATGTTCACAAACATTACTGCTCAGCTACACCCTGTGTCATTATTAGAGAAGCGCTGTGGTCAACATATAACTATTCACATTGCACAAGCGTGAGTAAGTGTTGAGATGTGTCAACACCTCCTGTGTCACTGATCTAAAAACGACACATGGGCACAGACATGCTACTAGGAGTAGGAGACCCGTTCCAGGCGCGGACGTGACGAAATGCTTTCCGGCAAATCCAAACTTAACGATCAAAAGGGCTGCTCATCTTCCAAATTCTGGGCCACAGATCACATCCCCACATATGCGCCGTCAGGCAGGAAATGCGAGGAATGCCATGCTTGGATGTGCCTGTTCAAGGTCATCATTGGCATCTGGCCCAATCCCAGACGAAGCCAAGATCGAGTCTTCGGGATTTCAGCGGTGCTACACGTAATGCGTGCAACAAACCAGCCAACAACCTGAACGGCCCATTTGCCTTCAAGGTTGCCGAACCCACTGAAGTCATCGATGTGGCAGGTGCGAAGCCTTCCACTAACTATACGGAACAGATGTAGCAACCGCGATGCCCTACAAGGCTCACATGACGACGCGCAGCAAAGTGGATCCCAAAAATACTTCTGTTTACGGCGGTGCAGTCATGCTCGAACCAGCATACACAACCTGTGTACGACACTCAAGCGAGGCCATCTATAATGGTTCCTTCGTCCCAATGGTCGAATGTGGAACAAGGCAACGCTGCGGCAAAGCTCTCGAGCGGAAACGTGTATCAAGAACATCGACCAGCTAGTACTGCTGTCCTGTGTCATGTTAGAGAGTGCCAGCAAATGCGGGTGCAATTGAGCGCGTGCTCATCGAGATGAAGAAGCCGATGGCGGACAAGTGGACGAAGACAACGGAAAATTCAATCATTAATAACGAACATTCTGCCAATCCGAAAAATGACGCGGTAGCAATACAAGATGAATCGATGAAAGAGGGGACAATAAGTGCCGTCAAGGGATGAACCACGCACGAAGGTTCAGAATGACATTCGAAACGCGGTCCGTAGCTTCGTACTCTATGAACGAGGCCAGAACAGCGAGCGATAGACTGCATTGACAGTTATCCTTGTGTTCGTGGAATGTCATTGCCAGTGTCGTCGGTGTCCTGGCTTGGTGAGATAGACAATCGATCGCGTTGGTGTATCGAGATTTGAAGCCAAGGTATGAATAATGTACAGAAAGATGGCTGGCCCGATAGCGTAATGAAACAGCTTCTGATGCACGGGGTACAAAATGAAAGAGTCGGAGGCCTCACAGGTTTGCCGACTGCGAGCTTGCTGGTGGTGGAAGATCTACAACCTTCCCGATGATGTTGTATCGTTTCCTATAGAAAACACATAACATTAGGCATTGATGTAGCCAAGATAGGATCGACGCACGAGAAGAAACCATGCCAGTCATTCAGCGTCTTCAGATCAGCAGCAGAGAGCTCGCTGTAGTCCGAGACGGCATCCTCCTCCTTCAGACTAGACATGCCAAGAGCCTTCGACGCGTCCTTGCCCGCAAACAGATTGTAACTCTTCCCCTTCCCGTAGGTATCCCGTTTGCGCGAGACGTCAAACACCGTTCCTGGAAAGCTGTGAGCTTGTGAACCCAAGGATGCCACGGCCAGCTGGACGCACCCTTGATCGCGACATAGATAGGCTTTTCCGGGCTCGACCCGTCATACTGCTTCAACTGCTCGACCGTGAACGGGTCGTCCTTCGGGGGCGCGAGGTCCGTGCGGGTTGGCTGCATGATGGACTTTTCCTCCTCCTTCTCCTCGTTTGGCTTTTCGCTGTCTGGCGTGGGATCGACAGTGCGCGGCTTCTCCTGCGGGCGTGCGCGTGAACGGGAGCGGGAGAGATAGAAGAGTGGGAGGAAGAGGGCGAGGGCGAGGAGGAGGACGGGACTTGCGGGGAGCATCTATATATACGGCCCTGGCGCGGACGGAGGTGCTTTGGTGGGCCCGTGAGTAAAGGGCGCATGATTATAGGAGGACGGAAACCGATCGCGGGGCGGCGATCGCCGATCTATGTCTTCGGTATCATAGGGAAGAAAGTCGACTCGGTCAAGCTATCTGCTGCACTTCTGGGAAATGGGGTGGTATAGGCCTAGGCGTGTTCCGCTGAACTTTGTGAAGCTTTAAAGTGAAGTCCCTTGAAACGATCCATATTCTTCGTCGTTTGTGCCAATCATGACGGTCTCTTTTTCACGGATGTGTCTCCAGGCTTGCATTCTTTATGGAATTCTGCTTTTCGGCAGTGTGTTGCGTACCTCATACTCCATGCACCCATCCAACACCCTCAGAGCTCGACATTTCACTTGGTCAATCAATCCATGGGCCATCCGTCTCTGGTCAGCATGCGTGTCCAGCTAGATAGTAAAGATGAACGATGAGCTCAAATAAACATACTTTGAGTGTTTTTGGGTGTCTATTCTCTGATTCGCGACGACTGAATATGTCCGTGGGCACTGACACGTTAGACTTCAGCTCTGACGGGCAGGTAGCAGTTATTGCCTGTGTAGGAATTTATGTCAAGACTCTTCTTTCTCCGATGAACATAAATGGCTAGGAAACATTCGTGCAACGCATGGAATACGTCTCAGATCGATAGGCTGATGATTGGGTCTCGCCACAGGCACAGTCGCGAGGCTCAGTTTTGAGGGGAGCGCTTTACAGAGCACAATCTGCATCTCATTTGTATTGTACACACGACTGCTGAACGCTAGTAAAGATCACCCCGTCCCAGGAAACATTGAGGCCTCAATTGGTCCATTTCAAGGTGATAATTTCTCCTCACTTCTGACAACGAATGCCCCCCTTTTCTTGTTTTTTTTTTCCAGTACTGCCACTGCAGTTTTTTCTTAACGGGCCGCGCCATTGATGAGACGCACACCACACACACATCGCGTGGTACGCTACGTACTAAGAAGATTATGTTCCACTGATCATATCGATTTTGCAGATATGGAAGGCTCCAGGAGACATTTGTCCTGTTCGGGGTCGCGACAAATGCCTTTCTGTTCCGGTGTCATGATTGCTGTATCTCGTTGAGGGCGAAACATCTTGGCTATTAGCAGTGTTTAGACCGCCGGTCAACCCATTGCTTCTGCAACGGTATATATGTTGGCACTGCTTGTCAATTGGCAGTTACGAGCAGACGAGTGCGTTAATGCTTCTTCGCATTTTATGATATGGTGCTAACGACTCTCTGCAGGTGTGTATAATTCAACGGCGAGATTGCTTTCTCGGCGTTGAGCTGACGCTCGAGATGCAGACTCATTTGTGAGTATCTCGAATCGATCTCATCGCTCGGTCAATTTACCGCCCTCGTCTCCTTCTGTCTCTTTTTCACCTGAATTGACATAAAGTGTTGATATGCGTACGTGCAACGTCAAGGTTTCTTCAGGTCAGCGATCGAAGGAATGTTAGTGTTCGAGGTCTCTCATTGTCTATGTTACTAGCCGTGCCACGTTGCGATTATCACAATGGTTGCAATTATACCGGCGCCGATTGTGAACGGTTCCCTCTTTGCAGCCTCATTCCTGCCCGCTGGTCTTTATCCAATACAAGACACAATCTCGCAAAGTTTCATTAATCCATGAGAGTGGATACACTCCGCACGATTGTTGGTCTCAGATGCAAACGAGGGCGAGGCGCGACGTGTCGGACCTGCTAAGACGAAGCATTTCTTCGTCTCTAAACTAAGCAACATGCTTGACTGCCTTTATACCTCTGTGGACGTATATTCATGAAGGAAAGCTATGTATCGACTTTCCGAACCGTCGGAACTTGTATTGGTGAAATCTTCCCGTCCTTTACAAGTGCTATGCCCGGGCGCTAGTTCCTAGCAATTAATTAGACGCGCACTTGAATTTCCTTGCCACAGGTTGAGGCCTTTCTCCCTCTTACTTGTACATGTTTCTTGCTCCAACTTGCACTGAAATGGGCCCACCAAGGTTTCCGCATTCCTCATTATCGCCAAGGATGCAGATGTTCTGTTGCTACTTTGATGGGGATCTCAACATTGCCATGAGGATCGAAGCGCCGTTCGTTACGGCGCTACCATTGTTCGTCTAGGGCCTTGTCCATGTCCTGTCTCTACCAGTGAGGCTTCGTGCCTTTAACAAGCCACTCATTCGACGGATACCCCATCTAGCAACCAATGATACCCACCAACCTGCCGCCCTTTCTGGTGCTTAGCTTTGTCACATGTCTCCTTCTCTCTTTTTCGTCGGCCACTGCGACGGACTGGATCCAATATCCCGCTGATGGTATTGCAACGCTGACTCACTATACCCTGCCGGAGAACTATATCGCTGCTTGCGGATGTACTGCAGATAGCACGCACTACCCGACCGCTGCTATGAGTCAGATGGCCTACGGCAGCAGCGCCGCATATGGGCCTGCGTGCGGCCGCTGTTTCAAAATCACGCTTCTCAATACCTTTTTGTCGGACCCACCATTCTATCCAGCTGTGAAGAACAGTGTGGTGGCCAAAATTACTGACTTGTGTCCTGCCGACGGAGATGATTGGTGCTCAGCCACCGCGACCAAGCCGAACGCGTATGTCGAAGACACGCAGTTGCTTGCAATCTCTATGTACGATTGACTGATGTTGGGGCATAGAGGTGGTGCATACATGAATTTTGATCTCGCTTGGCCCTCGAACTCGATATCTAGTGACTTCTTTCCGTCGAATGTCTCGGAATATGGTAAGGTTATCAATATGTCGCGCTGTGCTGATGGTCTAATTGTATGCAGGATACACGGTCAGCGTTGATGCTTTATATTCATTCTGAACACGAACTGAGTGACATGCGCAACAGGATTTTGGCGTCTGGAACGTTAGCTACGAGAGTGTTGAATGTCTGGACGACTGGCAGGGAGGCAAAGTGGCGGCAGCATTGGGTAGTGCGCCTGATTTGGGAAGCGTATGCTGTCCTGCCAACCCTTCGGTTCGTAATTTGCTGTATCAAATCAGTCGGGTCTGACCTCCGCGCAGGGCAATGATACTTGCCCATCTTATTCGGAAGACAATGGCATTCCGTACGTATTGTATCCGATTTCTATCACAGATGCTAACGCGTGGTTCAAGGCCCGACACAACGACTTCTGCTTCATCTTCCTATGGGTCTGCAACAGTTAACGCTGCATTGATGTTCCTTTCTGCTTGTGCTATCCTTATTGCTTTGTTCCTGGTTTAGCCGATGCATGCTTGGACTGCAGCCTGTATGTGTGTGTCGTGCGGATTTTCTTATTGACCTCGCGTGTTGCCTTTGTAATCTTTATTCCAACCACGCTCCTTTGTATTGGGTACTAATAATTTAAACTATGGCCGTCTCGATCGATCACTTTCCTGAGAATCCCTGGCATTTTCTGAAAAGCAGCGCCGAGCATATAGGTCATTGTATCGCCACAACGTAGATCGATCATCATCTAACCGAGCTGCGGTGGCATCTGCCCACGATCAAACAGGTCGAAATACTAGGTATCGTGTGTGACAGATGCATTCTCCTCAGGTCCTCCAGCCTGAGATACTTTCCGTAGAACTTCACAAGGGATTAGGATGGAAAGTTCGGATTCGGCGAATCCTACCTACATCTTCAAGCTGATTCCGTCCGAGGCACCTCCCCCGGACCCGCTTCCTGCCATCCTCCCTGTCAGTGATCTTGACAAAACATCCGGCTTCATCCACTTGTCCACAGCGAAGCAGGTCCCGAACACGCTCAAGTGGTTCTTCACCAACGAGCCGCGCGTGTACGTCCTGCGTATCCCATATGATCCGCTGGAGGACAAGATTAGGTGGGAGGATCCAAAGGCTGAGGTTTGCGGGCCTAGAGGCGGAGAGGGCATGTTCCCCCACTTATACAATGACCTCAAGCTGGGAAGCACCGAGGTGGAGAGCGTAGCTGTCTGGGAGAGAAAGGAAGGAGAGAGCTGGGATGATGTGATTAACCGAGCAAGGGAGTGGTTGGTGTACTGAAGAACTTGGCGTTGGTCAAAGATTCGACAGAATTTAGTGCAGATGCAGCTACTCAGTGCATGCCGCACATTTAAGGAGATCACTGAAAGGGCATTTGGTTTCATAAATGGGAGAGTATATGCATACAGTGTACAGCTAGTGACAATTTACAGAACGCGACCTCAGTCCTCCGCTTTGTGAGTATCGAGCGTATCGAGATGCAGCTCCCTCTTGCTACTTGCCACCCTGCTCAGCATAAACGACGAAGGCGGCAGCTCTGGCAGGTGCACAGGAGTATCAGTCGTTGTTATCTCGTGCACATGCACGAACGCAGGCCTATCCACTCTCGTCTGAGTAACGGCGCTGGTGACTTCGTGAGAGAAGGCGCGCCCTGCGGCCACGCGGAGAATGATCAGCAGCTGTGCGATAGCCTACAAGCCCATGAGGAACGATGAGGTTGTGATTCGTCAGATAGAGTGAAGTAAAGCCCTTACCTGAACATGACTGATGCCCAAAAGGATAAGATTAGAAACGTAGGAATGCACCGCGAATGGCACGATGTATACGACGGCGAGGACGTAATACAGCGCGGCGCTCTCGACAAGCATGGAGACGACAGAGGTGTATGTCGCGGAATGCTCGGGCCCAAGTGCTGCTCGGATTGCGTGGCGTATCCGGAGAAGCCGATAGGTCACGAGGAATGTGTACAAGATGTTTATGCCGACGGAGATGCAAAGGTAAGCGAGCTGCACGTTGATGTCGTAGAAGACAGCACCGTTGGCTTTCACTAGGACGATTATCGACATTGCTGTACTACATGAGCACGGCAATCGGGAGAGAACTCTGAAGGAACTGACCAATGTTGGCGAGCAGCAATATGCACATCGACAGAGAAACTACCAGCTGCCGGTTCCAAATGATGATACACCGATTCACCTATCATTTCTCGTCATGAGTGCGAGTCCGATTCAAACACGTTCAAGCACTCACTAACAGGGCTTGCATGAACCATTCCATAACGTAATAACTGGAGAACAGTATGGTTCTCGTGAGTCCAGTGTGTCATGCCCATAGGCAGCCAGATCGAGGATCGTCTAGACTGAACCACCTTACCAAGACAACGTCATTCGGTTAATCCAAAAGTCAAGCTCGTCCTCGATCAGTGCCGCCGGGCCTCCGTCCTTGTTCCTCAGATCGATCCAGATCATTTCACTGTACTTCGCGTTGCCCGCAAACCCCAAGGTAGCGAGAACAAAGGTTATGCCGATATACGCTTGTATAATCGTGCGACGGTCTGTAGTCATGGCGATGCAAGTCTTCCAGGTTTGCAGAGCGATTCGGCCTCGGCGAGTGCGAGACCCACCGTTGCCACGATGAACGGCGATGAACGCCTGAATAGTCATAATGAAGTAGGCACCTATGAATTTCACGAAAGCAAGACTCAAACAACGATCTTCTTCAAAGTGCTATATGCGCACCATAGGATACGGCTGCCAGCGTGAACCCGCTGAAGCGGGACCGTTCAAGCCAGAGGTCCGCGGCCGAAGGCGCTACACATTCAGCCATACCGACGGGCGGAGGATTGGGGAGAAGGGGGAGGTCGATGCGTCCTATGTATGTATTTGTGAACGCCGCTGTATCTTCTGTTCGGGACCAGCCTGTGTACGATGCAGATGATACAGCCCGTTAATGACGAAGCGCACCACATTCAAGCAAGAGCCCGACGTCCACGGACCACCATGCTCTGAACTCTATTACGGGCGTTACGGTCTTGTGGCCATCTGAAGTTTATATCAGTGGCAATGGAGCTCGATCCCTGTCACAAGGCTTGATTTGAGAGGCAATAGTGCCTCCAAAAGTCAATTGGATTGTCGAGATCAGGTTACTATCGCCGCTATAACGGTCATGCATAGCCGCCCCGGTCCGTTCCTGCTCATCTCACCACTATCACTTGCGTCCGAAGGAACTCCCCATTTGCGCAATTGAGCACGCACACTCGACGACTTGCATTGCATGAAAGCTAGGCATTGACACACAACAGTAAGAGGACATCAGATGCCGATACCAGAAACCTGCGACTGCGAAATGTGTCGCTATTTCTCCAAGTCTCGGTCGGCGTCCACCTTGCGATAATGTTTTCGATCCCGCTTGCCGATAAGCCGTTGGACGTACTGTATGCCCCCCATCCACCAGATCAGAGCACCAGCGCCCACAACCAACACAGCCAAGAAAAGACCATAATAAAGCCTGAAAGCCGGCTTAACGATACCGTCTGCGGATTCGATGATAGCATCTGTGTTCATAGATTCAGACGAACTTGTCGGTTGGACGACTTCATCGATAGGTTTGATGACATTATCAGCAGTCTCCTTGCTCTGTGTTTCCTCGGATCCTGCGCCGAGACCTGTGGTTGACAGGTCCACAGAAGTTGAATGCGTACTCGATGCACCAGCCGATGCGATGACCGAGGTGGCCAGAACCTGTTGGCAACATATACAATTGATTGATATCACGCATGTGCATAGACAAAGGCTGGCCATCAGAGCTCAGCACGAAGAGGCACCTCGTTGCCCTCGGACTCTACTTTGGGTTCAACCGGCAGCTGTTATATGACGTGAAACGTCAGAAGTTGCATGGAGATAGAAGCGGAGACGGCATTACCTCGCCACAATCGACAATTACGACATCTTCCAAAGGACGGTCGTTCTTGCCTTTGGGTATATCCTCTGAAGAACACAGCGGTCAGCTGTCCAATCGACACTCAAGACGCTGAACCCACCGATCGTATGCACGATATCCATCCCCTCAAGTACCTCACCGAAAACCACCTAAAAATGGCCGCTGCTCAGTAGAGTTAGAGTTCTACCATGTGTGGTTCATGCGCACATGTTTGCCGTCCAACCAACTCGTAACTACCGTGGTGATGAACTGTCGGATCATACAAGATTAGAACAATACAGTAGCGAGTTCGCATTTGAATTGCGGGAACTCACGAATTGCGAGCCTGTGACACCGATGGACCAATCAGACAATGGTTCGCGGTTCGCGCAGAAACATTGAACCTACCATTGGTATCTTTCCCTGCATTCGCCATCGACAGAAGACCTGGGCGAGTATGGCGAAGTTTACTAAGAGACATCAACACAATTTGTCATGTCTGCAAGTTGACAAACGTCTCACAAGTTCTCGTCGGCAAATTTGGCACCGTAGATAGACTAGGATATAATTGAGTCAGATAGGAGCAATATATAGAGACACATATGTACTTTGCCACCGGTGCCGTCACCCTTGGCTGCGCGCAAATATTTTCTCAATACGAATCGCCTAATACCTAATTACGGCGACAATAGAGACGCACTGAAGTCACCACCCTGGATCATAAAGTTCTTGATGACGCGGTGGAATTTTGAGCCCTTGTAGCCAAAGCCAGGTTCGAGCTCCGTGCCGTCCTTCTTAACACCAGTAGCCAGGGCGCGGAAGTTCTCCGCTGTCTTGGGGACAGTCTGATCTAAGACGGTCAATAGAGGTCTTATCGACCCGAACACGACAGTACATACGCCACCATATAGACCTAGCACAACTAGGTGGCAGACGCAATTTCAGTGTCGGCCAAGACACGGAATGTCGCGAGACCACGTACTTCGTCCCAAGTCCTTGTCGCCATGCTTTATATCAAAGTAGATTTTGTTCGTGATCTTCGGGCCCTTCGCGGCCTCTACTGACTGCGCGCAGAAGAAGGCAGCGACTGTCACCAGGATCACAGAGAGAGCCAGACGACTGAACATGGCAAGCAAGGAATGAAGTAGCTATGTGAGAGCACGACTTAGCGCCGAACAGGACGTGGCAACAGCCAAGGCGTTTGCCGAGCAACAAGATGGGTCTTAGATCCTCCCCGCGATCATTTTTCTAAACATTTCTCTTCATCACAGGTTCGTGCTCGACGCAATGGACGATGGTCTTGTGCTGAATCTCGTGCAAGACGACCAGTCTACAGTGCGCAAGCCAAGTCGACAGGCCAAGAAAGGGGGCAGGTGGACCGACCGGTGAGTAGGCACGTTTGTTCGGGTCTCATAACTGTGGCTTGAACGACTTTCTGTAGGCTGAAAGCAAAGCGGGTCACGCAACGCAAACCACGCTCAGATGAGCCTACAGTGGCACAAGAACCCACGGACATTCCCCTACCCCGTCCAACGAAACGCGCACGTAACGAATATACGCCTTCCAGGACGGAACATGTAGAGGAACGTACCCCCGCGATTACTAGACCGCCAACACAGATCATCTCCTCCCTATTCAGTTTCAATCCCAAGGTAGAGCAGCCGAAGCAATCTTCTCTGCCGAAAGCATGCTTTCGTCCGAGTAATGCTCCCCTAGCGGATTCGTCAACGTTTGCGGGTCTGGGTTTGGATCCTCTGATTGTTGCACATCTTTCTTCTAAAATGGATATCACCAAGCCAACGTCCATTCAGCGGGCAGCTCTTCCAGTCCTATTATCTAGCGGACCTCACAGCGTCTCTGATAGGGACATATTCATTCAATCGCAAACGGGATCTGGCAAAACGCTCTCATTCCTGCTGCCCATCATTCAGGACCTACTGCCGCTCAGTTCCCTCTCTTACATCGACCGCTCCATCGGAACGCTCGCCATCGTCATTGCTCCTACACGTGAACTCGCAAAGCAAATTTCCGATGTATTGGACGTGCTTCTAAACCTACGACTGCGTCCACCAGATGACTCTGCAGAAAGTCCCGACACCGCACCTCGTCTCACTCGATGGCTGGTATCTGGACTACTGACGGGCGGATCTACGCGCACTCACGAAAAGGCACGTCTACGTAAGGGAGTGCCGATTCTAGTGTCCACGCCGGGTCGCCTGCTTGATCATCTGCAAAATACCGCATCATTCAACGTTAGCAAATGCCGATGGCTAGTGCTTGATGAAGCTGATCGGCTGATGGAACTCGGCTTTGAGGAGACGATACAAGGTATATTGCGCGGGTTGGACGGACGGCGAAAATTGGCAATGCAGGCTGTCGAAGAAGGCAGAACTATGGAAGTAGGTGGTTGGGACTGGCAGAAACAGAGGAGGACCATTCTATGCTCGGCTACGATCAGGGAAGATGTGCAGAAGCTGGCGGGAACGACACTGAAAGACCCTGTCGTAATCAAGGCTACTGAGAGCGACCTGCCAGCATCCGTCAGCGATGATCCTGAAACCGACAAGGCTGTCATGCCGTCTCTGACAAGCAGTCAGAGATTCACTCCTCCATCACAATTGACCCAGAGATACGTAATCGTCCCCCTCAAGCTGCGCCTAGTAACTCTCGTCGCATTGCTCCGATCTTTATTGGCGCAAGCCAGCGGCAGAAGGGGAACGAAGATTATCGTGTTCCTCAGCTGCACTGATTCAGTAGATTTCCACTGGACCCTGCTTGGCGGCACTTCCATGAACGATGAGCAAGGAGCCTCCAATATCGATTCAGAAGCGGAGACTACACAGGATGAGGATTCCAATGCGCCTCGGCGAACTACTAAAGTGAGGCGACCGGGTGCAGGGAAAGTGGAAGCCAAGTGCGCGTTGCTACCGGATACCTCAGTGTTCAGGTTACATGGGTCACTTCCTCTACAGACTCGACAAGCTTCACTGCGTGGCTTCTCCTCTGTGCCATCATCTAAGACTTCGGGCAGCACCTCCTCGATCCTTCTCTGTACATCAGTCGCCTCTCGCGGTCTTGACCTCCCGCTAGTGCGAGCCGTGATTCAGTATGACCTCCCTACAGAAGGCGGCGCGACGGAATATGTTCACCGAGTCGGTCGCACGGCGCGTGTAGGCAAGGGTGGTGAGGCCTGGAGCTTCGTGGAGCCAAGCGAGATAGAGTGGGTGAAGTGGGTTGACGCCAAGATGCAGGGAGACACGAAGCCTGTCGGGGAGGAGGCGGATCAGAAAAAGAGCGTCGGGCCGCAGGGCATTCCGATGGAAAGTGTGCTAAGGAGCGGCTTCGGCGGGGAAGGGGATGAGTACGAAGAGCGAGCAACTGAAGTGCAGCTCTCGTTCGAGCGATGGGTGTTACGGGGCAAACATGTGAGATTGTCGTATTTGTCTCGTTGTGACATGGGCAGCTGATCCCTTACGTTCTCTAGAACGCTGAAATGGCCCGGAAGGCGTACCTATCACATATGCGGGCATATGCGACGCACCCATCAGATGAGAAGCACATCTTCCACATCCGCCATCTGCATCTTGGCCACTTGGCTAAGGCGTTCGCCCTTCGGGAGGCTCCGACTGCTGTAACTAGCGCCAGCGCGAAGCCCTATTTCAAACAGAAGAAATCAGCTGCGCAGCACATTGCTTCCGGCAAGACTGCAAGGCGGCGGAAGAGAGGCCAAGATTCCGACGACGACTTCGATATCGCTGATTCGGAGAAACGGATGGAGAAGGTAGTGAGAGCTCAGGGTCGATTGACCAAGAAAGCCGGGAAGATGGTCAGCTCTGGGGTGTCTGAATTCCAAATAGCAGACGGATATGCATTGGAAAGGCTTGTTCAAACCTCTCGGACATGACATTGTCAAATATATGCAGTACCTACTCACCTACCTAACGCGATTTACTTTTGTGGCCAATTCGTGGAGATTGCTTAGTCATATGTCATGGATCTGTGACAAATATGGAATTTTTGACCGTTTTCTCCTCCTTTCCCGCTCATTCTCGTTCATGGCACCGCATATGACTCCTAAAGACGAGGGCTCGCAGGAGCCTCCCTTAATCACGCCCGGTGGGACATACAGCATCCAGGCGAGTGTTTTTGGCCACGTTCGACGTGGCATCTCGCCATTCCCAACGCCACTTTTGCTTACGCGTCTAATAGACGGTCTCCGTTGGGTGCAAACTCTACATCCGTCGTCAGAATCCCGATGGTGAGACCGAAGAGCGGCTTGCAGAGATTCTCTCGATACGCGACAAACCCACCAGTGCATATGGTACGCGGCAGAACGGTGTAAAGCAAGAGGAGTCGCAGAACCCTGCAGATAGGCTCGAGTTCTTTGTCCATTGGGATCAGTTCAACAAGCGGCTCGATGAATGGGTCCCTGGTTCGCGACTCATCTTGAGTAAGGACCTCCAATGGCCTCGTCCCAAGACCACTGCGACCTCCAAGAAGGTGACTGGCAAGAAAGCGCCGTCAAAGGGTGGTCGATCGCAGTCATTGTTGAAGAAGGCCACATCCCATGCCCTTGCTGTCGATGCTTCGGTGAAGCTGGAGGTAAAGTCCGAGTTTGGGACTCCAGCTCCTGCCACCCCTACTCCTTCAGGTGCTCCCAGTCCGTCTCCTGCGTCACTCAAACGGAAGCACCCGCATGATGAGGAAGAGGAGGAGGAGGAAGACCTTGATGCTGACGCAGACGGCGAGATGGACGTGGATACAGAGGGGGAGGGAGAAGCGCTCGACCTCGACACGACAGGCACACCGCCTCCACCTCCTTCCGTCTCTGCTTTCAGCAAGGAGCAGGAAATCGAGAAGTTGCGGACGTCCGGGTCCATGACACAGTCCATCTCTGAGATAGCACGTGTGAAGAACCTGAATCGACTGCAAATTGGTCGTCATGAAGTTGATGCATGGTACTTCAGCCCGTATCCAAAGGAGTGCGCGCACCTTCCGGTGCTGTACATCTGCGAATTCTGTCTCTGTTACTTTGGCTCTGAATTTATGCTTCGGCGACATCGGCAGAGGTGCAACCTCCTTCACCCTCCTGGAAACGAGATCTATCGACACGAGGATATATCTTTCTTCGAGCTGGATGGAAAGCGCCAGTTGACGTGGTGTCGTAACCTGAGCTTGCTTTCAAAATGCTTTCTTGATCAGTGAGTCCCATCCTTTTTTGAAGCCGTGCATTAACTGACCGCCTGCCAGTAAAACCCTGTATTATGATGTAACACCATTCATGTACTACGTTATGGTAAGTCCGTCGTTGTAACAGCTCATTCATATACTCATTGCTTTGCGCAATAGTGTCACCGAGATTCCACCGGCTGTCATATCATAGGCTATTTCTCCAAAGAGAAAGAGTCGGCGGACAACTACAATGTCGCATGTATCCTTACGCTCCCACAACACCAGCGGTTCGGCTACGGCAAGCTCCTGATTGAATTCTCGTACGAGCTCAGTAAGAAGGAGGGCAAGCTGGGTAGCCCTGAGAAGCCGCTGAGTGATCTAGGCCTGCTGGGTTACCGCGCGTACTGGGAAGATACGGTTATCGAGCTGCTCCTAAACACAACCGATGATATCAGCATTGATGACATCGCGCAGAAGACATCAATCACACACGCGGATGTGATGAATACGTGAGCGGCTTTTTTTGGCTGTGCTACGCGGGAGGCTCAGAAACTTATTGATTCCCCTTACGGCCGCTCTATCTCCGCAGATGCACTACGCTCCAATTGTTCAAGCATTATAAGGGACAACACGTCATCTGCATCCCAGAAGCTCTTCAGGAACGTCACAGGAAGAAGATGGAGAAGCGCCGACGGCGAATTCACCCAGAATGTCTCGCCTGGAAACCACCGGTGTTCACCAGAGATCAGCTCAGATTTGGATGGTAGAGCGATGTAATAATTTTATCGTGGTCTGTGCGAGGTATCCTCTCAATGTAGTATCAATGCAGTAAAAATACATATGCGTAATGCGGCTGATGACAGCCGCTGTCGCCCTCCATCACCATCGCATATTACGGCACCTCTAGGCTCAAGCAGGCTAAGAATTGGACTCTCTTCACATCCCAGCTTCCGCTCTCGCCCTTCGGCGCAAGGTCACCTGTGCATCCTCAGCACCCGACTCCCGATCCAGTATCGTGAAGGACGATTCCCCGCTACTGGAGTCCCATGATGGATCGCGAGCAGTAGGCTGCTCTTGACTTTCTTCCTGAAGATTGTGCATGTGCAAAGCGAGCTCGCGTCGCGATAGAATTGGAGACGGGGGCTGAGACGGGGCCGGGGAGAACATGTCCACCCCGGCCAGTTGGAGATTGCCCTCCTCCTCCATTGGATCTCGGAAGTACGCGGCCGGCGGGGTGGTGATGGCTGTCGATGGGGCACTGGGTGTAGTGTCGTCTTGTATGACAATTGCCGGCGTGCTCGCCTCCGAACTGGCGCTGGTCCCGCTTTCGCTCGTGGATGCCTTGGTGTCATCAATGACACCGAGCGTGCGGGCTATCACGTATGATGTAACGTCCTAGTCTCTACGTTAGCACAACATGCATAGACAGTGCACCGAGGGACTTGAGGAGTGCATAGAATGCATACCAACAGTGTGAGCAGGACGAATGGTGCTATCACCACGAATGCAAGCAGCCGAAAGGTAGACGCGGTGTCATCCACCCACGATCCGGGCTCGTAGTTCCAGAGATGTGTGACATACAGACTCCAGAGGTAGGAAGGAACGAAGAGTACGTTCAACATCGTCGCATGGGGGCAGCGTCGCACTGGAGTTTAAGTGCAAGGTACGATGGCCAATCAGATCTGGCGCCACTTATCGATACATGCAGTGGCAGACAGGCGCACGGCTGTAGGTCCTTCATATTGTCGAGCCGCCTATATGGGATGGACGAGATCGTCGTGGTCGACATGCGTAGCGATGAATCCGCGTTACATTGGACACCGAATCTATGATACAAGTACAGGCCGGGCCTCGGCTCGATATCCTACTAGACACGTGCATAACAAATCCGCTCTACTGCAAACAAAATGGGACTAGATAGTGGACAGCGAGATGCGACGAAAGATGCGAACAAACCAAACAGTAGCGAGGTAGAATAGCAATGTACGAAGCGACATACTAAGCGGAGGGACATGAATAGACTGCATCAAGGATAGTACACGTTCGACGGGAAAACGACGCCATCGTACCGCACGAGGATGATTGGCCTGCGCTTCGTGCTCTGCGAGTCCGGCGGGAGGGACCCGACCACTTCCGCACAGCGAACTTCCACGTACGGCGAAGGATCGGAACCATAAAAGACGGTGACAGGGTCCGTCTTGGAGAAGTTCTCCCCATACAGCGTTAGCATCTTCGCCGTGTGCGGATTGGGCTTCGTGAGCGCTGCCCGAGCCGAAGCGTGATTTTTGGGTGCCTCCGCTGCCCGATCGGGGGGCAAGTACTTCACTACTCCCGGGAAGGGAGTGACGGGCTTCGACGGGACAGGGAATGACCCGGTTTGCGGCGCGTTTTGGTTGTCGTACAGCACTGGTGGGACATAGAAGTTGTATCTGATTTGGTCTACATGACATGATTAGCGCACACCTTCTAACTGGCATGGAAGCACGAGAAGCGCAAGAACGACGCTTACCGGTCCCGACGATGGTCCATACGCTGGTCTCGCCAATGTCCACCTGCCACAGAGCACCCGACGACGCAGACGACTCGGCATGGGACGGGCGACGACTGGAGCCTGCCGAGCCTGCCGAAGTAGGTCTCCGTCGACCTTTCTGCGAGCTCGGCTTCGTGATGCCACCTGTGCTAGATGACCCGCGCTTGCCCTTCTTGACACGTCCCCCATCATTCGACGGGAAATCAGTGGGGTCAGGAGACGTCGGCGTACTGCTTAAGCTTCCCGAGCCAAAGTAGTCCGTGGAGCCCGGGGTGGATGTCGGCGTGCTGCCGTCAGGAGAGCCAGGCGTCGCAAGGGGCGAGCCAGTCTCGCGCGACATCCCCCCAGGCGCAGCATTCCAAATGCGTCCGTCGACTGGACGATACGTATTAACCTTCTCGCCCATGCAGGACAGGAAAGCGCCACTTTGGCCTGGAGTACCCGCTTCCGGCGGTCCGCGACTCGGGTCGTACACCTCGAATGCGATTTTGTGTAATTGAGAGACAGGATCGCCGCACACCTCCCCTGGAGCACAATAATGGTCAGCGATGCCCTTCGCGCCCTCCTGAAGGCCGCCACCAACAACAATCGTCTGATGGTCGACCTTCCTGATGATCAACACTGGGCTGACCACGCCAGAAGTCAAGCATTGGAGAACGACAGTTTGGTTATAATAAACAGGGATCTGCGACCCATTGTTGGTAAAGGGAATGGCGTTAGGTGGAGGAGAGGGGTACTCCGGCTGCAATGGCGGGGGAGGCGGAGAATCAACGCCACCAGCGGGTTTGTTGACATCCACGATGTACATAATAAATGGGTCTGGACGGCAAAAAATCAGACATCATAGAAGCAGGAAAAAGGGATTATACGCACCCCAGCTGGCCGTCCTCGCGATAAAGGACGGTGTCTGTGTGCGGACACGCTGATCCAGACCCATGAGCGGAGCACCATCGGATCCTTTGAATGACGACCCTGATCCAGAAACACAAAGATACTTCGTCGAAACCGTCTGAGACCGGAGGCGGTGGAACAGAGAGATGGTGGACCCGTGATTGATGCACACTAACGACAGCGAGCGCAGCAGGGGAAGTGTTAGCGATTACACAATCCCGAACGCATCGCGGACCGCCCACTCACGCTCGAGGTTTTTAGCGCTCTGCCGCTTTTTGCTCGGCTTGCTAATGACCTTGATGGGGCGACTGGGGAACGTTCCGATCACGCGCTCGGGCTCATCCTCGGCGGACGGTGCCATAATCTTGACGAGGGCTTCCACCTTCTTCTTCTTCTCATCCACATCGGAAATGTACAACTGTTTGCCGACGCAGCGGCCAAGATATGTTGTTCCAGAAGGAGGATCCGAGACGTCGAATGTCTTGCCCGTCGCGCCCGTCCACTCGATCGTGCTCTCTTGCGGTGCAGGCTCTCCGGAGATGGAGACTACCACCCGAGGAGGACACAACTTTGGTTCCTCTCCGCGGCGCATGACATCCGACCACCACGAATTGCCTATCATGATGGCGGTAGGCGGAGGACAGAGGAATCTCAAAATGAAGTTCAGGTATGATATATCCACATCGCGACATGATGAACCTACCGCTTCTCGGTGCCGTAAGACTTCTGGGCGACCTTACTAGACATAACAATGACCGTGCGTTCGCCGAAAGCTAGGCGGTTGGGGGAGCGCACGTATTGATCGAGATACGGGCTAGCGGTACCCGAGCCCGTGTCAATGGAGATAGATAGGAAGACGCCGTCACATACCGTATGAAGGATTGGAGATCAGACGCGCCACTCGTGGGCGACTGCTGTAGCCGCATGCGCGACAGGTCAACGCTGGGGATTCGGAGAGGGAAGTCGATTGAAGGGTTCGGCGCGAGATATTGTGGCATGTCATCATATGACGGCACTCCACCGTCAGACCTGAAGCCATGTGTTGCGTGAGGGTTGACTCCCCTCATCGCATCGGCACCTTGATGCATATGCGTTGGAACAGTCAGAGGAGGCACGACAGAAGGGTATCTCGAGTCGGACTGCATGCGGCCCTGGAACTGCTGCAATTGAGAAGGGGAAAAGCCGAGACCCATGGCCGAGTTGACGTTCATGCCACCATAGTCCTCATTGAAATCAGAGGGATAGCTTCCTGAGCTAGGACGGCGATCGACCACGTCCGAGAAGCCATTGTGAGAGTGGAAGTCCTTGGATTGCCCGTTTGAGAATGGAAATCCGGGTGAGTGATGGAAGTTGCCTATACCGTCGCTCGGAGTTAGAGGCGACGGCTTACCACTGCTGTATGACGAGGACATGCCGTTGATCATGTCGTATGACGGCGAGCCACTGTTCTGGAAAGAGGACATGGTCTCTGGGAAGCTGTTCTGTGGGAACATTGCGTCGGTCGCCATGCCATATCCTGGGCCCATTGACGATGGCGGTGCAGCTGAACGGAACCGCTGACCCGACATTGAGTTGGACGACGACGCGCTAAATATGTCGTAACTTGCTTGATCGCCTACGGCGAGCGCATCGACGCGATCGAGTGAGTGCTGGTGCATTTGCATGTGCTCCGGAGGGTGTGAATTGGACTGGGATGTTGATGAGATGTCGGAGGGTGTGTGGAGGGAGCTGAAGGGATGGTCGAGATCAGGTTGGCCGTAGAGGGCCTGTGGGGTGCCGGAGGGCGTAAAGTCGATGGACATCTTGCGGTCGCGGGGGTAATGGTGGGCGCCGGAGGTCTTGAGGAGGTCTGAGGGAACGGTGGTGAGCACTGATGTCGGGGAGGAGGGGAGGAGGGAGAGGCGTCGCGAATGGCAGACGCTGGGGCGCGTTGTGGAACGCGATCACAATTCGTAGGGATATTTATGCAAGACATACCGAATTCTGATCGGCGGTCGGGAGATGCCGAATGTACCGCAAGCCAGCCCGCAGACGCCATCCTGCTCGTCGCTGAAGTCAGTCCCCAATAGCGACATCTCCGGGGCTCACATACCTTTTGCTCGGGGATTCTTGTCACGTCGACCACAGGGTCAAAGTCGGTCTCGGCAGGAGCTCAATTCCAATATGTCTGGCAGTCGTATGACAAAGCCTCGGAGTGAGCCCGACGAGTGTTGTCTATCCCTCGTCGCCCCCTTGCCTTTTTATATTGTGCACGGTCGCTCGTCAAGATCTCAATCGCACAGACACACGCCGTGACTGCGTCTGTCGTCGCCTTTCCTGTTTCGAAGCCGTGGTTCCCGGAAGTGTGGATAGACGTATCAATCAGCACCGTTGTCCCGCGCACACGATCCCATCCACGCAATCTCAGCGCCTTTCCATCAGCAGCTCAATCACCGGTCCTACCTACTCACGGCCCCCATGACAGATTCGCCCAATATCTCTCCGAACGAATCCGCCCCTCCCGCCGCCAGTGACCACGCATGCCTCTGTTGTCTTGGCTGCTTGACTGCCCCCGTTCCGAGCTTTCCGCCGCTTTCCCCGATTGGTCGCTCGTCGCTGATCCTATGGTGTAAAATCCAACAATTGGCGTTATCTGAGTGGCGAGTTGGCCATGCCTTCTCACTTACTCTACATATGGGACGCTCCGCGTCCGAATATCCAATGTACAGCATTACAATTCTATTGATTACAGCCTTCTGCTGTAGCACATTTACGGCACGTCGTCTTATTGACAGAGAGTGACAAACGAAGATGGCAACCGCATTGCGTAGTGACGGGCGCTGGTTCGCATCAGCCGGCAAGCTTGTAGCAATGAATCCGCTATTGATCGTGTTTGAGGCGCAGAACGGGTGCAAGCACCAACTGCGCATAGTTGGTGCCAACGTCCAGCATGCCCGCTTCATACGTTCTCACGCAGCGGCTTGGACAGCCTGTCACAAATACTTTGATCCATCTTCCTGATCGACACATATTCTCGCCCATTGATTTAATTCATACGGATGGAATGCTGAGGAACCATCGCTCCCTGTCGTCACATGGGCCCTAATCAACCAAGATTCCAAGGATTGGTGTCCAGGAAGCCTACGAGACAAGACACGTCTTCTCGAAGCTGCAGAATGAAACCTCCCCTGATGTTCCCTCGTAGAAGCTCCCGACCCTCGTAAGGGGCAACCCATAACGGTCCGGCAGTCCGCCGAGAACCTATACGGCATCGGGATCTGTCGCCCATATGGCACGCATGTCCTTCGGTCAGCCCGGAAATGTTGCGGTGGTGCTTCCAACGCTACCCTGCGTAGTGCGTAGAATCTAGATGACTCATCTCGTCAAATTATCGCAACGCTTTGGCATCGTCGCATATGCATTCGCGAATTTGGGGTTTCCCAGGAGCCGTATATGAAGGACGGCTTCTCCTTGATTTACGTGAACTCTATGTCGGATATTCTCTTTTCAACCCCGCGCGCGATCCAGACAGGCAATTCAGGACACACGGATTTGCGTCTTCGACATTCAATCTGTCCTCGAGGTATTCCCGTAGACTGGGGCTCAGACCAGTGCCCAGGATCTAAGGCTATCCGCTGTCCAGTCGGAGTCGTGCTCAAGGAGATACATCCCGCGGGCCGCGAGTGCTAGTAGTAGTATCGGCGCGCCACGATCCACTTTTCCGGTGCCTGGGGAAGGTGTCCGAGGCATGTGCCCGGGCAGGATTCACGGCAGCATCTAGCGGATAGCATCCGATACAATGCAGAGCGGCGTCGGACACGAGCCCCAGGGATATCATTGGAGCGACGGCACCGTGCACATGGTGTTGAGGGTGTGCATATTGGTATCTTGCCAATGAGAAATGCGCATTCGGTCTCGTGTCGGCTGCGATTGGCCTCTCCGAACCTTCGCACACCGTGCATCGTTTTCGAGAGTAACCATGTGCTATCGTTATCCCGGTGAACGCTTTCCGATACAGCTCGCACCATATACGTCTTCTCTCATTCGATAATGTCCATGGAAGCGAAGGTGATTTCGTCAGGGCAGCAGATCCCGTCTCTATCTCGTGTAATGTGGCGTGGTCAGCTCTCCACCGGCCTCGTCGGTGATCAGGCTAGACCATATGCAGCGGTTGCGATAAACGAGGTTTCGGTGTCGATCAATCGTCTGGACCTAGGTTGGCAATTGTAGAATCTCACGACGCTCCTCACCTGCATCAGTTACGTTCCCAGAAGACTGTCAAACAATTTCTATGAGAAGATTGGTGCCTTAATGGAATATAGTTGATATGCACATTTCTTCCGTCGCCTTCAAGGACAAATTTATCTCACCTTGCCTTTTCATGGCCAGCAGTCAAGCGGAACACGTCAGGCAGTTTGTAATGTGCATGCGATCTGCTTCCGCGAATCTTTGGCGGATGGCGTGCGAGCTTTTGTCAAATATTCCCTATTTGGAGGGCTGTAAGCGGATCAACATCCGCGCACCCCTGAGGATGAGCGTCGGCTGTTTCTTGCATCGCCTGAGGTACCTTATGCTCAGGCCGCTGCGCTTGGTTGTCGGAAGGAGGGGGAGGAGTGGTGCATCTCATCGAGCACGGACTCCTTGTCTAGTAGTACGGTCTAGTACGGTAGTACCTTCATGTGATTTTCGCCGAAGACAAAATTCCGATAGTCGGACGAAAGTACTAGGACTCCGAGCAGAACATGAAGCATTGAAAGAACATAAGAGATAATTCTAACCTCAGACATCAGGTTACTCGCACGCAGCACTCAAATCTACTTGTGTTTGGCCTGCTTCCGCTTGTTGGGGTTATACAAGGAGATAAGTCTCAGAACCTCCTTGTTTGGCATTTTTGTCTGACTTTACAGCCTCTTTTCTATCGCTTTCCCGGTTGAATGGGCTTGTACCAGCGGACATAACTGCAAAAGGAGGTTCTTCGTCTGGCAAGTCAATTTGAGTTTTCCTGATGAGCCCAACGTACATGGGCAGAGCGACCGAGCACCATCCGAACAGTCTTCATCATGTGGGCTTATTAACGTCGTTAAAGCCTTAGCGCGGTATCATCGTGCGGACTAAGCAAGGACACCGGGCGGTGCATTCTAGTCCCTGCAGGTCGCTTTGACCCTTGTGGACACAATTCCCTGTGCACAGCCTGAACAGTCGCAAGGCGAGTCTTCCTTGAAGGTAGCAGGCCAAACTAAGAGACTTGGGAATACATGCTCGCGAAGGCCGGAGCCAACCGACCGGAACACACCTAGAATACAAATACAACCTTTGATTATCGATGCGTCGCTAACTACTCTTCGCGCAGCGTGACACGCGACAAGGCAGTACCTCGCCGCTGGGATATAATCTCGAAGCACTCTTACAATTCTACATGGACAAATTGTCGCACCCGCAGGGAAAGAAACCACAAGGCGCGGGTTTCATTTAAGTGAGAATGTCAAAGCATCTGTCAACTGGAACATTGCACGCTGACCGACCAGCAGTCACGAGCTCCTGCGGCACGGCTGAAGGATGAGGCCTTGAAGCCGAGAACAACAGGGGATAAATCGAAGCCAAAGTGCGCACCGATGAAACACCTAATGTGACCTTACTTCGATCCCTATAGTGATAGTGAAGCTCGTCTTCGCTCCGCTGCGATAATCCGGGGAGCTTGAAGGTTACCGTATGTCCGCAACATACTTCAAGGTTTTCTTCATGTCCTACAACATCGATTCCAAAGAAGTCTCCGTGTCTCATAAGACACTGGCGGAAGAGAAATCATCATGGACAACGTAGACGCCAGCATCACGGCGGAGATGTGAGATGGTTTGCTGCGCTGAGGCATACTTCGAGGAGCATCACCTGAGATTATCGAAGTATGGAGCGACCTCCGACCGGTCGCTCTAGACCTCACGATGGCACAGAGACCGTGTTCATCCACTGGCGGAGCGAGCTGCTGAAAGTTTTCAAGCGGTCGTGGCCACGCTACGTGAGGGCATTGAGGTTAGACTGGGACGGCCAGACTCCGGTGGCATTGAAAGGCAGTTTCTGCACCTGCTCGTTCTCAAGCCTTCAGTACCATCTTTGCGGGTCAATTTGCTCTTGCGAGCGATATACTCAAAAGAAGCGTGTGTAGTCGATGAATTTGGATAACGTCTGAACTAAAGACGCCTATCAAGTGTAAAAATACGACCATCGCTGAAGTCATGCGATCCTGACAGCAGGAGAGGTTCGAAATTGCGTTTCGTTCGACCATAGCTGCTACAACTGCGGGTTAGGTACTGTACCAAACTTGCCGCCTCGGCGGAACTTCTCTTGGCAGGCGGAACAGGAACTGGCACGGGGAGTCCACGAGTGCTCAATTGAAGGCCGACGATGCGCACTTAACGGTAGTAAGATCGGATAAAAGTCGGTCAGGCGAATGCCGACACTAGAAGCAAGGCGCAGATAGTTTGGTAAGTGTGGCCCTTGCAGTCTCCCGCAAGATGGACTGCATGTTCGAGTGTCATCGAGAACAATCTGTAGTGCGATCCAAAAAGAGATGCGGGGTTGCGGTTGCTCTCTCATGCGGATGAAACTCGGCACGTCAAGGCAAACGGTTGGAGTTTTGAGGTCTTACGATGGTCATAGGTGCTGGCCTAACGTCGAATTTCACCGCGACGAAGCTCAGCTGCGGTGTTGCTCGGTGATTTCTCAGGATTTGGTTACTCACCCCAGTAGCGTGCATTCCGTCGATCCGTGGTTCCTTATTCAATTCAAAGAGCATGGTGCTCGCGAGGATATCGCAATCCCCTGGATTGCGGATAGAAATCTTACCTTCGCAGATTGCCGAAACTTCGCAGGCAATCTCGGCAGAATTTGAAAAGGCGAGAAAAGAAGAATACCGCCGCCTTCGATGGAGTCGTACAAGTTGCGGATTCCCTACCGTAACACAGACCCAGGCTTACGGTTGATGTGATGTTGTGCACATATCTGAAATGGAGTAAGAAGTGGCACCAACAGTCAGCAAGTATCGTGACGAGCGGGCGAACGCGCACAATTTTGTCCAAAGTGAGGATCAATACGTTGGCTCACGGGCTCAACTCGTGTAGATCTGGAGTATTCGCTCGATCCCTACTGCTTGAGTAGGAACCAACCTCCCAGAGCCCGGCATCTGGTCAGAAATATGTGTTCGTGCGACTTTAACAAGCTCACGATGTCGCGCATCATTACATGACGGTTGCTGCGGCAATAAAGGCTCGAGCGTAGCCACTCGGAGTTTCGACGCCCGTGCAGCACGTGACGCCGACCGGCTTCAACGCCTGACCTTTGGCTTACACTTAGAGGCAAATGGCCCTGCATCGGGCTTGCGCAGTAGCGACCTCTATCTCCTCAACTCTGCAGACCACCCGCCGACCATCATACGCGAAGATTACGCTGGCACTAGAGGGAGGAACTTTGTCAAACTTTCCCGTTTGTGCGAAGCCCGCCTTGCTTGTGAATTGTCTACGCTCCAGATTGCATATTCCTCCGCGTTCTTTTTTTCCAGCATACTATGTCTGTCGCATCGTACCGATTGGATATCCCTAGTCCTCGTCCACCTCCTCTACCTATCCGAACACAAGGCCTCAAATCACCCTCACTATCGGGCATCAACGACGCGTTCCCTTCACAAATTGAGTCGCTGTCTCCAAGGATACACACACCATCCACACGCACAGCCTCCAGATTACAGAACAGGGTCCCACGGTCACCTCCCCAGAGTCCTCGCTTGAGGGCCGGAGCGAGAGGATTGACTCCTCCGCCTTCAATACACAATCGCTCAGTCACTCCTTCACAACCCGTTCAAGGCGACTTGGAAGAGTTTGCTGAGCATTGTAGAGCTTGGTAAGGGTTTCAGTATGGGAAGCGGATTCAGAAGGTTGACAAAGATGGCAGGTACTTCGAGCAGAACGACGATGCCGGACGTGTCATGACACATACCCTAACCACTCTTCCCCCTTCACAACGTGCGCCATTTGCTCGGCTGCAGGCGTCGATAAGATCTACATATCATGCGAGTGTCAATGCGCGCCGGAATGCGGAATTCAAGGCCCATCTTAGCGCTACGCAGCTCGGAGCGTCGTTGATGCCACATTCTCGGGCCGATCCTGGTGGACCTTTGGCGAAGAAGGAACGTTACGAGAGGTTGGAACGATTCGTCAGATCATGGTGCACGATGGGCATGCCTGGCACAGAGCCCTTCTTTCAAGGCCTTTGGGCCGTCATGCGACTGCAGGTGGTTCCAGAACACCTTGGAGGAGCTGGAGGATTTAGAATCGAATGGGAAATCGATGATGCGGTCTTTAAGGAAGCTGCGTGAGTTCTGTGATGTGTGCGTTCGTCCTCCATCCATACCTAAAGCTCATGTCGGCTATTTCCGTAATGCAGCGGCAAAGAATTTATGCTTGAGGCCATTGATGTTCTCAAAGGAGTGAGTCTCTAGGTTCTGTTTTGTCGGTCGCCGACGATTTCCTGATATCGGCCTCGCTAGGTTCTCGCTTTCGAAGGAATACTGTCGAGCAAGAGATCCTCCTCGCTGACAGGTTCCGTTCCTTACTCGGCCGTTTCCTCACTGTCTCCAATTCACTCTCGGTCGCAGTCGCAACCTCTTCCTTCTGCTATCTCCGACTCGGCGCGTTCTCGGAAGGTTCCGCCAATTACATCAACCACTCAAACGAAAAGACCACGAGCTCCCAGTGATCCCTTCTTGGATACCCCCTCATTATCAACGTCATATTCCTCTGCAAACACGATGGCGCATCCCTCGACGTCGGGCTCGACGCTGGGAGATGAGCCGGTGACGCCCACAATGCTGCCTCTAGACGGTGTGGATTTGTCAGCGTCGACATTTAGTGTTATGGAGTCGCCTGACACCGAGGAATCAATGAGGACATGGATAGCTCCCGACCTGTCCAACCATGAGTACCTTGAGTTGCTCTCGGCGTTCCCGACATTCATTACTCGTAACACATTGCCTCGGTTCCCTGTATCGGAAAGCTTGCAGCGAATGCCTGACCTTGAGGAGGGCCAGGAGATGCAAGATGAGCTCAAGCGCATAAGGTTTGGGACAGGTGCAATCTGGGTCGGGTCGAGGCCTCGTTCTAGTGGGTGGGAGGGCAGCTGGTGGATCCGATTCAAGCTGTGGGTCCGAAGAATGCTCTGCTAGCTATTTCAGACAGTCTTCGGCTCTTCTCATTGCGTCAGAGTCACAACACATCATGCAACCTCTGAACATTCGGACATGTGCGATGCCTCCGTGTACTTCCTGTATTGTGCATCCGGTCCGTGGAATCCCATTCTTGATTGGACACCATATGGACACTTACGTTGCACACTCCGTTCTGTCATTTGTCATGTTTCAAGTTGTGATCGCGAACGTACATGGACACTGTAGTTGCGACTTGGACCGCGAAGCTTCCTCTCCGCTAGTAGAGGTGCATATACCTAGTACGGTCATCTTTGTATGCTGTTCACTGTGCTGATAACCAGAGAAGAATGTGATAAGATAGTAGATCCTACGGAAGCGAGAAGCATCGTGCGTTGCGATTTGCGTTCAGTAGCCAGTGCCAGCGTTGAACGACTACCATGTTCCCGCTCACTATTACTAAACATTGTGACTGATTGGTGACACTTCAAGCTTTCAAGCTTCAAGCCAGGTAGTGAAAGGCGAGCTCTTTTTGCTGGTGCTCATTTTCGCTGCTGTTCATCGGATGAGGAGTTTGCTTCTTCCTCTCAATACATGATGGCATGAACGTAGCGGATATACTATGGTGGTGAGTGTCCATATTAGCTGGAATAATCGCGTTCTCAGAATAACTTTAGCTTATTGAAGGTCAGGTCTCATATATGTCGGTATATAGCCCTGATACTTCTGGTCAGGACCTCGCTCGGCGGGACTGCAATTAATTATTGCTTAGACCAGCCCGTCACTAAGGGGCTTCAGAAGAGAGGCTGTTCGTCATGAATCTCCACTGCGGCATACCAATGCCCTCCAGAGCCTTCCACACGAAGCGGTGCCGAACTTTACTGCCAAAGTCATCCATCGCGCAATTAAACGTGACCTCTCCGCTGGTCGATTGGTCATTCTCCAGACTCCTGAAGAAATAGTAGCATGTTGTTGAAGCCTTCGGATAACAACGGCGACGACTCGAGCTGCCGTGGCAAATTGCATTGCTTCACGATATCAAGCTTTGTTTTCCTTTCTCATGAAACAGCTTTCTCCATTGGGGCTGTCTCATTCACAGGAGTACTGGCACCATACAGTGGCAAAATGTCAATTGAAGGTATGTACGTCGCAGGATTGATGCAATTGAACGCTTTGACCTTTATCGAAGACGATTCTTATTCGCTGCACTGCTCAACCGGTCATCTCTTCTCAATTCAGGCTTCCGTTCGAATTTCTATCGAGTTATTGGGAAGCGTACTGCGGATCTCATTGGCTGCAGCAATTGGTCATTGCCTTTCCAGCAACAATATTTAGGCAGCATGAGTCGATATCTATCATTTCCCTGTGCTGATGATTCTCGAAGTGGGAGTGCATGCAACCGCTCATGGTGATTTGATGTTATCGGCGAAAGCATGAAAGTCCTCCGTCCCGTTTCGAGTTGACACTCCTGTGCATCCTAAGCCAAAGCATTTGTCTCCAGGTCAGCATGGTGCGGGACGGACTCCCCGGCCATCTCGGTGCTGACATCTTCACTGAGCACTCATAACCTGAGTACCGTATCGGCAAATGTTACCGTTCTCCCAAGGCGCACATCTTTCCCCTATGATGGCCCTGCATCAGGTGGGCTCGATCTGGTGCCGCGCAACGCCTTCGACTGTCGGAGTTGTGGAATGCCACTCCTTGATCTTCCGTGCATGCTCGTAAGCGACGCTGATCATGCCTAAGTCGGTATCCATCAATACCGCGATGTGAGCGACTGTCGGACGAGGCTGTTCGCTGGAGATTATGACAAACATCGATGCCGTGATGTCAATGCATGGTGTCCCCAATTGTCAAGCTCCGCCAGGATGTTGTTAAACGATCAAATTAACTCGACACGATTTTGAATTTCGGAGAAGAATAAATACAAATGCTCGAAGGTTGCAACCCCGTAACGACGTGCAACTCATGGTGTCGAATTCTTGATACGACCACACTCGTATGGCCAAGCACGCCTTTATAACCGAACCTGTACGGCAACCATGAGGTGCCTGTTTTCCCAATATCACAGCGACATCCGACCAATGGTAGCGGCGCAGCGGCGGGATCTCTTCTTGATTGATGACGGTCAGCGCGTCTTGTGACTTTGCTGACTACCAAAGGATTCTACGTGCCTATGAGAGATACGCAGCAAATATGATCCCTTCGATACTCCTACATCTCTGCATACACTGCATTCACTCCGCTCCGTGCGGCTTCTTGCGGGTGATGAACATTATATGACAGGAACTAGAACAAATCGATAAGGAGCGAACGCATGGCGAGAGTTGAGATAGCGTGAAGAATAACGGTGAGTTCGAAGTGTAAGCTATTTATGGAGGACTAACGGAATCAGGTCGAGGAGGGACGGGGGAGCATGAGGCCATACGTAGCAAGCACGTTCGGAGAAGGATAAGGGGTAAGATAAGTTACGGCATGACAGCAACATTGAAAGAGGCGAGTGCGTGGTAATGTCGCAATTCACAGCGAAAAAAGGTAACGGTACCTGACAGCAATGCTGTAAGAGCGGAGTGAGGCGAACGGAAATGGCGTGAATGTATCATAGGTAAGATCCGGCCTGCTAGTACCGTCTTGATTTTGTCGCCCGCAAATCCGCCTCGAGCGATCTCACCTGTTCAACTAGGCTGTGCGATAATGAGCAACGAGTCAAGGCACGGGAGCATTTGTTATACCGTTCATTTTCTGCCTCTAAATCTGCAATTCTCCTGGTCTTTATCTCGTGACTCTTCTGCGCGGCCGCCTGTTTCCTTTCAAGCTTTCTGATATAGTCTGGGAGCTCGGCGAGTCCATCCAGGTATGCCGCAACCGCGTCGGCTGACAGTGTTCTAGTCACCGTGGATTCAGTAGCCTGAGAGGAGTACAACGCAGACAGACGCCCGCTCTCGGAGGTAGGAGCATGTTCTACGAAGGGGTTCTCCTACTCGATCGTTATTAAGGTTGTCATCGAACGTGTCCACTACGTACATACCGGATCGTTCGCGACGTGCTGACATTGTCTTGTCAGTTCATCAACGTCCCTACTCTTACCCTTCCACCTCGTCGGTGACACTGGCTGTTCCTGGCTAGTATAAGGCGGTCCGAATTGTAGACCCAGACCAGCACTTCGCGGTGGGGTCAGTAGACCATTGCGGTAACTGGCTCCGGACGTGGAATGTCCTTGAGAGTAGGAAGATGGACCAGGAGTCCGCGGTGACGAGAAAGCAGGCAATGTTTCAGGCACCTGGCGAGGCGTTGCATACTGACTAACGCCACTTTCAGTCGGAGGCGAACCCCAGTATTGATCCTCATCTGACTCCTCGGTAGACACTTCAGTGATGGGACTTGTCTGGATGCCAGCACTGTGTAGAGAGGGTTGCGGCGATGTAGGTTCAGATCCGTAGTCAGATTCCTCGAGACATGTTCGCTTGGGTGAAAACCGATGACTGATATCTTTACTGTCATTTTGAATTTGACTGAGTGGTGCCTGGATCGGTTCACGTCGCACGGCGGAACCTTGCGAGCTGGGCTTTCGATCTGGAGCCGTGACGGCACTGGAATGCGGCGGTGCAGGGCGATAGCTACCAGGAGTGCCATTTGGACTAGGAGGCCCTTGCAACTGTGTCATTGCAGACCGCATCAATCCATCCCGCCGTTGTCTTTGCTCAGGTGTGAGCTTGCGTGACGGGGTGAAAGACTTGAACGGGGTAGGGCGAACAGGTGTTCTGGGTAGCTCCGCATGGGAATAATCTGTAGATGGTCCTGCAAGCCGCCGCAGGCGCTTGGAAGGCGAAGGTTGGTCAGAGGATGTGCGATTTATGGTCGCATGCTCATATTGTGGAGAAGAACTAGACATTGCTGGTGTAGGGCAGAAGTTGGTCGTTTCGCGATCCTTTTCAGATGCCACGGCGGACTTGCTGTTCTGCTGAGCTCGTCTTAGGATAGGATCGTCCGCCCACTCTGTACATTTACTACGTCAGTGTATAGTGCGCGAGAAGTCCGCTAGCAGCAACGCAACTCCAAAATCCACAGCGTTTAGCTTCATCCGGGATGGGGCACGTATAGAACTGTCTGAATCGGATGTGCACCATTCAAACAATGCAACAGCGCGGCAAGACCTACTTGCCAGGGTTCCTGGACGTATGGCTTGTGAACTTGGCAGCTAGTACACCGTGATGGCACCGCACATTTCCTTCCGAGTCAACTGGGTCTGTGCTGTGGTGAAACATTCTCTGAGGTTGGGAAGGCTGGGACGTGATGGTTGAGGTCAAGGTTAAAGGTGAAAGGAGCGTCGGGCACGGTCATATACATAGGAGACAAGGCGCCACCAACAGGCGCTTTCTCGACGGATCGGTAAACGTTAAACGTAAACGCTCGACCAGACGTCCCTACATCCATCGACCTTGCCGATGATGGGCACCATTCGCGTCGAGACGAGGCATGTCCGACCGGCAGACCCGTCACTGCCTGCTCTTGCTCTTCAGGTCACGCATCTTATCGACTCTTACATGCTCTGGGTCGGCACAACCGACGAAACCGCAGAGGAGGTGTACAAAGCACCGTTGCAGGGCAATCTCGCCAGAGACTGGGCGTGTGCTATGCCGGCTAGAGATGTAAGTATAGTGTCAACGTGGCCAAGGACACGAAGTTTTTCCGCCTCGGAAACGCATCATTGACGCGCAGGCAAGCTGAACATGAACATTCCGCCCGCTGCGACGTCGCTCTTCCGGACATCGAGTTCCGACGCCGCTTTGTCGATGGCGCAACGGCTTGGTGATGCACCTGCTTTTCGATCCGCTGCCAATGAATGCTGACTGCGGCTGTTCTCGCGGTGCTGCGGTAACGCCTACCCGCGTTGCTGAATCACCGCCCTATGTTCCTTTTGCAGCAAGGCGCTTCAAGAAACAAATCTTTCTGTCCATCGATCTCCCTCCGGCATTCGACTCCATGGGACAGGGGGCAAAGCTGATTTTTGCGGTGGAGAAGGCAGTGGTAGACATGCTCAAAGAGATGGAGCAGGGACCTCACATGACTCAACCGAGCCGAGCTAAGGGGTATGAGGCGCAGAGCGCAGCCGCCCCAACGCACCGGCGTCCTTGGCTACGTGGATGAAGGTGTATGTTTTCGGGTAGTACTTTAGACAGGAATAATAATACGAGGAGAAAAATGCAGATAGAACGATGAGCAGGAGGAGAAAATGCTGCTTGATGAGTGCGCGCGGCTCGTGCTCGGCGTTCGCCCTGTAAATGCATGATCGGGGCCTCGCTACCTCAGACTCTGCGGCCTTTGCACAGCCGTCTCTGTCCCGGCCGTCATCCTCGTCGTCGGCTGCCCTCTCGACATCCAGTGTAGACCGATTACAACGTCGCGCAAGCCGTGAGCTGCTCTCACTCACCGATTTGTGTCGTCACATCATATGTCTGAGCCGGAGCTACTCGCATACATGACTGGCACCAACGACGATTTTGACCTCCCCCGCTGGAGCACACAGACCCTGCACGACGGCCTATCCTCTTCTGCACAGGCAGCTCAGTCTGCAGCCCAGGCATCTTATCTCTACTCGCAGGGGCCGCCACAATCGACCGCAAACCGATTGCCACCTCTCCAGCAGTCCTCTGGTTCATCCAGACAGCCACGCATCTCCCAGCTCCTGGACGAAGACCAGCAATACGCAATGAGCTCCCTTCCATATGGCTCCAGCTCGAATTTGGGTCGTAGTGTGTCTCTCGGTAACAACGCCAGCGGATCATCTTCGCGAGGTCGCCGCCACCGCATGCAGGATGACCTTGAAGGTGCCTTCGATGTCGATGGAGATACTACCAACCAGAGGCACATATCGCATGCCTCGCATGCCTCGAATGCATCGAACGCATCCGGATATCCTTCTATGGATGAAAGCGCTAACTCCGGGGCTGGTGTTCCTCCGTACCAAGTCACGTATTACAGTTCCGCTGGCCAACCCAAGAGAGCTCACACACAGCACGATTCCAGCACATCTTCTCGTGCCCCGCGGTCGCCGCAGCGAGGCGCTGCTGGAGCGGGCGCCCTCCTTGATCCGTATTCACCCCAACACACTCAGCTTTCGTCGAACAGCACCCCTTATGCATACTCTCCTTCATCCGATCAGCAGAGAGCGTATTTGCCTGGGGCTTATCACTCACGCTCTCAGTCTCATTCACGATCGCAATCTCAAGTAAAGCGGGAAGGTGTCACTCCACCTGTCCCACCACCTTATTCGCCTATGTCCACTGCTTCTGCCTACTCCAATCCTTACCCTATGGAGACTACGAGCCCTGCTCCATCGTCTTCTCAGAATCTCGCGGCTCACCGCACTGTGCGTGGAACCTCAATCTCTCAGCCTGCAACACCATTGTCATTCGGACACTCGTCTCAGAACCATGGAACATCGTCGTACTATGGACAGGAACATCAGCCGATGGCTGTAGAAGTTCCCGCTCCGAAACGTCGTGCGTCGGGGCTGAGGCGGGTTCGCGACCAACGCGACTTACGACCGCACGTCAACCCACAGCCGGCAGGCCGGCGCATGGATGCGAGTGGCGTGTTTTTGTCGGTCAGTTCCGCTGCTCTCATTGACGCAAGCTACGCCCTCATGTTTGGAAACAGCCCATCAGGCTGCTTACAACTCACATTGTCGAGACGTACCGCATCTGTAATCCTCAATTCAGATACGAATCGACGCACAATCCACGTCGCGTTTTGACGAAGCCCAGCAAGCCTATCCACAATGACGGCTTTGATAACGAGGATTACGACTATATTCTCTATGTGAACGACTGGTTGGGCGCGGATGAGGGACACAAGTACGTCGGCTCCATTCCGCTTGTAGGATCATCTCACGTGTCCATCCATATTGCTCAGATACCTCATCCTAGACATTCTGGGTCAGGGAACCTTCGGTCAGGTGGTGAAGTGCCAAAATATGAAGACGCATGAAGTCGTGGCTGTTAAGGTGGTCAAGAACAAGCCAGCGTACTTCAATCAGAGTATGATGGAAGTGACGATACTTGAATTGGTCTGTTTAATGTTGCGCAATGTGAGATGTTCTACTGATCTCTCTCTTTGAAGTTGAACAACCAGTGTGATCCGGACGATCAGCACCACATCTTGCGACTGCGGGACTCTTTCATCCACAAGAATCATTTATGCCTTGTCTTCGAGCTGCTTTCCTCAAATCTCTACGAGCTGATCAAGCAGAACCAATTCCAGGGCCTCAGCACGCAATTGGTCAAGGTGTTCACAGCTCAGCTGCTGGACGCATTGACGGTGCTCAAGGAGGCCCGCCTCATTCACTGCGACCTGAAGCCCGAGAACATTCTCTTGAAGTCGTGAGTGTAATGGGTTTTTTTTTTCAAATTCTTCGTTGCTGAGTTGCAATCTCGCAAGACTTCAATCACCACAAATTAAAGTCATAGACTTTGGCTCGGCATGTCATGAACGGCAGACCGTGTATACCTATATCCAGTCACGGTTTTACCGCTCTCCAGAAGTGCTGCTTGGCCTACCCTACGCGGCAGCGATCGATATGTGGTCATTAGGTTGTATTGCGGTTGAACTGTTCTTGGGCCTTCCGTTATTCCCAGGGACTAGCGAATACAACCAGATCACCCGCATTGTAGAAATGCTCGGGTGAGTGCATACGTCCCTCTTTGTATGCGTCATATCGAGATGATGGACGATGTGCCAGGATGCCACCGCAGTACATGTTAGATATGGGCAAGCAGACAGGGCAATTCTTTGACTCCTACGTGGATGGATATGGCCACAAGCGGTACAAGCTCAAGAACATCGAGCAATATTCCCGGGAGCATAATACGCAGGAGCAGCCTGGGAAGCAATACTTCAAGGCAAATTCCCTCCCGGAGATCATACAGCAAGCTCCGATGCCTTCGTTCAAGTCAACTTCGCGGCAGGCTCACGAGATGGAGAAGGGTACGTAATTCCGACGCAGGCAGTGCATAACTGTGGTTTACACCTTCCACAGAGATGAACAACCGGGCTGCCTTCATAGACTTCTGTCAGGGGCTTCTGAATATGAATCCGATCGAACGGTGGTCGCCGCAGCAGGCTAGGATGCATCCGTTCATCACCGGAGAAAAATGGACAAAGCCGTGGACGGTTGGTTTTTCCTCGGATCATACTAGGGAATTCTGTCTGAGAGCCTCATGTCTCGTAGCCTACAGGCCAATCGAGCCATCAAGTAAGCCCCCCACCGAGCAATGGCCCTGACCCGAAGCGACCATATGGAGGTTTGGTGCCATCTCAGCCAAAGGGTACCAGAGCATATCAAGATGCTGCTGCGTATAATCAACGCCTTGCGCAGCACCAGGCGTTCACCGCCCAGGCTCATGCTGCATCTCAAGCGGCGCAGAATGTCTATAGAAATCCTTATGTCACTGCTCCGAACTCACAACAGGGCTCTGCAACCAATTATCCGAGCTCGCAGGATAATACCAATGCTAGCGCTGCTGCGAACTACGCAGCACAGCAGTACAATACCCCTGCGTCACAAGCGACGTCACATCGGACCCTTGCCCACCGAAACTCCCATGGACAGTTGAACGTCAACACTAATGTTTCACAACATGCGGGACACGGGCCAGGATTCCCTGCCATGCAGAACCCAACAGCACCGTCAAACACGTACTACTCTACTGCCCGCACTCGCTCGAACACCATCAATCCGAATATGGACAACATACCCCCGGCATTGGCACGGCTTCAGCATATGAATCAGGACGTCATCGGCGGGCGGAAGGCGTTGACGCCAGTGCTCAAGCGAGACGATGCCATCCGGGAGTGGGAGCGGCGTCAAGCGGGGAAGACTGCTGCGGCACAGCCTTACCCACAACTGGAATTTTTGCAACAGCAGGCTGAGCTCGCGGCAGCGCAAGGGTTGACGAACTGGGGGCAATCAAGTTCGTCTTCACGTTACCAGCATCACCCGCATCCAACGTCTAATCTCGCGCACTCGTACCACCCTCCCAACTCTATGGCAGTGGACGATGATCGCCGTGATGCCATCTTATCAACCGCTCGAGCCGCCGCCCGAGCGGACGCGCAGAGCAATCTCTTTGGCACAACGACGGAAGTGATACCGAGCCCGCCGCAGGCATATTCGAGCAACTCGACAACAGCAGGGAACCGGTACGCAACGACGTACTCGCAGCAGCAACAGGCTCCCACGTCTCCGTTTGATGCCGTGGACCGACGGACAGATATCGGTACTTTGTACGTGCCTATGCAGCCTGACCAGTACGGCCCGTACAACGTTCAAGCCTCCGCTTCCCAACAACATGCCGCTGCCGCTCGGCAGGTTGCGCCTCCTGCTCAAGCCGTGCCACCATCGTTTTATGGCGCAGGCGTCGTGCCGCAGAATAACAATCAGCAGCGGAATCCCTTCACCGCGGATCCTCTGCAGACATCACAAGGACAGGCGAGCGCGAAGGACGGCCGGAGGAAGAGTGCTATGGACCTGTGGACACAATGACGGAGCTCGCTTATACCTTTGCGTGGTCCTGTACGTCTCATTTTTGTCTTTTTTTCACGCCCAAAGGCCCGTTGATATCATCTAACGACTGCTCTTCCTCCTCTGCACCTATTTCAATCGTTCCGTCAGACCGATCTTTAAGGGAGTGCATCCTGAAGGTCGATGGTCTCAGAATTTTATCACCATGCCTGCGAAAGGAATGTACATGGCGATGTAGTTTCATCACGGCATGATGTATATTCACCGGCTGTACTTAGTAATGGACACAACCAGCTGAGACCTCTTCTATATTCTCCGTGAGCCTGTACGGAAGTTTGATATCGGAGTGACGAAGCCATGACTCCCTGTTACGGGGTGCACGACAAGTCAGAGCTGCTTGAAAATCTCCTCGACTTCCCAAGCACCGGCCCAATATCGGACTTGACACTTGAGACGGCTCTCTTCCTCGTAACCAGTGATAAGCTTCTCCAGACCACGGTGCCGCCTGCAAAGCACCATGTCCTGGCTGTGACGGGGTTAAGACGCGGCTCGTAGCGGTTGGCATGAAGGAACCAGTCACCTTCTAAGACGTAAAACCGCACAGAAGTCATTGGTCCCGTCCCCAACGTAGATGATGCGGTCGAACTGAGTTCTATGTCTATCCAAGAAGGCGTCCAACTCATCGCCTGGAGCGGACCTCAAATGCGCTGAACTCAAGATGATGGGTGATGCCGTACCTTTGCACATATTCGGGCTGCAGCCTACTTTGCATTGATGCTGAGGACCTTCAGGATCTACCCTCCTCCGCAGCTTGAGCAGCCCTGAGGGATCCCATTCAGCGGGGTTTGTCACGACCTCTTCGAAGAGGGTATCCAAGCCTTGAGCCTGAGGGTCTTCGTGGACTACACGTTTCTGCCTCATAACAATACCCGACATACCTTGAGAATGGTGGAGATGAATACAATGTTGGCATTGGACAGACAAAGGAATGTGGTCTTCGGAGTGGACCTAGTCTTGAGATCGGTGACTCCACGCGCCATTGCCGGGTGCTGCGCGAGAGAATGAACGGCAGCCAGCGATGATGAACAACAGGATCACGCACGAAAGGCATCTTCCGTAATACATCTTCTATTTCCTCTTTGGCTACGCCCTTGGCATGCAGTTCTCGCAAAGAGGACGCCCTTTGTACGTCAATGAGAGTCACGCCACGGCGTTGCAAAGCAGGGTCCTACATGAGATCGGTCCACTGTACTTCCTGCTTCAAAGTCTTCATCTTCCTCCGAAGCTCCGGGGCCAGTACCTCAAAGACCCAGCGGTCTGAATCCTGGTCTGCCAGAGACCTTGTAACAGGAGAAACGTCATTTCTACGAGTCATGGAGTTCTCGAGGGCACGCACCAGTCGAAATCAAATACGACGAGCTGTTTCTCCGCAGTATCAGACATCGCGAGCTCTCGCAAAGGCAAGGAGCCGTTCTAGATGAATTGATGTATGAGCCAGCGCACGCGGCGCTGCAGTTGAAAGTGTGGCCGGACGGTAAGGATGGCGCAAGGAGTCAACTCGCGTCGAAACCTTGCAGCCACAATCCGTATCTGATCGAGATCCCGATGGGCGGAGGCACGTGGACATGACTGCTCAGCTTACCTAACGCCCTCTTCGCGACGCGCTCGCCACACGCGATGCCTCCCGCCGTCTGCACTGCAAAGGCGTCCTACAAGAAACTACCCGGCATCCTCGAGCTCACAAACACTCACCTCTTGTGGACGCCCGATGGAAAGAAAGCACCCACTATCCGCATAGCTCACGCGGAGGCTGCATGTCAGTTCTATGACCAACCTCGTTTGCTAGTGCGGTCGATTTAACGCGCTTCGTGCGTCAAAGTGTTATTTTGTAGCAAGGAAGGCGCGCCCCAAGTCCGCCTGAAAATTGGTCTGGTTGGAAATGAAGCTGGCCACAACTTCACTTTCACATCACCTCAAGCTGTGGCGCTCGCTGAGCGCGAGAAGTTTAAGAATGAATTGACCAACATCATTAGTCGAAACCGGAGCGGGCTTTCGACTCCTGTCACAAAGGCTCCCGCTACACCGGTCGCACCTGCACCAACGAAGACCCCCCCGTCCAGGATACCAATTTCCGCGATAACAGCTTCTACGTCCCGTGCCGCATCTGTTGCCAGTGATTCAAGGGCATCCGGCACCCCAGTCAATGACCCTACAAAAGACTTCCGCCTCCGGAAGAAAGTACTTTTGAGTAATCCTGATCTGGCGGCTCTGCACAGAGAACTTGTCATGGGAGGGCACATTGCAGAGAATGAGTTCTGGGAAGGCCGAGAAGTTCGTTGCTGTTCATGCATGCATGAATGCCGATGCTAACATTTGTTAGCATCTAATTCTCGCTCAAGAAGCGGCGGAAAGTCAGAAGCGAGGCAAGCCTGGTCAGCTGGTGGATCCTCGACCTCAGACCGTAGATGGGGAGGTCAAGATTATCATCACTCCTCAGCTGGTTCATGATATTTTTGAGGAATATCCGGTTGTTGCGAAAGCATATAATGACAATGTCCCAAGCAAGGTAAGTCTTCGGTTAGCTGGCCGCGCGGTGTGGGCCGCCAATATTGAATGCGGTTGAAAGCTGTCCGAGGCCGAGTTTTGGAAGCGCTATTTCCAGTCAAAGTTATTTAATGTGCATCGTGCCTCTATCCGTTCATCTGCAGCACAACATGTTGTCAAGGACGACCCGATATTTGACAAGTACTTGGAGAAAGAGGACGATGGTGGGTTACATATATAGTGTAGTATTGGATCTGCTGACACCCTACGAAGAGCTGGAACCCCGGCGACTGCGAGAAGAGGGGGTTGACATTTTTATTGATTTGGCTTCAACCCAAGAAGACCACGGAGAGGTACCGACCCATCATCATGTCAAAACTTCTTGCTCACCTCGCTGTTGAACTGTCAGACAGGGATTACAAACGATATTACTATGCAAGCAGGAAAGCAAAGAGCAGTCTTGCCGCTGATCCGCAAGTTCAACGAGCATTCTGGTCGACTCCTTCACACCACTCTGTAGGTCATTAAATCGATGCGTCTCTGCTCGCATTCACAAACAGTTCCAGTGGCGAACCGTCTGCAAAGCGGAGACGGACGGAAGCAGGGGAAGCTGTCGATGTAAGCGCTCATACTTGGCGATGTTCTGTGATCAACTAATCTTGTTGCTCTCCAGCATTACTCTCAGCTGGACCTGGAAGATCTCCATGATAGTCAGGCTGCTGCTGGAATCCTCTTGAATATGCAAGATCGAGAGCGATACTTTGATAGCAGAATCGCGAATACCTCAGCACCCCAAGCCGCTGACCAGGCAAGCCATATCGAATTGCACGCGAATCCTCGTTTCATTGATGGCGAATATGTCAGACTTTAGACGGGAGCGTCGCATTGCAACAGCTGAAGGACAGCTTGCCGGGTTGGTCAGATCATTTGAGGAAGGTGGATGCGACTATTGTCTGTCCCGGTGCCGTGTATCTGACTCGGAACACGCGGCAGCTGAAACTCGAGAAGAAAGCAGGCGAGGCAGCACTAGTCGCCATGACGCAGAACGTGTCCGCGCGACTAGATGTCAAGATGAGGAGATGTGCGCTACCTTTTAGCACCATTAACCCTGACATGTGCCTATCTAACCACACTATTCAGCCGACATACCCGAGGGTGTCTTCCGGCAGATGACGACTTGTCAGACTGCCGCCAACGAGTTCCTGCGGCAGTTTTGGCTCTCAATCTACCCATCTACTATGGAAGGGCAGACACTTTTGGCAGCATCGCCCGCGCAGAAAGCCGCCAAGGCGGCGAAGATGGCAGGATATCTGGCCAAGACGCACGAAAAGGTGGAGGCGCTCGTCCACAGTGCGCGGCAAGAAGGGGTAGAGCCCGCGCGTGTTCAGGTGGTGGGTGAACATTTCGTTGATACCCAATCTTTCTGCTATACAATCTCATCGGTTCCTGTGTGAAGGCAATGCAACCTCTTTTGAACGCTGTGGACAAGGCACTTGCGTTCTGGCGCGCTCGAACTGCGAAAGCTGTGCGATGATTGCCCATCTCGACCTAGGGTGCCTTGTGATTTATTATAATCACATCTGTGGTCATGATAGATAGACGCCTAATGTAGATCGCAAGACGCCGTGAGTCATCGTCTCCCTGAAACGACACTGAGACGCCATCCGCTCGTATCGCAGCCGTGCGATCATGTATTCATTACTGTGGAAGACCACTGTTTCCTTGAATTATCCAGCATAGCATCTAATGTGCTGTTCGAAATTTTTGAGCGCACCGCTGGAGATATGGCGAGTCCACAAATCGCCCTGAGATTGCACCGTTGCCGTTGACGATGTAACATGCGCTCATATGCCACCAAACTTTATTTGCGACAGTCATGCTAAACTGGCCAATAGTCGAGGCCATGCATACCAATTCAAGTCTATCTTTTCGTCTCTGCCTCTGTAGCTGGCACATCGGTATGTGGCTGTGTGGTCTGCCCAACGAGTCGAGGCTCATTGATCATCTATATGCTCGACTCCGGGAACTATCTGCATGGAAACCGGTATCATCTGCGAGATGAACAGCACTGTGGTGTTTCTGATCTTCTGCGCTAACTGGCTTCGAAGCGGCCTGCTACGGCCGGGTATATAAAATGCTGACAATGAGGCAGATCCCTCGCTCAAACGTGCCAGTACATCTCATTGTCTGTGTACCCAGGTCATCCAGTCCTCGATGCCTCATTCTTTTATGTCGACGCCGAATACTTTGCAAAGGGCCGTCAGCACTCGCACATCTGTCGCGTACAGTGCACTGGATGTTTCAGACTCGTCTGTTGAGGTTGTGAGCACCCTTCCAACATCGGAGAATGCAACCCTTGTTACTCCACCGACCAGGTCGGAACAATCTGTTATCCCCCTCGCCGACATGTCTTTCATACAACCTGGGGACTCCCCGTACGATACTCCAGAATTAACAGCAAACAACGACGGGAACAGGCACTTCGACCGCATGGCACATGCTTCGCCGACTATGTTGGAGTTACGGAAAACCCTGTCGCGCATGCGGTCGTGGACGCGAAAGCTCTCGAAGCTGTCTTGGACCTTCTTGGAACGACATTGGATCACAACCTCAATCGTGGTCATGGTTTCAATTGTCGCCATCAGCATGGCCATTGGCTGGTCGTTACGACTACGCTTCTTTAAGGCTGAAACTTTTCCTCCATTTATAAATTCCACTAACGATGTAAGTGCCCATTGACTTGTGTCGCCGATATCGTACTCACGATTGATGCGAAATGATGCACAGATCCTGCTGAGTGCAAACTTGATCTCGATAGATCCAGTTGGGCAGACGATGATGATCGATTGGGCTATTTATGATGATGTGCAACAAGAAGGTGACTGCCAGGACGTCAATATCTACATCGACCAGTAAGTCTGAATCTATGTAAGTGACCAGGGACAATTATGTGTTAAATACACTTGAGGTCTTCAGGAATCAGTTACGGACCGGTTCAATATCCAGTTCTCCTTTTGACAATGAGAAACCTTCCCCGATATTCTTCGTCAATTGCACCGACTACCTGCTCCAAACTTATGGAGGTGACTTTCGGTTCAATTCTTTAGAGTTCCGCACGCAAATCGCTATCTCGAATCTATGGCGGACAGCACAAGACTACCCATTTGACAAGTAGGTGTTGCGTGTCATTCAGATAGATGGAATTGACTGTTCAATTCAGATATTATGCACAGATAACCCTTTTCGCTCAGACTCCAGAGAATGTCACTGTCCCCATTGGAATTGACGAAACGACGGGAATTGCTGTGTGAGTTCACGGCGAAACCCATGTAACTCGATTCATGAACGGAACCACACAGGGGATATAATGCAAAGTTCGACACGATAGATTCCTCCTACGGTCCGCACGGTGAACTCGTCGCATCACTCACAATCACCCGGGGTCAAGTAATCCGGATTTATGCTATCCTCATTGTGCTTTCAATTTGTATGAGTTATTTCATTCTTAGTGTGAAGAGAACATTGCTTGACAATCTGGTGAAGGGCTCGTCACTTTGACGTTCGTCGCGACCTGCGTCATTACAGTCGCTTTTGGCAAAGGCATCAAACCTGATATTCTGGTTGTTCCCGTTGGTGCCCTATTCGCCTTTACACAACTTCGGAGCACAATGCCCGGCGCTCCTTCAGGATTCGGTACGTATGCGCCGTGTCAACTATTGGCTGCCACTAACCCGTCATCTCAAGGTGCTGATATCGGTACGTCTAATTTCGCTGGGTCTCGCGTACCGCCAACTTAGCAGCCATCAGACTTCATGGGCATTCTGCCGTGTCTTGCGTTGATGACGCTGGCGGTGCGCGTGTTTTCTCGTGCACCTCGCGAACTGACTGGTTGATGTTGCAACTCAGTCTGTGTTCATGAGCGCTGTGTTCCTTTTCCGTCGCAATCCCGAGGACGATACCGATCGGTGGAAGAAGCTGGTCTCGTCGCATGGTCCATTGGTCTAGGAGTTATCTGAAGCAGGTCTCAGCGTTTCCTGTGATAGCCTATTATTAGACTGTTTTCCTACCATGGCTCCAAATGAAGACGGCGTAGAGCCAGTAATCATCCTGAGGATACTGTTCTATTAGCATCTAATGTCTTGGACGTATATACAGTAGTTTCCAAGTATAATGTCAGTCACGTTCTTGAATTCATCGCTCTCGCAACCCATGAACTTTGGGAACAACTGCAATTGGCAGAGGATGGACTTTGGCAAGTAGTAGTAGTCTGAGATACAAATTGGAGTAATCAGCCTCAAGCCACTCAAAGCTCCTCGAACGGTCGGTCGGTAAAGAGGCTAGAATATGTACACTTTGCAAACACTGGCACGAGACATTTCCCATCGAACAGATTAGATTTCACATGAGTCATCGTAGAGCTTTGAAGCGAATGAACGTGGTTCCAAAGTCCGATACACTAACACTGGTAGCGTGTCGTATCGATATCGTCCAGTGTTGCCGCTCGCCATGTAGTACCACTGTATAAGGGTCATAGGTTGCTAGGGTTAGGCAATACAAGTTGATCCTGTAATTCATGGTTGTACAGTGCATAAACTGTAGCTGTAGGGTGTCCTGAGCGCTTGTTATAACAGCAGCAATCACGAGCCGTATGGACTTGGCTGCCTCTGCAGCTGCGTCCCGGACGACACAGTACACTCATACGTGGTGAACATGACGAGAACGTGGAGAGCGATAGCGTAGCAAATGAAGGCTGTCCGTGTTCGTCGATTGCCGAGAATGGCACGAGTAAGGACGAGCACACCGCGCTCCAAGGGATTGAGGGACTCGTAGGCTCGCGTTGCTTCCTGCACTATGAATGAATAACTGAAGTTGTTACATCAGTATAAGACGCACGCACCCTCCCCCTGAACGCCTGGAAAGGATTCATAGCCTCCTCGCTTGAATGACCGTCAGAAAGCGATATACCTGTATGGGGCAACACTCACTATCTCGCGCGGTATTTGCTCATGTCATCAGAACGCCCCGCACCATTAGATGTCAATGGATTGAGCGTCGATGGCCGCACTGCTGCATCCTCGCGGTAGCTCTGCATGTAACGAACCTTCTCATACAATTTGAGGTTGTCCGCTTGCAAGCTCTTCACCTAATTACAGTTACGCAGGTTATCTCGTTGGCTGCTTGCACGATGGGACGATGAGCCGACTCACTTCTGCTCGAAGTTCCGATATGATGTTGAATTGCTTGCGTAGCTCCTTACCATCCATCCATATGTAAGACAGATGTAGCAATCCGTCGCGAGGAGACATACCTCCTCCAGCTCGGCATTTCGTTGCCGGAAGCGATCCCTCTGGCTTGTCACAATCGGTAGAATAGTCGTATCCGCTGAGGATGCAAAGGGAATTGGTGTCGTCCTGGCCGATGAGTCCTGAGATCTCACATGAGCATCCTAGAGCGCAAGTTATGACAATATCGCACTCACGCTCGTCTTCTTTCCAAGATCAAGGCCAGCCAACATGTCGATTGAGCCCATGCTGGCGATATCCGAGGAGCTTGCCACACCGCTGATGTCGCCGCTACCCTTACGCTGATCCATCTCTAGAAGATCGTTCTCCAGCTTCTCATTCAAGACCTTCTGCTTATCTAGCTCGGACTGAGTAGCATCCAGTTGCGCTTGCGCTGCTTGTAATGATGCCTCAAGTTCGCCGTGAAGAATCTGCATGAAACGCACACGAGCGATCAGAACCCTGTCTGCCCATATATAGGGGCCTCATCAGCTCACTCTGAATTTGGTCAGCTCCTCTTGGATCCGCTTATTCTTGGTCGCGAGCAGAACCTCAAGGGACTTGCCACGCCTAGCGTTCGCCTTGTCCGCGTTCGGATCGGGAAGATGCAAGCCTAACGCGTCATCGCTGCCATTTACAGTTATTCCTTCGAGTTCCTCGTCTTCTTCCAGCCCAGCGAACTCGACATACTGCGGTGATACCAATACTCTTAGTTACCGAAAACGGTACTTACGTTGAATTCTGAGTACGGACCTTCATTATCTCGAGCTCTCGCCTGATCTCGTCATAGTCGTTGTATTGTTTGAGCTTCTGTCGCAACTGTTCCATCTCGCTGGACTATTCGACCATACGGGTTGTCATTTCAGCTGAGGACACAATCTAGGCAGAGACCAACGGCACCTTCTGCTGAAGGTCTTTGCCGACCTCTTCGAGCTTCCTCGCCGCGGCTGCCTGTGCTTCTGCTGTAGCTGTCTTCTGTGCCTCCAGGGCTTGGGAGAGCCGGTCGGTCTCAGATTCCAGCTCTGTGACCTTTGCTTCGAGATCTTTCACTCTTGATAACGTTTATGATTTCCGATACTTTAGATGCTGTAGTTGTGCGCTGTATTGGAAATGGCTAACCTGTCCGCATTTTCGTTGCCGCTCTTGATGGCCTCGATCTCAGCGCGCAACAGCTCCTGATGGGGAATGGTGTGAAAAATTGCAGAGGCAGCGACGGCGCAGCAGACGCACATTTCGTCGCTCGACGGTGGCGACGCGGCTATTTGCTTGCTCCAGGTCGGCCACCATCATGTCCAAATCTGCAAGCTTCGCGACGACCTCTTGGTCTGCGAGAAGCGGCTCAAGTCAACTGTATACCACAGATACATCATGAATGGACGGACCTTGTCGCTGAGAATGGTCGAATAGCTTAGCCTGGTTGGACTCGTTTGACATACGCAGTTGCTTAAGTTGAGTCTTCGTCAGGGCAATTTGACGCTGGAGATCCTGCTCGCTGGTATGCATTTATGCAACTATCGGAATGAAACTCTATATGAAGGTTCAGAATACGCACCGCTCCTCGTAGTTCCGTATTTTCTCATCGTATGTAGCATTAAGCTCATTCTCTTTTTGAGCGACTTTCTCTTGGATCATCTCTTCCATCTAGCATTGCGATGTATGGGCCGCAGTTCGGCGAAGTGGCTAGAACGAGCCGCACCTTTTGCTCAAGCTGCTCAATACGCGCATCTGCTTTCTTCTTGGCGATTTCAAAGGAGGAACACTCGTTGACACGTTTGCGGAGCTCGGCATTTTCTTCGCGCGTACGCTCGAGTGCAATCTCCAGCTCATGGGTTTCGGCTACCTTGACTGTCTGATCCTAAAAAATATAGCTTTGATACCAGCCTCTCGTGAAGTACAACCTTTCCTCACAACAGCGGCTTCAAGCAGAGGATACGGGTCAGGTGCCTCGGCGAGGACCTTATACATGTTCAGAAATGCATTCTCGGCAACCTTGGAGCGCTTGGTGAGGCTGTCAATCTCCGTCTGGTAGGCTGAACGTCGGATGATATTATGCACAATGTTACATAGTTATAACGTGTTGTAAACAGCGTACCCTTCAGCAAGCCTTTGAAGGCGGTGAGTTTCTCCTCATCCGGGATCTTCTTGAACTCTACAATCAATGCGATGAGTCTGTCACTTGTATGAGCAATCAAGGATTTCACCTTTTGTCCTGTCCGCCAAGGCTTTACGACCAACAACACTCTCCTTTTGGTTCTCTACAACTTCAATGCCTTGAGCATCAAGAGTCTTTTGAAGCTCGGACAAGTTGATGTCTGTAACATCGACGCAACCAGCAGGTATCCTCTTAATCCCTTGATCAAGATAATATCGCAGAACACTTGCCCTTCCATGTTGCCAATGCTCCGGAGAAATTCTGCTCGGGAGAGGCCATGCCGACTATAACTCAAATGCTGCGAGACGCGTCGCAGATACCAGATATGACTATAGGCTCTTCCAGCTTGCGAGAGCAGCACAGAGCAATTGAAAGTAGTGACAAGCCACCAGTTAAGACACGCTTCTGAATAGTATGCAGCTCTTATCCCCAGCGCAGCGGGGGCAGTGGCGAGACATGTAGGCGGCGGCGAGCACGCGTTGTCCAAGAAAGGCAAGTCATGGGCGCTCGGCACAATCGACAGCACCGTGAAATATTGCAGCATTCGCCGTGCACCGTCGCGTCCAAGTCTGCTATCCAGCTCTCTCCGTTCGCTGCTGTCCTCGTTGTCTCTGGCGGTAGCATGAACATTGCAAGAGCCAGAAATGCCATAGCCTCTGCCGTGCGCAGTCGTTCTTACACGACGATGTACGTCCCCCCCGCCTCGCTCGAGAACGTCGCGTTCAGGAGAGCACCCCGCAAGCCCGTCCCCGAGTCCCCCAACTTCTACACCGGCCGCGCCACGTACTATGACCAGATCGCTGCGCTTGAAACCGCGATACAGAGCGCTCGATCTGCACTGCAAATCCTCCAGCTCCTGCCCCTTCCTGTCTTCGCCCGCGCCGCCATCCCGCCCGCCCGCCATGTCTGGTTGACAAAGGATAGCCTGGCACAGATGTTGCATGCCCCAGTCAAGACGTCGCGGTATCGTCGTTTGGTGGGCCTGCTGAACCAGCTCGACGAGTACAAGCGCATTGCAGAGGTTGCAGGTGTTGACGTGCTCGCGGAGAATGTTCATGACATCCTGGCCCTGTTCGAGCGTGCGAACAAGGAGGCCGTGCTGGCTCACGGAAAGCAGAAGCCTGTGAAGTTCGACGAGTATGGGCGCAGTTATACGATCGGTCGGAGAAAAGAAAGCACTGCTCGAGTGTGGGTCATTGCCGCACAAAACACCACCGACTCCTCGTCTGCATCGTCTTCTACGTCACTCGATACTGAAACGCCGCAAGAAACTATAGAACACCTGCCCGAGCCTACGTCCACCGTTATCTCAGCAGTGGACCACTCACCTATCGAGCCGGTGAAGGTCACCACCACGAACATTCTCGTCAACAGCACCCCACTTGTTCAGTACTTGTATGTTTTGACGTTGCGATACTTTCTCCGAGTCTCATAAGTACACAGCCCCAATCCCGCTGATCGCGAACGCATCGTCCGTCCGTTCAGGCTCACGGGGCTTGTGGGCGCGTATAACGTCTTTGCTCTTGTCCGCGGCGGCGGAACCACCGGCCAAAGCGGTGCAGTCAGTCTAGGTATCGCAAAAGCACTCGTGGCGCATGCCCCAGATGTCGAGTCATTGCTGAAAAAAGGTACGTGTCACTGCTCGTGCATGGCAGTCACCGGCTAAGGATGAATCGACGACTGTACCAGCGAAACTCTTGAGGCGCGACCCTCGCATGGTTGAGAGGAAGAAGACGGGATTGGCCAAGGCGCGCAAAGCGGTACGTGGAACTCATTTTCAATGCGAATGCTACTATTCACGCATCTTCTGCAGTACACCTGGGTCAAGCGGTGAAGTCGTTACGTTACTCATCGTTTATGGCGGCCCGTTGTACCCTCCGTGACTTGAAAGTCTCCATACATACAGCTGTGCTCTATCATAAAATCTGTGCTCTGCCTGCGAGTATGGATCGATAGTTGGAATCCGGTGGAACATCAAGTGAGCCGGCAAACCCGATTGAGGTGCGCTGATATCGGATGAAAAGCAACGTATATTATCAGACCATTCGCAATGTACACGGACATAAACGGTCTACAACAACTATTGCCCTCTACTGCGATGTATTGCAGATACCGACGCAGATTTGCCCTTGTGAACGCGTCGATGAGAAGTTCTTCGGGCGCTAAGGCTGGCGAAGAGTTTTCTTGCGGACAGTCCTTGATGATGTAGGACCTTGAGGAATATTTGTTAGTAACAACGCCTATTTCTACGAGACTTTAGAAGCAGATCGAGAGAGAGAGAACGTGGCAAGAAAAGTCAGCATTGCAGAAGTGCTAATAGTCATCAACTGGCCGAAACCATTAGACTGTTGAGCTTGATAATGTGATTGTTGTTCATCATAATAACTCGTTCGTTCTCTCCGCGAATCGACAATTGGTATAGAGGGAATACTCACTTAGCTATTGAATATTGAGGCCTGAGGACTCACTAAGAACGTCGAGGAGCGACATCGGTAGGTGACTGTCGCAGACAAGAGTGCGAGCAAATTTATGATCAAGCGCTCAGCGCTCCTCGGATATCCCACGGTTCTGTGGCGGCAAATAACGACGGCTTGGTGGGTGATGCCGGAAGCGCCTAATAGTAGCATTTGAATCATCGTTACTATGTAAGGACAGAGCAGGGTGTTATCAGAGAGAATGTAAGGTAGATGCAAAGAAGTATGGATACAGTCAAGTCAGAGCTCGGAGATGAGGGCGAGAGCGAGCAAGGGTACAACCAGCAATAACCCAAGTGAAAGGTCGAAGGTAATAACGTAAAACAACAAAGAAGAGTCAACTACTGGAAGAACAACGTATGAACTTCTCCTTGCGAGAACGGAAGATTACATGCAGGGCATTTCCGCTGTCGAGTTGCTATCCGCGCATCTACGCATTGCCGGCAGAATGCTGCAGAACGTGGTATATTAACAAGATTACCAAGCGAGGCAAAGAATAACGTACAGTGCATACACTTCGTAATAACGGTATTGCGCATATTCTGTCTGCAGGTCGAGCACTTCAAAATGCTCTAAAAACATTCACACGTGAATAGAGCTCAGCGGCTGCAGCTAAGAAAGCGCGCACCATGCATTTATCCACCTCGCTCTGCAGTTCTGCTTCCCTCGTGCCTGGATTGGTACTTTGGTGCTGCAAATTTGCCTTGAGCTGAGCCGTGAGTTGCTGCTGTTCATTTTTCAATGAGATGACAGCCTCCTCCTCTTTGCGCAAGTCTGCTCTTCTCCGATGTAGCTCCGTCCTAAGCGAGTCCATCTCCTTGTTATGCTGCATTATGAGATGGTGAGCCATAGCCAGCGGAAATGACAATCGTACGCACATTCGCAGATTGGACATGCGCAGTTTTGGCGCGAGTCTCCGACTTCGCAACCCTGACTTCAAGCTCGTCATTATAGTGCTTTAGTTCGTTCGTGTTCTGTCGCAACGTCTCCAACTCTTTCTCTCGATGGGCCTAACGACCATACTACGTCAGAGTGCCGCAATTCCACAAAGAAATGGACTAACGAGTAGTGCCTTTTGAGCTTTCTCTGCCTCGAGCATTTTGTCCATGAGTTTTGTCTGTTTGTCAAACTTGCGCGACATGTTTTTGCGTTCTGACTCCAGTGCCTCTTTGTCTTTCATGGCCGCATAGAACTTGCTGTCCGATCTAGCTTTCTATAGCATGCCATTGTATCGCCGTCGAGTTGCCATATGGGATAGAGCACGTACGTCTGATGTGCTTTTAGCCAGCCGCTCCTCTATGGCAGTCAGATCGAACACTTTCTCCTGGATACGCCGATCAAGCGTCTCCCATGCGGTAGATAATTTCTCGAGCTCTTCGTATGCTGCTTCCTCCGCCTATGATACAGACATTAGTATGGCGACTCTGACGCTGATCCTGAGATGACGTACTTGAGCTCGCTGCTGCACTTGAAGACGTAACGTTTGGATCTCGTCTTCTTTTGACTGAAGTCGAGCAGACAATGCCTGCAGGTCGGCTGGGACTGAAGGAGAGCTATCGCCATACACGGATTGATACCGTTTCAGCTGCTGTTCAACGTTGGCTAACTTCTCTCGGGCTTCTGCTTCCGCCTTGACATGCTCTAACAACTGAGGTTGTTCTCGCTCCATTCGAGAGAGAGAGACTTCCAAAGCACCATTTCGAGCCTCTGCATCCCTACGATGAAAGTGACAGACATTAGTCGCTTTTTCGACCCGGCAGCATGAACGTTATACGTACGCGAGCCGTCCCTTAAGGTCTTGCACGTAACTCTGTGGCTCCTCTGGACTATCTCGCAGGAGGAATGATAAAAGATCACTGTCGCCAGCATCCGCGGCCAAACGAGCCTTGAGCCTAGTAATCTCCGATGCCATGATTTTGAGACGTTCCTGTGACTTCGCATTAGCTAGAATTTGCCAGAATCAAGAACAATTGAACATACAGAGCGTGCTTCTACAATGGCCTTCATCTCTTGGAGCGATTGCATCTTCACGTGATCTTTCTGCCTACGCTCGTTGAGCTCGGCAATTTGTTGGTCTCGGGACTCGCGAAGACGTATGATATCATGGTCCCTTTTCGCCACCATTGACTTCAGATCCTGTATCGCTGTCTCGTGTGCAGTCTATTTTACTCTTTAGAAAAGAACCGAAAGAATTATGAACAGGACTAACGTTCATGGATTCCACCAAATTCTGCTGGTCGATTTGTAATCTCTCTATATCCGCCCTCAGTGCCACAATCTCGTCCTGAGACTCGGCATTGATGCGTTCCAACTCATTTGTTTTAGCTTCCAATGTCTTATAGGCAACAGATTCAACGATAGCTTTGTCTGACGGAGCTATGAGCTAACCAGTGAATTAGCAATCCGAAATCTGTGAAGGCAGAATACGCACCTGTTCACGTAGCTGTGCCACCTCTTTCTCGTATTGCAGGTTCTCTCCTCTAAGTTTATGGATTTCGAATAGACGAGCATTTGCAACTTCAAGCCAACTATCAGAATCCGGCATATGAGCACCATTGATAACGTTCGAGGGTGGCTAAAGATACATTAGGGAAGCTTAAATATCAGATATGCTCAAGACTCCCACCAATTGGCCGAACCACTCACTGCTGGCGATGCCGGCGTCTCCGCAGATGAGTCCGTGACTATGAGATCTCCTTTCGAGTGGTCGTGCGGTGAAGATTTAGTCTGGCTTTGTATCCGGTCTATCCGCCTCTCGGCGTTAAGAAGAGCTTCGCGGAATTTGTCCCGTGTATCTTCAGCATCCTTGAGTCTGGTGCGTGTCAAGGACAATTCAGAACGCAAAGCGTAGCACTTGCCAGAGTATCAGGTATCTGGTGGAATTATACAACGCACGCAACTCACCTCAGTTTGCGCCCTCTGCAAATCTCGATATGCGTCACCGCTCGTCGACGACACAGCAGCCTGACCTCTCAATCTCATAAAAGCCCTCACGAGTTCGGACGTTGCCTGCATTTTGTTTTGCAAGGCATCTACGAACTTTGGATCCGTATCCTCGGAAATATGGGACGTTAAATCAAATAGATCTAATGTCGAGTCAGTTAAAACCTCGTATTTCTTCCCAGGAGAGCTCACCCTCAGTGCTGACATCGATCGGGGGGAGGTCTTCCGGCTTGACCAGCAATCGTATCGTGCCAATGATCTAACCTACAATGAGCGAAGGAGAACACCAACATGTACGAGAAAAGCACCTGTGCCCAGCATGCCTCCAATGCAGCTAGACCCGCTTCGCATGTACTTCGCCGCCGTTCGAGATCAGCAACTCGAGCTTCACTCCTCTCGAATTCGCGCGAGTAGAACTTCATTCTTCTGTATATTGCTTCTTTCCGGAAAATCTGTTCGATTCGTGCATCAGACACAATTTTATGCTCTTGAAAACCTTGGTGCACCTCCAGATTGTCACCCTCCTTAGGCTCATCAGCGGAGGATGTAACGCCATTAATCTGACCAATCGACCCATGTTCACTGCTGAGTGCACGTTTCTTTGGGCGCAACTCATCCTCGTCCTCTGTATGCGGTCGCTTCTTCGTCTCTGACATTGCAGCGGAGAGGAAATGAACGAACCGATCGAGGATGTGGTCGTCGCAGTCGTCGAGTGACTTAGCAGAACACCAGGCAGTCAGTCACAAAGAGGACTTGAAATTCGATCTCCGCCTTAGGAAATATGGCACGTGCGCGTCCTCGGAACTCGGAAGGCTGCGCCTGCGCCACCGACGCGACGACCCTCGGTCTAAGACTACCATGGACTCCCCCAATATTTCTGAGCTTAACCTGCAGGATGGTTCCCATCTACTCTCAGAGACCTCGCTAGTTCCTAACTCAATATCCAGCTCATCTCGAACAGAATCAGGCAGAGATGATCTTCTTCTCTCTGACTTGTCGCTCTCAGATCATTCTGCCACTCGCCCACCACGTAAACCGAAATTCAGCCTACTGGCGAGACCACCCCATGATGAGAGCGCACTAGATACTGAGGAGGATGAGAACGGTGCTGCTGAGCAGACGATGACTCAGGAGGATGTTGAGAATGCAAGAAAGGTGGCGGAGAAGACGCGGGAGGAGAGGCTGCAACATGACTTGTTCATCCTGAGGAAACTCAACTCTGCTTTCGAGGTGTACAAGGAAGCGTTGATAGAAACAAAGTCAAGCACCGAGGTGAGTACGTTCCTGAAGTCGGGACCGCGGAGATAGTCTAATCAAGGCGCGTACATAGCGCGTCGCAGCCCAGATAGCCAATACCAATGCATTACTCGACAGATATGTCAAGATCCTCTCAAGATCAGAAGGTGTAGCCCGGTTGATTCTGGACGAACGCTGGCAAGGAGCCGGTGCGGTACGCACGGTGGCCAATCGCTTGTCATGATCTGACGGGATCTGTTAGGATGAGGAGGCTATCGAGCAAGAACGTCTGGAGACCATCGAACGTCTACGTCGTGAAGAAGAAGAACGCGTACTGGCTGCCCAACGAGAGCACGAACGGCTGGAACGAGAAGCAGAAGAACGTCAGAAACGTGAGGAGCGCGAACGGCTTGAGAGAGAACAAGCAGAACTGGCTCGGAAAGCTCCAAGGGGCAGTGGGGTGAGGGGGGTCAGAGGTACGAGAGCGTCGATGAGAGGAATGAGGGCAGCCTCCCGTGCCGGTGAGTGTGAAATGACATGCGTATCATCCAGCTCGCCAAATGAGTGTCGTTTCAGCAGGTACCACGAGCACCCGAGGCACGCGAATCATTCGAGGGTCTTCGATTGGCCGTCCGAGCTCTTCCACTATGACGCGGTCGGCCGGATCGACCAGTGGTGTCTCTCGAAGAATTTGATTATGCCAGGCAGGTACCACGAACTACCATACATCACCCTGGAACGCACCAATGCCGTCGATGCGGTTTGATACCCATATGCAATTGTCTCGCTTCGTCTGTGGTAGAAGTTTGAGACGCAAGTTCTCTAGACGCACACCGCAACTTTGAGCAGCATGATGGTGTCCGTTGCTGTCCGTTCGCAACCAAGGCTAGCTTACAAGTAGGCCCCCAGCTCGTGACAATTCTCTGCAAGTCGGCTGTGGAGATTCGCCTGCAATGTGAAGGCTTCTGTATGTTGCTCGAGTTGACGTGCGTTGAAGTCACCGACGGCCCACCCAACCGTTAGCAGTAAGTATCTTGTCAATTGTATGTTGCGCGAATCTAACTGCTCGGTCATTCTGATTACCGAAGATACATGTCTGGGACTAGTGTGCTGATGTGTTCTTTGTTACTGCGCTCATGATAGTAGTTGGTATGATTGATGGGACACGTTAGCTTGGAGATGAAGCCAAGTCCTCCGTTGCCATTAACATGACAAGTTGCTGGGCAGGTGCATGGCTTCTGTGTCGTTTGCCAAGGTTCAAGGCCGCAGGCTATGTCATACAGTTCAGCTCACGCGTAATGTTGTGAGTATCGTAGCATCTTCAGCACGTAATACATTTCCGATTGCTGGTAAAGAACAAAGCATAGGTGAGCTCCAAGGGCCCGGGAGTTTCAGGCGGCACGGCGGGTTCCAACTTGTTCTGAAAGCTGTCAAATGCACGTGGTCGTGCCCAGCTCCAGTATGCCGGCGTGCTCGCGCATTGCAAACCGCGCTCATGTTCTACTCAAGTTCTGTCATAATTCCAGCTCACTTGGTCAGAATTCTTCTCGAGTTCTAGGTGTCGTATCTCCGTTTTCTTCACTCGGCGACCTGGGGCGGGGTCGATGTTGCTGCAACTATTCGCCCTGCTACTCATTCGCCACGCGCCGTTCTCAGTGAAGGCTGGATCGGTCAACCGTGGTGGCAACTGTTCTGTCAGTAATCAACACCTCGAACCAGGGACTCATCAGTTCTACACCGAGTGCGACTCGATGACCTACTGTACTTCGTCCAGCACATGCGAATGGCGGGGATGCAGGCGGGATGAGTATCCTTTCGGCTATCACAGCACTCGCGAGCTGCCGCCGATGTGTGGCCCGGGAACGTTTTGTCCGGACGAGGAGGACCAGTGCTTGCCTTTGCTATCCGTAGGCAGTCCGTGCCAACTTAACAGAGATGGTAGCTACAGTCCAATTCTCGCGAAAGACAACTTCTCGTTTTCGCGTACTTATTCCCCATTCTCATTTGCAGACCAATGTGAAGGTCCCCCGGACCACGAGACGCTAGCTGACCAAAATGGTCTTGGTCGCAACGTCAATGGTTCCGTCTGTTTGAACAATATCTGCATGTAAGCAGGGCTTTGTGAGAATGAAAATAGACTCACACAGTTTCAGGTGGGCCAATGTAACTGTCGGTCAACCATGCGAGATACAGAACATTGTGTATGTCGCATTCGGACCCGACGGGCACGACTATCCTGATATAGTGTCGCGGTATGCTTTGAGATCTTGGTCCTCAGGTCATTGTTCAATTCATTGGAAACAGGGACAATTGCCGAATAGGTGCATATTGCGACTCTGCTCAGCGCATGTGCGTGCAGACGAAGGACATCGGAGCACCTTGCAACGCGGATAAAGAGTCAGCGGCACAATGAACACCCTTCGTTGAGTGCTGATGTGTTGTCGTACAGGTGCTCGATGTACAATTGTCTTTCTTCCGGAACATGCGCGGCGAGTGCGGACACCCCTCACCATGTCGCTCTCTGGGTCTACGTCGTTGTTGGCATCGGAGCATTTGCAGGTAAGAAGCTTGGATCCGTTGTGGAATGCACGGTCTGAATGGGACACTACCTAGGCACCGTCGGGACTCTTGCAGGCATGTTCTTTGTACACACGAAGGAACGCCAAGCCGAACGTAGTCGACGCTTGCAGTATTGGCAGGAGCAGGTAAGACAGTCTCTATGGCGATTCTGTTCCAGGCAGCTCATTTCTTGTTGCAGAATGCTCTCCGCCAGAGCGTGCTCGACATGCAGAAGTCAGCGCGTGATTCAGTTCTTTCCCTCTCTGGTAGTGCAAATGTGCTTGGTACTTCGACAGAACCAGCCGTTCAGGATGAGCCACGGACATCTGCTGCGCAGGGGATGAGCAGATCGAGCGGGCTGCAGTTCAATGCGTTGAATGGCGGGCTCGAGCACCGCGATCGCGGCGCATCGGGTACATAAGGATTGATGCACATCCAGTTCCGTTAGAACGCCAGCCACGCGAAGCACTGAGCACTCGTATTTCAGTGGATGGTTAGATCTGCTACTTCTTTACTGTCTCTGGGAATTTCGCGATGTAAACGCTCACTTTGTTCTGTATGGTCTATGGTACCAGCTAGATCACCCTTCCATGGTTCATGTTGTATACTCGGCTCGTCAGAGTTGTGTACAGTTCCGCAGCACAGGCAGGAGCCAGAAATAGGTGGGTCTAAAATCTCGGCGAGATCTCAGAGCAAAATCGCGGGCTTCCAATTTGAGTGCACTTTACCGTGATCGGAACGCGCGCGGATTCGTCTTTTCGACCACGATCCGTGCCCAACTGTCTCGTTCGCTGCATACAACAATACCCTCGAGCACTTGAGCCATGAGCTCTGCGGTGCGTTCAACAAGTGTATCCCCTTCGCCGGACGGAGAGGACATCAGCAAGGCAGGCGTTTGGACTGAAGAGACCTTGTCCGCCGGAAGTAGCAGTGGCAGCGGCAGCGTGAGAAGAAGCAAGGGAAAGGAAAGTGACCAAGAGACGCTGCAAGAAGAGACCACAGTGTTGAAAGAGGATGGCGACGGATATGGTGCAGTGGAGGGATATCCCCCGACCAAGGAAGAGGAGGCGGAATCGCGGAGAATCGAAGAGGTGTGTATTATGTTCAATTCTTGCCCATTCCCTTCGACCGCTTAATCCCGCATGATATGGCCACCGATAGAATTTGAGCAGATGGGAGATGGCAGAACGAGAGCGGCGGAAGGCTGCACGCGAGTCCTCCTCGTTGACCAGCGGGTCCACGCTCGTCGGGGAGATCTCACGAAGGGCATCTCTTCTGTGGCCCAGTGGACGAGCCAAGCATGCCTCTTCGGGAGGTGTCGGCATGCATCGCGCACTAAGGACGACCGAAGACGGTGTTCCCCTGGACGAGATAGAAGGCAGTCCCTCACCCCGATTCGGCGAGAACCCCTTCTCCACCCCAAATATCTCGGCGGACTCTCTTCATGATCCCTATCAGTCTGTTATCATGAGAGAGTCCACATCCGAAAACCCTTTTGAAGATGCAGAGCAAGCTTCAACAGCACGCCCCACTGATGATGCGCCCGCATCCTTTCCGAAACAACCTCCACCGCCTCCCCAACCTTTGTCCCTCCCGAAACCGCGCTCGCCTCCACCGCGGGCGGAGACGCCGCATGCTGATCGGCCGCCAGAGCCTATTCCTCCGCCACAGGTTGCACCATCCCCGGAGCAGGAAGAGGAGCCACAGGAGGTACGATGGTGGACCGAGTGGCTGTGCGGTTGCACCGAAGGTCCAGATCGCGGTGGCGACCACCAGGTAAGTGTTTCGATGATTAGTGCGCGTCTCGCTCTGACCAATTGCGTCTCAGGCTGGACGCACAAACCCCTTTGAGTAGTCTGCGGCTCTCCGTCGTTATCATTAATATCCCTCAGCCCTGGCTAGGCCCTATGTAGCATTGTTTTCGCGCATATCTGGCAATTCGTGTGCCAACTCCGTGTTGTGCGATAGTTTTATTTATGTTTCGCCTTATCACGGACACCACGACGATACCATGCACTTTCGGCGCCATAATATGTTCTGATACCACAACAATATTCCCTGAGGCGTTTCCGGATGACTTGTTAGCTTGTTTTACACGTGGATATCCTAGAATTCAATTGCGTCCACTGTACATCTTATATCAATGGCTCCTTCAATGTGCAGTGGCCGCACTGCATAGTCTGCGGCAAACGATCGCCTCCGTGAGAGATGTCAGGCTTCTCGAACGCACTCCGGATTCAATCTGAAATTGGTGCCCGACGCAAATCGCACCACATACGATGCGCAAGATATATTGCATGCGAGTGCACCGCTACAGAGACCTCAAGCACAACGCCGGAGCACGCAGTCGCGCACCTACTTCTCGCAACCAGGACAACAGTGGACGACGTCGTGTACAAAGACATCGCAGTCTGTGCAGAAGTCGTTTTGGCACTCCGGGCAGCGGTAGCGGCCCATAGGGCTCATGCCCTCACTCGATGCACCAGCCATTGTCGCAGATGCATCCTTGAAACTGATTGAACAGCCATGGCATCGCGTACTATCGGCAGGCACATCATCCGGAGACATTCTACGCAGAAAGACAAGCGTTATCAGCGCGTGGAGGTGTTGAGGCGAGAGAACGGAACTCACACGGCCTGGTAAGGCTTGACAGGGAAGAGATGATGATAGCTGCGCGCGAGGTGCGGCGAGCTCACGATCATGAGCCCGCAAATATCGCAGTCCGTCGGGACGTCGCACACTTTCGCGGAACAGCGTGGGCACAGGAAGCCCTCGCTCTTCATCCGCGAGTGGCATACGCACAGGCTCGGCGGGGACGTGTCCGGCAGACGCGTCGGGAACCCCATCATCATCAGGTCCGCGGCGGGGTTCGTCGGCGCGCCGCCTGGCGTCCGCGCGACCGCGCGCTGCGCCGGCGGCGGAATGAGCTCGAATAGAAGGTCCTTGAAGTGTCCCTCATTCAGCGCGACGCCGAACTGGCCTACCTTCGCGCCCACGTCGCATCGTGAGCCTCGCTATGGAAAGAACACGCGGGCCACCCACCGCCGGTTTTCTCGCAGAGCTCGCGGCAGATCTTCATCTCGGCCGCGAGCGCGACGATCGAGATGCGGATGCGGTCTTTGATGCAGTTGTCGAGCGTGTCGAAGATGTTCCCCGGGTCGCATGTCGTGAGCGAGCCGAAAATGATGAGAATCTCGCGCGAGGAGTGCGTGGGCAGATGGCTGTGGACGTTTGGAGATCGACACCGGTACAGCGAAAGTGACCCCTTACCTCATGCTGGCTCGTGCCATCTCTATGGCATTTTGTAAACTGGGCTCCCCGTTTGGCTCTAGTTTGTGCCTCTCCGAGAGGGCTTTTAGTACATCCTGCGGGTTACCTGTCCACCGGTCAGCGCTGGTCGTCGTAGCCTTCTCGCACCCCACGCCCATGACGAACCGGACATCTCTCCTATCCGCTCCCCAAATCCTGCGCGCATGCCCACGACACCAATCTGGCCGAGCGGGTTCTGGTCGAACCACTCCGTGATGAACTCGCGCGCATACTGCAGCATGAGGTCGAAGCGCGTCGGCCGCATGTCTCGATCCATCATCGCCGACGACAGGTCCAGCAACAGAACGAGGTGGCGGATAATCGTCCGGCGTATGGCGGCGGCTGGCGCGAGTAACCTAACATGAAACACATCAGAGAAGATGACATGCACTGGAGAATACATGACCGCCGTACCGCCTTCGTCTTCCTCTCGCAATGAGGTCCTGCACCGCGCCTTGCAAGCTACCTGCCTCATCCTCCTGCACTGTATCCCAAGATCTTGTGTAGGACGCCTCCCAAGCATATGGTTGCTGGACAAGAAAGGAGAGGCCACCAGTGGCGTTCAGCTACGAGTGGAGACGTGCTATGAACGGCATACCTCCTTTGCCTTCCCCTTCCCCTTGTCTTTTTTCCGTCTGTCTATCGCCTTACCCTTTCCTTTTCCCTTACCTCGCACTCCCTCATCAAAGTCGCCAAAGTTGGAGACGTCCGAGTCGGACTCGTAGTCATTCACAATGCGTCGAGGTGGCATCTTCTCCAGGTTTTAATGTGTATCAGGCAGCAGTAGTAGGAGTTAATAAACGGTGTCTCTAAGAATGTGAGAATATTGCGCGTGTTGCAAGCGGACTGTACTGCCCGCCAGGATGCGACTGTGGCGAGAGCAAGCTCCGTGAGAACTCACTCCATCAGTATGATAGATCTCAGATCGAAGGTTTACCGTTAGTCTGAGCGTCTTTCTCAACGACCACATACAAACTACGAATAATTTATACACGACGAGAACCCCAGTTGAAGTGGGACGTCTAAAAACACAATGGAGACAAACTGTAGCGTTCGAGAGGTTGGACCTCTCTTCACTCCGCCTGGATATCCTGCGTCAACACATACCGGTATCTCACCCTGTTCGCCTTCACGTCCTCCAGCGCCTTCTTTGCCTCCTTCATCGGCAGCTCGTGGATCCACGGCTTGATCCCTTTCCTCTTCGCCAGCTCGAGCATCTCCATGCATTCCTTCTTGCTGCCAATCGCGCTCCCGCCCAGCATACACCCGTTCGGTACAACGTCAAACGAGTGGATCGCGGGCAGCGGCTGGTCCGCATCTGGGATGCCCACCGTGATGAACTTGCCGTGCACGAAGAGCATTGAGAGGTACGCCCCGAGCGGCGTATCAGGCGCGAAGACGTCGCGCGTCGAGACGATCAAATCGAGCGTGAGCGCGAGAGGTTTGTGCCAGTCCTAGGATGGACAACTTAGAGATCGCACCTCAAATGTTACCCGCACTACAACTCACCTTGTCCTCTGTGTTGATGATATGGTCTGCGCCCATCTTCTTGATATCCTCCATCTTACTCTGGTCATGCGTGAACGCATACACTTCCGCGCCCATTGCTTTGGCCCACAGCACCGCATAGTGGCCAAGACCGCCTATACCCACGACTCCGACCTTCTTTCCAGGTCCCGCGCCGTGTGTCTTTAGTGGAGAAAACACCGTCAGCCCGCCGCACATCATGGACGCGGCGTCGCGCGACTCAATCTCGTCCGGGATGGGGAATACGAACTGCTGATGCGCGCGAATGGCCGTCCCGTACCCTCCTTGGCTGACAATGCCGTCGGGATACTGGCCATTCTGTACTTATACGGTCAGCCACCGCCTCTGCAATGAACTGGCTGCTAAAGGCCACGCACGTAGGTCGGTATGCCATGCGGACAGTAGTTCTCATACGAGGCTTTGCACGCCCTACATTCCATGCAGCTCCCGATCTGCGCTCCCACACCGACACGGTCGCCCTGCTTGATACCCACGACATTCTTGCCCACGCGGGTCACCTTGCCTACGATCTCGTGCCCGACGACAAGCGGCAGCTTAGACTCGCCCCAGCCTTGGGTGAGGGTGTGCACATCGGAGCCACAGACACCGCAATGGGTGATGGAGATCTCGACGTCGTCAGGTTGGAACGTCTTCGGTTTGAAGTCGGTCAAGTTGAGATCGCTCCATTTGGAGGCATCTGCAAGGTGCGATGAGCATCCTTCACTGCAAGCTGTTGTAGATCGCCATAATACTATGCACCTGTGAGCGCGTAGCCTTTGAACTCGAGGTTGGAAGACATGCTGCAGGTTTGGGGAAGAGATGTAGTGCAAATTGAACCCAACCCGCGCCTTCATATACCTCGACGGTAGTCACTCTCGTCACAGTTTGATGACATTCAGGATGCTAGAAGAACGAGCTACGTCACCAAGCATTGATGGCCATCTCAATGTCTCTTTCGGAGGGAAGAGAACAGAGGCATCAATATGCGGCTACGCTGCAATTCTTCGGCTAGTCTACGTTTACTGATACAACAAATAACGTTCTATGAGCTTTGGCTACTTTCTATTCTCTAGTTCAAGTCCTGCGTCAAGACATAGCGGTACCTGACCCGATTCTCCTTCACTCCCATGAGGGCTTTCCCCGCATCCTTCATCGGCATCGTCTCGATCCACGGTCTCACGTTCTTCGACCTCGCCAGCTCAAGCATCTCAAGACACTCCTTCTTGCTTCCGACATGGCTACCTCCAAGCAGGCATCCATTCCCCGCAAAGTCGAACGGGTGCAGCTCAGGCAGTGGCTTATCCACGTCCGGTATTCCTACTGTGATAAATTTTCCGTGAACGAAGAGCGTCGACAGATAATCGCTAATCGGCGTATCCGGGTCGAACACATCGGCGGTCGAGACGATGAGATCAAGCGTCCGGGCCAACGGCTTTGCAAAGTCCTGTATATGCATTACGTTATGCATGATCCAGTAATGGGAATATGGCTTAGGAACGGACCTTCTTATTGACGTTGATCACATGGTCTGCGCCCATCTTCTTGATGTCGTCGACTTTCTCCTCGTTTTGAGTGAAAGCGTATACTTCCGCTCCCATGGCCTTCGCCCAGAGGATCGCATAGTGGCCCAGACCCCCGATTCCTACAATCCCGACCTTCTTCCCGGGACCTGTGCCGTAGGTCTTTAGCGGCGAGTATACGGTAAGACCTGCGCAGAGCATTGACGCGGCATGCGCAGACTCGATCTCGTCGGGTACCGGGAAGACGAACCGCTCGTGCGCGCGAATGGCGGTGGAGTATCCACCCTGACTGACAACTCCGTCCGGGTACTCGCTGTTCTGCAGGTAGTCATCATCAGCTTCGCTCAGCAACACTCAGCAAGCGCCCGCCGCCTACATAGGTCTCAATGCTCTCTGGACAATAGTTCTCCAGATCCGTCTTGCACGCCTTGCACTTGAGACATGCGCCGATCTGCGCGCCGACGCCGACGCGGTCGCCGGGCTTGAACTCGGTGACCTTGTCGCCGACGCGGACGACTTTTCCGACGATCTCGTGGCCGACGACGAGCGGCAGCTTGGACTTGCCCCACCCCTGGGTGAGGGTGTGCACATCCGAGCCGCAGACACCGCAGTGGGTGATGGCGATCTCGACGTCCTCCGGCTGGAAGGTCTTGGGCTTGATGGGGGTGACCTTAAGGTCGTTCCATTTGGAGGGGTCTGCGAGCATCTTGGTCTCAGGAATCTGGATATCAGGGGGAGAGTGACTTGCCTGTGAGTGCGTAGCCCTTGAACTCGATTTCTTTCGACATGATGGTCGTGTAACGGGGAAAAAGAGGTTGAGCACGGTCTACAACGTCCACCGCTTTATATACCCGCATCAGCATGCGCTCTGCTCGTTGATGACGTATACGGCCTGCAGTGAGCCACTCAGCGTTGCGATGACGCGCAGCTTTGACAGAAGGGAGAGCAGTCGGCGCCCGTTCAAGCAACACACCTTCCTGATCGGGAGAGCACAACTGATCGCCAGTCTATTGGCGGACGTACTCCGCGCCGTGAGAATATACGTGACGTCACGCGATTTCAGGTTGTGGCGCTTCGTTACAGTGAAATGGGTTTAGACTTCTTTGAAGGCTGCTGCATAGCTCGCCATCCATGCACGATGGGTATCTCACAAAAGCTCACACTCAGTATTAATCTGCACCCAGACACCATCGCGCTGTGAGAACTTCAAATTAATTTGCCAGCGCTAGTATGCAACGTGAATGTGCCGCCATCTGATGGAAGTTTTTTCGCCTCTCCGATATTCTGGACCCCGATAAGTCAGAAAGATGGCTCAGGACAACAGAAGATTGTTTCCTTTACTCGACACGCTGACTCACAATGCACGCCTCTATAGCTGTGGCGCTCGTGCTCATCTTGCTGGGTGTCTACGTAGCATGGTGTCGGCCCTTTTATGAAACAGATAGGAAGCCTCTCTTCTCGGGACCCAGGCCTCTGCCTTTGCTTGGGAATGTTCATCAGATACCAGCAGACTATCAGCACATTACATTCGCGCAATGGAGCAACAAGTACGGTATGTTTTCTTGCACTAAAGATCTGATTTCGGCCGAATAACATACCTTTTAGGAGACGTGATATTTGCGCGGCTCTTTCTCAAGCCCATATTGGTCGTGAATTCTGTAGAGGCTGCGTGCGATCTCATGGAGAAACGTGGAGTCAAGTATTCAGACCGACCACGTTTTGTTTTCCTGAGAGAGCTGTGCGTCAAGTCCAACTGTTCCAGGTGTCTCTCTGATTGCGCGATTAGCGTGAGATTGAACACAAATACTGCGTTGCTTCCATATGGCGAGCTGTGGCGCCGTCACCGCCGATGGCTGCAAGCCGCAGTTCTGGACAAGAACATGCTTGATAGCTATCGTCCTCTCGAAAGGAGAGAGATTATCCGACTGCTCAATGGATTGATTCAAACGCCTGACGACTTTTCGTCGCATCTCAAAGGGTGAGCTACGCTGACGGCGCTACAAATTCTTTTGACATTGCTTTCAGATTTGTCGGGGCTCTTGTTATGGAGATCGGATATGGCCACACTGTAAAGTCGCCCGACAACGATGAGTTTATTCGGCTGGCTGATAGGGCTGTGACGGACGCATTGGAAGCTGGGAGTCTTGAGGCTACATTGATCGACTTCTTTCCTATCCGTGAGTGGCGTACCCTTGGTGTGCGGGAAGACTATTGAGCTATCCAATTTATTTCTATCTCTTGTTTATCTTAGTGAAGAACATGCCGTCCTGGATCCCTGGAGCCGATTTCAAGAGAAAGGCACTACTTCTAAGAGAATCGATGCGAGAGACGATCGAGGTTCCATACAGATGGGTCAAAGAGGCGATGGTATGTCATGTATGTTGTGCATCAAATTACTCTAACTTTCTGGTAGGCATCAGGCACGGCGAAGCCATCATTCGTTAGTTCAATCCTCGAAGAGGAGTCCAGGAAAGGGCGACTTAGCCAAGACGACGAAGACAGCATCATGGGTGTCGGAGGCATCCTGTACAGTGGTATGTCCTCCGTACTTCTTCTCTCCCGTCCTCGAACTAATGTCCCGGCTGTCATGATCAGCTGGCACTGACACGGCGAGTTCCACTGTATGAGTGTGCTCTACCCGGATTCTCATTCAGATCGTAGACATACACAGTCCTCATGACATTCATCCTCGCTATGGTACTATACCCTGACGTCTGCAAGAAAGCACAGGCCGAGATCGATAAGGTGGTCGGCATGGAACGGCTCCCAGACGTTGATGATAGAGGTTCGATGCCGTACCTCGAGCATGTGCTATTGGAGGTCTACCGGTGCGCCCATAACATTCTTGGGTTCGCAGCGACTGATCCATCTGACGCTGCAGATGGAACCCTCCCGTCCCTCTTTGTGAGTAGACTCTCTGCGGCACGACGTGGACTTTCTTATGTGGCTTTGCAGGCGTGCCTCACCAAGTCATTGGAGACGACGAGTATCGAGGCAGAAATATACCCTCAGGAACGATGGTCATAGCAAACATCTGGTATGCCGATCACTTTCTTTCGTTGTCTCTTTCTGAGCGTCTTTTTAGGCACATGGCGCATGATCCTGCACTGTATCCCAACCCAGAGGATTTCTGCCCTGAGAGATACAGCGAAATGGATGTATCCTCTGCAGAGTCTAGAGATCCGCGCAAATTCGTGTTTGGGTTCGGCCGGAGGTACACTTTCTCCGTATCGTCTGCTTATCACCACATATTGACTCCGCCGCTCTGTAGGCTCTGTCCGGGGCGGCAGTTTGCCGACGTCACAATTTGGCTTGCGATCGCAAGCATGCTCGCCGTGCTGGACATCAGTAAGGCACGCGACACGGAAGGGAGCGTGATCACGCCCGTACCAACTTTCGCCTCGGGCGCAGTGAGGTATGGATTTTGCAACTGCATCATGCGCCTTCTCACGAGGAAGAGCCAGTCACCCGAAGCCCTTTCGTTGTGAGATTCGTCCGCGGTCGATGCACATCATGGAATCGGTCTCACAACTGGCTGCTAGCATACAAACCCAAGCTTGATCGACTACAGGTAGGGTGCATGAGGTAGAGGGCTTCAGGCATGTTAAACAAAGAGATGCATAGAACGTCATACGTCGATCTCTGCAGAAACATGGATGCGTTTTTACATTCTTTGTGGACAAACAGAGGCTCCACGATGAACAAACATAATCTAGGATTAATGGCTGCCACAATTTACTCACATTACTTTGAGTCTTTACCATCTACTTGCGATCGCCACCCTTCGAACTCGGAATCCCAAATTTCCACAACCTTCTTCACCACTTCTTCCGACGCGTCCTTCCATGCTTCATGCTTGTCCAGTCTGTCCATTGTCGTGATGGACAGGTGATCACCTGCCCATCTCCCGCGATGCAAGTCACCCTCATAATACATCGAAATAGAGTTATCAGAGGACCAGCAAATCTGGGTGATGAGAACATGACCCAGGCCAATCTTGCGTCTCCCGGGCCCCCCTATCCCTTGAGGCCTTTTAGCGCTAGTGCCCGTCAAAGCCGCAACAGCACTGGCCCTCACGTACTCCCGCTTCGAGATGTTGCATAATACCCATCCATGAGTCTCGTCCTTCGAGATATCGATCGAGTATCGCGGCTTAGACCGGCGGGAAAACTCTTTGCGCTCGAAAGACGACAGCCCTTGAGGAAGCTCCCAACCACGTACGCTGCCAAATTTAAGGACATCAGGCTCCTGCCATCTAACGTCGTAAAGGGAAGTGGGACCGTCTGCGTCTGAGTCGTCTTCTTCATTCAAGTCGGCATCGTCTTCGTCTTCATCTCGGCCGCGATATTCGCGCAGTTCGCTCTTGGAGAGTATGCCTTCCGGTAGATCATCCCACTGCATGTAGTCACCGGCGCATATGATCCGATCACCAGACCATGGTGCTGTCACCTTGCATACCAGCTCATACACGCGGGCCTCTCCAATGTCGGACAATGTCTTGTTCGTGAGCGACAGTGAGATGGCATCGCGCAGGTCGTCGATCTCGCCAAAGATGAGATACAAGATTTCGTGCGCAAGGTTCAATGACCCCAGTGCTGAGCTCGCGTCGAGGGATGGACCTGCAATTATAACACTCTACTAAATTAGGACATCGCCATGCATCGAGTGGATGTCTGGTAGACGAACTTGTTTCTTGACATCGAATGCCGATGGAGGAAGGGTCACGGCAAGAAATGGCACGAAATGTTCGGGTGTACCGCCAAAAAGCCATTCACCCAGCTTTCCCAAGCCCGAGATTGCTGCCCGCTTGTCAAGATTGATGCTATGTATGCGGACTTGTCAGCCTCTCACGCCATCTTCTGTTCCCGCGGTGTGCATTACGCACAGGCACCAATACTGGCCCATCTTTCGCAGCAGTGCTATCGAGCGAAGAGTATCGGCTCTTATCGGCTGCATGTTACGCCACAGCGTAAGTGAAACAGAAAGAGATCACGACCAGCAGAAATTGTAAAGTTTATACGTACCGAGTGGAACGGTCAGCCCCGTATACTAGAGGGCCGCTCAGAGGAGATCGGAGAGCTGGAGTTGACACGAACAAGAGCCTGAGACTCGAGAGCGAAATGACGAGTCAGCTGCAGAGCTCTCTGCAGGCCTTTCTGACCTCCCTCTGTCAGAGAAGGGTTTGTAGTCTGCCTGATAGGGGAGACAATGCAGGCCTGCCCGTGAGACTTTTAGGAACCACACAGATCTGACATGCCCGATGCGGTGAGCTTCAAAACGCAGCTGTGGCAGGGTGGCTGAACGTAGAACGTGGTGAAGCCCTGCAGACACTGGCAGCTGAGACTAGATCTTTACACATTTCTCCGCGGGTCATTTGGACCTGGGCGTGCGGATGCAGCGCCGACTCCAGGGCCCAAGTTGGAGCTGTGCAGTATAGTTATGGATAGTTATAGACGACCAAACGGACTTCTCTACATCTGGAGCGCGCGGACGCAGTTTGATCTTCCACGCAAAGAACACGCGTCGGCAATATCTATAAAATACAGTACACAGCGCATATGAAACAACAGTAATAGCACTGGCCTCCGCAGCGAGGCAACTAGCGATATACATCCCGCAACACCGGCTCTTCCATCGCTCATGCCAGCGCGCCCTGTGAACGCACATAAGCTACAGAACGAGAACACAAGTACGCTCAAACGTACCATAGGGTCCCAGAGAGGCAACAACGTCTTCTTGCCGCTCTCAAACACCTTGACGAGCTCCTTCGGGGCAAGCGCCTTGGGTACGACAACCTGGTACACGAACCTACACCGAAGTCCGCCAATCAGCCGCCCATTGTTAAGTATCATGTCAACGAAGAAGCGTACTGCTCAAACCACTCGTCGGTCATCAGATAGTATCCCTTGTCGCCCGACGTGTCGCCCCACGAGTTCTCGACCTTGTAGCGCACCGGCTTGCCAGCCGCGTCGAGGTGCACGCCCGAGATGACCATCGCATGTGTCATTGCCGATTCGCCAGTGCGCAGGCGGTCTGCCTTCGTGAGCCCGAACTTGATGTCGAATGCGTTCTATGCGTGCGATGCCATGAGTAAAGATACAACAGGCTCGAGCAGGAGCATACCTCGTAGTCGAACATCTTCGTGTCCATGATACCACCCTCGCGCTCGAGGAATTGGCCGACGTCACATCCGAAGAAGACGGGGTGGCCTGCCTTCATCATCTTGACAACCGCGTTCTTCAGGTCGTCAATTTCGGTGTTCACGTCTATCCCACGACCATCAGCATCGATCCCGTAGCTCCCAGTGACACACGCACAGAGCACGTCACGCCCGCCCCAGACGTTACCGAGCTTCTCGACGGAATACAGCTTTTCAAACTCGTTCCGCGGGTCATGGATGAGCGAGAACGAGTCCGCCGGCTGCACGCTCACTCAACAAATAGCAATGAATCGACAGTCGCTCCCACGCACCGCATACTTGTCGCTCGCAAACGTCTTGTAGAACTCCAGCGGCGTGCCCTCCCAGTGCCCTGCCTTCCCGTCCTTGTCATAGTAGTCCCACACGAACCTCTCGCCCAACTTCGGCGGCACGCCGAGCGTGGCGGTCATGATCGTGTACACCTCCTTCATCAGCTCCTCCTTCTTCCCGCGGAGCGTGCGCAGGATCGCGCCCTCGGAAAGCGCCCTGGGCGATGCGCGCAGGGACGCGGCGAGTGAGCGAAGGATGAGCGCGTGCTCGCGGAGCTTGACCTTGAGCAGCTTGTTCAGCGGGCCAGAAAGGGACGAGTGCGTCGACTCGGGATAGACGGCTTGCGGGACGATGCCGTAGTTCTACATCTAGGTGAGTCGTCGTAGACAGTCAGGGATGGAGCGAGCGTACCTCGAGGATGTTTATGACCATGTCCCATTGTCCTCCGTCACTTATGAGATCCGAAGCCGTGTGCACAACTAGCCGGTCGTCGATCGGGCGTTCGGCGTGTAGGATGGAGAGCTCGAGGTAGTAGTTGGCCTTGTTCAACTTGTCCCAGAAGAACAGATACGACTAGTGGGCATCTCGCTCAAACCGCTCATTTCATGGTGAGATCCCGAAAAACATTCCGCACCTGAGAGCACTGGAAGTCATCGAGGTTGAGCTTCTTCATGATATTGTACCGCAGCACGTTCGTGGTCGCGAACAGCCAGCAGCGGCCAGAAGACTTCTGGTTCGTGATCGGCGCCGTCTTGAACTCAAGCTGGGTATTGAACACATGCGTGTCCGCGATCTTCGCGGAGCGGTTCACAAACGTCGTCTGGATGTCGTTGTGGTGCAGGACGGTGCGGACGAGTTGCGCCTTCGGGTGTGAGGAGATAGCTTCCTCCCAGGCGTTGACGTTCGCCATCGACAGTGAGCCATCCGCGGACTTTGCAGACTGGAGGCGCACGGAGGCGAGCGAGTCGGTGAGTTGCTCGACCGCGCCCCGCTTCTCGTCGACGGCGGGGGTGGCAGCGGGTGAAGAAGTGGAGGGAGCGGGCTTGGAGTTGGTGGCACCCATGTTTGATGATGGACGGTGAACGGTTATCGGACAGCGAACAGCTCAGAGGAGGTTATAACTGTCCAGGTACACGAGATAGCTGAGTGACGGCGGCCATATGCGTGCGGGTCACACCCCGCGATAAAGACATGCATTTCAATTGGCCCTCGTTTACGCAGCTAGCTAGCGCATCAGGGCTGCTTACCAGTCAAAGTCAATGGAAAGTCATACGCTGGTCCGTGCAAGGATCTGCCACGACTCATTGGAACGCACGCGGGCGATGAACGAAGTTCAGTATCTCTCGTACGGTTTTGTGGAAGCTGGCAGAGGCACAGAGATCGCGACGGAGGACGATCGTAATGTTACATGCGAGGATACACTGGCTGAAATCTTTCTTTGATCACCGACGAGCAAAAGTTAGGAGCCTGAGTGAGGAGATACATCCGGGTCGTTGCAGCGGCGCGAGAGGAGCATTGACCCAAGACACGAGTGGAGGTTACATGCGGCTTCGCTTCGGAGCACATCTACCCCTGTCCCTAGTTGCTCTCTTAGCCGGTCACCGGCTTCAGGAGCAGCTAGGGACAGGCGCGGCTGGAGAGCAACTAGGGACAGGCATGCCCACTGGCTGAGCAGGTCGTGCGCACACCTCCAGTCACCGAGTCCGTCGCCTCGCGAAAGAGGTCGCGATCGACGCGTTAAATGAAGCGCCACATGCATCAATTCGCCGTCTACACCGGTCGTGTCATCCTGCTCCCCTCTCTCCCTGATCCTCAATCACATCTCCCCAGCAACGAACGCAACAGCCCGCTCCGCTCCCTGACGCCCCGCAATGTCGAGTGATCCCGAGGCGGGCCAGCATCACGACCAACTGCCAGAGACCGAGCCAGAGCCGAGTCCGATCACCACGACAGCATTGTCGCCTTCTCTGGACGCCCTGCTCTCGCCCACAGAGGCTGGCGCACACTTCCCTATGCGCGAGTCCGTCGCTGCCTCCGACGCGACCGACGACGATGCACGTTTCTCGACCGTTGCGCTCACCAGCACCCGCGATAGCTTCAGCTCAATGCGGCTGTCAGTCGGCTCCGATGAGTTCGATGGCGACTCGATAGAGGACAGAAGGAAGACGATTGCCGTGGGCTCTCTGGACCTGAACGCTGCTGCAGGTCTCGTGGGACAGCAAGAGGTGCGGACGCACAAGAAGACTGCTTCCACTTCGACCATCCTGTCTGGACGGTCCATTTCGCTCATGATCGCCGACAGCGATGAGGGTTCCAGGAGAAGCAGCATTGAAGGACAACACATCATACAGGAAAAGTTTGCTCGCAAGCACGACGACTTGGAGGAAGAAGAGAACTCCGTAGATTGGGGTGCGTGGTACTTCCGAGCGGGAATCATCGTGAGCTCACAACCGAGTTGCACGCGCAGACTTCTGGGGAAACGTTGTTACTGGTGAGGCCCTAGTCTGAACAGGCTGCTTTCTCTCCTCGAATGAAACGAAGTCGTTAGACTACCAGAAGTTCGCGGCTGAGCACCCAGAGGAGCTGGCAGCTGCTATCGGGAGCGGGATCCCGAAGACGATACGGGGCATGATCTGGCAGCTAATGTAGTGCGCCTTCAATATGTGGCTTTGAGCTGCTAGAGCCTACCTGATGGACTGCTTTTCCAGGACTGCTTCGAAGGACCCGGAGCTCGAGAGCACGTATTTGCGGCTGCTTAAGGAGATAAGCCCTCACGAGAAGGCCATCACACGAGATCTTGGAAGGTAATTTCTTCTTCTGTTCATAAACCTCGAAAGCAGGGCTAGTGTATGCGTGCACCCAACTTTATGGAGTTGCACCCTACCATGCCTACATAATTTTGGGCGACGCATATTATTTGCGCTCTTCGGTCGGCTTTACATTTCATCCATTCCGATCAAAGGGAATATGTCTAGCTGGCGAGATTCCGTGGTCTATCCTGTTTCCCCACAACGCGCTAGCGAGCGAGGTCTGGACGCGTTCTCAGCCACCCGAACACTTCCGAATATCCGTGCACTGGCTCTTGCGAGTTCTACAGACAATGAACGTACACTAGCGCGGAAGTTTGGAATGCGCTTTAAGATTCGGACTTGACCACTGGAGACTGTCTCTATTCTCGTGGTCCAGTGAGATATTCTAACGTTGCTTTGCGGGCACAGAACATTCCCTCAGCATGCATTCTTCACGGATGGTCGCGGCATCGGCCAGGAAAACCTGTTCAACGTACTCAAAGCCTACTCTCTGTGAGTTCGCATAGACAGCACCGTTACCCGCGTTAACACTCCAGCAAGGTACGATCCGCAAGTTGGATTCTGCCAGGGATTGCCCTTTGTCGCTGCAATATTGCTGTTGTATGTGCGTACGCATACACTTTGTTGGGTGATGTCCTATTGACAACCTTTCAGATGCCGGATGAAGAAGCGTTCTGCCTGCTGGTCAGGCTCATGTACTCGTACGATCTCCGAGGACACTTCCTCCCTGACATGCCCAAGCTGCAACTGAGAATAGTGAGTGCGACGCGGCCTGGCATTGTGTACATTCGCTGACTATATGCATTAGTTTCAGGTTTGCTTTCGTCCGCTTGGCTCACACAAACTCTCATTTTTTGTCTTCAGTTTGAGCGCCTTGTCGAAGAACACGCCCCCGTGTTGCACGTCCACTTCCTGCGGGAACGGATCAAGTCGAGCATGTACTGCTCGCAGTGGTTCATGACCATGTTCAGCACTCGGTAGGCCCTGAATGTTTCAATGAAATTGACCGATTTGCTGAATCTGGCTACAGTTTGCCAATGGACGTGGTTTTCCGAATATACGACAACTGTCTGGCGAGTGGTATCGAGGCACTGTTTTCATTCGGCCTCGCACTGCTGCTGAAAAACGAGACGACCCTGCTCTCGCTCACTTTCGATCAGCTCGTCACGTTCCTTAATAACCAGATTTTCGATGTTTACCAAGTACATTGCGCCACTTTATGTCTTGTGTCGAGCTTATACGTTTCGTGAACAGGTCGTATCCTCGTCATCAACAGAAGGCGGAAGCGATGGAGAAGAAGAGAAGAAGGACGTCAAGTATGATACCGATCAATTCGTGGTGGACGCACTTTCCTTGAAGATCACGTCGTTCATGCTCGATTCGTACGCTCACGAGTATGAAGAGCTCGTCCGGACAAAGAACGCACATGCAATTGAGATGGATGCTCTCCGGAACAGCAATCGTAATCTTTCCGTTCAAGTGTATGCATATATCTCATTGATGGGTTCCGCTCGTCTTGAGTAATGGATGGTTGTGTTGCAGAAAAACCCTGGAGTCAAGTCTCGCGCAGCTCAACACCGAGCATTGCGAACTTCTCGTACGCCCTTGCTTGCCTTCTTTGTCCACGTCGTAGCCCTGATGAATGCCTCGTAGACCGAACTGGTCAGGGCACGCCTTAGGCACGAGGAGCTGGAGTCCGAGCTTGTCAGGTATAAGCTGCTGTACGTCCCTCACGGTGCCTACCCACACTGCAGAGTCTGACTGGAATGTAAGATATGCGGAGGCGATGCACAAAAGTGAAGACGCGATGTCGTCGCACCGGATTTCTCTTGCGGCCAGCAAGAGAGGAAGTGGGAGCACTGGCTGATGGTTACGAGGATCCTTTCGTGCAGTCACATCTGAAGCATTTTTTCTATCATTCATCAGGCATTCGACATGTGTACATTATCATCATTCCCTTAGTCAGGGAACGAATCCATCTAACTAGGTCAGCTGTAAAGGATAGGGCCTCTTCCGACAATCTCGAGCAGTAAAGCGACGCTGTCCAAGGAAGGCTCACTCTGAGGCAGCTGCTCGCGAGCGTCGAGTCTCTCTAGCTCTTACGCTCTATATAGTGGCCGGCACGCCACTGGAAAAGTTATAATAGATATGTTGACAGGAACTTGAGATTGAGGTGTTCTTAATGTTTTGTGATTTTAAACAGGTCTACCTGTCATCTGTGGACACTCCCTTCATTTTCAAAGTCGTCCCGAAGTAGAGTGTGTCCACCACAGCTGAAGTGAGGATGGACCGTGACTCTGGCACTTGACGTGGAGTCCAGTGTCTGCCTGTCGTGACGATGTTAGTGGTTTCACCAGCCCAGCTGAAGGATTTCGCGTGAGTAAATGATTGTGCGGATGAACACACGTATGTGAAGTGCCAATTATTGTCGACCGCAAGAAACCTACGGTATGTTGTCGCGCCGAAGCTCACAGGTTTCACATTTCCCGAAAGTACTACGCGTGCCTCCGGGCAGACCAACACATTTATCCATTGAATCGAGAACAATTCAACGCCGAGCTGGAGCGCAACTCAGGATTAGTCCAAATTCTTTATACTCGTAGGTATCGTGTCGAGCGGCAGTGAAGATTAATTGAGAACCGATGCGAGCTGCACCGTACAAGAAATTGAAGGTGATCACCGTCATACCCATAGCACCTTGACATGTCACATCAATACCCCGTGCAGGTGCAGAGCCACATCACGCCGCTAAGTACCTTCGCTGCCGCCAGCGTACGGCGTGGCCCAACCCTCACTGCAGCACCCACACACGTACGTGCCGTCCGTGACGGCGGTGACGGGCGGCGGCAGTGGGGCGGAATTCCTGCCGCAGCTCCCACGGGCCCCCTTTGACCTGTTATGACATTCAGGCCACTGCTGTGTCCTAGATTCACAGCATTCGGAATGTCATATGTTAGCGAAGCCTTCAGTCTAGCCGCAAAGACGCTCTTCGCCTCCCTCTCCTTCAGAGCGTCGTTGTTTCATGTGCTAGTCAACACGACTTCCACTTCGTGCTCCTGTCTCGGGCACAGGACGAATCGGCTGCCTACTGGCAGGAAGGATTGATTCGGGAGTGGATGGAGAGGCGTGGGCTGCTGGGTTGGTCCGGAGGAAGATGAGAACGTTGTGGCAGTGGCAAATTCGTATGGTGCATCCAGAGTTCGTTGTGACGTTCCAGGAATATTTTGAACTCTAATCATCCCCTCCGGCCGGGTTGATGCGTGTTATGAGCATTCAGTGTGATATCGACATTCGAATTGATATCAGTACTGAGTGAACGGGTGTCGTCGCAAAGTTGGTACAACGTTATTGCTGCCAAAGTTATTAGTCAGCATGTACAAGAATTCTTTATCGACAAATCGTTAATGCTTTCCTCCCGCGCCTGCTGTGTTCACAATTAGTCATGGAATCGCCCTCCATAGAACCCATTCTGCTCGCGCTGCGTGCGCTCCTCCTCCTGTTGTTGCAGTTCGCGGACACGTCTGGCTTCCTGCTCTTCTCGTGACTGCCTTTCGCGCGCATACGCCTCGCTGGTCGTTCGCTGCCGATCAAGCGCAAATATTATGTAGATTCTCGACGCTCGCACTTCGCTCGTCACATCCTGCCCGCGCGCTCGCGACTGATAGTCCATGTATCGCCTGTAAGGTGATCCTGGTGAATTTAGGACTACCACATGTCCCGAGCCGTCTGGTCGCCGGTACGCAACGCCGACTTGACGTGGCCATCTGATTGAGGTTATCATCGATTCCGGTACACCGCGATCACGGTGTATGGGTCCCCCACGGCCGGCGGGACTGCCACGGGAGAATATGTCAGAACGGAAGAAGAACCCCTGGCGTTCAAGAGCAGCCTGGGTTGTCTGCAGACTGACACCGGGAGCACCTGGGGAGGGACGGATGCCGATATGGTCGCAAAGTTCCGCTGCGCTGGTGCCGAGTATGTAAGCGATGGTGACAAAGGCTCAGTTGTTCATCAGCTGGTCGGGGTTCCAGATGTTCGCAGGCAGGCGAGTGGAAGCAAGAGCATTGGCGAGCGTGGTAGATGCGCTTTCCCATGTCTCGTTCGCAATGTTCGTTTGGTTTGCTCCCTCCACGGGAGACCAGTCCATGGGCTCGGATTGCCAGTCGCTAGGCTCCGGTATGTCCGACCAGTCCATAAGCTTATCGCTCATCCTGACTATCGAAGATGAGCCTATTGGCCGAATTAAGCAGAAGATATTGGCTCACTAGTTCCCGATGTGCAAGAGGAGTAATGTTGAAAGACAATGGGGAGGAGGGAGGGGGAAGGGGGGAGAGGGGAAAAGAGGAAGGGAGGGAGAGGGGAAAAGAGGAAGGGAGGGAGACAGAGAGAAGATGAGACTTGTTGGATGACTGAGTCTCCCTGCTAGTTGTGTAGGTGATCGTGTAGAGGATCCTTCGTTGCACCAAGTCAGATTCGAGAGCTGAGGAGATGTACTAGAGATAGGCGGCCCTTTATACGCCTACCTTCGACATCGTCGAGGAATGCGAGATCCATGCAGCCGCATACGGCTTCCCTGCCACATGCTGAACTCTACCATATCGGGCTCCATCTTTGAATGCACTATGAAATTTGCGGCCAGAACATGACCATATTTCAGTCGGTTTAATCATCTTAACTGTCCTCCGTGATCTACATTTTCCCCTTTAGTCCTCTTGGGTCAGGGTAACTCTCTTGTTCCGTGGCTGATATCGCGAGTTACGGATGCAACGCTTCCGCACTAGTAATACCCCTCAGGGAAATCATCTCCTGGACTGTTCCACAGAGAGAAAGGGACTGTTCTCTTATAAGCGCAACCCAGATACTTGCATCCATTAGGAAAGCTCAAGTCGACTTGTGACTCGAGAACCTCTTTTTTGACTTGTTCTTGCTGGTATTGGCTAAGTGCACAACAGGAAGTGTCCAACCCAGAAAACAAAGTTCAAAACAAGAAGGTCCCGAGACGTTCTCGAACTTACTGTCTTTTTTTTTTGTGACGGCAAGCGGATAAAAGTGTCCTAAGCCGGATTTGAGTTTTCCTGATTGCGCGGGACTAGACGTACAATGCAGAGCGCGCCTCCTCCGAGATGACCACTCTGCGCTTCTCTTCGCAGGAAAAGTCCGTTCCTGACACGATTTGAACGCTTCGTCGGGCTGATACGAGTGCCGATCAGGGAGATTGTTGGCCGATAGCGAATTTACAGCGCTTCCGAGGTCAGCTGGCCCTGAGCTGGGTACGTGTCTCCAGGATCGGCGGGAACTAGTGAGAAGTAACTCTGGTTGTAGCGGAAGGCGGCTTCCACATCAAGGCTGAGAAAACTGAACAAGCAAACGGCATGGGAGCCGGAGCGACACGCTGGATGTTGAACGTTCAACACTCAGTGATTAGTGCTCACCCCTCTTTGTTCGCCTGAGGAACAGAACGGATCCACCTGACTAGGTCGGCTGTAAGGGATAGGTCCTGCCCCCAACAATCTCGGGCAGTAAAGCGAGACTGTCCAAGGAGGGTCCATTCTGAGGCGGCTGCTCGCCAGCGTCGAGTCTCTCTAGCTCTTGCGCTCCTGCTCTGCGCTTGTCCTTGAGCTGTTTTCAATGTTTTGTAGCTTTGAATATTCCACCCGCGGATACTCCTTTCATCTTGAATGGTCATCCAGGAACAAAGACGCATCACCAGTCTGCCTGTACAATCTCACGGGTCATCAACCTAGGTTTTTCATGAGTAAATCATTGTGCGGATGAGCAGATATATGTGAAGTGCCATTGTCGACCGTGGAGAAAGTATCAGTACGTTGTCGCGCCGAAGCTTGTAGGGCTCACAGCTCTCGAAAGTACGCGGCGTGCCTCAGGCTTCTCCTCGAGCAGACCAACACATTTGTCCGTTAAATCGAGAGCAATTCAACACCGAGCAGGAGCGCAACTCAAGATTAGTCCCAAACCCTTCGTAGCCATCGTCGCGAGCGCCAGTGAACATTAATTGCGAACGATGCGAGCTGCACAAGAGACTGAAGGCGATCACGCTGGGATAGCATGTACAAGCTTTGATCGCGGATTTGATGCAACGATCGACTGCCTCCCGCATCCCCAACGTCGAGGAATACGCGTCGTTCGACCACCAACGCTGCAGGTGCACGACTTTGCTTCACCCTCATGCTCTCATAACTGTGCTGGATGCTCTCTATGTTTTCCCTTGCACGGAAACGCCTCCAAGCTCAATACCTCTTTCACCCAGCACCTCGAGTAGCTGCTCGAAGACTGCAGCCACACGTCCTCAAGAGCTGCCGTTGTCAATCTACTAATGTTGCACCGGAGCGGCCGCGTCTGCCACGGCCAAAAGCATGGTTTATCTGCTCAGCGACCCTGCTAGTGCTCTCTGGTGCAAGCTATGTTGCATACAAGCGATACCAGCCGTTTCGTCATACCATTCTGGCGGTTGTGCGATGTTCTAGAGTGGCAAGTGCGTACCGCGACTGAAGACCAGTCATCTCTTCTCAATAAAATCATGTAAGCAGAGGCGGCTGTTCTTGGAGCAACAGACTACAAAATCATGCTCTCAAAAACGTATGACTCGAACGAGGCACTCCAGGAAGCATACTCGCAGTGTCACAGGCGCAGCGCTGAGAGAGTCCTGAAGGCATTACTGGCGAATGGCGGTGAGCATTTTGTGCCCTGTTTTGTATTAGTAAATGTGACGCGCGACACAAAGGCATCTTCATCAAGCTCGGCCAGCATATTGCATCACTGTTAGTGGCCAGATCCCTCCGGTCCACTTGACTTGTTTAACGAGGGCATAGTGTAGTGCTTCCCATAGAGTGGACAAGTACAATGCGGCCACTCCAGGATAAATGCGAACCGACCCCGTACGAGGGAGTTGAGAAGCTGTTCCTGACCGACATGCACCGTCCGCTATCCGACTATTTCGATGACTTCGACCCTATTCCGATAGGCGTGGCGAGCTTAGCTCAAGTGCATGTTGCGCGGTGGAAGGAGACGGGGGAGAGCGTCGCTGTAAAGGTTGGTTCATGGAATCATCCGTTGATGTCTGGCAATGAAGGAATGGGTCGATTAGCTCCAACATCCGCACCTCGAGGAATTCTGTGAGATTGACATGGAGATGGTCGAGGTCTCCTTAGGTAAGTCTCGTATCTTTGCGCGCGTCGCTGTGCTCATACCGATAAAGGATGGATAAAGCACTGGTTTCCCGACTTTGAGTTCACCTGGTTAGGCGAGGAAATGCGAGAGAACCTGCCCAAAGAAATGGACTTCATGCATGAGGCGTACAACGGATTACGGGCCACGGACGATTTCAGGGGTATCCGGACATCATTGTACATTCGTGAGTAAATCATACGTTCACTTCGGTCACTTCTGGCCGTCTTGATGGGCTCGATCAGCCAGGGTGCTTCGCGCAGAGAAGAGAGTGCTCGTGATGGAGTATATCCAAGGAGGACGCGTCGATGACTTGGAGTACCTGGCAGATCACGACATCGACAGAAACAAGGTCGCACTTGAACTTGCGAGGATATTCGGACAAATGGTGCACCTGAATGGGTGGTTCCATGCGGTTGGTAGTGTATATCCTATTCATAACGGTTTGCTGATGGTTAAATACTGCGTATAGGACCCACATCCAGGTGATTGTTGTTTCATCATTCATGACACGACGATAACTCACAGAGGGCGCACAGGAAACTTGCTTATCCGTCCGGCGCCATCAACTTCGAAGTCACCATACAACTTCGAGATCGTCCTTCTCGATCATGGATTGTACTTTGATCTCGACAACGAGCTGCGGATCAACTATAGCAAGTTCTGGCTGGCGTTGATTGCCCCTGCCACACCGCAGACCATAGCAGACCGCAGGAAGTACGCGAAGTTGGTGGGCAACATCGACGATGACCTAGTGAGAGGAGCCTTTCTGTTCCATATGCGACCCTCGTATTGAGCAGTATGCGCAGTATCCCGTATTTGAGGCTGCTCTCACGGGCAGAGCAACTCTGGAAAACGAGGTTAAGGAATCTACTGACGACGGCGGTTTCAAGCGCGCCTCCAGCATCATCGACCTCAGCATTCAGACGGAAGCGGAAATGGAGGCCATCCGGAGCGCTGTGGTTCAGAAGGAGGGATTGCTGCTCTCTGTGTTCGACGTGCTTAGGAGGGTGCCGCGACGGGTGCTAATGGTCTTGAAGCTGAACGACTTAACGAGGTAAGCACATATCATGCTTCGTGAAGGCCAGTGATCACATATTCGTTCTACGTAGGAGTTTGGACCGGGCACTCGCGACGACTCACTCAAATGTCAGTGGAGAAAAAGTCTACTTTGAATACGCTTCGCCTGACGAGATGCATACTTTGAGATCCGAGTCTTCCTGGTGACTGCCAAGTACTGCACACGAGCTGTCTGGGAGGACAGCCGCAGACGGCTTATCCTGCAGATGCGCGAGAAAGGTCTGATGTCACTACCCTTGTTGTACGACTATTTCCGGGGCTGGTGGTACGTCGATAATGCTGCTATCCATCTCGTTCTGTTGCTGAAGATGCTACCGCGGCTTACAGGGGCTACCAGAAAATGTATCGCTCGCTGGTACTTGCAGAGACGTGGATGGATCTAGAGGCATATTTGATCAAGACGAAGGCGTGGGTATGGGGCCTGTTCGCCGTCGGGGGGCTGCAGGGAGCGCACCTGGCGGCGGCTGGGCTCGCTTAGAATGTATCGTCTGGACGCTACATTTGCGCTTAAATGCTGCTAAGCCCTGATATGCATACCTCAGATACATAATACAATAGTACAGTGAACATCATACATGCGGTGTACGGAGCAGTAAACAAGAAAGATCACAGAACGGAACTAAGTGTGGTACAACCTTTCATCACTTCATTCTTTTGACCTGAGTGAAAAGTTTGTCGATCGCTTCGCTACTGTTCTTCAGTTTCTCCCACTGGGAGTGCGCGATCGCAATTTAGTGAAGGAACAGCGAGAATGGTTACAAGGACAGACCTGCTCCCACTGCAGAGTGACACCTTTCTTGCCGGGTTTCTCGTCGCATTCCGGTCCAAAATACTCTCTGATGTCGAGAAATATCAAGCCTGGAAAAATGAACTTGCTGGGAGAAGCATTCCCATCGAAGAAGTGCAGAGACTGTACCCTTGAATGTACTAACGGTGGCGCGTCGCTTTTTACCCAAGTCGATGTATTTCTCGCCTTCGTCATTGGCCTTGATGACAATACCGTCGTCGTCGTCGTCTTCATGAGCTTTCGAGATGGACGACCTCGCCTGCTATTCATGCCAGTCAGTGTCGGCGGAGTAGGCACTCTAGAAGCATACCTTTCTCTTTTTTGTTACCGGCTCGTCATCCTCCTCATCGTCACTGATATCTCTTTTCTTTGACTTTCCCTTCAAGTGAAACGCATCAATACCGGACTGAGTCTTGGTAATAGCCGGCATTGCGCACCGTGGATGCCTTGGATAGCTTGGACAACTTCTTGTGCTTCATGGGAGGCTCATCCTCAACGTTGTCCTGGGAGAACTCGGCCTCCTCTTCCTCCTCCTCCTCCTCCTCTCTGATCGTGTATGCTCTGCGCTTAGGCATGGTGGAGTAGAATACAACAAGAGGCGTGCACCGAGACGCGTCAAGCAGGACCGTGGAGACGCGTTTTGTCGCGTCCTGCCGCGTGAAGAAACACACTGAGGTACCCGAACCAAATCGTCTATACGCTGAGAACGTTGCCAATCGTAGTCGCAAGGACATAAAACACGTACAGTCCGCCCGAAAACCAAGACTCGAACGAGTTGAGGCACTGAAATTCGAAGCTGGCTACTATTGTTGAAACCCGTGGGAACATGTCCCGTGAAGTCATCACCCTGTGCCCCTCCGCGTAAGCACTCAAGTCTCTTCCGCCACCACAGTGTCCAGTGTGCTCTCGGGTTTTATACATCCGCTCTTGCTTCTGTTCGTCATCAGCGCCCGCAAGCCACTGAGGACATCCTCCCTCGGCCTCACCGTTGCGGACCATGAGGATCGTACTAAAATCTAAGAAGGTCATCCCTCCAGTGAGTACTCCTCGTTTGACCGATCTAGCCGGCGCATTAATCCCGCCATATCTTCACCCAGCCCCCGCAAGTTTCCCAGCTCATCAATAAATTGCTGGACACGCCCGATGATGATGTGCACGAAGTGCTCAGTCAGATTGACTACTGGAAATGGCCGCGATCCGACTTGAATGCTTGGACCAAGGTCCTCAATAAGTTCGATGCACTACTGGAGGACGCCATCCGGGACTATGACATCGACAAACTGCAAGTGAATGTATTCACTCCGCTCACGAAGAAAACCGTGTGCGAGATTCTGCGATTCGAGCGCCTGCTGCTCGAAAACTCGACCAACAGGAAGACGTTCAATTCTTATGATGTGCGTCTGTCGTCTTAATGAGGCATAATGTATGCTGACCACGACGTCTACCTCAGCGATTGAACAGTCTGATGTTCACATCTGACCTCGACGTCCTTATCCTCGCGTTGAACCTTCTCTTGCGCCCGGCTCAGCAGTATTCCGCTCAGCCAGCGGTGCTTCACGCCCTCAGCATCTCCACTCCCCGCCTCACATCTCTTGCCAAGCGTTGGCCTAACCTGCGCGAATACGACGTCAATCTGCCGGACCTTGTGTCTGACAAGGGGAAGACACAAATAGAGGCTTTGCCCAATGAGGCGCGCGAGGTTAATTTCACCTTCTACAGGCACGATGTCCCAAGCAGTGTGCCACATAAAGAGAAGGAGAAGTCTGCGGAGAGTCATGCACCCCAGCAGAACGTTGCTCAGACTCCTACTCGCCGGACAGGCACGTCCTCTTCCGCCACTGCTTCGGCTCCAGTGATCTCTTCCGGAGCCGTCAATATTCACATCTCCATCAAAACAATCGAAGCCAAGGAGCCCATGCATATTCTTGCCGACATCATCGAGGCTTATTCTGTTCCTGACAGTGAGAAGTTTGAACTACTGTGTCGCATTCGGGCGGCCCGAGCCCTCACTGCCGCGCATGCGGTTGATCGCGAGAAGCTGGTGATAGTCCGCCTACTTGCAACCGCCATCTTTGGACACACGCATCCCGAAAATCAGGCACAATCGTCGCTCTTCCTATATGAGGCAGAGCTCATCACTCACATTGCCGAGCTCCTGCAGCTGGATGATTCCGTCGATGTTCAGGTGCAGACTGCCGCCATCGCAGCCCTTGATGCTCTCGCGCGGTATAGAAGCAAGGTCCAGGATGTCTTGACTGCCGTCAACGCAGGCGTGAACCATGGGATCCTCATGTCGCTTATGCGTAGGACTGTTGCAGAGGTTGCGCAGCCCAGCTCTGCTCTTCCGCAATCGTTTGTCGAGTCCTTGCTGTCATTCGTAACATACATCGCAACGCATGCATCGGGAGGAAATATGGTAGTCGGAGCGGGCCTCATCCCCATCCTCATCCAAATCATCGAGAACAGACTGCCGAACCGCTTGTACGTTGTCTCGAAGACTATGCAGCTGGTCGACAACGTTCTGTACGGGTTCAACAACGCATTCCAACTTTTCTGCAATGCTCGTGGTGTGGAGGTCTTGGTGGACAGGATTGAAGTGAGTTGTCACTCAGACTGAGGTGAAATTATCGATTAAATGCTGTTGTCCAGTATGAGGTGGATCTGGACTTGGAAGAGCACGCCGTGAATGAGCCTTTGAGCGATATCTCGGCTTCCTATGGTATTTCAGGTCAATATGTGTTCCTCTGCATTGGTGTTGATCCAATAGCAGGAAAGCTATCCGTCGCTCAAGCCGCCGTTCTCAAGCATACATTGCGCTCGATGCATCGTATGATGCAATCGTCAGGCACGACGGAGGGGCTGCGTGGCTTGCTCGATTCGTCGCTTCTAAAATCCGTGAAGAAGATCATGCAGAACCGCTCTATCTTCGGTCCAAGTGTGCTCCCTATCGGTAGGTTCACCCAATTTTGTGTTCCACAGGGAGCTTACCTGCGACTCTGCGCCAGCAATCAATATCATGGCGACATTTGTGCATAACGAGCCAACGTGCCTTCCTGTGGTACAGGAGGCAGGCTTACCTGAGGCGTTCTATTGCGTCGTCGAATCGGGGCTCGAGCCCGTCATCGAAGTCGGTTCTCGTTTGACATGCTATATTTACAACGTGCTGAAGTTTATGCAGGTGATACAAGCTGTGCCCAACGCCATCGGCGCCCTGTGCTTGAACCAAGCAGGTCAAGACCAGCTCGCTGCTCGGCCAAACATCATTCCTGGTCTCTTCTCCATTTTCACCTCCGAACGCCATCAGCGAGTGTTGCAAGAGAAGGAGAACTCTGTATTGATAGGAACCGCAATTGAGGAGCTCATCCGGCACCATCCATCGCTGAAGCAGTCAGTATTCAATGCGATCAAAGCAACCATGGATAAGATCTACGAGCTCGGCATGAAGTATGTTCCAACAGATGATGTACGGCGGTGGTATGTGCTCCAGCCATCCACATCCTCCTCTGCAACGTCGGGCATGTCCGACGCGGATGTGACGATGATGCCTGTTGAAGATGAAGGGTCTCAGCAAGTCGGCGCGCCTGCGCTTGACGGTGAAGCAGCCATTGAGTCCGGCGCGTCGGGTCGCGATGATCCTTTGACAAGGTCGCATGACAACGTGACTGTCTCGTTCATCGACGTTCTGTGCAAGGTAGTATCAGCACGTCTCTGTACACACGCATGCTGACTAGGCTTCTAGTTCCTGGAAGGTTTCTTTCAGCATATCCCACATTGCAGGGACTTCCTTGCTGACCAGGAGGCTTTGGACCGTTTGGGAAAGCTGACAACGCTGCCATGCCTCCCTTACGATTTCGCGAATAGTGTGGCATCTGATTCTATCGTGCAGGTGGTTCGTACGATGGCCGAGGCCGAGACTAGCGAAACCATCGCGTTTCTTGTGCGTCTTGTCCATGAATCGCTCGAAGGAACAAAAGAATTCTGGTCGTCGATGCAAGAAGAGTCCCAGCTATTGGCTCTCGTCGACGTAACTGACTCTGGTGAGGCTGAATCAATGTCAATAATACTCATGGCGGCTGCTCATGATCATGCATACAGCGGAAGAAGTGACCCGTGCCAACCTACGGCTGCGACAACTCATCACTCTTCATATCAGAACGTCTCTTCTCTCCGACATCTATGCTACAGCAGGTTATTCGCATGGCAGGGCAGCAAGCGCCCTCCTGCAATCGCTTACGGGGCCATCGGCACGTGATATTCTCTCTCAGCTGGGCACCCTGCACAGAGCGTGCATTTGGGAGAACGTGGTTTTCAAGGCTGCTTTGATTTCACAAGGCCTGGACAGCGCTCCCAGCAGTGAAATCACCGTGTCTGGATCACAGACGCCGATTTCAGAGATCCCGACAGCACCCTCGACATTACGTCAATTGGAACGCACGACTATCACTGGCGGTGCTAGCAACGGGGTGCAAGGAGCAACATCGACGGCAGCTCCTGGGAGGCCAGAGCCCGTGAAGGTGGAGGGGTCGAGGCAACAAAATGCGCAGGCACTGAAGCATGTCGCTAGCCAGATTCCAAGTGCCTTGGCACCTTTTTTCCAAGGTAATTACACCCTACAACTTGCCAGTCAGAAAAGATGACTAAAGTCTTCGACTCTATAGCCGTAGTGAGGCTTTTCCAGACGCGACGTACCGCCGACAATGTCCAGAAACAGAAGATCCAGGAAACCGCCGCGATACTCGCTGATATCCTGGTGAGTCACCTCGAGCAGAAGCCATTCGGTGAGCGCTATCGCGTGTCATTTGTTGTGCATGTTTTTGATTGAAAAATGGCGAATCAGTGGACAAGTTATCTCTGCTTGCGTATTATACGGTTATGCTGGGCCTTGCCACTATCCTCCTAGTTGACGGTATGTGCCTTTGAAAAATTCGGAGTGTATTCAAGACTAATGTGCGGTTGACGCAACAGAGCGAACTACTCAAAAGACGTTATATACCGTGCTTCTTGCTTCATTCAGTCAAAGAGGAGGCATTGATGCGATACTCGGACTGTGCCGCGCGTTCGTCATCACGATCCAGACAGTCACGCAAGTCGCTCCTGAGGAGCGCTCGGACGCGGCAAAACAAGAGTTGGTGCACGCCTATGGCGGCTTGAAGGTCGCACTGCACCTCCTCCATCCCATCATCTCTGCAAAACCTCTGTTTGAGTCGGCACAGACCTCTCTCCTGCTGCTGTCCGAGAAGAAGGAGAACGATCCGGACTACTTCGAGCCTCATAACTTCCTGGTGAGGATGAGGGCATCAGTAATTCCGCTTTTGTGCGAGCTGTGGGAAGCTTCTTGGCTTGCTTCTGCCCCTCTCGGTGTCAGCAAGTCCGTCGTGCATATCGTCATGGAGATGCTCAACGCGGAGGGAGAGGAGAGCAAGGAACCCAATGTTGGTCCGTCGACACTGATGAGCGGCGGATTCACTATTGCTCGAGCGGCAGGACCCGATGAAACTCGAATACGTCAGTTGGTCGAGATGGGCTTCCCTAGGTCGGCGGCTGAGAGAGCTCTGACTCGGACGAGGAACAATCTTACTGCGGCTACCGATCTCCTCCTAGCAGCACCGTTCCCGTATCCCCCTGATCCAGAGCCCAATGCGCCAGCTGCAGCTCCTGAGCCACCCACAGATGATCAGGTGATGGCTGTCGAGGAACCCCAAGCTGCCGATACTGGGTCAAATGCAGAGCCTTCCGCGCCAGCTGTCGAGGCAGATATTGATAGCTCGTTATCCGAGGTTGTCGACGCTCCCATCAAAACTGCTGAAGAATGGCTTAATGAACTCAATGTAGCTCGAGAATCCTTGAAGAAGGGGCTTGGTAAACATGCGTTAAGGCTCGTCGACGAGCATTCTTCCCTCGTCTTTGATGTGCAGAAGGTGTTCGTGGGGTCACCGAACGAGTACCGAGAACAAGCTGTCAATGACCTCATAGCTGACATTAAAGCATTCTCTCCTTCTGCGTATGACATCCACGAACAGCCGATGGCCGCAAGATGTCGTCTCCTCGCCCTCGTCCTGCATGATCCCTCATCAAGTCTGTCACAATCACTGGAAAAAGACGTCAATCAATTGATGGACATCCTGCTCGCGCTGCTACTCTCCAATCCAACCAATGCAGAGAGCGGTCATCCAGCCCTTCCCAAGTGGCTGGCAGCTTATTTGCTTATCATGGAATCTTTGTTACTTATGGGCGAGGAGCCTCGCAGTATTCAATTGCCGAAGGAGGACGATCCCATCAATCAAGAGCCGCTCACTGTTGGTCGACATTATCCAGAGGCACGGACTCTCTTGTTTGACTTCTGTCTACGACTCCTCGCCATTCCTAGCTTACCCAAAGATGAATTGCTCTCAGTTCTCAGGCTGTTCGTTCTCTTGACGCAGGAACATCGCATGGCAGAGGAATTTATGCGGCGAGATGGGATCACGATGTTATTCCAGTACATGAAGGTCTCCGCAAGCACATCCAGTGCGACGGGTATCCAATCCCATATCGCGATGATACTACGCCATATTGCCGAGGACGCGTCTACGCTGCAAAACATCATGCGACAGGAAGTCAGGCGGTTCTTCTCGCATCCTCGCAATCACTCGGTCGAGGTGGGAAGTTATGTGATAGGCTGCAATGCTTTAGCACTCCGCGATCCTGCTTCGTTCGTTCAGGTCACTCAGGAAATATGCCAGCTCTCCCGTCCATTCTCTGGTATGAAGAGCGTCAGTCTCAAAGAGGAGGCGAAGACACGAAATGGTGGCTCCACGGCTCGCACAGACAGCAAAGGCTCAGAAATGCAAGTCGACGAGTCCGTTTCCCACAATACTCGCGCACCGTCGGAGCCTTTGGAGACACTCGTACACTTCCTAATCGGGGAGCTGATCAAATCTGTCAAGGATGAGCAGGCGGGAGAGACATCAGGTGGGGAGCAATCCGAGCCCCGTACAACGGAGGGCGCGGGAGCGGCCAGCAGCTCTTCTCCAATGGCCTCCAGCATTGAAGTGGACCAATCAGAGCGACAGCGGCCTGATGATCGTGAAGACTATGTCTATTCCTGCTTCCTGATGCAATGCCTTACTGAGTTGCTGTTTTCTTATGATTCTTGCAAGTTGGCATTCTTGTCCTATTCGCCAAAGAAACGCGCCCAAATCTCTGCGAAGGAGAATGGTCTTAGGCATAAACCTGCTGCCATTCACTTCCTGCTAACAGAGGTCATGTCTTTTGGCACGATCAATCCGCAGCCTCCGGCCGACGCTAGAAAGAGGATAATGCTCTGCAATTGGGCTATGTCTGTGATTGTTGCTCTCTGTGTCGATATCTCCTCAACGCAAGATTTCAAGGATGTTCCTTCCGACTTGGTTTCTGTGCGCAAGTTCGTCCTTGAAGCCATCAGCCGCACGATCAAGGACGTTCCGTCATCGGAGAACCCAGAAACACGATACAGCCGCCTTCTTGCTCTCGCCGATCTATGCTATCGGCTGCTGACAGTGCGCTTCAACACAAACCCTCGGAAAGCGAACGAAGAGATTCCCACACATATCGCTAAGATCATGCTGGAGAAAAACTTTGTCGCCACACTCACAAATGCCCTTGCTGAGGTGGATTTGAATTATCCAAACATCCGAGGCGTTGTCACGGCGATTTTGCGCCCTATTGAGTACCTGTAAGTCCGCTCACGCCAATCAGATCCTGTATTAACATACATTGCTTCTCAGGTCAAAGATCGCAATCAAGATGAGCCGTGTTTCGGAGAAAACGAAGGACATTTTGGATGAAAAGATGAACGACATAGAATCTGTCATATCCGAGGAAGAGGAGGAGGAAGAGGAGGAGGAAGAGACGAGCGAGCATGGGGGCGAAGAGACTCCCGACCTGTACCGCAATTCTGCACTTGGCTTGTAAGTGGTGATATGCCTCAGCAGAGTCTTCCTCTCACCGAGATGCTTTGGGTATTCTAGATTTGGCGGCGTGCGTTCCTTCACTGTTTGACCAAAGTTGCCTTTACTGACGCATCATGTAAACAGGAGATGGAAGACGTGAATTACGGGCCAGAGGGAGTGATGGACGAAGACGTTGATGAAGATGAGAACGATGTAGAGATGGATTTCGGCGATGAAACGGGAAGTGAGGATACTTCAGCCACGGAAGAAGATATCGAGAATGATCTGGATGATGATCTCGAGAATGAAAGCGGCGAATCTGAGGAAGGGTGGCAAGATGAAGAAGGAGAGGAAAGCGAGGATCTCGTAGAGAACAACGAAGGCGATATCGATGAGGAAGGCGATGAAGAGGAAGAAGACGAGGGAGAGGAGGTTCTCTGGCAGGTACGTCTGATTAGTAATCCCTACAATCTGGTGTTCATAGCCTTCCAAGGACATTGCTGCAGGCAATGACGGCGCCGGCGGAGCTGAGGAAGAGGCTGATGAAGATGAAGAGATTGGTGGTATGTACTCGTCAAACAATTGACTCTACATGGCCTCATTTTTCAAACCTCTCAGCAGAATCTGTGCCCATCATGCATATGGATATGGATGAAGAAGCGGAAATGGCATCGGAAGAAGACGAGTACGTTCTTTCGTTGGTGCAATTAATGTACACACTGAGCAGCTTCTTTAGATTCGGAGAAGGTATCGCAGATCAAGTGCCTACTGGGAGTAACATATTCGAGCTGGCAGCTGGGTTTGCTAACCCCTTGAGCGGAGGAGTGGTGAACACAATGGGAAGAGCAGCGCAACCTCTCTTCTGGGCTGGATCCATGCGTCATGGACGTCGCCGCCACTTAGGTGAGTTCTTATTATCTCATGCCGTCTGGCCTACTCAATTTGTTACAAAAGTGGATGACGACCTGGAAATTTTCGGACGACCTCGACCGACCAGCGGATCGGCCCCAGAGACACTTACTCATCCGCTGCTTGTCGATCCTGCCTCTACATCGACGCGCAGCTCGGTCGGGCATGCGCGAAATGCTCGACGCCTCCAGAGGAATCTCATGTTCGGTGGTCAACCTCACGATTTGCTGCAGACTATTGAAGACGCAATCGGCGAAGACGCTGTCCAATTCTTCCAGCATCTCATGTCTCATGGGCGTGGTGGTGCTGGAGAAACGATTCGGATTGATGTCCCAACTGGCCCACTGGGTGCTGCTCTTCAACGTAATGGTCGCGGAACCATATCTGCCTCGATACGACTTGAGAGGGCACCTCGACCAGGAGAGGCACGCTTGGATGGTCGCAATCTCGAACCCTTGCTCACCGTGCAGCGTTGGTTGGAAGAGGTGAAGATGCTTCATGGTAAATTCGAGCAGAGCAGACTTTCGAAATTGAGCAACCATGTTGCCCTAGCCCTGCTACCTGCCGCGGTCAAAGCCATAAACCAAGCAAAACTCGCAGAAGAAGCTCGCCAAAGGGAAGAACGAATAAGAGCAGAGCAGGCAGCGCTGGAGGAGAAGGAGGCAGCCGAAAGGGCCAGGTTGGAAGAAGAGGCAGCAAATCAGCAAGCCAATGCGCCTGTTGCAGCGGAAGGTGGGGATGGGGTCTCACAAGCAGTTCGAGAAGATGCAGACACGGAAATGATAGACGTCTCTGGGCCTCCTGATACGGCGGAACCTCGTCTCCCCGTCGATAGCGCCTCCGAGACGACGAATGAAGGAGTGGCTGAAGGAAGCTCGGCAGCTGCCGAACGCGTCACCGTCATGATTCACGGCAATCCAGTCGATATAACGGACACCGGCATCGACCCAACGTTCTTGGAAGCTCTGCCAGATGACATGCGGGAAGAGGTGATCAACCAGCACGTCCGTGATCAGCGCGCAGCTCGAGTCGAACGTCCTGCAGACTCTCAGATCAGCCCAGAATTCCTAGACGCTCTCCCTCCTGAGATCCGCGCTGAGATCCTTCAGCAGGAGAGTGTCGAGCGCGCTCGGCAAAGGCTGGAAAATGCCACCCAAGGGGGAGAGGGTGTTCCAGCTGATATAGACCCGGCCAGTTTCTTGGCCACTCTCGACCCTCAGTTGCGTCAACTCGTCTTGATGGATTCCGGCGATGCCTTCATACAAAGTCTACCTTCCCAACTACTTGCTGAGGCTGGGATCCAGCGAGAGAACCTGCTGCGAACATCGCGACCTCACGCAGCAGCTCGTAACGATAGCAATGTTACCTCACCGCCTCAGCAAGGCCAGAAGATGGTGGTGTCCCGCGATGCCATACAATTACTGGACAAGGCCTCCATTGCGACCCTTGTGCGCCTTCTCTTCTTCCCGAACACATTGAAGAAGAACCTACTCTACAAAGTGCTAGTCAACCTCTGCGAGAACTCGAAGACCCGTACGGACCTCTTTAATTTGCTCCTCAATATTCTTCAAGATGGCTCAGGTGATCTTGCGTCCATCGACAAGAGTTTTGCGCAGATGTCGTTCCGCACCCCCAAGCAACCTAATCAACAGACGCCGAAAGCAGTGGGGAAACAACGGATTCCATCTGACTACTTTGGAAGTCTTGTGTTGCCCCAAACTGACTTAGTTCCTGAGCTCGTTGTACAGCGTTGTCTAGAGGCATTGACCTATATCGTCAGCGCGAATGAGTTGTCGTCCTTGTTCTTCCTCACAGAGCACGAACTACCCATAGGGCTCAGGCGTAATGCATCAAAGAAGGGGAAGGGCAAGGAGAAGCAAGTATCGCAGAGTCATTACCCGGTGGTCTTACTCCTGAGCTTGCTGGATCGGCCATCCATTTTGAAGACGCCCTCCATCGTGGAGTCTGTTGTGACATTACTGGCAACGGTGACGCGCCCGCTTGCAAGTCTGAAGGATTTCAGCAAGAAAACAGCTGGTGACATGGCAAATGTCACTGCTGAGACATCTAACGAGCAACCCGCCCAAGGTACATCTGAAGCGCCCGCTGCACCTCCTGCAGAGTGTGAGTTGACTTCAGTTCACATTACGTCCTATCTCATATTTTCTCTCTCTCAGCTTCTGCACCACCTGAAGGCACCCAAAATGACGCGGGTCAAGCAAAACCAGCCCGTCCTGAGGAGAAAGTCCTGTTGACTCAACCGCCTGTCATCCCGCACACAGTCATGCGCTTCATCGTGAACATTCTGACCGCAGGGGAGTGCTCTGGACGGACATTCTCTCAGAGTCTGGCACTCATTCAGCACCTATCCTTTGTGCCCGACGCGAGGGACGTGATTGCTAATGAATTGCGTTCGAGAGCGCAGGAGTTCGGCCACAGCCTCTACACTGCCTTAGATGAGCTTGCCACAGCACTTCGCGAATCTCAGGGAGATGTTCTAGCAGGTTCAATCACCTCAAAATTCTCGCCAGCTTCGTCCGATCAAGCAAAGCTGCTCCGCGTGCTCAAAACTATTGACTACATGTATTCGCCGAAAGCAACCCCGTTGAGCACAGCCAGTGACGCAGACGTCGAGAAAGTCCAGGCGATCTACGAGTCGTTCAAGTTCGCGCCTCTATGGCAGCGACTAGGAGACTGTCTTGCCATCATCGAGGAGAAGCCAGAAATGGAGCACATCGCGACTGTCCTGCTGCCTCTGATCGAATCACTGATGGTAGTGTGCAAGTACGTGGGTGCAAAAGCTACGAATGGCGGCACTGCACGCCTATTGCGCGCCTCTGTTTCTCCGAGATCACCTACAACGACACGCGAGTCAATGGAGGACCTCTTCGTCTCGTTCACCGATGCTCATCGCAAGGTCCTGAACCTCATGGTCCGAAACAACCCATCATTGATGAGCGGGTCCTTCTCCTTGCTGGTCAACAATCCTCGCGTCTTGGACTTCGACAACAAGCGGAATTACTTCAACCAGCAACTGCACCGGCGCCCCCACTCACGCGAGCACCATGGTACTCTGCAGTTGAACGTCCGGCGGCCGCGCGTTTTTGAGGATAGCTTCCAATATTTGCAGAGGAAAACTGGAGAACAGATCAAGTATGGCAAGCTCAGCGTGCGCTTTTACGACGAGGAGGGTGTCGATGCTGGCGGAGTGACTCGAGAATGGTTCCAGATCCTCGCCCGACAGATGTTTGATCCCAATTATGCGCTTTTCCAGCCTTGCGCGGCGGACAGGCTCACCTACCAGCCCAACAAGGCTTCGTGGGTCAACCCCGAGCATCTATCATTCTTCAAGTTTGTCGGACGCGTCATCGGCAAGGCGATCTACGACGGCCGGCTGCTCGATGCGTACTTCGCCCGCAGTCTGTACAGGCAGATCCTTGGAAAGCCCGTGGATTACAAGGATGTCGAGTGGGTCGATCCAGAGTACTACAATTCGCTGTGCTGGATCCTCGATAATGATCCGAGCGCGTTGGAGCTGACCTTCAGTGTCGAGGCGGATGAGGTCTGTTATGATATTGTCTTTATGTGGATTTGAACTGACGTCCTCTGCAGTTCGGTGTCATGAAAATCGTCGACTTGAAGGAGAATGGTCGTACCATACCTGTCACGCAGGAGAACAAGCGCGAGTTCGTCCAGCTGTCTGCTCAATATCGGCTGTACTCGTCGATCAAGGAACAGATCGAGGCACTGCTCGCCGGGTTCTATGAGATCATTCCCAAAGACCTCATCTCGATCGTACGTTCTGACCGTTCTCATGTCCTTGGAAATTAATTGAGCTTTTCAATTGAACAGTTCAATGAGCAAGAGTTGGAGCTACTGATCTCCGGAACACCTGACATCGACGTCGACGAATGGCGCGCGGCCACTGAGTACAACGGATACACAAGCTCTGACCCTGTCATTGTATGGTGGTGGCGTGCGTTGAAGTCGTTCAACCGGGAAGAGCGGGCCAAGGTCCTCAGCTTTGCCACGGGTACCTCTCGAGTACCCCTTGGGGGTTTCACAGAATTGCAGGGCGTCCAGGGCGTTCAGAGATTCTCCATCCACCGCGCGTACGGCGACACGGACAGGCTACCGCAAGCACATACATGTGAGTCAACTCTGTCGCGTATGCGTCTGGCGGCCTCTAATAGATCGACCAATGATAGGTTTCAACCAGATCGATCTACCGCAATACTCGTCGTATGAGATGCTCCGCCAGCAGCTGCTGCTCGCGATCATTGAAGGCGCAGAGGGGTTCGGTTTCGCATGACACATCTGCTTATTGCAGTTACGGAAGGACGCGGCACGGCATTTGTAGAAACAACGACATACATCATGTACATTACGATACATTACACTTCATTTTACTGCGCATGAACGATTTTGGCCACGCGGTTCGAGAACTTGGCTCGGAGAAACGAACTGCGGACGATTGAGTTTTCGGGTGTGGGGTAAAGAAAAACTGATTTTCGGAATGCAACGGAACCAAGTGCACGCGTGGTCTCCTAGTGTGCCATATTTGGCAGGTCCATGACCGGTTGTGGCAAGCGCTTAGGACATCGGACAACAGTTTTGTGGCCGAACTCAAACTATTTTGTGATCGGAGATGCTTTCGCCCGACCCGGCGCTTCTGCTTATTACCCTGCAGTCTCGAGCCTCTCCGTTAGTCTCCGCATTCATCCGACCCTCTGCAGCTAGGCTGTTTGGCCGGGGGACTGTGGCCACACAACACCTGGCGAACCCGCGCACGGGCGAATATCCGAATGGTGACGTTTGCCTCATGTATTCTTCCTTTCCCAAGGAAGATTTTTAGATGCTGGGAATCCGAAGCTGTTGTCGCTAAGGGCTAGGATGATTACCCTGCCATGTAATGTTCCTATCCTTATCTAGAGCTGCCACTGGTCGACGACTCTGATGGCAGTTTCATGCGGTTCACAGCCCGGAGCCGGCGCCCTTCGTATCGCTCTGTCAGTGGCGCGAGTACCTGTCTCCTGAGGTCCTGGAAGTGTGGTGTGCTCAGTGTACCTGGTGATGAGATCCACCGCAACCGTCAAATCTCGTAGACGCTAAGCTCGTATTCTCCGATCAGGTATCGCGCGTTCGCTCGCTTTGCGTTGATCTGCGAACGTGAGTGCGAAAAGAAAAGCAAACGCGCCAAGATAAAACGGCATTCGAGACAATGTGTCTGAGGTATGACGGAAGACACCGCCAGCATAACCTGTTCGACCGCACAAGTATAGAACAGCCACTAGCTGACACTTGATATGACTGCGAATGCAGTGCCTAGTCCCTTATCTTGGCAGCTATCGAGCATTCTTCGGCCTAAGTCATCGGGCAGGGGCCTGCATCTGATTTATCACGGAGAAGCCATGTGGTATGAAATACATAGACAATGGAACCCTCATAATCACTCTTCGCGATATCTCGAGCCACTCCATGCCATGACCAATTTCCCCATTACCGAAGGGCAGCTTCTCTCGCTCTTTCTGCAGAGCATCGGCTACGGTGTACACGCAGTGACCTATGTGATCTGCGTATGGGCTTTGGTGGGTTCGGCGAGAGGGAAAGGGAGGGGCGTGAACTGGCTCTTTCTTGGCATCGCCACTGCGCTTTTCGTGGTAGGGACGCTGGATGTGTCCTTCAATTTTTACCATGTCCTCAAGGCGTTCATCTTCTACAAACAAGGGGCCACGGCAGAATTTGAGCGAATGTCCGAGTGGGTCAATGTCCTCAGGGTGAGTCGGAACTCTGCGAATATGAGTCACACGACCTAACTGATGAGGGCATAGAGTGTGTTCAACTTCGTACAGACATTAATTGCAGATGCTGCAGTGGTATATTCAGTCTTTTATTGACTTGGATTCTGTTGAAATACCTTCTTTCGGTAGATCTACCGATGCTGGATAGTTTACTACCGACATTGGGGTGTCATTGCTCTACCGGCTCTCATCTGGCTCGCAGACGCTGCGGTTGTCATCGGGGAGGTATACTACACAGCCACCGACAAAGCAAGCACTTCCGTGGCTAATGCATCCCAAGTGGCGCCGTTCCTCTATTCATATCTGGCCTTGACTCTCGCCGACTGTGTGTTGACTACCGGTGCGTATGCGTATTTGAGTGCCAGCCTTCGTGACTGAGAAAGTCTTCCACATGCAGGGTTGATCGTATACCGTCTGTGGTGGTTCCAACGGCGGTCCTCTCAGCGCCTTGTCAACTCGAAGCGAGCGTCCACGGGTCCGACGACGCTCACCAAGGTCAATCGCATCATCATCGAGTCGGCACTGATCTACACGATATTGGTGGCGCTCACTATGATCGTCGAATTGGTGCATAGCAATGCTGTCTACGCGGTCTCGTCTCTGGTGTGGCTTGCTTTCGTTCTCGGACGGCGCATCATGATGCTGACTTGTGTGCGCAGCTGGTGGAGGTCGCCGGCATTCAGTTCGACGTGATCATCATCCGCGTCATTCAAGGGATCACTGGGGAGCAATCCCAGCGAGCGGCGGATTTCACGCATGTAGAGCTCCGCACGAGGACGGATGTGGGAGGGAACTGTGCGAGCGGCCCGAAGACAGTGCGGTCCGGCGAGGAGGTCAGTCTCTCGGACCTGGAGTCCTCGATTAGTGGGGTCAAGCCTGCTAATGCCAGTGGCATCATGCTGACTCAAGTGGTCGAGAGACATGAGCGGTAGGGGGTCTTGGTACAGTCGTTCGTTTTCTTCTCGGCTAAAATGTGGTGCTTGTCGCTCGTTGTTGTGCTTGGATGTACACATTGTACTTGGTGTGCATTCTAACGGTCGTCTGTATGCTACTAGAGCTCTGTTGGTCGACTGTTTCAGTAGATATAATGTTGCGCAGTGGAAGGATATAGAAAGATCTGGAATACATGTAACGCACCGTCAGTTCGAAGTTGTGATATGCGTGGGCTGAAACACGTGAAATCTGCTTCCATCTAAAAGATAAGATGTTCATCGTGGGGAGCATGCTTGCCCTTGTGACGCTGATGTGCGATGCGCAAGATCATGAGTGGACAATCTCCCTCTGCTCCTCACCACCATGCGTGCTCTTGTAGTCAGAGAATTCGCCCACCCGTCCAAGATCCCGCTCACCCTCGACGCCCCCGAGCCCAAAGCTGGCGAGGATGAAGTGATCGTTGAAGTGTTCAGCGCCGGCCTGAACTTCTACGACGTCAGCGCCTCATGACTCTGTCCCTCCACACTCGTCCGACTGACACGGCACACTTGGTAGATCCTGCAATGTCAGGGAAAGTATCAGCACCTGCCGCCGTTCCCCTTCGTGCTCGGCACCGAGTTCGCGGGGAGGGTAGCCAAGGACTCGCCCATTCCCAAAGGCTGTCCGTTCAAGCCCGGAGATAGGGTGTTTGGCGGTGTGCAGGGAGCGTACGCGGAGAGGGTCGCTGCGAAGTGGAAGCTGCTCCTCCCTCTCCCTGCGAATATGTCCTACGATCAAGGCGCAGGTGAGCGACCGAGCAATTGGCCTGAAGCATCTCGGGCAGAGGACGTCGCATCCGTTCATACGTCTGCTAGGGTTGTTCGTCACTTGGCCGACGAGTTACGAAGCGTTAGTCGGACGTGCGGAACTGAAGCCAGGTAGGTCGGCAGTGATTGGTGTTGGTCCGCCCAGATGATAACATGCATTCTCTCTCTTCAGGCGAGTGGGTTCTCGTCACTGCATCTGCAGGAGGCGTTGGTATTGCTGCAGTGCAGCTGGCGAAAGGCAGGTTCAATCACATTAGGAAACGACCTGTGACGCTGATCATCCTCAGCTCTCGGAGCAAAGGTCATCGCAGCAGCCGGATCGCAAGAGAAGCTGGATGTCTCCCTGCGCTATGGTGGCGCTGACCATGCGATCGACTACACCAAACCGAACTGGCAGCAGGAAGTACTGAAGATCACGGGAGGGAAGGGTGTCGACGTTATTTACGACCCCGTGGGACTCATCAAAGGCAGGATTACACGGATATCTGGCTGCCCGGATTAGAATCGCTGACTGCTGTATGTCCAGACTCGCTGAAGTGCATTGCGTGGAAAGGCCGGGCTCTCGTCGTCGGCTTTGCGGCAGGCAAGATCGAGCAGGTTGGTACCATATATCCACGAAGTGGCTCGCGTTTGACCTGTGACGCTCCAGCTGCCGCTCAATCTTGTCCTGCTCAAGAACATATCTATCGTTGGCATTCACTGGGGCGCTTACGCGAGTACGTAGAAAGATGTCTCGCAGATATTACGATCCTGACACGTTATATAGTCAAGGAGCCAAAACGCGTTCCGGAAGTCTATGGCGCCCTCATCAAGTAAGTCTTCATCTGCTCTCGTGTGATCGTGCAATTGTTCAATGCAGCAATATTATTCATGCAGTCTCTTATCCTCTGGACGCGTCACACCTGTCGTGTACACCGAAGTGTTCCCATTGGAGAGGCTTGCCGATGGCCTCGTGGCTATCGAGCAACGTAAGACATGGGGGAAGGTCATTACACGTATTAGAGAGGACGATATGACATGGAAAGCGAAGCTTTAGTGAATAACACCAGTGCTCCATATTCAGAATCCGACCATCGTTACTTATATCTTTAAAAATGCGGGCCTTAAATTCTTCATAGCAACATGGCGCAGCTGGAAGCGCGCGGGGCTCATAACCCCGAGGTCACTCGATCGAAACGAGTTGTTGCTAGTTGCCTTTTTGTCCCTTTGCTTGTGTTGCTCACTACAACCTCACGTTCAGAGAACAAATATTGTAGTGATGTTTTTATACCGGGCAAGTCTAGGTGGACAGCTAGCAGGCCTGTCTCACAAAGGTGAATCACTGGAACGCATGCGTTCCGTCTTGCAACAGGCCTACACATACATTCACCCAGCCATCAGCACCTGCCATGCACGCACCTAGCCACGCCATCTCCGCATCTGGTGGAGCAAGTACCCCTTGGATGAGGGCAAAGGCAAGGGGGTTTCGATCTGGAGGGAAGAGGGGCGGCAAATGTGTCGTGAGGAAGCGTGAAAGTGTATGCGTTGAACCTGTCAGATCGTATGAGCGTTATGGTTGAACATGCTGCATAACAGGTGACGAGGTGTGAAGGGGGGCGCTAGTTATAGCACGACTTACCGTCGTCAAGCATGGGCGCCACAAGGTCCTGCAGAACCAATCCATCTGGCAGGTATATGCGGACAGGCACGCTGCGCACATTGTAGGCATCATCCCGATCTGGGGCTCCGTTTGACCCAGGGTCTGCTGACGGTGGCCTGGTGTGCATAGAGGTGGACGACGTTGGAGGCGGGGATGATGGTCGCACGGGAGAAGTTGTCGGCGTTATCTTAGATGCGACGCGCCAGTACTCTTCAAACTTGTCTGCGGAACATGCGGTGTGAAGGGTTGGTACTTCACAGGAGAGACCGAATCAGCGAGAGTAACTCACGTTCCTTGATCCCCTCCCACAGTCCATCCTGCTCTGCCTTCCGTAGACCTGTCATCCGTTTGGTGTTTCCCCATCTGATAAAGTCTGCTTCTTTAAGTTGGCCCATGAATGCTTGCTTGCATGCTTCCGCACTCGAAGCTAAGAATAGCTTGTCCGTAGGCGGAGAAGCGAGATGGAGAATTAGCCGAAGAGGCATGGACTGGTTCGGAGACGCATTCGCGCGATTGTTGATTACATGGTAGTCGTAAATGAGACCAACGGGCCAGTGCCTTCAGGGACATGAACAATTGCACAACAGAGGCAGAGCGGATGCGTATACGATTTCCTCTCACCAGATACTCACCACTTAAGCAAGTTGCCCTCCTTGCTCTCAAACCACCAATCTTCCTCCTTCACAACGCGCCCGGCGGCCTCATCGAAAACGATGTCCATCAGGAAACGCTTGAGCTCTGGAACAAGAAGCGGGAGGTAGCTGACACGGGGCGCCTGTACATAGTAGCATTCGAGTCCGCGTTCGCTGTTGGCGGGCAGCTCCTTTGCATCTACGCGGATCTCGAGCGGGACAGTGCCCTCCCATATCAGTCTGCGGAAGAGGGTGGTCGACGCTGGCATCGAAAACGCAGAGGGTGCATGGCGGGGAGAGAAGTTGGACATCGTCGTGGCCGGTGGTGGCAAGTGCTTTGCATGCGCGCCGGGACGGGCCACGTGGGGGCGACGCTCACCGGCTGCCCAATCGGGAACAGCGTTAGCTCTCAGCCTCATGGCATGACGCGTAGTGTCACGCGACCATGAGGCAACATTTCCTGACGTAATTTTAGGAGCGCGCTCCGGTACTTAAGCTCCTCCGCACTGCGCGATCAAATAAGTCCCCTCCGCCCCTCGTCTCTCCAGCTCCCAACGCGGGACGCCAAAATGCCTTCCAACAGCTCCTGGAACGATCTGGCCCTGCAAGTCAGTGATACCACCCAGTGTTCCGCATGAGAGGGCTCATTATTGTGGACAGATCACCAATGTTATTGTCTACATACTGTTCCTAGGGTCGAATATCTACACTGTCGCTGGACCTACGGACATCTATTACTCGGGAAAGAACACGTACATCACCCCTGCGCCGTGGGCGTTCCTCATTTGGTGAGTGATGTGCAGATTCTGGGTGTTTCGTTCTCATGCTCTTACCAGGTCTCTCATTCACTTGCTCCTCTTCGGAACGATCATCTACCAGTTCTTCCCTGGAGGCAAGAAGGCCATCATCGATGGCGTCTCTTGGCGTTTCCCCCTCCTCGGTGTCTTGAACGCCATCTACATTAGCGTCTGGGCGCACCACCATTACATCGTCGGTTAGTTACCCATCAATCTAGTTTAGCCATGGATTCACCGTATGTCGTTCTTAGCATTTGTCTTTGCGCTGTTTGTGAGCTCGGCTGTGACAGTAAGCGTTCCTACTTCTCTCATTAGTACTTCACATCACCTAATGCCCTTCTGCAGCACATCTACTACATCATCAAGAAGTATCACGAGCCGCAGAACATTCCGGATGAACTCTTCGTTCATCTGCCTTTCTCTCTGTACCACGGATGGACCACTTTGCTCGTGGTCCTGACTGCATTTGAGGCCTTCGGTGTGGACGCTGACACTCATCCTGCCGGTCTGTGGACGAAGGTTTTCGTCTTCCTTGGATTGTACGTAGTGCCGAGGCTTCTCTATGTTCATCGCTTAGCATGTTATGTTTACAGGCTCTTCCTCGAGGCCACGGCTGCTACCTACGCGTTCTCCTCCCCCGAGGGAGACCTGCCGGCCAGCATTGCGATCGCCTGGTCGCTCTGGGCCATCTTTGCTCAGCAACGCTCTCCCGCGTTTATTCACTGGTCTGCCCTCGCATTCTCCATCCTTGCCTGTGTATGGGTAGGCAAGGCCGTGGTCGGATCCTTCCTCAAGTTGCGCAGAGGGAGCGGAGGCATCTCTTTGGACGAGGAGCGGGCGCCGCTGATCGGACACTGAGATAACTGTGAGGTCTAGGCAAAGAACGTTGATGGTTGATATGGCTTCCGATGCGTGATACATGATGTTTGGCATGAACATGCGTAGTGCTCATGCATTGTACTATTCCGGTTGATTTTCAGGTACCCCATTGTTGTCTCGCCGTATTGTGTCTGAGCTGTACTTGGCCGCGTTGTCGTCTATTAAATGTATGGTCTTGCGGAGAATCGCAATGCAACGGGTGTTGCATCATGATAGTGGTTCCGGTCATGCTTGACCGCGGCTGAAACCACACCGCTCCGGAGAGAAGCGGCAACTTTGCGCGGCCTCTAGCTGCTGCATTTATCGACGCGCCTCTAGATCTGTGATCAATCAAACACTGCGCTATGACTTGGCTGTTTCAGATGTACCGACATTCAACAAAAACGTTGTTTGGCATGCTTGCTCAAACTGTCTGCTTCTGCACCCTACTATTGGAGGACTTCATTGCGACGCGAAAGGCTATACTACCGCAAGGATGGAGAATCATAACGAGTTCCCTCCATACAATTGCAAGATCGTCCGCTTACATGGTTAAGCCTCTGTTCAGACGAGGGGACCAAGATGTGCTGAATCTGCTCTTCAGAGGCTCCATGCAGTGGGCTGGTGTCTTCTTAACTTTAGCAGGTGCCGAGTCCCACATGTGGCCAGACACCGTATCAAAGCGCTATGGCTAGTCCACGCCCGATTCTCTTCCATTTCCCTCTAGTGCCCTCTGTCGCGTTCTTTGGTCTTCGGTCTTCGTATCTCTCATCTTTGGTGTCACAGATTTCCGTCCCGTTCTTGATAATGTCTTACGACATCTACATGTGATGGGATGCAAATATGGCCAGATATTCTGAGGATATGTTCTCTTTTCTCTGACTCTACCGCCCACGCAGCACTGGTCGGAGCTGTTTCCTGCTTCTATAGCTGCCGTACTCATTGCACTACTGTTCTATGGCGACGTTTAGGTCCTCGCAGATGAAATGATCTTCCTGTAGTGCGCACCAGCTTCCCTTGCAAAACACACGTGAGCGTTCAGCCGACATGTCGTCCTGCACACTCATTGCTGTGGCATGATACAGCCTGTGCTATGGACTCTCCCTTATTCTGTTACTGATGTTGACTATATGCGTCCTCAAACTCGGTGAGCGAACTCACCTCCCTTGCTCTTACGTGATGTTGAACCGTTGTACAAAGGATACCTCGGGCAGTTGTGTGTACTGGATGAGGCAGTGGTCAAACCGAATGAAGCTGCAATCAGCTCCTCTTCACTGTATCATGAAATCAAAATCTTTCTCGGGAATGGTAGATACGCTTATGCAGTTATGCGCTGTGATGTTGTGATGTTGTGGGACCGTTGTCCGGTACGCCTGAACCACTGTATTGGTGAAGCGTTGCTGCATACTGACAAAAGAAAAGGTGGCATTGAAAGCCAATGCGGTCATGATCGTGGCCAGGCTCACTGCACAGATCATCGCGATGGTGCTCTCCTTCATTCGTGTCATTCGTGAGCGTATTCGCCATCGTACGCATGCTTATGTGGCTTCTCACACCTATCAGCGAGCGTGGTATGGTGTTCGATAACTCGCATGTGCGTGGCATCGATTGTGTCGTGGGGAGCACCAATGAAACTGTTCATCAAGATTGCGGCGTATCTTGTTACTGATGATCGCAGGCGCTATTTAGGATCGTGGCTCTCGCATCTATCGTCGTCAATTCTCCCGATCGACCGATGTCTGCTCAGATGCCGATAACCACAGCTCTGTACAAGACGGCATCTGTGCTTTCGTAGAGAGCATTGCCGATGTTTCAACAAGAAAAAGGTACTGAACCCAGCTGCGCTACGATGTTATGTCCTGCTTTCGCGGGCGAAATTGTCACTTGCTGCTATATCGCATCCGTCTCCTACAAATATTGGAGTTTTACTGAGTCATTTACCACTCAGGCTGCGATCTCACTCAGACTAATGCCAACTCAAATTCTGTATGTGCAGTGGCCAAAGCGTTCTCAATCGACCTTTCTTGCGTCTTCGTCGAGCGGACACGACTTTCCATCGGGATCGATTCCTGCCACTGCGTTCCGAGTCTCCATTCGCTCTTTTCGCTTGAGGAGCGGCGAGCGTCAATCTTACGATCAGCATGCTTTTGACTGATGGCAAGGATATAGAGGAGTTCTGGCCATCGAATCCGACGGCTTCTTGCTGATAAAGTAATGATCGACAATGTGGAAGCTGCTTTTCCACCTGCTGAGCAACAACAGCTGATGATGTGATAGTTTCAGATGAGCGTCCGGCTGTTCTTCAAGCTGTGTCATCGCCATCCCTCGGCGACGCTCCTCGTGTGACGATCAAAGCCGGTGAATTTCGCAGGCCAAAGCCCTATTGGTATCGTCCGCGCGATTTTTTTTTGTCTCCCCGGGCGAATTCCATGTCCCGTTTCGCGAGCGGTGCGCAGTACCATCGTCGCTAATGGGGAAAGCCACCTTCCTAATCGAGTATCACCATCACTGCCACCGAGGCGGCGCGCATATCAACCAGGAACATTGAAACGCGTACTGCGCTCTCAGTTGTATCATCCGCATCAGAGAATGATACTCCGCCAACACCGGGCACCTGTACTTAAGCACATCGTGCAGCGACGTGTGGCCCTTCCCGGCACCCCACTTGTTGGCTCCGCTTTCGTTCTTCCCTTCTTCATTTCTTCGCTTGGGAGCTGGCCCTTCCTCTGCGTTCTTGTCAGGTTCAGGTTCACCTGACTTTACGGCTTTAACGACTATCAATACTCAGCTCGTAATTCGTGTTCCCGTGGATTTTGATTGAACGTCGTCAGAATGTCCGGCATTGCAATAGTTCAAGCAATCCCTGGCGGGAACGATTATTTATTGGAGGACGTTGATTACACATCGGGGGACACTCGAGGAGTAGTTGTACGTGTGGTTAGCGAGACGTGGTACGACTCGGTTGCTCAAAGTTTGACTGCAGGTCTCAGTTGTCGTTTCCTGGTTCTCTGGTGCGGCAGTGGTCGGATTGCTCGTTGCTCTTGCTGTGAGTTCACTTGAGTCCTGGCATTACTCCTTCCCCTAACAATCTTGCAGATTTCAGCATGGAACACTCGGAAGTCGGTAAATCCTCATTTGTTTGTACGAAGCCACGTCGCTGCGTACTTCGTATCGCTTCTGTTGTGTGACCTCCTGCAAGGTGTGTTCATACGCTGTCGCAATGCAGAGGCAAGAACGTAATGTTTGGCAGCTTTCGGGTCCATCCTCAATATGAGATGGGTAGCCAATGGGGAAATCATCGCTGGCCATTATTGCACCTTTCAGGGTTGGTATTGTGGTATGATGCACGAGAACCTTTGTTCTGAACGTCGCCTTTTCAGGCTTCATCAAGCAGAGTGCGGATGTATCCACGGCAATTTGGTGAGTGTGATGTATCGTTCTCTTCCCTAGGTGAAACCAACGATATTCCTTAGGTCTTTCGTGAGTCTCGTACCTTCTTGGACTTTATATGACTTATCAATGGACATGCAGCTCATTGCTTTACATACATTCCTAGTAGTCTTCCTGCGATGGAACATGCCGAGGCGTAGTCTCTATGCGATGTTTTTTGGCGGCTGGGGATTCGTCCTTTTGATCATCATCATTGGACCCGCTAGCTACAGGAAGGAGTGGGGCCCCTTCTGTGAGCACCGAAATCAATCATGAAACCATCGTTCTCTTATCGCGTTCTGCAGATGGAATTGCTGGCTATTGGTGTTGGATCTCGAGCAACTATGATACGGACCGTCTCGTGTATGTCATCTAAGTCTTATCCTTTGCCATCACTAACTCTGCGAACTCGATGATAGATTGGACTACTTGTGGGTGCGTGTTTAGATGCCAGTCTTTTGACGGTCAAGAATCTTAACTTGTCCATTCAGCTGTTTGTATCTGCAGCCCTGACGTTTATCCTGTATATTCTGGTCTATCTCAATCTACGCGGAAATGTCACGACTAGCGGCATAGTACTCCACCGCGATTCGATGGTGGTCAGAACTGTTCATACGCAGGTTGTTGCTCTGGCGAAGCAAATGCTCATGTGAGTGTTAATCCAACAATCATTTATGCTCGTGATTCTAAATAATACGATAGATATCCGGTATGTGCGCGCTCTTGCATACTGTAGTGCCGCTAATCTGGCAACTAGGTTGCATACACCATCCTTATCCTTCCGATCACCATTTGTCGATTCGTGGAATGGTCGGGTTACGGCGTATCCGAGTCTGTCAGCGCTTTTGCGTGAGTACACTCATTAAGTCTATTGGAGTCTGCGCTGATATCGCCTTCAAAAGTGACTCGGTGTTCCTCATGCAAGGTACGACATTGCATGTGTAAACTACACATTAGCTCACATCCATTTCAGGGCTGGTCGACGTTATCCTGTTCTTGGTAACGCGACGTGTTCTCCCCGATCACAGCGTGTTGCCAAGGTCCGTCAGCATCAAGTTCTGGTGCAGAAAAACTGGGTCCTCCGCAGTGGTGACCAACGCTTCCAGGGGTTTCGTAATCGACCCCGATCTTGAGAAAGGAAATGCAGACAATTCAGAGGAAGAGAAGCGCGATGGTATCTTCAAGAGAGCTGATAGCCCCGATGCAAACTCGGAACTCTCGCATGACCATTCAGTCACGATCAGGGTGCAGTCAATGGTGGTGGATCGCATCTACATGCAACCTGGTGTATATGAACATCCTCGCACACCTCCCCGGATGACGCCTCAGACTGCCGGCCAAATGGAGGATGTCTCGCTGGACAGTGCCAAAGCCGTTAGAGCAAGCAATAGAGACAGCGATTACTACGCCAAAGATCTCCCCCCGCTTCCTAACTCCGCGTATACTCCTCGAGGCACCGTTAGGAGCTACTATGCCGAGAATCCGGCTCCCACGCACAGTCCCCGCCCCAACATGGAATGTGGCGAAATGTCCCGGGCCAGTAGTCCAACGCTCAGCCCACAAGCAGACCGGTATGTCCAGGACACGAGTCATGCTGGCAGCCCGCTGCGCAGTGCCAGAAGTCCGCGAAACTATGGGACTGTCTCACCAGCACCCGCGTACACTCCTAGGCGGACCATGACCGAGGATGCTCGCCCAGACAATTACTACGCGGAGCACTCGCCGAGTCACACTCCTCCGCACACGGCGCATTCAGATGGCAGTGAGAGGTACAGTGCTACTGAGAGCAGCCACTACACCAGTGATGAGGAGGACCATCATGATCCTGTGCACAGCCCAATGTTCATTCCCCGCACTGCACCCCGCCCTCTGTACCTCGGCACGCCCCGCAGCGCGACCTTCCCCACCACGAGGCCACCTCAAGGCAGTGCACGTACTGCTAACTTCCCATTGAGCGCCAGATTGCCCCCATCCGGTGGTAACTGGTTCTGAAGGGCAACGACAACACGAGTCTTTCTCTCATTTAGGACTGTTGACGAGACTTTATCACCTTGACGGTGTGCTTACTTTCGTTTTTCGGACTCTTGTATTAGCATCACGATAAAACTTATGCGGCTCTCGAGCCATACATGACATACTAGTGCAGTATAGACTACTGTTGATCTGTCTTAATGCAATGGACACCACGCGGCAGCTTGAAGCAGCCCATGACTATGTATAGCTCTGTATTCACCAACCTTGGTCTGCATTGTCCACTTGAAGCCTCTTTCAGTTCTCCAATTTATTCTAAGTGTGTAGGAGATCTACCTGATCTAGTATGAAACTGGAATCGGGAATCAGAGTAGCACGGAAGGTGCAACGTGCCAGAATGCTGGACTTCCAGAGTGAGACGTGGAACGGAACAACACTACGAGGTACAGGCCGTGAGCATCTAACCGCAACCTTGAGCCCAGCCTGCCGCTAGTCCATCATGTCACGAATATTGAGCCTTTCGCGCACAAAAGCAATCCAATCCAAAGATGAAAAAATCGACACCACTGGGATTTGAACCCAGGCTCCCAAAGGGAAACAGATAACCGAATTCATTCGAATCTGTCGCCGTAACCACTTGGCTATAGTGCCTTAGCCATCAGGGCTGGCTTAATTATAATTGAGCGCTACAGCACATTTTAGTACTACTTTTTGAACCCATTCCTAGACATCGGCGGAATGAAGTTATCAGGTACCGAGCTCAACGGCCAAGCAAGATAAGAGTTCATGTATACACCGCCTCTATATTTCACTCGAGAAGCGCCGGCAGTTGCCGGCAGCAGACCTTGCGACTGTAGGCGACGGGTGGTAGCGATCAATGTGGATAAGAATTTTCGGTTGGATGGAGCGGAAGAGATGCTCGTCATAAGTATGCGGAATAGGTGATGTAGTGTAGAAAGAATGAATTTCTTTTAGGACACGGAAAAATGCGAGGTGGAGCATACATTGGAGTACACTAAGGGCGAGAAAAAAAAATCAATAACGAGACCGACTAGTGGCGAAGGATCAAGAGACGATGGCGTGGTGGATGACGCTGAATAACGAGACAAAGGACGTGTAAGGCAGGAGTGTATGCGGTACATAGTATATAATATAATTCTTCCACACCATCAGGTGGGCAGAAAATAACAATCTACGACAAGTATAGTAAGTAGAAGACATCTGCGACTACACATAACGCACGGAGGACAACATCCGCGTTATTATGCCATCGATGTCTCGCAGCGGAGACATCGATGGCATAATAAACAAAGTGGTACGGGCACAGCGTCTAAACGAAAACGGTAAGCGATAGAATGACGTCGAAGGAGACAACAAGGCCAAAGTTGCCTGCGCCGAAATCACGTCACAATTGTGCCCCGGGAGAAACCTTGCAGTCGCAAGGTAATTGTACATGAATCATACTGTCGTATCATCGCAGTAGAGTGATTCAGTGCAAGTAGTACAAATCGGTGTTAAAGCGTATCATAGCGTGGAAGTCACACATCGTAAAGAGCGAGGTCGTAGAGACCTGACTATGCGTAGGGGGTGTTCTGGTGCATTCATGAATATTAGCTAGGTTCGGCGTGGTCGGACGTCACGTACCATTTGCGAATAAGGCATTTCTTAGTTGGACTGTGGGCCGGACTGTCTTGAGCACGGTGCTTAAGAGGTGAAGCCAGGAGGCTGACCGGCTGGTCGATGATATTTAACTCGACGATGTCCATGCTGAACGAGAGCGAGCTGTCAATTTTCCATCGCGATATAATTACGATCGCTTTGACGAGTGCCCCTTTTAACGCGTCTTCGTACTTATCGGGCTGGACAAGATGATCATGCTTGTCATATGCCGGCAGGAGACGGGGGCGCCAAATACCGAGTCTAGAAAGCTTGTCTCTGGCCGCGAGAGCATCAGCTATAACACAGCCAATTGTCGATGTTGAAGCCTGCAAGTAATGAAGCAAGATGACATTATAGATGACATTATAGTGAAACAAAGGGACACAGAAGTCCTCAACTCACGTTCGTTGTACTGCCGTTCATCAGTCCGATCGACGCGCTGTGAAAACGTTCCGCATGTTAGCCAACCAGTCATCAGCTATAATAATGCACGCACCTCGAAGATTTTGTGTCAGATTTTGATGCGGTCTTCGACGTCGAGCATGTGGCCATTAACCGTCCAACATTTCTTGTCCTCCTTCGAGCGCCTCTCTATTGTACGAAGTGTCTCGCGAGCCTTCATATATAGTGATTTAAGTTCGTTGAGGGAAGGAGGGGCGACGCAGGCAGATGCAGAATGGTTTTCAAATCCCTTGTTCTTATCACCGAGTTTGGAATTCCATTTACCGCACGGTCCACAATGAGCAATTGCTGATGGAAGATGAGAGACTGGCTAAATTGGACCGAGAAACGACGGAGTGGTGGACAAAAGTTCGGGGGGACAGAAATACAACAGATGCATAGATGAAAGTATATTATCTTACATCACATAGCTCATGAACATTTGACGATAGCTCGGCGTGAAATGACAATGCTCACGGGGGTGTGTG